TGTTAAGTTTAAACTCATTAATTGAAATGACTAAGATAATAATAAATATTTGTCTAGACATTTTGTGTATTGTTTTTCAAGCAGGAGCTCAAGTGATTTTGCTTCAGCTGTTATGTGTCCTTTCAAGTCAAAATTTGTATTTGAATTATCTCCCCATTACGTACTTTGGTTTATAGATAACTATACAAAGCTAATAAGTTATAACAAGAAAAACATGCACAGAAATAAAACAAAAATCTGACTTTAAGTTCTATCAAAAATTACAAACTCTACTTTGAAGCCGATTGAAACTTCCAGAACCGTTTTGTTTGTTTTGATTTGTCTTGTTTTTAGCTCACCTGGTCCAAAGGGCCAAGTGAGCTTTTCTCATCACTTGTCGTCCCGCGTCCGTCGTCCGTCGTCCGTCGTCCGTAAACTTTTACAAAAATCTTCTCCTCTGAAACTACTGGGCCAAATTTAACCAAACTTGGCCACAATCATCATTAGGGTATCTTGTTTAAAAAATGTGTCCGTTGACCCGGCCAACCAACCAAGATGGCCGACATGGCTAAAAATAGAACAGAGGGGTAAAATGTAGATTTTGGCGTATATCTCTGAAACCAAAGCATTGAGAGCAAATCTGACATGGGGTAAAAATGTTTATCAGGTCAAGATCTATCTGCCCTGAAATTTTCAGATAAATCGGACAACCCGTTGTTAGGTTGCTGCCTCTAAATTAGTAATTTTAAGGAAATTTTGCCGTATTTGGTTATTATCTTGAATATTATTATAGATAGAGATAAACTGTATACAGCAATAATGTTCAGCAAAGTCAGTTCTACAAATAAGTCAACATGACTAAAATGGTCAGTTGACCCCTTAAGGAGTTATTGCCCTTTTATAGTCAATTTTTAACAATTTTTCGTAAATTTTTGTTATCTTTTACAAAAATCTTCTCCTCTGAAACTTCTAAGATGAATTTAACCAAGTTACGTTGTAAACAATCATCATTAGGGTATGTAGTTTAAAAATTGTGTCTGATGACCCCGCCCGCGAACCAAGATGGCTGACATGGCTAATAATAGTACATAGGGTAAAATGCAGTTTTTGGCTCATATATCTAAACCCAAAGCATTTCGAGCAAATCTTTCAGAAACAAAATTGTTCATTAGGTCAAGATCTATCTGCCCTTAAATTTTCATACCATTCAGGCAACCCGTTGTTGGGTTGCTGCCCCTGAACTAGTATTTTTTAGAAATTTTTTCAGGTTTTGGTTATTATCTTGAATATTATTATAGATAGAGATAAACTGTAAACAGCAATAATGTACAGCAAAGTAAGACCTACAAATAAGTCAAACATGACCAAAATGGTCAATTGACCCCTTAAGGAGTTATTGCCCTTTATAATCAATTTTTAACAATTTTCATAAATTTTCTAAATTTTTACAAAATAATTTCCACTGAAACTACTGGGCCAAGTTCATTATAGATAGGGATAATTGTAAGCATCAAGAATGTTCAGTAAAGTAAGATCTACAAACACATCACCATCACCAAAACACAATTCTGTCATGAATCCATCTATGTCCTTTGTTTAATATGCACATAGACCAAGGTGAGCGACACAGGCTCTTTAGAACCTCTAGTTTTTATTTTTCAACTTTGTTTCACTGGACAAAATTAAATTACGACTTCCGACTCAATTGCTCTTCATTGAAGTTTAGTCATCGAGACATTGTCTGATAGTGTCTTACAGAGAGAGAAAAACACACTATTCTGCAAACCACCAGAAAAGAACGTCGAACTTGTGACAACCTAATGTCTAGAAAGTAAAGAAGAAGCAAACTATGTTTATCCCGCCATATTCTGTGTATTCCCTCGTGAAATCTGGAGTCTGTAATTCAGAGGTTGTCGTTGGTTGTTGTCCGCCATATCTGTTTCATTTTTTTTAACATTACATGTAACCAGGTCATTTATTTTCTCTTTTGAATCGTTTCAAGCTTTGTTATGCTGAGGCCTTTTACAGGTAACTATACTGTTTGGGGTTTGTTCGTTTTTGAAGATCGTACGTTGACCTATACTAGAAGTTGTGAACTTCCTCATCATTTGGTTATCGGTTCAAAATTTCTCATTGCTAATCATCTAACACACGCATCCGAATCTCTATTTTACATGCATTACATTGTATTGCTTTCAATATCAAATTTTTACATCTAATAATTTAAACTAGACCCCAAAATCCTCGTTTAACTAATAATAATAATTGCGGTAACTTTTAGACACGATATATCGTTTGTTATTGAACCTATATAGATTTTTCATCTTAAGTTCTGTTCAATTATATAAGAACTTCGTTCTATTTGCAAATGTATATCGTTCCCTCAGCGCGATGCGAACTCAGTCTGTTGAGACATCAACACTAACACATATTTCACCTGAAATAGGTTCAGCCTCTGAAACCACTAGGCCAACTACGCTTTATTAAAGAAATATAGCCATCTTTGAACTAAATGTGACGGGTAGTAACTGAATATTTATAGATCGGAATTTTGTGTCTCTTGTCGTTTTTGTGTTTTTGTTATTTTCAACTTAAAAAAAGTTTCCAATTAATATTCAATGTTCGTTCATATGTAGTGCTGTTACACCACTGTCCCAGGGGGAAGCTGAGCGCTCACAGATCTAGACCACATTATTCACGTGCTTGTCCCAAGTCAAGAGCCTGTAATTCAGTCTTTGATTTCGAATTCAAATCATATTTTTGTGAGGTCCTAAACAGGCTCCCGTAGTTTTTCTAATCTGTTTTCGAATTACTATACGGAATATGTTTGGAAAATACAGCAACAGATATTAGAGTTGATTTGGTGTGATTTCTATACAAGCAGAGTAGTACTTTACGCTAACTTTTAGAAACCATAAGCATTTCTATCATATGCACTTTTGTTTATTTTGTACATGAGTTTTTGTCATCTATTATACCTACAACATAGAATTATGGAGGTATACATAGAATAAGGGTATAAACTCTGGAAAATCCGTGGAACGTTTGTTTCAATCGTGTTCATAAATATATTGGAAAATAAGGAAATAAAAAACACCGATTATTTTACACGCGCATTATATTTCTCTGTATGTGTATTTATGAACTGAGTGTGAAATTTAATAAAAAGGCAGGACAGGAGTTTTGAGTAAAATAAAAAGGCAGGATGAGTAATTTGGCAAAAAAGCAAGATAACAATTTATGTAAAAAAAAAAAAGTCAGGATAAACTAATAAAAAAAATGCAGGACCAAATAGAGTGAATAATAAAAAGGCAGGACAGAGATTACAACTAAAAAAAAAAGCAGGACAAAATTTTTCATCCTTGCCCCCCCCCCCCCCCCCCCATAAAAATCAAATGGTAGCTCCCTTAATGAGACCTGTTTAAAACATCGTAAATTCTTCAAACAAAATAGTTTTTTGATCATAATTTGAGTTTCTAAAAAGTGGATCATAATCTATCACAGTTTGCTATTGATCGCTTTCTAAATTTTTCCCTCCCTCAGCTCGTTACTGATGACCTTTGTTGTTTACCCTGTTGACCCAAACAGGAAGTTGTCTAAATATAAAAAAAGAAGATGTGGTATGATTGCCAATGAGACAACTCTCCACAAAGGACCAAATGACACTGAAATTAACAACTATAGGTCACCGTACGGCCTTCAACAATGAGCAAGGCCCATACCGCACAGTCAGCTATAAAAGGCCCCGAAATGACAATGTAAAACAATTCAAACGAGAAAACTAACGGCCTAGTTTATGTACAAAAAATGAACGAATAACAAATATGTAACACATAAACAAACGACAACCACTGAATAACAGGCTCCTGACTTGGGACAGGCACATACATACAGAATGTGACGGGGTTAAACATGTTAGCGGGATCCCAACCCTACCCCTAACCTGGGACAGTGGTGTAACAGTACAACATAAGAACGAACTATAAACATCAGTTGAAAGAGGCTTAACTCATCCGATGGATAAAAATACAAATACTACAAATACAAGTGGACGTTTTTTCCGGATTGGACTAAATAGCGATAAGGTGTATTGGCACTCATACCACATCTTCTTATATCTATATGTTATTAGTTAGGAAAAAAGAAAAAGAGAGGCGAAATATACCAAAGGAATAACTTAACTAAATATATAATAAAACCACAAACTCCCCGGCAGTTCCAGCTCCGTTCCGCATACTACTCTACACTAATTGATGGAGTAAATGAAAATAGTTCTGGAACGATCACTGTACGGAGTTTGATAAAACCATATAGAAATCTACGGACTGAACATCACGAACCCCACCAAAAACTGGGGATAATCTCATGTGATCTGGAGGGGTAAGCAGATCCTGCTTCACATGTGACACCCGTCGTGTCATTGTGATCGTTTTGGTTTTTCTTTCTTTTATTTGAAAGTACCTTGTGTACGGTGTTGATGAATGGGTATAAGTAATCTGTTCTGATTTTTTTCGTAATTTGTCTACACTCTAAGACGATGGTGTTGTCCTTTAATTATGGTTTTATTATCCACACTTTGATATCAACCTCTTTATACATCTAGTTTTTGATAACATTTAACCAGAATGATTTTGATGTTAAATAATTGTGTCAAACTATTGGGTTTCTATAAAATTGAGAATGGAAATGGGGAATGTGTCAAAGAGACAACAACCCGACCATAAAACAGACAACAGCAGAAGGTCACCAACAGGTTTTATGTCTGTGTTGTTATTTTTTCTGACTGGCTGGGTGATATTGAAAACTTGTGAAAAAAAACCCGATAAGGCCTAAAATCGATACCCAACTCAACTTCACGGATACAAAAATAAAGCTATATATTCTAATACATTTTCAATTAAGTTTTATACGTTTTTGCGGTAACTTTATATGTTTAAATGTTTACGATTTGATGTTTTAGTACAACTATACGTTTTTTATCCATATGTATTTAAATATCGGAACGGTAACTTTTTCCAGTTCAATGAAGGTTTCGGATGACAGTTTTGTCAAGAGTAGTGTCATGTCAAGATGTTTCTGACATAAGATGAAAGACTTATTCCTTTTTGTGATTTTCATTCCCTTAATTTGTGGTCAGGTATGGGATGCTGAGGTTTACTGGAATGGCAGATATGCTGCAAATGGGATAGATTACAATGCAGGTAAATTTTCAAGTAAAAACAATTTTTTAATTTCATTTTTTTACTTATAGACATAAAATTATAAAAGATGCGGATCCATAATTAGAAAAAAGAAGGGCCCCTAAACTAGACAACGTTTGGAGTAGACAATGTAAAAAGACTATGCATTAACTATGTATGTAACAATTTTATATTGTGTAACCATGGCGTATTTTAAAAATGAATCTCTGGCATTTATTTCACACGAAAGGTCCATTTTATAAAATCTTTGAATCTTTACTAAAATCTAAATATTAAAACTGTATGCGTGTTTGAAGTTATGATGAGATTGTGTCGTATTCTTGAACAGGTTTTAAATTAGAAATTGTTTTAGATGGCTTTAATGTAGTAACTGTTGTTATTTATTAAGCGAAATTTAATGTTGGCTATTTATCCAAAAAAAGATATTCGAAGCAAAAATTCTGTCAGAAGTCAAACATTTTTTAAAATTTTTGGTACCAACGAATTCGTTTTGATTTCGATTAACTTTGATAACGTTTAGAGGAATATAACATGGACATATTTAAAAGATTTTTTAATGACAAAATGGCAAAATTTAATTTATAAATAATATGAATATTTTCAATGAATAATAGAAAAAAAGGATATGGGGTATCCATCCATGACAAAATCAGTACATGCACAGCAAAAACACACAAAAAGCAACGGAACAGCGCTTTATTGCTGTTCTTCATCTCAAAGTCACAGTGAGGCCTTCAACACGGAGCAAACAAAAAACTCATCTCACTCCAAGTTTTAGATGGCCCCTAGCAGATTTTTTTAATCCAGTGATCCAGTGACAAAACGAATGAAACAGAAGCACCCCTTAATATGCCTATGCTTTTCGAAAAGAATTAAGTATACAATCCGATTAGACACCGATATGTTTTGCAAGCAAACTTAATGAAAAAGTCTATGAATTCAATACCAAAGATATTCATGATCAAAATACTTAGAAACAGATTCCACCACCAAATCTAGTGCAAAACGATATTTCTCACATTGTATATATTTAAAATTTACAAACTAATCGTCTCGAGTGGAGAAATCTCGTATCGCTCTCAATGCAGTTGTAGAATCTGTGTACAGGGTTGATGTCTAACTGTAAACATTCATCGTCTCCATTTACCTATAAAATAAGGAGATGTGGTATGATTGAAAATGAAACCGCTATCCAATTGAGTCAAAACGAAGCAGATTAAAACAACTATAGTTCATCGTACGTCCTTCAACAATAAGCAAAACCTATACCGTATAGTCAGTTCTAAAGGCCTCCACATGAAAAAAATGTGAAACGATTCAAACAAAAAAACGACGGCCAGATTTATGACAAAACTATAAATTAAGAAACAAATATAAAAGACAGCTTCCAACGACAACCACAGTGACTGAATTACAGGTTCCCGACTGTAGGACAGGCATGTATAATAGAATGTGGCGTGTTTAAACACGTTTGCATGTATATATAAAGTCATGATGACCTACAAATCTTTTTAATTTTATTTAACAGTAAAAATTGTAATCCGACCAGAAAGATGTTTCGACAAGTAGAGAAACTTTATTTAAGCTCAACTACTATAATTTGGTCGGGACTGACATGACAGTTCTTACCTTATCCTTAACAAGTATTTATTGTATTAGACATTTCCGAACTTTTGCCATTAGCTTTTGTCCCTAAGGGTTTCACCTACAGAATCGAGGGCATTCAAGATTTTTATGTAAATCTATCATATTGAGGCCGATGATAGTTAATTACAGATCAGCAAACCATCTATTTTTATTATCTTAAGAATTCTTTTAATTAGTTCATATGTTGATAAGTGGGTGTGGTTTGTGAACTTTCAGTTGTATATTTAAACTCTGTGTAAGTACTATTGTCATTAATCATGACCAAAAAATGCAAATATAAGGACTTGTCGTTTTAGTGTAAAAATATTTGGAAAACAAAATTGACCCATCAAGGCTAGGATGAACTCTCGTGATGAACTCTCGTGTCTCCAGGCCGAGCCAGCAGAACCCTTTTATTAGACAATATTTTGTTTATTATTATTTTTTTATCATCTATAATTAGAGAAAAAATAAAGCATAGTATTTTGTTAATTAAAGAATATGAAATTTAGGTTGTCCATCGTGTTCAAACTCCCCGGCAGTTCCAGCTCCGATCCGCATACTACTCTACACTAGAAAAAAGGAAAATAGTTCCGGAACGGAAACGATCACTGTACGGAGTTTGCATCGTGTTCTGAGACTGTTATTCTCTAAAAGCGAATGAATTCGCTCAATTCTGTAAACGTCATAAACATACATTTCAAAATTAATCAGGCATGCTTGTGAACAACCCAGTAGTTTATTGAATGATAGATTACCAACTTAAAAATTTATAATCTTCTAATGCTTTTTCAACATATTTTTCTTGATTCTGAACCGTATAAAGGTTTTTTTTTTAAATATTCTAACGGCGCATCAAATAATACATGAATATGAATTTTAATTATTATCATATTGAATCAACATTTTTCCAAAAAAAAGTTGTGCAACTACTGCAGCTAGCAATTACATTTTACTTTTGTTAGATAAAATTCAAATTATGAACACTTTAAAGCCTACTAAAGTTCTGTACAAACTAATATGAGGGTCTGGGGAGGGTTTACAGTATAGAGTATAAAAGGCCAAAAAATAGATGAAAATAGACAAAAAATAAGGAATAGAGAATAATTGTTTGCTTAAATATAAGGGAAAGAGAAAAATCGACCCGCAAAAATGAAGAATAGAGAAAAATGGGAGAACACCCATCCCGACCCTCTTATATTTGAATATCACGAATAAAGTTACTACTTACCAAAAGGTATTACAAAGAAGGTTAATATTAAATTATGTATGTAAACATTTATGTATACATACATATCTCATTTCTCTACATGAATTCATTAAAAATTCAAATATAAAAAGGAAATATTTAAATTTCCCATTATTAAATCATAAAAAATCAAATTGTGCAACTGACATGCTGAGATACATGTTTGGGCACTTCAAAAGAGAAAAATAATATCCGTTCAGGATTGTTAGTTTTCATTTCAAATCTAAATTGGCTTTTTATGCATTTAAAAACCCTTTCAATATAAATATAGATTATGTTTATTTTCTCAAATTTTATTCGTTTTCGTGGTAATTTACTGTATTATTTGCAATAATTTGTGTGGTATGACGAATTTTTATTCAATAATTTTGTACAAGTACTGGGTTTTAATTTACGTTGGAGAAATTAAAAGTTATACCTGATTGAACACTTGAAATACATCAAGACAAATTGAGAATGCGTAAAAAAGTTAACTTCCTTGTATTTTCTAATTTTCTCCATAAAAAAGTTCATGGTCAATGTATTAAAAACAATAACTCAGTCTAATCCAAAACTTCAAATATTGATATATAAATGAAGTCGTGACCGAACAACACTGATAGTTGACCCATGAGCTACGCGCATAGCGCATACCTGAATAAATGTGTTGTATGGTCACTCTTTGGATTTTTCCATATTTGAATTTTTTATTATTTATTCTATAATTATCAAGCTATGTATTCAAGCATACTTCCGCTAAGCGTAAAACTGTCTAAGGAAGGGGGAAGACCAGACATAGCACGAAAAACAAATCATCGGGTTTTTCTGTGTATAGATATCGTAAAATATCGATGTGCAGACAACCCGATTATCTAAAATGCATGCGCTTTGTGCATGAATTCCCTTCTTTTGTGTGTGTGTGTGTGTTTAAGTTTTGTTTTAAGATTTTCGTTGATATTTCAAATTTGTTTTCAAATGTTTTATTTATTTCCGTTAACGTTCTTATCCATTCCATACAATTTACAAGGGCCCTATATAAATTATAGTTATTGTAAGATTGTAGGGATTAGAGCAAGAACACATTAAACAAGGAAAAAGAACTTAAATTATTATATGAAAACTATCAAATTTGAAAAGCTTAAATGTAAAAACAAAACAAAAAGAAAAAAAAAGGGGGATGCCCTAAGCATCTGTGATGTTAGGCGGATGATTTTGTACGTTTTTTTGTTATAAGGAATAACGATATATTTTGAAATCTCCATGCAAACATTACTTTAACAACTATCCAGTCTATACCTAAATGAAGTCTGAATTTTAACAACAATAAGACTTTCTATTTTTACTATAATTCCAGTGATCAAAGCTTTTTTGTGTTTTCCGTTTTGTGTGTTTTTTTTTTTTTTTAAATGACTAAACTAAAAAATGCTCATTTCCGCGTTTACAAAGTATTCCCAATCATTTCTAAGGTATCTCTATCTTTAAATCAGATATTTAACATGCTGTTCTACTAACCTCACACTATTCTATTATCACACTTCAACATCAATTAAAAAGTGTTTGAATTTTGGTTTTTTTCTGTTGTTCTCTCTTTCTTTATCTTTTTTGCGTGAACCCCTGAGGGTTCACGCATATTTATTAGTTAGAAATATAGTCTATGGAGGAATATTCGGACGCTAAATTATTGTTCATTCGGAACACCTATTCATCTTATCTGTATTAATCTTGCAATTAAGAGCACCTCCATACGGTGTATCTAAGATATTTAAAACATGGCAATAAATAATTTTCACAGATCGCTAATTCACTTATCTGATATATGATAATAAACAATATATAGATCCTTTTCAAACATGTATATTTATTGTAAAGCTACATTTTATGCATTGCAAGGGTTTACTGACTTGGGCAAAGTTGACAGTTGTACCCTTTGATAAACAAGTGAAAGTTAAATGGTCAAGATTTAATTATAACGACCTATGGTATCAAAACATCTGTGTCTAGATATTCACAGAGAGACATTTTAAAAAAGTGCTGTGGTTCCTATATGAGTCATAGCTATAGTGGGCTTTTGGGATTTGATTTGTAACAATAAAATCATTATGCACACTTGTCATTTTGACAAATCAGATAAAAAAAAAATCTGTTTCAATTGAAAATAAAACAAGTAAAATAAAGACTGTTCGTTAATATACATTTTTACAACTTTTACTGTTTCCTTTTTACAGTATTCTCTATCAATTAAGTTATCTTGTAAGTTAATTAAATGTTTATTTAATTCATTGATGTCACTATTATTTCAGTGACCGCTGCAGAAAGTCTTGACTCGTTCAAGAGACTACTGCATGCGCATTAAATTTCAAGTCTAATGTTTTTATTTGGCCATGTATAAATGTTATGTTCAGCACAAATTATTTCCTTTCTGTTAAAATCATTTCTTGACTTGTTAAGTATGCAAGCGCACACCAAACAGTGACAGGATAGTCAACCAAATGACGGTGGTCACTTAGTGCATGGTAGAAGTAGAAATTTCTTTTATTATTCACACACTGTAATGCTCTTAAATTTATGTGTATTTTGGATGTACACTAGTGATTGGTAAATATTGATAGGTTTCTGTGTTTTTAATATATGTGACTTAACATCAAGAATTCAATTATTATGGAATCGTTCAATATTGTACACTTCGGTATCTAAATAGAGAGTGGTAAAAGGGAGAGTCTGAACACGGAAACACGTGAAATAATAAATCGCAAAAATGTTGCACGGAGAAAAAAAAACACTCTGGAAAAACGAAGTCGAGGAATAAAATCGTAAATATAAAGGAAAGAAGTACCAACAGTTATTACTCAGCCATTCTTGGAGATCATGCAGTCATTATAAATGGACCTGGCGACCCTGCATGTGGTCACCTTTTAGCGTCCGTTAGTTGCATCCGATTTATCATAGTAATATAATAGGCTATTAATAAATATCTTGGGACCAGTTTATTAGTTTATAATTTAAAACAATATTTGGGCTGACTTTGAATTAGTCCCGGTTTACTTTTTAATCAGGCAAATGCGGGACAAGCACGAGAAAATAAGAGTACCGACACGAAACACGGAAAATAATTAAGGGAAAACACGAAGCACGCACATCGAACCAAACACGAGAAAACGAGAAATAAAACGTCGAAACACGGAAACACGTGAAATAAAAAGGCCGAAAACGTTGCACGAAAATAACCCTTTACCACACTCTAAATAGGCCATACTAGATGTCGACACCTCATATTAGAACTTAAGTAGATGGTCAATTTCGTTTGCAAGGTTAAAGAAATCTTCAACTTGCTCTAATTTGCCTGTGAAGACCATAAAACCGTCATCCCTATTGATAGTGTAATTTGATGTTTTCTCTCCATCGGAACTTATCTAAGATTTTTTAAAATGAGTACAAATTAATAAGCCTGGTTGGTACGCTCCTATAATGTGTTTGTATAACAGTCCATTAAACTCAAATTCATTATTTCTAAGAATTAATTTAACAAATGCAGTTAAATCTATTTTGTTGAGAATCTTTAAAGTATATTCTCCTGTGTGTCAATAAATTCTAATGCATTGATAACAATTTCTTCTAAATTGTCAATGATCATATTTGTCTACATTGACGTACATCATAGGCAATAAGAATGCACACTTTTTTTACCTCGTGTGACTCTATTTTATTAATGAATTTTTTTGTATCTTGAATGTAAAAGTTATGCCTCTTCAATAATTGGATGTTGGATGTGTACTAATTGATAATTTAGTCTTAGATGCATGATTTTTTTAATTAGTTGTTAGTGGCTTTGAACTAGCTGTCAGTAACTGCGAGTACTCTCAGATCTGTGCTTAGTGTCTATTTGTTGTTGGGATATACAAGTACCCGGCCACGTCCACTCTGTGTAGTATTTCTGTTTGTATCCATCTGATGAGTTAAGCGTTTTTCAACTGATTTTTATAGTTCGTTCTTATGTTGTACTGTTACACCACTGTCCCAGGTTAGGGGGAGGGTTGGGATTCCGCTAACATGTTTAACCCCGCCACATTCTGTATGTATGTGCCTGTCCCAAGTCAGGAGCCTGTAATTCAGTGGTTGTCGTTTGTTGATGTGTTACATATTTGTTTTTCGTTCATTTTTTGTACATAAATTAGGCCGTTAGTTTTCTCGTTTGAATTGTTTTACATTTGTTATTTCGGGGCCTTTTATAGCTGACTATGCGGTATGGGCTTTGCTCATTGTTAAAGGCCGTACGGTGACCTATAGTTGTTAATTTCTGTGTCATTTGGTCTCTTGTGGAGAGTTGTCTCATTGGCAATCATACCACATCTTCTTTTTTATATTTATAATTAAATCAAGTAAGTATCTCTCGCGGGAGATTTACACTTATTGATGATTGGTCGGTAACGAACATTAATGTGTCCTGCTAGCTGACCAGTTCGCAATGCCTCATTACTTATTTCTAGATTAATTCAATGAATTTGTGGAAGAAGGTACATGTGTCCTCCATGTTTTGAATTATTATTATTCTTTAAGAAATTATACGTCTGGGAATCTTTTTTTTTTCTCTCCTTGCTTTAAATTTAACACTTCTCTCAACATGCCAAAATTGTAATGATTTATAATAAAAAGAAAATATTATCCTCCACACACATGGCCAAGATAACACTGATATATAATTTCTTATTCAGTTGAATTAATAATTAGAATAAAAAAGTTCTAAGGTTCACGTATTGTCTTTTTTTTTAAAAGCAACTTGTTCTTGTTGATAGGTGGACCAAGGATAACAGTACACACAATACTTTCGTATGCTTTTCAATTTCTAAAATATTTCAACAGTATTGTATGCACGAATAAATGCAATTTATAAGGTAGTTATAATACATGCATGTTTATAATTTTAAAGATAACCAATCCTCTAATTTGAAATTGAAACATCTTGAAACTATTTAAATACTTATAACACAGTCTCAGGTATCCTAAACCGTTATTCTTTTATATTTAAACAAATCAATACCTCAACAAGACATTACGTTCAATTCATCACATTTTATAAAAATCATTTCAAAGGAGTTTTAAAGGTTTTTAGTGCTTATTATTAAAATGCTATTAAAATTACGTAAAATATCTTTTTTATTATTTAAATGGGATACTATATGGGAAAGTCAATATAATTATATTTGAATTGGGCTAGACTTTTTAATTTGAGCATGTTTATGAAATGTAACTTGACTACACACAAAACATTTTTTTATTAACAGTACATTTACGTGTTTATATCATCTGTTGATATATTATGTTTATATATATTTATTTATTTTCTGTCATTTTATTTTTATAACATAAGAGTAAACAGTATATGTATGAACATGTCCAAAGTCAGAAACCTCGTCAGTAGTTGTCTGGTGTCACAAATAAGGTTTTTTTATTATTATTTTTTTGTAATTAGTGATGATTTTGTCGATCTTCTCATCATCAAGACACCCTCAAGACCAATTAGATACCAAATAATCATATAACTGTATTGTGTCCTTGGGTACGAAAAACAAAATGGTCTAACCAAAACATCCAAGACCATCTGAAGAACTAAACTCCAGCGCTGTGGAAATAAAGTATAGCGCTAAGGATTTAATCACCATCACCAATGCTGGACTTTGCATCTACAGCGATGGACGTTACATCGCCATTGCTTGATTTACATTTTAAATCAACAGCGATTGACTTTACATCCACACTGCTTGACTTGATATCTACAACGCTAGAAATTTTATATATTAACATTTGCAGCGCTGGAGTTTACCTCTTCGGCGTTGAATTTTACATATACAGCACTGGTCTTGACATCTCCAGCGCTAGACTTTAGATCCCAAGCACTTGACTTTATATCTTAAGCGTCTGAATTTAAAAGAAAACTACAACTCTTTATCTGTATGAAGCCAACAGGGCTCCGTAAAGTTGCACTATTGAAAATTCATTATTTGTTTTAAGTACACAGAGAATTCACAAATCGTTCCTACACTCAGAGTAAAGAGTTTATTTCTACTCATTGACTGGCAGAAATTATGCAAAAAGTCATGTTGTTATCACGACAGAGCCAAATAGACAAGTATAAAAAAAGAAATAAGGATATGTGATTGCCAATGGGACTGCTATCCATGCACCAAAGACCAAATGACTTGGATGTTGCATATAGTAAATATAGGTTACCGTACGGCCTTCAAAAATCATCAAAACCTATACCGTATTGTAAGCTATAAAAGGCTCCGAGTGAAATAAAGAAAAAAAAAACAGATTGTTTTAAACTAAACACGAAAAACAAATGACAGACAGCAACCAACGACAGGTTCCCGACTTGGGACAGGCGAAAAATGAATGTGGCAGGGTTTATTATTGTGACAGTCGTATTTTATACCTAGTTATGCGTGAACTTTCAGTGATGTCAGCAAATATCCAGGGGTTTGTGCTTTGCAGTACAATTTTTACGATTTTTAATTTACTAACGATCCCAATTTTCGGGGATACCCTCCGCTTCTCCCCTTTTTGAAAAACTTGATTCGCCACTGTGTGTATTTAACCTCTTAAAAATCTAAAACAATAATTTTTTTTATTTCTTTATTCATGTGCCAGATGATACAGCCAACGGAATGTGGTCAGATAATCAAGATGAATACATGAAAGACTATCCATTCTCTCGAACTTGTTCTGGTTGTGACTGTACAGTTCTTCCTAAAGATCAGTTATTACAAGCATGTGACGGTATAGTGTAAGTACATGTACTAAGATCTCCTTAAAGATCAATTATGACAAGAGTGTAAGAACTATAGTCATTCAAATTAGGATTGTTATTTTAATTTTAATTAACAAAGCAGGAGGTATGATAAGAGCCATTATTAGGCCATTGAAATGGCCATTTCCCGCGTATTTCTTTTATAGATATACGTAAATGAACATCTTCGAATACACATCTTGTATCAAAGTATATTTTTCTGTTGGCCTTTGCTCACATACATCTCAATATCAATGTAAAGCTCTAAAAGTAAAACTATAGTTTCGTACTCAAAGGACCAAAAAATCTTCATGACATGAAAAACACGTATAAGATATTATTTATTTTACAATAAGTGCTTGTTATTTTATTTTTGTGAATTTTGTGTTGTCATATTATCAATTATTTGTCTCTCGGTATCTCGATATCTGATCTCACATGCCTTAATACATCAGTATTGAAGCGGATCGTACAGGAAGCACATCTGCCTTTTATTTACTCTCTCTCTCTCTCTCTCTCTCTCTCTCTCTCTCTCTCTCTCTCTCTCTCTCTCTGGGTACATTAGTACTTTTATAACGGGCGTTCCATTTTGAAATTCAAACTTTAAATACATATATTTATCATTCTCAAATATAAAAAAAAAATGACCTTGCGGTTTATTTATCCAATGGTTTTATTTTGCATCTAACAATCAATGAAAGAAAGAAAACACTATCTGGTATAAAAGAATGACAAAGGACATCAGTATGTATTCTTATTATATCTACAAAATAGAAAATTGAACTTCAAATACATATTTATTTTAACGTTGTTTTTCTATTAACAAACATATTATTAACATGACCTTGTATTTTTTCAAAAAAAAATTTTATTTTACTCCTAACAAAAAAAAAATATTCTTCATTATAAATGAATGTCAAAGGACGTCAGAATATAATTATATATCTTTTGAAAATATGATTCATAAACATAAATCTGTATTAAAAAGTATGTTTAAAATTTACATGTTAATTAATTTTATTTTTATTTTTCTGTCCCCAACCATTCGTTTTTTTTTCCGTTTTATTGGATCATTATCAAACATGTCCATATATAAAATATGTAAAAATAAGATTAAAGGATAGATTTTATTACCATATACATTAGCAGATAGTTGAGAATCCAACTTTTATTCTTTTGTGGTTATCACTTCCTTTTATTAAATCGCTTTAATTCAAATAAAAAAGTTTTATCTTACAAATTCTTTAGATTGTTAATATCGTTTGACGGACAAACTATTTTGATTTTGTACTAAAATTGATTACTAAAGACCATCTTAAGACCACCATGTTAAGTTTTAGAGAGAGAAAACGTTGAAATAGGAATGACCTTTCTTACAGGTTAAAAACCATATTAATTCAAATCATTTCAATAAGATTCTGTTTATTTAGATTTATAGTGCTATTGTAAAAAATAATCGCTAGCGCTCTATAAATCACACCAAAAAATTTTGTTTTTGTTTTGCAAATATGTCATGTTATTTCAAAAGTTATATTTACAATTGAATATTGCCAATCCTATTTTTAATATACCAAAAAAGAATTCTAATGTCTTACGATTAATATAAGGAAATTATAATACGAAAAGAAGAATTTAAGGATGTACTTACATGTAGGTCAGGTTTAGGAATTTTTGTCCGCTGTTCGGACTCCTTGCTTTTTTTCCTTCGATACAGGGTAAAATATTTTGCCCCATAACACCCATTTTTCTTTTCATATAAGACTTCAATAGCTAATAAAAGGTCATTTACCAAAATTTAAGCAGATTCTAGAATTCTTTTCTTTCGATTTGAGACCCATATAATACCAATGCAAATATAACGTCAGCCTTTTCCCGCCATTTAAAAAAAATTAGATATCTCGATAAGGAGCTCGATAACCTATCAATACTTTTAGCTTATTTTTTTCCTTAACTAATGCTCTTCTGACTGATGGTATCAATTTTAAATTCTAGATTTTTTTAATTTCACCTAAGTACATCCTTAAATATTTGTCAACAGGAAACTAAAACCCTATAGATATATATTGTTAAGTATAGGTCTTTGACACTAGAAAAATACACTAAATAGCTGCACCAATTTGTTGACAAATACTTCAATTTTCCGTTTATTCACGAATAAATGCGAATTGAAAAATAAATATATATATTTGAAACATAATATGGCATACAGAATCAAAGGTTAATTAATCCTCGGAAGAGTCAATTATTGTGTCAATTAAAGATTGCATTAGCTTCATCTCTCTTGGGTATTAAATATTAATAAGACAGGTCTTATTCTTATTCAATAACTGCCATAATTTTGATTACTGTCATTTGTTATGATAAAAACATTAAATGTCTTATTTTTGTATGTATAGACGATTTTATCATATTAAATTCAAAGTGAATCATACCAGATTTAACTGCAATTTATGTTTTTCGTACTGTAAATTTTCCGTCACCAATGTGAAAGGATTGGTTTTTTTTCTCACAAAAGAAAAAAAAAGTATGCAGAGTACCAAGGCTTTCGTAGAAAGATTTACATAGAAAATAATATTTAAACGAATGAACAGAAACTATAACTGTGTATTTGTTTGTCCTTTTTTTAATTGTATACAATACTGAATAGGTATAAGAAAAGTTTCATAGTAAGAATAAACCCTTTAAATCAAAAGCTAGAACTGTATGCGTCAATGAAACAACAACCCGTCAACATAAACAACCGAATGACATCTTAAGGTCAATATAAAAAAAAGCAGAACTGGTGTTCATACTGAATAAATCTAGATCGTCCAGAGTTAACATTCTCATAAGTGAACAGGGAGCGCACAAAGCAAAATTTTCACGAAAACCGAAAGTAATTTTCACCCGTTTTTTGTGCATCCCGTTGCCACTCATGCGTGTACAATGTATATTTTCATAAAATGGTCGTCTGTCCGACCTTAAAAAATTGAAGTTTTGAGAGCACACACTAATAAACGATTGGAGACCATGAAAAACAAAATTGCCTTAACAGAACAGCTATTACCGTCCGAGATAAAATTTGTCTGAGGGAGTTACAAAAAAAGGAAAACCACGGACCGAAACAATCAAAATCCCTGAGTCGAAAAGAGACTGCACACTATGACCAAAAGTAAAAGCCAATAGACAAACAAGAGTCCACAAAACTCTTCATAGAAAAAAAAAATAGATTGAGCAACACAAACCCAACAAACATTCCTGTTTTAACGCTAAAGTTTTAGTACAGTCACATTAATCATGAACATAGGTTTACGGGAAAAAACTAACACGACTTGTGCATCGTGTCAAGACTGACGCACTAGCTGGTAAGCGGATGTCACAGTAGAGGACTGATAGTAAAACGGCAGCAGCACAGACTTGTGGCTTTGAAAAATCGCGTGATAATAATTTCCGTAACTATGCCATACTCGTGATTCTGAAGAAAAAAAACTTTCATCAGTTAAGCTTGAGGGAACCTGCTCTATTGATGGAATAACATAGACATCATATACCTGCAAAAGAGGCGGACCATACCAAAGGGATATTCAAACTCATGATCGTAAGTCGATGACAAAAGGACAACACCATGGCAGAGATAGAACTTCAAAGTAAAGTCTTGCTCTCTCGAGAGATGATACATTTACTCAAGATTACGTGAAATGGCATGCGCGTAGCTATGTTTACGTCAAAACGCCCGGGCGTGCACATAAAATTGGAGGAAAAGATTAGTTAAACCCAAATGAATTAAAAGAACTGATTAAAAGCACACGAGCCTTGTAATTTTTTCTTCAATGACTTGTAATTGAGTGATAAAAGACAAAATGGCGAAGTTTACTTTTAAATCAAATGGTATCATATTACTATTTGGTCATATAGCTCTGCAACTGTTTCGGTTCTTATACATCCTCGGCTTTAAGATATTCGGCTTTGAGTGTTGCTGATGAAGGTACTAGTAAATCCATAAAAGCGCTTCGGATGCATGAAATTAATAATGTGTTGTTTTCATATTTTATATTATTTATTTGTTCATTTTCTGTCAAAATCTTAATCCACTGTGAATTCTACTCAGTTTACAATTGTTTAAAGCAATTCATTAGCTGCTGAGATACGATGTGACTTGCATTTTTAAGTCACTGTAACAGTTCAATTTTTATTTTTTTTCGTTACACCTGACCATCTTTGAAAATTAATTAGGACATGTGTCCATTAATAAAATTTGAGTGTAAAAATGTGAGTAAATTAGATAAGGTCAAAAAATAAATAGAACGACAACATTGAAATGGAGACTTGATTTTTTACTATCTCTATTAAGTTTTGATTTTCTGTCGATTGATTGTTTATCCCACATCTCCTTTTAAACATATTTTTAAGCAACTGGTTTGGACATTTTTCTCTTAAAACATGACCATAAGATTCCAGATCAACACAATAACACATGACTGAATAAATTTAACATAAAAAATAGACTCTTAAAGAGAGGCGAAAGATACCAAAGGGATATTCAAACTCAGCAGTTGAAAACAAACTGCCAATACCATCGCAAAAAACAAACAACAACGAAAAGGCAAACAACAGTATACAAAACACACATAAAAAGAAAGACTGAGCAACACAGAAACCAACCAACAAAAACTTGAGGTGATATCAGGTGCTCTGGAAGGGTAAGCAAATTCTGTTCAATGTGTGGCACCCGTCGTGTTGCATGTGTAAGTACAAACCCAGTGATAAGTCTCATTCATAGGTAACATTCGGGGACAAGAGGTCGGGATTGTGGTAATATCAACAACTGGAACATATCCGTCGTCGTTAGCAATCTGTGAAACATATTCCATTACGGAAAACCTACTCGTGAGGTCGACCGTAAAATTTTCACGGTTCAGAAGCTTCCTTGTAAGCAGCAACCATCTATCAAGGAAATGGTGATAGGAAATGCTAGCTCTGGAATATCTTATCAACTGGGAGGTATAAACTCCATATGCAGATACTGCTGGAATGGTGTTACATAGAAAAGAAAAGTTCACTATTGGAGGCTGAATTCATCTCTTTTGTCGTAAAGTTGTGTTCTTAACCGACCAAATGTGTTGCTCTTGATGAGTTTTTTCATGACAATTATTGGTATCTCTTTCTCAATAACGCGTGAACTTCTATGAGGTCTTCTGCCCTGGATCAGCTTAGGGGACATCAAACCCCTCGATGAGGTTCGGACGTACACTTAAAAATGGCGTAGCTACGCCACTGAATGGTATTTAATAGAGCACCTTTATCAATATTACTGACATGTTACTCAATCAGAGGAGGTCTCCTCAAGCATAACTGCTGAAAGTTGTTTTCTTCAGAATCACGAGTATAACTCTATCTGACTAAGGGAAAGAATACTTGGAGAAAAGTTAATGTACTTAAACACGCACTTGTCTTTGATCTGATGATAAACTTTCAATGCAGACTTTTTTTTTACAGGCAGATAGTGTCCTATTCGTTTCCAAATATTACAAATACAACATTTGCTGCATCAACAACATCGATGTAAGTAGATGCAATTAAAATGTACACTTATTACCATAGCTTGTCATCCTCATCGTCATACTATACGGTACGGGAATATTTATTTTTTGACCCGTCCGTCAATTCGTCATTCAGTCAGGCCGTCAGTCAGTCAGTTCATCATTCAGTCCGTCCGTCCGTCTGACAGTCAGTCAGTCAGTCAAGTTCTGGATGCTAACTCAAATTCTTTATATTGGAATGCAATCTTATTTTGATGATATGGTCCATATAAGGAGAGAACGATCCCTGTTGATTATGTGGTCACCAGATCTAAGGTCAAGGTCATTGTTTCTAAAATAAAGACCGAAATTTGCGCAGCAAAATGGTTTCCGGATTCTAAATCAAATACCTTATGTTCGATTGCAACCTTTCTTGAATGTATTGTCACATATAATAAGAAGATCTCTTTTGAAATCTGGTCACTACGTCCAAGGTCAAAATCATAGAAACTAGAAGAAGAGCGAATTTTCTGCAGGAAAGTTATTCCGGATGCTAAATGATGAAATATTTTTTTATCAGATTGTAACCTTATTAAGGAAACATGGTCACAGATAATGAGAAGAAGGTCCCTTTAGTTTTTTAGGTCACTACATCTATGACCAAGGTCATAGTTACTTATAATTTACTTTTGTTACACAACATTAGTGTCTGAAATCCTAACAGAAAAGAATCATAACGGAAATGTAGTTGATAAACGAGTTATTCTACAATCATATTTTGTTTGGGAAAGAAAATGAAATACAAGAATATGCCTCAGTAAACCATTTTGTAGAAAACCAGTTTAAACAACATACAATGTTGGGTATACACGAAATGGTATAAAAGCGTATTAACAACCTAAGAAGCATAAAAATGCAAGAAGAAAAATACATTTTAACTAATAATTAAAAGAGAACAGAAAAATACATATCTGAAGACTAAAAATATTACAAGGGATATTGACACGGATTTCATTTAATTCTGATACTTTATCATATACACCCGTAATTCGAAAGAATAATACAATTGAGAATGGAAATGGGGAATATGTCAAAGAGACAACAATCCGACCAAAGAGCAGACAACAGCCGAAGGCCACCAATGGGTCTTCAATGCAGCGAGAAAATCCCGCATCCGGAGGTGATCCTTAGCTGGCCCCTAAATAAAATTGTGTGCTAGTTCAGTGAAAATGGACGTCACACTAAACTCCAAAACATATAAATGAACTAAAATTAAAAAACATACTAAACTAACAAAGGCCAAAGGCTCCTGACTTGGGACAGGCGCAAGAATGCGGCGGGGTTAAACATGTTTTGTGAGATCTCAACCCTCCCCCTATAAACATATCAACTTGTGTATTCAGATGTTTAAGGGAAATATTTGCAAGGACTATCCAATAGTTTTTAAATTAATGACATACTGAATGTTTATACTCTATGTTTGTAAACTGTGCTTGAATCATCTATTTCAGAACAATTCAGGACTGTACACCCTTTGGTATAGCAGAGGATGCCTTCACTAGTCTTACCAATTTAAACTCACTGTAAGTTGTAAATACGGCAATCTGGGTAATAAATTTTAAGTGACAAGCAAAGATAACAGTCACACACGTTAGCGGATATTAAGCCGTGACGTTTGGTTGTTTCTATTTACAAACAACGAAATATACAAAGTCTATTGTATTCTGAAATAACGACTTCTTTTAAAAAACTTTTAATAAATTCTGCCTGCGGATTATTGGGTAAAACACTGAAAAATTGAAAGAAACCATTACAAAATGAAAAAAATGTTATTCAATATGTTTGATTAATTTTTAATATTCATTGTGTAGTTTATGTTAGTGAAAGTTAAAATAAAGTCGATTCTTGGGAAATGATGGGCGTCCCTAAGCACCAGCGCTCCGTTACTTCCCAGGACAATTTTTTCTGTAACATAAAGATGTTTTTAGAATAATGCTAATCTGAGTTAGGTACAACAATTACAATTTCAATGGTTTGTTTAAACCCTTTGTACTGATAATTCCATCGTTCAATTACAGCACTATACAGAATTGCGGTATTACCACAATGCCATATGTTGAACTTTCACCTTTAACCATTCTGTAAGTAGTCTGTTCCTTTTTCAACGATATGTTTTTCAACATTAATAAAATGAAGCAGTCAAAGAAGATACTATGAGTTTCAAGTAATTATAGATAATACATCATGGATGATAACTGCCTAGACTAACAACAGGAGCATAGTGTTCGTTTTTACTAAATTCAGTTTTTTTGTTATGACAAGTGTTGATTAGTGATAAATTACTGATTTATTTATTATTATTGACTGCAATATTAGAAGCAGCGGACAGAGAATGGATTTCTCCATTCCTTTTTAATTTTCACTTTATTCCCCTTTCTACTTTCGTAAAATGCTAAATCAGAGATTTTTCTGTAGCATGGTTATTTTGCGGAGTTTGGGGCAAATCTTGTTAGCGGGAATTAATTTCGAGATTTTGCTATCCCTGATTCATATATTAAAAGTGAACACGTGGAGACCCTGTATATTAAATATAGGGTTAGTGGGCGTGTTTTATTCTATTGGTTAACAGTAGTATATATAGTAGTCTCAGTGTGAATCCATACATTTTTTTGCTTTTGATTTATACATGTATTATACGTGTAAAGAGACTTACTGAAAAGTTTCGTTTCATTTTCAGAAATTAATTATATTATTGATACAACTTTCAGAAACCTGATAAACAATGACATCAGTATTATTTCAACATATACAGGAAATCTACCATCCTCCCTACAATATTTGTAAGTATTCACATCCTCCCTTCTCATAACAATACACTGCGGTTAAAAGTACCATACATAAAAAAAATAGTAATGGTTTCTCCGCCTCAAAACAACAACCGCATTTAAACTAACATTGTTATTCATCCTTAATTTTACAAACACAAAACAATACCAGCGATAATGATGCACAATATGATCGATTGATTGTTTGTTGCGTAACGTGCGGTGGCAAATGTGTCATGCATGTTCAGGACGAGTATGATGCTTAATACGATTCGAAAGAACAGTTTGGTATCAAATCATTATGGCACATTGGCTTTTGTTAAGGAAAACAAAAGTATACAGCGTTTAAAAAATTGGTAGTTTGCGATTGCACTTTCCGTTGAACGTGATGCACAATATAATTCAAAACATGTTCAATCGAAAGTGCAATCACGCACTATCAATTTTTTAAACGCTGTATATTTTTTATTTGTAAATAAAAAGACAATGTGTCATTATAATTTGATTCCAAACCGTTCTTGGCATACACTTATACAAGCAAGGGTTAAAAAAGGAATGAATGGGGTGCACCATTATCACGTCAAAACCAGAAAGTCCGCGAATAATTATTTTTGTTGAATCCTTGCAATGGATAGGAGGGGTATTGGAAAACATGCAGCTGCAGGTGGTAGACTTTGATTCATCAAACGCGGGGTGAGTACTGCGGGATGAAATAATTCTATTATTTACACAGTTTACTAGTGACCTTATACGGTATATACGGGGTCAGTAATTTCCATATTGGGCGAGAGCGAGCAAAGCGTCGTTTTACCCATTGTGAACGAGTTTCGTTTTCCTCTGCCATTTATCTGTGAAGGTTTTATGAATTTGTAGCAGCGTCTGGTCGGAATGGTTTTGTTAACTCTGATGATGACTGTTACCATAGTATTGAGAGAGAGCCAAGCATCCAGAAAACACTTTTAAAAACACTTTGAATAAATAGTTGATGGTTGTATGGTCCCGTCAACTTTTACAATAAAAACCCTATTTTTAACGTATATATTTTTCCAGAGCTTTGACTCATAACCAGTTCCACTGGTTCCCGGATGGATTTATCAATGGTACTAATCTGCGTCTTGTGTAAGTTTAGCTATTAAGTTGTCATGGCTAACCAGTATAGCTCTCCAGTGCCATTGACTGATTTTCTGTTATTACGATAGTGTTCTTTCAAACGAACTTTTCGTTAACGTAGTCTTTCAAAAAAAGCGGGAGTTACCGAAGGGAGAATCAATACTCATAAGGGAACGACCATTTAACTTCAAGGGGGTAGGGGGATAAGGTTTTTTCCTAAAAAAATATTCTGATCCCCAATTTGATGAAAAAAAATATTGTGGTCAAGCAGATGACAAAAAAAAAAATATTCTGAATCCAGATTTCCCCCATACCTTATAGTGTTAAATTTTGAAAAAAAATAATTTGATTGATAGCGTCGAAAAACTAAAGAAAAATGTTTCTGACTCAGACAAAAAAACATACCCCCCTCCTTTTTGAAGTTAACTGGTTGCTCCCTAAGTCAAAGAGAGATCGACAAAATCATGACAACAAAAGAAAATCGAAGATAGAGATATTGAAATTGTTATTGGCAATACTCTAAATATAATTCGTAGATAACATTTAAACAAAACATGCAAGACAATTCAATCTTCTTGATAAGTCACCAACGAGAAATGCACACCATGATGGATTTGCTAAAAATATACAATATGTAAAAAGAAAACCAATGGAAAAAAAACAAAAAATAAAATTAAAGAAAAACATTGTTGAAACAAAAACGATGAACTATTATAAAAGGTGTAAAATAGACTTGCATTTAACATCTTTCATGGGGTTAAAAGATAAGTAGCATAACCTCCACCAATAAAAAGAATTTTGAAACTTGATCAAGGTTAATTAATTACTCGATATCATTATGTAAACTAAATGTACACATAGATGATTGTTTGTTGTTTACGTTATGTCCAGTGGTAAATATCACCTGCATGTTTATGACGATGTACACATAGAAACTTGTAAGCTATGAATTAACTTTATAGACAATAACATTTCTTTCGTAATTTTCAATCTGAAGGGATCTCTGTAGCCAAAATGGCTGTCGTAGTTCGTGTGCATTGATCAAGTATCTGTCAACACTGAGATAAAAGGTTCTAACATCTCTCTAGCGAGACATGTTCGACTCCGATCTTAACGGACAAAAATTGATAGTTTTCCTGCCATAGGTCGGTGGTTCTTTCCGGGTACTCCGGCTCCTTCCATAAAAAAACACTTACCGCCATAATATTGCCAAGGTCTTTCAAAATGGCGTAAAACACCAACAAACAAACAAACAATCAAACGAACATCAACCTCAAATGTTATAATATCATGTATATATGAACACAAATATTGTTTCAACGTTTTTGCAGGAGTCTTGGATATAATAATCTCACCAATTTCCCACTGTCAGGATTTGGAAGTTTACCTAATCTCATGTACTTGTGAGTCTTTGAATTACATTTTCTATTTTTTAACGTCATTTTATTTTTCGATGCATTTACTAGAAAATCGTTCACTCATATATAAACTTACTCATTGTTGAAGGTCGTACAGTTGCCTTCAATTGCTTACGTCCACTTCATTTGATCTTTGGTGGATAGTTGTCTCATTGGCAATCATACCTCATCTCCTTATTTTTATATTACATATATATATGTTGTGCTATTACAATATTATATTATATTGTCATATAAGCAAATACAAGCTTTTGGCAACTTTAATGAACTATATTAGCAATCACGTATGTATCTTATGTGAAATCATGAATGTTCTTCCCGTTGTCACAAAGCAGCAGGCTACTCTTTGTACATTGTGCTGATAATGCTATTAACTTAACAGGAATACCGCATAGTAATATACCCAACACACATATGTATATATATTGGTCTATTACGAAGTTATTGGACGCCGAAAGTGTCATTCCTAAATCTCCCAAGGGAACCTTGAGGTTTCAAACTTAAACACATTTTTTCTGACTAAGGGTACGACGTCCCACAAGGTGCGTCTGCGATTGTGCGGTATGTGTCAAATGGTTAACTCGTGTTGAGAAAATTTCACACTCCAAAAACAAAAAAAAATCCCTCCAGCATCCTTTGAACAGCACACTAATCATAGTGATTGCATATAATTTATTTCTTGTTTAATTCCCCCATATACCTTTTTGTGCCGCTGGGAATACAATGAATCAATTATTACTACATGATAAAGATAAGTGAAGAAAATTGCGTCACACGCAAGAAATCAATAAATTGTTATTTTCATTTACTAGCAGTGGGTTGATACCACTGCCAGTGGACTGTTAGTCCTCGGGGGTATCATTAAAGCAGAAAACGCACAAAATTAATAATCTGTGCAGTCGGTACTTCCGTACTATCATGATTCAAGTTTTTAATTCAAGCGAATTTTTTTCAGAGTGTATACATTTATGCAGAATCTCAAGCGACTGCAAATAATCGTCCAGATTTTCACTCAAATAAGCAAATTTTGATGAAGAAATTCAATTCATTCGTATTGTGGTATCAGTTATTAATGGACAAATGGTTTTCATTATTAACTTCGCGCGCCGTTAAGAAAAGTTATATCTATCTAAATGCTTTCTTCTATTTTCAGAGGTTTGGAAGGTAACTTAATGAAGAAGATTTCTGTGAAGCATCTTTCACCTTTTAAAACTGATACATTTGTACACGTGTGAGTGTCATTTGTGTTTCAGAAATGATTTTTTTTCTAAAACTAAAACAATCCTTCTCATCAAAATGCTATTCGAAATATTTGAAGATTGACTGACGCTGAAATTCATATTTATTATAATATTTCATTTGAATGCCATCTTTTTTCAAAAGAAGCTCCATGAAAAAAATTATTCAAAATATTCAATGGGTGGGTTGATTTGCATGTTCCCTTTAGTTCCAAATAGTATGTGCATATCAGGACAAGACCATTTTGATCAAGACATGTAACGTACAAATACACATGAGCTGCGTCGGATAGAAATCAACTTTATACAAGTTCACGTATACATGTACATGTATAAGACTTTGGTTGGTCTTGGAACATTCAAATACGAAATAAAAGATGAATTTTGGTCTGCTTTGTAAGGTTCTTATATAAACTCAATTTTCAAACAGTTACAGACTTTTCATAGAGATTTTTTTCAACCCTGAAAAAGTTTACACATGTATAATTGATATTCATTTGCTTAACATGCATATTTTTTATTAAGATTAAAGAAATCATCAACTAAAAGATCGATCAAACTGATAGCACTGAAAACATCTTCACATATTGAACAGTTTTGTTTCAATATTTGTATACTGTTATTATCTGATTGCTTCTAATAAACCGACTGTTTATCATTTGTGTGGTGGGGGCCACAAAAGATGAATTGTCTCTGCTTTCTTACATCTATCATTCTTTTTTTTTCTATGCAGGAACCTGAGTACAAACTTGATAGATTATGTACAGCCTGGTGCCTTCAGACAACTAAACAACTTAAAAATAATGTAAATATTTATAGAGAAAACATCGATTACTTTCAAAAAAACCATTGAAAAGTAAAATAACAAAAATACCGAACTCTAAGGAAAATTCAAAACGGAAAGTCCCTTATCAAATGTAAAAATCAAAAGCTCAAACACATCAAACGAATGGAAAACAACTGTTATATTCCTGACTTGGTACAGGCATTTTTTTGTGTAGAAAATGGTAGATTAAACCTGGTTTTATAGCTAGCTAAACCTCTCACTTGTAGGAAAGTCGCATAAAATTCCATTATTTTGACGACATTGTGTGAACAAAACAAACAGACATAATAGGTAAGAATTTCAAAAATAGGGGTACAGCAGTCAACATTGTGTTATAATCTTAATCACTATAAAAACAAACAAATATTTTAATAAAGAAAAACAAAATGGCATATAGATAAAGCACATAAGCAAAAATGAAAGACAGGAATACAAAAATTCTGAAAATTCTTCCTTATCAATAAAGTTGTCCGAGCATTTAATATAAGGTGTCGTTGTGGGACGTTAAACACCATTGACTATCTATAAAAAGATTGTAATTAGATTGTATGCAACGGAATATCGCAATTCCCAGTCAAATTAAAACCGAACGACACTCAGATACGCGCATTCGAGAATTAATGTGGTGTTCGTTTATGAAGTCTTAACACTAAATCCTTTGAATATAAACTGTTTGATATTTTAGTTTGAGAAAACATTGTTTATTCATAAGTTGCAATTGGCTTTGAACTAGCCATTAGTAACTGCGAGTACTCTTTGATCTGTACTTTGTGTTTTTGTTAAATTGTTTGTTGTGATTCATGCCGATATAATGCGTCGAGTCTTTGTTATACTGTTACACCACTGTCACAGGTTAGGGAGAGGATTGATCGCTTGCAAACATGTTTTACCCCGCCGCATTCTGTATGTGTCTGTCCCAAGTCATGATCCTATATCTAGTTGCTGCGTTTGTTTCTGTGGACCATATTTGTTTTCCGTCTATTGTATTACGCATAAATCAGGCCTGTTGTTCATTCTTTTGAATTGTTCCACATATCATCATGCCGAGGTTCTTTATAGTTTTCTATACGGTAGGAGTTTTTCTCATTGTTGAAGGCCTTACGGTCCTCGTCCATGATCTTGTGGATAGTCGCCTCATTGATAATCAAACCATATTTTTTTTATTTTTATAGCTACTGGTATAAAATTAAGTATGCAGTTTTAAAATAACAGACATGTGTCTATACAATGTCTAGCTTTACATCATCTGAAGTCTGGATTAGATAGTTTGTAACACAAAATAAATCAAGTACAAAATGTAATAAATTTTTCATTTATTATTTCAGAGAACTGCATACCAATTATCTCTCATTCTTACCACGTGGGACTTTTGAAAATGTTTCTCTCTTAGCCCATTTGTAAGTATTATTTAAAAAGTTGTGTTAGAATTTGTTTGTTTTAAGCATTATGTATGCAGTTAAAAAAGCACATTTAACAGAAAAAGGGACGTTTAACCTTGATATAATACATTTTTGTACAATTATCTGGCCAATGTTAGTTCACTGTTACCCAGTTATTAAAATTTTCAGCCGTATCAGTGAAAAAGATAAATACTAATTATTGAACGATTGATACAAAATGTTGTTGACAGTTCAGTCCTCAACGGCTTTATTGGCTAGGTGGGAGACCAGAAAAATGTAATTGATATTTCAACAGCAACATTCATATCGAAACTAAACATATATTATAAACAAATACAATTTTCTGTTTCTTGTAGAGATTTACATGGTAATAAATTTGAAGTTTTCAACACCGAAGCTTTAATTGATTTGGAGAACTTGGTTGAATTAAGGCTTCACTCACAAGATCCAGATATGACAACGATTCTGTTTAATTCCATGATCAACATTGGTAAATCCTTGAAAAATTTGTAAGTATATAGACTAAAGGTGTATTCTGGAGTTAGATTCCAGTACATGGTAATGTTGATATTATTGTTTGTTTTTATTCATATTCTGATAATTACATTACATGTATGTTTCATTATAATACGTTGTTTTGATTGGCTAACAGCAATCTCGCGTCATTCTGAAATTAACTTTCATTTCAAAATGAAATGTAACATTCATGATGACACGAGCTTCCACAATAAAGTGCACAGATAAATAAAAGAAAACTTGACAGAAATCGTGTTTTCATGACCTAGCAAAAAAGTATTGAATGCTTCTTTAAGTAATTTTATAGGCTTGCGCGCTTCATACAAAATGTACTCGGTCAACGCTTTTACACCCCAATAAATTTACAAAAAGAAGCATTTAATTCTAAAATAGTATAAGAGATATGGAAAACTTAGCTTTTTGCATAAAAATTCACTCTTACATCAGAATAATGTCCAAAAGCACAACATCAATTGCTTAAATGCTTATGAAAAATATTTAATTGTTTTTAAATCTTGTATTTGAAATTTAATAAACTTGTGATCAAGAAATTGTTCATACATTTCGTTTGCATTGATTGTTTTGTAGAGTCAAAATCAAAGTTTTCGTTGTCCCATATTTAAATTCAAAATTCAAATTTTTTTATAAGAGTGTAAGATATTTTAGCCACAGACAGAAACGTTCATACTTAAGTTTTTATCCTTTCCATATGCCGTCTAAAAGTACCATTGATATTTAATTATCGGATTACCGATAAGCTATGCGTTTATCAATTCCGAGTGTAAGATTAAATGATTTTATATTGTCTCTAATTAGTGTTCAAATAGAATTTCTATTGTGTTTAATTTCACGTAGAACATCTTACCCACAATAGAAACGTTTTCGAAGTTGCATTGCAAATGGAAGACTATAAGTGTATAATCTATTTACATTGAGCTTTGATAAACCGAAGATTTTTCAGTTGCATATTTTAAAAACTACGTCAATGGCCATTTGGCTTTTAAATGGTCAGTTAAAGTCGTAGGAGGAGTCAATTTCAGTTAAAAAAAAACCAGAATTTGCGTCCAATTGGACACAAAATTTCATTGGTTTTTGATTTTTTTGTATTATAAAAGATGTGTTGTTGTTTAATAACTTGTAGATTTATCAGTGACAATGCCCTGACACATTTGCCACATCAAGTGTTTACAGAAGGAGAGTTTCCATTACTTACTGATCTGTATGTATATATATTGAATGTTAATCTTCAAACGTACAACTACCTATATTGTTTGGTAGTAGCGTACTAGCTTCAAATGCGAGAGGTTATGAGTTCGATCAATTTTGTGGGGAACTTTAATTTAGATTCATATATGTTGCGTCTCTATCAACAAATCACTAATTAAACAAGCAACATTTAGAAGTAAGAGCGGTGACTAGTTTGCTCAGAGTTTTTAGTTCAATGTTTAAGTAAAGGTATACTTATTTGGCATTGACCAGGTCGGTGAATTATATATTTTAACGCGTAATATGTATATTTGCCGCCAAGTTTTAAGCACGAAACGATAAGTTTATCTAAACACTTGTGTTATTTGAACTCACCAACTTCTCTGTCCATTTCATATATTTGATAAATAAAAAAATCAACTTTAAAAAATGGGCATGTCCGAACTGCTTTTGTGGAATAACTTTTATTAGAGACGCTGAAAAGATTAAGGATGTCAATCTTCGAACAATTAATCACGTAAATGAAAGAGGTTCTGATAGCCTACCGATTTTTTTCTGTGAAAAATCTTTATCAATTGTTCAAATATATGTTCTTCAGCATAACTTGTGGCTACTTTTGCATTTTTCTTTATCTCTAATATGATTTAAACAGATTTAATACGCAGAATATTTCGTTTGCTAATTGTATTATAAAATAGTACATGTTGTAAATGTAAATGTAGTACATATAATGTTAACAGATTTGCATGTAAGGTGTTATGTCGTAGGTTCGATCCAGACTGGGTCAATCTAAACACTTGAAAATATGTAAGACCCATTGGTGCCCTCGAGCTGTTTTCTGCGCTTTGGTCGAGGTGTCTCTTTGATACATTCCCCGTTCCCATTCTCAATTTTATGAGCACTGCTTCTTCGCTAAGCAAACAACATTTAGGAGTAAGAGCAAAGACTGGTCGGTTTAGAGTTAAAATAATGTGTACGAGTAGTGTGACGTGTTTTTTTTTAAACCTTGTTACCTTGCGAACTAGCACAATAAACATCCGGCTCGGTGTGTCGGTCCAGTACAAAGCAGCGAGGGTTCATATTCATAGCATAGTAATAATTTTTAAAGGTCAAGGTACGGCCTTCAACACGGAGCATTGGCTCACACCGAACAGCAAGCTATAAAGGGCCCCAAAAAATTAGAAGTGCCTACAGATACATGCAAATGAGTTTGTTAACCATTTTATTGAAATATCTTACTCAGACATGCTGATCATAATAGCATACAGAATATAACAGATTTGGATGAGAAAGGGTATGGTGTTACACTACGTTCAACCTTCCTTCAGCGACAGAAAAATCTTATTCCATTTGGAAATACAACCAATATAAGAACAATGTGAGTAAGCTCTGCTTCAACTAAATAAAAAAATACTTTTAATCATATAATATTAGTTTTATTCACACACATACGTTTCTAGATAATATAATAATAATAAATTCTTTATTTAACGAAGGTAACTCATTTAACATACAATTGTTAATCTCACACGAGGCCTTCACACATTAAAATGAACAATTAAAACATATAACAATCAATGCATATAACACAATAATCAATAGAGATGTACACAATTACAAATTTATATACACAAGCATGAAAACAGACTGTAGAACTAGCATGGCAAGAATGTCCTAAAAAAAAAAGTCAACTAAACTGATTAACAGCAATATTTGCACGCTTATAGATTCACCACAAAGAAAAATATAAAAAAAAATTTTGAATTCTATCGAAGACATTTCAGATTATGTTTATATCACAATGAACGATCTAGTAAATGATCAATTTACTTGTGTATATGGTATGACCACATAAATGTAACCAGATCTATATATTTTGTCTCATCGTTCAAAGATTTACACACAATAATTGTACATGCATTTTTGGAGATTTCTAATCATTACCTTTTCGGAATGTTTGGTTCTCAATGCTCTTTAACTTCGTACTTTGTTTGGCCTTTTAAACTTTTTTGATTCGAGCGTCACTGATGAGTCTCCTGTAGACGAAGCGCACACAATTTTAACCCGGTATCTGTGATGAATTTAATAATACAATCTACAAATATTTTGAACAACAGTGCGTTGTGAGTTCTTATTTGTGTATGATGAATATAATGCCCGAATATTACATAGTTATTTAGGCGATGTCCGGTCAGGTAAAATTGATACCTATATTCACTTGGCTCTATTACAGGTATTTGGAGTACAATAGGATTGAGCAAATCAATAACTCTGATTTGTGTCAACTTATAAATTTGCAAACTTTATATCTACAAACTAACAGACTACATGAAAACAACATTGAAGAGGATGCTTTCAAATGCTTGCCTAGTTTGATATACCTGTAAGTATCCATTTACTGTAACCACAGAATCAAAGGATAGAATTCTTAAACACTTTAATATGGTTGTGAATTTATTTGATACTATAAAAAAATAGCGCAAGTGCTTTTATGAAAGAAATTGAATCTTTGAGTAGATATCTATAAAATATTTCAATGATTCAAACAACCATCGTGAGTGTAAATCGAAGACCATTGAGAGATTATACCATCATTTCAGACTAAACAATGGCTAAACACAACTGGATACGTCTTCTCATCTTATTACCTAGTATGAACATTTGTAACGTCTAAGATTTATAGAAATTTTCATATATGTTGCGTTGATTTGATTTTCAAAAGTGCATACATAGTGCATTTATTAATAAATACAGAATAAGTTGTATGCTTTTAAGATGATTTATCTTTCCTCCTATACATTTCTAGGAATATCATTGGTTAAAAGTGACCGCGTGGAGACACTGTATATTTGATATGCCCGGGGTTAGTAGGCGTGGTTTATTTTAAAACACGGTATGTTATTGGTGTTACCTCAATTTAAAAACATCACGGCGTTGAGGAAAAATCTGAAACATTTCTCCCAGACAATAGTTGAAGAAGTTGATGATAAACGATTGAAATAAATGAAGAAAACACATTAACAGCTAACAAATTGTTATTGTTGGCGTTTGTTTTTGTATAGACCAATGGAAGTAGGTTCTTTATATTGAAGACTTGATCACTTTGCTAGGCCACTAGTCTAAATGCCACATGAAGATAGTCGGTAAGATAAATCGTTACACAGTGTGCTAGTGACCTAATACGATAAATATGGGGTCAGTTAATTCCATGTGGGGTGAGAACTTTAAGCTTCGCTCTCACCCAATATGGAATTTAATAACCCCATATATAGTATATCGTATAAGTTCACTAGCACACTGTGTAACTAATAATATGCCAATGCTAGAGCAACCTACACAATCACGTGAGCCACGCGTTTTGCTAAAAAGAATCCGACAAACATATGTCTTTTCATTTCAGAGATCTTGGTGGTAATTATTTAATGCAGTATGTTCCAGTAGCACTGACAACACAAGAAAAACTTCCTGCCATTCAAACATTGGGACTGTATGGAACACAAATAACATTTATAGAAGCAGAAACATTTTCAAATATATCAACACTTTTAAACCTGTAAGTTCATATCAATGATCAAGCAACTTTCGTGTATTGAAAGCAATATTTAAAAAAATGGATTTCAAACGCCAACTGTCAATTGATCGTGCTTGCATTCATGCCATGTTGTGTTAATATAAATACATATATCCCTCAACTGAACTCGACTTATAATATAAAGAATGCCTACAGGATGTCTAGTCATCATCATTTTCTTCCCCCTGCATGTTTTTTAGCCATTTATATTATCCTTACAAAACTTTGTTTTAGTACCTAGTACCCTAATAACACAAAAAATATTTAATCTGCCACATTTTGGTGAACCTGTATCATGTATGCTTATCGTTGCACGCTTGTTTAACAAAGAACATCCGGGTGTCTTTTGCAATTTCATTTATTTGTTTTCTTTGTTTTGATTGGTTGTGTTCTCTAAATGAGGTACACCCTATCTTTCCATTCATACTTCATTGTTTCGTGCGATACCAGTAATTCTGCTTATTATCGATCACATGACGTCATCTATTATTGAAATTGTATCAAGTATGCAAATAAAAAATGTATATTGACATTGTGTGTCTATCGAATCATTACAGACAGTTTCCATAGATGTCTCGAATAAAGTTCGACGTTTCCGATGACTTTCGTTACTTAATCACTAGCATCGTAATTTATTTAGTTATCACATCGTATATATATAGTACATATCCTTGATGAACATTTGTATGCCATCTTATGAAACTAGGAAAGAGGCATACTGTTTTCCGACCAGTGCAGCCATTCCATCCTTCAAATTTCTCGATTCACTGAATTTAGAACTGGACAAGCGGGGTATGGAGTCCTATGAATTCCATGAGTGAGTACTTTCAGTGTCAGCAAGGGGATAATACTGTAACATATTTGTGTCAACTTACTTGTATATTTCAGAAAGATGCAAAACAACAGAATTGTTGCTATAGAAAACAACGCATTTCCATTACGTCTCAGAACTCTGTAAGTTGGACATTTCATCTCCAGCAATCATTTTAGGTATCAACCATCAAAAAGTATAGACGTAAAAGAGAGGCAGAAGATATCAAAGGAATATCCAAACTCATAAGTCTAAGACAAACTGACAACGCCATGGTAAATAACGAAAAACCGCCACAAGACAAACAAGTCAACTTAACTCAACATAGAAAAATAAGGACTGAACAATATGAACCTCAACAAAAGCCAACTGTAAAATGGACAATTCTGGTATTTTAATATCTGTATTCGGTATTTCGAAAACGACATGCATACATGTGCACATACTGAAATACTAAAATTGTAGATTAAAAACACCAGAAATGTAAGTGTCTAAATGTTTTGCTTTTAACAACATTCCTAGCAGGAGAGACAAAAGTCTATATTTTGCATACCACACTACAAAATGAATGTCGTAACAAAACAAGCACATTCCATGACCAAGAGGAATCATTTAAAAATGCCTGCAAATTCAGCATAAATTTTATTATGAACAAGTAAACATGTTTCGATGTTTTAAGGTCAAAGTTCATTTCTGAGACACTTTCAATAAGCAGGTCTCTGTAGCCATATGCAATCTACCAAAAGCTTTCAGATTTGATTTTGTTTCAACTTCATTTACAGTCCATGACAATTTTTCACAATTATGTTAATATTTACAGTGATCTGTCTGGTAACAGTTTCCGGTTCATTCACGAAAATCAGTTCACGTTCTTGTCAGATTTATCAAACCTGAATCTCGGGAACAACGAGATCGATTATCTACCAGATGAAGTCTTTACCAACTGTGTCAACCTAACAACATTGTAAGTTGACTATATAACAAACCTCCAAAATGGCAAAGGTAAAAATGACTGAAGAGAATGTAAGTAAGTTCGTAAAAGATTAACTATCATTGATGAATAAAGTGCATTGTTTCTTTTGAACTAACAAAATAATGATCAGTGGGTTTTACTAAACCGTCTCTGAGATCTTGTGGCAGCATGCTTGCCGCGAGCGCTGTAGCCATGAATTCAGTTACCGGTAGACTAAATCAATGCGACAAAATTGGTATGCTTTTCTTCTCTACATTGTATCAAGCAGGTGTCATTTGGGAAAAGAACATATAGTGATGTCAAATTAATAAATCTTGGTTGCGTGGTTGCCTCTTGGAGGAGGTTACAGTAAGTCTCTGTATTGTACAAGATAAAATCATGTCATAAAACTGAGGAAATTTTGTAAGATTGCCAATGAGACAACTATCCACCACAGACCAAATTACGTGGATAACTTGTTTCGTTTCTGATTATGCATATATAATATTTAACCCTGGACATTTAGCATCTTTTAACAAATCCATGAATACTGAAAGTGCTGATTATGTCTATAAACTTTGCACGATTTTGCAAAATCTCTTGCAAAGAAGCAATCCCATCTCTATGGGACTTTTTTTATTTTGACTTCTATAACTCAAAGAAACGTACGTTTCACTTCATTTGAACTTTAGTGGATAGCTGTCTGTCACATTGGCAATCATACCACATCTCCTTTTTTTTTACATTCTGTCAGTAAACATGAAAAACTACTGCAAATTTTTAATAAGAAACTAACCTAATATAGAGCTCTACATGTAAAAAAAAACACATGTTTATGATAACCTTATAATGCTTTTATCGATCTGATGAGTTTAGCCAATTTCAACTTAATTGTATAGTTTGTTCTTATGTTGTGGTGTTACACCACTGTCCCAGGTAAATGTGAGGTTTGCTCCCGCTAAAATGTTTAACTCCGCTATATTCGTTATCTGCCTGTCCCACGTCAGGAATCTTTAAATTCCGTCGTTGTCGTTTGTTGCTGTTTATCATATTTGTTTTTCGTTTATTGTTTTGTACATAAATTATGCCGTTAGTTTTCTCATATGAATTGTTTTACATTTGTCATGTATAGGCCTTTCATATCTTGCTGTGCGGTATGGGTTTTGCACCATGTCGAAAGCCGTATGGAGGTCTATTATTGCTGACTTCTACGTTATTTGGTATAATGTCATGCTTCACATATTGCAGTTTTATTTTTTAGGTATCTTAATGGTAATAAAATTCCCCAGCTAAAAAAAGTACACCTTCAGAATTGTCCGTTAACAGGACAGGTAACCTTTGCTGGTAATCATATTGGTTGGATTGAGGATGGAACATTTTCTCACATTTCCGACATGACTTCTTTGTGAGTAATTTTGTTATTATACAATAGGCATAAGATTTATTACATTCATACATATGCGAAACAAGCAGAGTGACAAACGAATTTAAAAAAAAAAGTTGTTATATAATTATCTTTTGGACAGCACGAGATTCTTGAATGTTCTGGAATAGCCTTCAACAAGAATGTTTGTGGTCAAAATCACGGAAATCCATAATTATCAACTGTTTGACAGCATAAAAATCATTAAGGACCTTAACACAACATTCAAACCATTTATATGTGGAAAAATGCTTGGAGTAAAAAGAACGACAATAAATTGCATGAAATTAAACTAACTTTATGCAAACCTTTAAACAAATTTATAAGCAGGAAATATCAGTGTGTTATGTCTAGATATCGTATTGGTCATGCTAGAATAACACACGAGTATCTTTTAAAAAACGAAATTCAACCAGAATGTATACCTTGCGATTGCAAGTATACAATAAAACATATTTTGATTGAATGTATAGAATTTTCCGATATCCGGCAAAAAAACATTTTTATGTAAATAATATGTATGATTTATTTAATAATATTTCTGTTGAAACAATTGTTTCTTTTTTAAAGGAAATTGGAATATATTCCAAAATATGAATTTGTTGTATTAGTTTAAAATGATTTTAAGTTTTTATCATGTTGTCTTATTGATGTTTTTTTTTTGTTTGTTTGTAAATAAGTATTTTCGCTTTAAACTAAAGTTTTAGTAAATTGAAAGATTTTTTGTCTGTTTTTAAAAATAAAAACGTCTTATTATAATATTTAAAATAGCTCTCGCCGCGATGTAGCCTTTTTGTGCTGATGCGGCGAAAGGTAATCACCAATCAATCAATCAATCAAAACATCTAGGGTCAATTTTTCCCGAGAGTTTCACCATATAGTTGAGCACAATTACATAATTTCCTATACTGTTTCCCTAAATGCACATATTTGGTAAAGAAGTAAGGATGTAGTTGTAGAAATCTGATGGCAAACAGGATATCACGTTTTAATCTCAACGGTAATGTTGATTAAGAGCTCGTTAGTTAAGAACATAATGATCTTTTGAGAGAAAATAAATTATTTAAGGAATGACTGTAATTTTTTTTCTGTCTATGAAGAAATAACATAAAAAATGTGGTGCACACTGAATAACCCGCGTACCGTGTTATTTCGACATAGATGACGTCACGGTCGCATGACAAAATAATGTCTATGAGCTGATAAACAAAACACCGTCAGCCAATCAGAAGACGCGTTACATCCAAAATTAAATTATTCTGAAATGTTATCAGTTTTATATTGTAGTAAAATCTTTGAATATTGTCTTTTTTTCGATTTTGTATTTAACAGATTAATAAATAAAATATTTGGCTGTACATTTATGTGCTTATATGGTCCCACATCCTGTCGACACTTATGTTTGTAGCGATAAAAACAAAAGTCTTTATTACAGTTATAAACTGTTATCTTTTAGTACAAGTTTTTCAAATGATCGATAAGTTTATAATGTCTTTTATTTATTTCGTTTGTGCTTTGTACGATTTATTGAATCGAACCGTTTCCGATGACTTTTAAATGTATACAAAAAGCAGATGCTTCCTCTATCGACACACTTAGGTTTGACCCGTTTTGAATTCATGCGATAACCTCGGATATTTTTTTTTATTAGTTAAAATGAGTAAGCTACTGTTGCCTCTTATCTAAATCAAGCTGACTCAGTTTAGATTTTTCTAAGGCTACTCTTGCCTTGCATTTTATTTATTTTCGAGTTATCCTTTTTACGTGTTGTTTATTATTTCATTTGTAGATCGCTATCACAAAATAGATTGTATTGGCTACCAAATGCAGGAGACTTCAATTCTTTAACAATTCCTTCCTACACGCTTTCGTTTAATGGTAATAGAATAAGCTTCATTCCACCTGGTGTCTTCGTGAATTTATCTACTGGATACTTGTAAGATTTAATTTTATTTGGATTTAAGAATAAATGCATGTGATTAATAAACATGTAGTTGACGTCACACGACTCCATTTGTAGATTACCTCAGCTATATTTGGCAAAAACTTTCGTTAATTTGGGTCCTTATTGCTGTGCAAATCGTACTTTTTTGGCCGTTTAACTTTCATCATTTGAGCGTTACTGATGAATCTGTTGCAGACGAAAACACGTGTCTGACGTACAAAATTATAAGCCTGGTATCATTGATGAGTTCTCTTGATAAAGATATTTATTATATACTTAGTAGTAAATACAGATAAATTGTATGTGTAATACAATCATTGGCAAGCGTGCTGTATCAGCCACCCGTGATTATATCGATATCAGCACGGTTGCAAAGGCTTTATCACACCTTTAATCTGTATGACGTCACGTCATCGATTACAGTCACTGTTGCAAAGGATTTATCAAACCCATAATCTGTATGACGTCATGTCAAACCTATAATCTGTATGACGTCGTTTCAAACCTCCTTACCTGTATGACGTCATGTCACATAAAAATACATCTACGTGAGGTATATGTATATAATAAAGTGTATATGATATGGCTTTTTCAATATCACACACCGTATCAACCCTCAACCAATATAATCCCTCGAGCAGAGCTCTTGGGATTATATTGGTGTCTCGGGTTGATACGGATGTGATATTGAAAAAGCCATATGATATTCTCTATTTATCACACGGAACAGTAAAAAAATTAAAAATTTTACTATCGAAAGATGCAAAATATTGCAGTCAATGGGGTTGAATGGTATAATCTGTTTCTCTTGATTTTATCAAAATAAATTGTTTTGAATGTTCCTGTATATACGATGAGTTTATTTCTTAATGGTCCGATTTTACACGAGAAATGTGGTTTATCGAAATTCATCAAACTGCGTAGAAACGGTATAAATTGATACAGAACTAATGTTTCAATTCATTGTTTTGAGCTCACCTATTCAATTATAAGATTAATTTGAAGAATTTTTCCAATGATTGATTGAGTGTAAAGAGAAAAAGTTACAAATATTGCACTGACGATGAACTTTTTTAAAGAATAAGGCAGTTCCGGGATACGGTTTTTAGACGAATCTGTCATGTGACTTCCATCACCAAGTGACAAAAATGTATGCATCGTCACTTCCAACACATGTTGAGCAAACAGATGAAAAAGTTTGATTTTATACTGTACAAAATATTTGGGAAATTAAAATCTAATAAGATGGTCATCCTCCCTCAGTCGTACGGGAATCAAGATTACGTACTTACGGAACATAAATTATTTCTATACTACCTTACAGAATGACGATTATGAAAGTGCTGGAAACCTTTAATAGAGCAAGGATACAGGCGCGCCTTCTATCTGGTAAATGACGTCATAAAGGCGTGCAAAATTGACGATCTTTTCCGGTGAAAGACATGATTCTAGAAATGACGTATTGGAAGCTTCATTTTGTAATTCTATAGGGGTGTAAAGGTGTTGACCGACGCACATTTTGTATGAAGCGTCACATGATTAACAAGATATGAAGCATCACATTAATAACATGATATGAAGCGTCACATTTAAAACAAGATATGAAGCGTCACATTTAAAACAAGATATGAAGCGTCACACTTATAACAAGATATGAAGTTATGCAAAACTAATGTCATTATCCTAATATTACTCGTATTCATTCTTTTATATCTACAGGGATCTAAAAAATAATAGAATTTCATCAATAGGCAGCCATGCGTTCGATTCTGTTACTGTGACGTTTGCGTTGACACTGACGGGAAATCAAATGCGTGAAATTCAAAGTAACGCATTCACAAATGTCATGTGTGATACTTTTGCTATGAATGACATGTATCTAGAGACATTGCAGTCTTTTGCATTCAATTCTTTCTCTGCCAACGAAGTTGACCTTCAGAACTCGCAAATATCAGATATCAGACAGAATGCGTTCAATGATTTCAAAGTTACCGGTACAAAAGGAAACTTGTGAGTATAGTTATATAATATGAATGCGTTCGATGGTTTCAAAGTTACCAGTACGAAAGGAAAAGTGTGAGTAAAGTTATAACATTTAAATGCGTGCAATGGTTTCAAAGTTAGCGGTTCAAAAGAAAACATGTGAGTAAAGTTATAACATTTAAATGCGTTCAATGATTTCAAAGTTACCGGTACAAAAGGAAACTAGTGAGTATAGTTATAATATTAATATTTGAGTGTTTCATTGAAGGTATTCGTATACGACAGCTACAGCAATGTAATCGAGATATTTCAGCTAATATTTCCAGTATGCCATGTTAAGCCTTAAAGTGATTCATAAGTCATCGTGTGGCAACTAAAGTTTATACATGATCAAAACATTTCATGACGCACGAGTATGAATTTATAACAAACAAAATTATTGTTCGTGATTTGATTCATCTAGAGATAAATTAAATGCATTTTATTGGAATTATAAATATGATTTAAAAGAAATGTGAGATGTTTACGTCAAAAACATATTCCTTATGACATCTGCATGATAACATAAAGTTCTGGACTGATAAGCATAAAACCACTTAAGTTACGATATATTAATTTATCGTAGAACATGTAGAAAAATCCGTTCGTTCGGAACAAATCTTAACTTAAGTATCTTTATACATACGGGCCCTGAACAATTTAGAGGTATCTATACTCACGACAAGCTCTAAATCGTCCCAAGTCTATGCAAGTAGTGAATTATTTAAACAGAAACTATCAAAGATCTGTCGACACCAAATTCCACAAATAAATTCCAAAGAATTACAAAAACAGGTTTTTATTATTGAAAAAAGTTAAATCACAAAAATACTGAACTCCGAGGAAAATTCAAAACGGAAAGTCCCCAATCAAATTGCAAAATCAAAAGCACAAACACATCAAACGAATGGACAACAACTGTCATATTCCTGACTTGGTACAGGCACTTTCTTATGTTGAAAATGGTGGATTGAACCTGGTTTTATAGCGCTAAACCTCTCACTTGTATGACAGTCGCATCAAATTCCATTATATTGATAACGATGCGTGAATAAAACAAACAGACATAATAGGTAAAAATTGATTGATTCATACTTTCACTCACAACCTTAGCATAAAGTCCTTCTGCCTTGATTCTGTATGAGTTGACACTTCAATAAACGTCTTTAAATATTTCATAGTATACATTTCTGTTTTTCTTCTTTGAGTCAGTTTTCTCTTTTACTACAAATTCAGCATGTAGGTTTTAATGTGGTATTACAAATTGTTCCAAATTGTTTTTATATTATTGTATCGTTCAATTCAAATCATTCGCCTGATTTTATTTATTTTTGCTTCAGTTATCTTAATGACAACAACTTAACAGCTTTAGAGACATCCATATTTGGAGGTACTTCGGAAGTAACTAATTTACATCTAAATGATAATGGAATGACAACAGTAGCTACTAATGCCTTTCGGAATCTTACCGTTTCGTCTGTGTACTTATTCAACAACAGACTAACAACATACCCTGTGGCACTTAGTGAGGTTAAACCAGTAGAAATGTTAGTAATAATTATTCACATGAGTTTTTTTTAATTTGCTTGCAATTACTGATTGGCTGATTTAAGTTTAGTTTTTGACCTTTTTTGGGGAGTTAGGGGGGAGGGGGGTGCGGGGAGAGATACTTGGTTGTTTATTTATTAATATCAATTTTAATAAATAATCTAACTATTTGCATGATTAAATTAGATTTTGTTATTTGTTACTCTTGTGTTCAGTTCATAGTTCATGTTTATGAGAACGTGCCATAGTAGACAAAATGATTGAAAGACCAAAATGAAGATTAAATAATGAGTGCACGAAAATATCAGTAAACTTTAGACTGTCTTGTCAAACTTCGGATTTTTGATTGTGATTAAAATGTCTAAAGAAGATTTATACCATTTACAGTACTGCTCAACATTAATATGATGTTAATTTAATAAAACCTTTTGTGAGATTAAAGTTAAACGTTTATATATCAATAAAATATTTACTAAAAGTTTTATATTTTAGACACTTATACAGTAATCTTATCAGTCAGATACCCACAGGATCCTTATCAGGACAGACTCAGCTACGATTAATTTACGTCTACAATAACTCACTTACAGCAATAACATCTGACTTGTTTAAAGATGCAACTAGTCTACAACAAATGTAATTATGCTTGATAATATATTATGATATAACTAGCAATCTTTGCTTATTTTTATCTTTTAAGGAGGAAGATTTAAGTCAAGGGACATATCTATTAAAAATTACTGAAACGTTTGTGTCAACCATTTTCATAAATATATTCTACGCTTCTAGAATACATAGATTATTTTCCTTCTGTTTCAACTAAATACTTAAAATATATTAATGAAACTGCCTAATGCAAACGCATTTGTTGATGTAAAGAGTTATCTCCTTTAACAAAGGTCTACCCACCTGATGGTCGTATTTCGTGCTTCACATTTATAGTGCAAAATAGTTGTTAAAATGTTGGAACACTGACAGTATAGTCAATACTCCAAATGAAAAAAAAAATCTTTTCTTGTGGTTGAAGAATTGTGCATATTCACATGTAACCTTAATCTGTTTGTAAAATACAATTGACATTGACTCTAACAGTTTTGAACTTGTGCATGTTGTGAAATGGTACAATGTTAGTGAAAACATGTAATAAAGGAGAGGTGAAAGATACCAATGGGCCATTCAAATTCATAAGTCGAAAATAAACTCACAACGGCATGGCAAAAAAAGAAAAAGACCATAGACAAACAACAGTATACAATACACAATATAGAAAACTAAGGACTGAGAAACACGAATCCCACCAAACACCGAGGTGATCCCATGTGCTCTGGAAGGGTAAGCAGATCCTGCTGCACATGTGGCACTGTCGTGTTGCTCGTGTACAAAAAAATGATGCAAGTACAAACCCAAATAAGTAAAACGTAAAAATCAAAACCAGGAGAATTGAATACTATTTTAGATCGCATTTTTTTACACAATGTTTAAACTGTAGAAAATGGTGCTTTTCAAATAAAAAAAAAAGCCAATCTTAAACACACTCTCAAAGTAAAAAAAAATGAAATACCAGGTCTTAGTGGTGGAGCGATGCTCAGCAAAGTAAGCTCACTCCTGCTACATGTATTTCAATGTTAAAAAAAATCTCATGAATGGTTATTTCATAGTCTTCCTTACCATAGCATGGCATTGACGTATCCTGGTTACTATTCTATATTCTTCATTTTTTTTTCTAAAACAAAATATGTTTTGTGCAATGATCGGCCTTTGGTATGACGCAATTGTCACTGTTATTTGAAGGTCATGTGTCATACCTTTTCTTTTTATTTTTTGTCTAATTTGATTTCTATTTTATTATAGTAATTATTGAAATTTTGATTGAAAAGAACACATTTTATTGAAACATTTGCATGATTTGGCTGATACTATAAAAACAAGAGGGTGTGGTAAAATTACTCTAACTCGACAACTATCCTTAAAGACCAAGGATAATGGCAAATAAAATTCAACGAAAAACACTAGATTACAGGCTTTTGGCTTAGGACAGGCACATTCAAAATTAATCAATCGACAGAAACTGACAACGATATGTAAAAAAATGAACGACGACACTACATAGAAAACTAAAGACTGAGCAACACGAAACCCACCAACACTTAGATTGATCTCAGGTGATCAGTGGTTTAGAAGAGGTTTCATATTGTTAGTGATAAACCTGTTTTCGGAGCCTCTATAAGTGTCTTTCCTTTGTGTCTCAAATCAGTTAATTTCTTTTTGCAGAGACATGCATGATAACAAGATACAGAAAATAGACGAAGGATCTTTTACAGGACTGAGTAACCTACAGATAATAGACTTAAGCGACAATGAAATTCCATATTTCCCGGCTATCACTGATCTAGCGCAGCTTCGAACACTGAATCTTCGAAACAATCTAATTCAGACTTTGGGTGGTATTTTTACTCCGAATATTATATCAAGTCTGTAAGTGTTGTTTATTGAAAGTATTCACTAACTTATTTTCGTGTAATTTTTTTCCTGAAATTTTCTTTAAATACTACTTTATACTACATACAAATACGGATATGATAAAAATTTGCTGTTAAAAAACTTTGGAAATTATTTTAAATCTAGGAGTATATATCCCTCATGCAAATGCCCGTTTTTCCTTTTGGTTTATAAGCTCTTCATCTTTTTTTCAAAGTTTTGTATTTTCAAATATTTTGGCTTTGGTCATCCCTGAAGAGACATTTATTGACGAAATGCGCAAACGGAGCAGAAAAATAGGTACCATTAATGCTAGTATACTGCAACAACTCCAATCGATAAATGCTACGGATTCCCAAAAGCACGGACATGCTATACTTATTCAACGAAAATTTAGGGTGAAATTAGCATGTTGACTCGTCAACAACCATTGAGTGGTTAGTTACTTTTACCCGGCTTTTAATGATACAACGCAATATCATTTGAACCGACTAGATTGGTAAATCGGGAGATATGCATAAACTGTCATGTAATCTATTTGATTAATGTGTGGCGGGAACATACGCGTGTTGGACGTGATGTCTTCTCATCTTTTGGGGTTTTTTGTTACTTGTAAGCAATTAGATTTAATAAAGTCTTGTCTTTTCATTTTGGATCATTAGTGACCGAGTGGTCATATTAATTAGTAGTTCAATTACTGTATCACTAGCCTATCCTGCAACCCCGCACGTTGCAGGTGCGTTCGACTCCAATCTTAATTGACTAGGATTGTCAGTTTTCCTGCCGAAGGTCGGAGGTTCTCTCTGGGCACTCCGGCTTTTTCCGCGAATACAAACTTACCGTTGCGATATATCCAATAGTCTTGAAAGTGGCGTTTAACAGCAACACTTAATCAATCTTTTCATTTTAATAGAAATCTTGACAATAATCCACTAGGGTGCGAATGCAGTACAACAGGAAGTATTTTCAATGCGATCGGTGCTGTATCATCAGAAACACATTGTTCAATTCCAACAGATGTAGCTGGCGTTTGGTTTTCTACTGCAAAAGCAGCGGATCCATTATTTTATGAGAATAAAGACAGAACACTATTTCAATGCAGTAGGTGATATTTAAGATAAGTTCACTTCTCTGGATGACATGGTGTTATATTATCTGACCAACAGTACAGAATCTAATTTAGGTGTTATACAGGATAATTATCAAATAACAATAATGATAATAATAATAATAATGATAATAATAATAATGATAATTATAATAATAATAATAATAATAATAATAATTATAATGATAATAATAATAATAATAATGATAATAATAATAATGATAATAATAATAATAATAATGATGATAATGACAACTTTACAATAAATGTAGCTGGAGGAACATAACTTTAATGTTTACGTAATCGATATTTAACAAATAGCAATGAATTACGCAAATATTGAAAGAAAAAAATGTTATATGACATGATGATATTAAACCTGACCGTTATCATGGTTATTAAACATGTTAAACAATAAAAAATAAATATGGCGTAACGAATTATAAGCCTTGTATCTTTGAATGTTTTTTTTTTATAAAAAAAAACAGTTAAGATCCCATTCTTTTTGTTTAGAACGTTAGACACACGTCTACAAAGGACTCATCAGTAACGCTCTTATCAAAACAAGTTTCAATCAATAACGAAGTTGAAAAACTAAAAAATTGTGACAAATCTGGCTAATGCCATATATGCCCGGGGGTAGAACACCTTATTGTTTAAAATCATATTTACATTCAATGAACATATGTAACATCTTATTTACTACATGTAATGACAAATACTGCGAAAGAGAATAACTAATAACTCTGTAGTAGAAAACACTCTTTGCTTTAGTACTTTTTATTATGTCGATGGTTAAGATAATAATCATTTTTTCTACGACTGACGAAAAATAGTCAAGATTTTTTTATACAGGTACATGATATGAATATCTGATGAAAAACAAAAACAACAAGTAATCCTGTGTTAGGATGCCAACACAAAAGTCTCCAAAACGGCCCCAACCATTGTTCTGCTGTTTCCATGGTAACGGCAGCCATTTTGAAATTTCAAAGTCGGATAGCACATCTACACATGACAGGTCACATAACGTACAAGTTTCATAAAAATTGGACCAATTTTCAAATTTAGCCATTCGTGTTTCCATGGTTACGGTGGCCATTTTGGAAATTCCAAAGTCAAATGCCACATCTACATAAGACAGTCAACATTTGTGTAAAGTTTCATTTAGTTTAAAGCATTTTGAATTTTTTGACATTTTTGCAGTTTCCATGGTAACGGCAGCCATTTTGAAATTCCAAACTCGGATGGCTCATCTACACATGACAGGTCACATTACTGTCAAGTTTCATAAAGATTGGATCAAATCTAGATTTTTCGCATTTTTGTTGTTTCCATGGCAACGGCGGCCATTTTTGAAATTCCAAAGTCAAATTCCAAATCTACATATACTCGTTAACATCTCTGTAAAATTTCATTAAATTTGAAGCATTTAAAAAAAATTTCACATTTTTGCAGTTTCCATGGTAACGGCGGCCATTTTAAAAATTCCAAAGTCGAATTACAGCTACATATGGTGCTACCTGTAATAATCTATCATTAAATAACATATAAAGTACATTGGAATAATTCAACACTATCACATGACTATCACATGACTATTGTTCTAGAATGTTCCATGAAAATTCACCCCCTAAAATAATTCCAAGATGACCCCGGGCTGAAATAAAAAATGTGGAATGGATACCTAGACATAGGTCTCTTGTATTACACAAAACTTTAAGGTTCTACCAGTAGCGAATCCATAGTTGAAAAATAACCCCACCCATGTTCCGGCCCCCAAATAGTGCCAAGTTGACCCCCATTTGAAATAAAAAATAGCGAATGCACCCTTAGGGATACTACCCCAACATCATACCAAATATAAAGTTTCCATCATTTAAAGCTTGGAAGAAAATGGTCGGACAAATTAGGGTTAAGAATAATAATAATAATAATAATAATAATAATAATAATAATAATAATAAGAAACGGGACAAAAACATAAAGTCCCCAAAACTCCGTTTTGGCGACTTAAATATCTGATTTGTCAAAAGAAAAACACTTTTATTGCTATTCTTTATTAAGGTCGTTCTTAAAAGATGATCAAAATTTCAATGAACAAGTAAATTCTGTGTAGAAGAACATGTAATGTTTTAAAATGGTCATTTGTGATATTAGGAATAAAATGCCCGAATTAATATTAAAAAAACCACGACGTCAACTGAAAACTAAAGTCCGCCTACAATTTTTGTCACTCCATTCCGACAATTTGTGTAAATATTTGTACCTTGAAATCTTTTTTATGTTTAGGTGCAGGAAATATTAAAGGGACTGCTGCCTCGAGTACAAGTATGACAATAGAATGGACAAGACCTAGATTTTTGTTCGAAATTTTTGGAGACAATTCAACAAGCTCTTTAAAAAAAGCAAATGCAAACACAGAAACAGTATGGTATGTTAAAGAACCACATGCCTCTGCTTTGGTGTTGATGCTTTGGTGTTGATGCTTTCTAAAGATTTATGTAGTAGCCTTCAAAACCTTTTCAAGTAAACCAATTGTGAGCTGAAACCGCCATTTTGATCTGAACAGCTCTACAAAGACTGATTGATAGATTATTAAGTCGTGTTCATAATATAAACTCATCATACGTACCAGGATTACAATTTTGTACGCCAGACTTTTTGTCAACAATAAACTCATCAGTAACGCTCGAATCAAAAAGTTAAATCACAAAAATACTGAACTCCGAGAAAAATTCAAAACGGAAAGTCCCTAATCAAATGGCAAAATCAAAAGCACAAACACATCAAACGAATGGACAACAACTGTCATATTCCTGACTTGGTACAGGCATTTTCTTATGTAGAAAATGGTGGATTGAACCTGGTTTTATAGCGCTAAACCTCTCACTTGTATGACAGTCGCTTCAAACAATTCAAAGAGGTCACATAAAGTACGAAGTTGAAGAGCATTGAGGACCCACAATTCCGAAACTGTGCTGGTGATACCTTCTGGGAGAAAACCTCTACCAGCAGTGTCATTGACCCAGTGATTGTAAATAAACTGATCATAGATAACAGGATTAAAATTTTGTACGTCATATTCGGGCGTTTCGTCTACAAAACACTTGAATCAAAAAAGTTAAAAAGGTCAAATAAAGTAAGAAGTTGAAAAGCAATGAGGACCAAAAATTCCGATAGGTTTTGCCAAATATAACTATGGTAATCTATTTCTGGCGTAGAAAATCCTATGAATTTTGAAAAATTTCAAAGTGAGGTAAACAGTTAATTTATTATAAACTCATCATATATACCAGTATTAAACATTGTGTACGCTATATGCGCGCGTTTTGTTTAGAAAACATTCATCAGTGACGCCTGAATCAAAAGATTTATAAAGCCAAATCAAGTAATAGGTTAAATAGCACTAAAGACCCAAAATTCAGAAAACAAATAAGATAGACATTGACCAATTGATAATATTGAAATACAATTCGACTGTAATAAAAACATTTCAACAAGCTTGATACACAAAACAACCGGGGTATGGCAGAGATGGTAAAATGGACAATGATTGATCAGAAACATAACATAACACGTTTAATGTATGTACAAATACTTCTTTTCTTGTTTTCATTTAAGGGACTATATAGTAACATGTACAAGCACAACAGCAAGTACGCTACAGAAAATTGTTCGTGTTACAGTTGATCTACCACCGTACTGTTATGCAACTTTTTACAATAGGACAGATTGCCTTGATCCAGGGTGTCTATATTTTGATACTGCAACCGACGCGGTCAAATGTAACAGTCCGTGTGTACCGGTAACTATTGACATGACTCCTATAACAACAGCTGATTGTACGGCAGATTGTTTATTACTGAACGGCGCCATCAGTAATACTGGTTGTACAAGATCTTGTTCAAGAACATCAGCCGATTTAACCAACTGCTCAACTGTGTCCTACCACTCAGCGGAAGTCACGGTTACAGATGGTGATGGACTGTTGCCATTGACAACATATGAATGTGATATACAGATGCGTGTTGATGATTATACGAGTGCAAATAGTATTCCAGTATTTGTATATACACCAGCCACATCTACAACTGGAGGTATATAAGATAGACTTTAAATTTTATTCCTTGTTATAAAGATGTATTTTTTAAATATAAGATTCTCTTTCCTCTTACTTTTACAGATTCATATGATTAATTAGCAATATATCATCTGAGCTGCATATATCATATTGCAGTCAAATGTCTGTATCTACCTCAAATTGTTCTTTAGCTGAAGTTGGGCCTTGCAATACGACCAGTGTTACATGTGTAGCGTACGTCATATCATGCCAGTTTTTGAATAGTAATCGTTTGTCTAGTTCTTTATAATTATTTATGTTTGCCTGTTGTTTGATATGTCTGTTTTTGGTTGCTTTAGATTTTTCTCGTTGAGGTATTATACGCTGGGATTTGATCTTTTTATTCCTCCTTAAGTATATGTGTTCTGGACCTACTAGTCAATGACTATTTCTTATCATCAATCTAATATTAGTTAGGCAACCAACTTTCAATTTGCGTGGTCAGATTCATAGGGCCTCCCTAGCTGTATAACGGAAAAGTTTTTGATCTATTGAAACCGAATTTCTGGGTCTTCAATGCTCTTCAACTTCGTACTTTATTTGGCCTTTTATTTATTTTATTTGAGCGTCACTAATGAGTCTTTTGTAGACCAAATGCGTGTCTGGCATTCACAATTATACGCCTGGTATCTTTGATAACTTTTATTTGTGTTAATGTTTTCATTATTTTCCCTAAAAGTTTGTGTCTTTTTATGTTTTTCAGGTACAACCGGTGCTACAGATATACTACTGAACGTTACTTACTACGACTTCAGTGCTGGAAATGATGATTTTTCTAGTGCTAGTGGTTTATTACCACGGAGTCCATATCACATGACCAGTCCTTTGGGCTCCTGGTTGGCTATTTCTGATAACCCTACAAGTGATACATTTTCGGACTGGTTCCGATCAACGTCATCAAACTATGTGAAGCTTGATCAAATATTGTTGCAACATGATACAAGTATCACTTCTTCAACTATTCACAAGTAGGTTTTAAAGCTATATAAAACATGAAAAGAAATGAAATCAACACATGCATTCCAAGCGCTTTTCTGAATTTACCTTCTACATGAACGCACAAAGCCGAGTATTTGAAAGCCAAGGATCTATAAGAGCACACACGATTAAAGAGCTATATAACCAAAATGAAGTGTTATTTGAGAAAAAACGCACCGAATTAAGAGATCGAAGTAAACGTATTATACATTTGTTTTTATGAAATACATTCAACTGAGCTGAAATAATCAGCATTACAATTGCTTAGCTATAGTTTTATTGAGAATTGCAAAGACTTGGATTTAGATATTCATTATCAAAAATTTTGTAGATTTTGGTCAGACACCTTTTATCCAGTTGATGACTCTGGGTATGGATCAGAAGGTCAAACTGACTGTTCGGGAGGTTTACATAATTTTATGTAAGTTTATTTATAACTTTTCTCCTTATTATTTCAAATGCTACAGATAACTACATTTATTTACTGCAAAATAAGTTATCCTGAAATCCTTTAAAAACAAGCTCAGTAGTAGTACGTGTTTCCAAAAAAAAAACAATAACCTAAGACTTCTTTTCAAAGATTGTTTAAAAAAAACCATCCAATCATGTCAAAGAGGTCATGAGACTCATTCTGCTGATTGAAATAGAACAATGTAGTAAAAACATTGGAGTGACCATAAGAACGTATATTTTGTACAGACATTAATTGTTGAATTCAAACCAATTCTCCCTAACGTTTACTCACATCTATGTAGCTGTATTGACTCATTTTTATCGCAGTTGCCTACTTTGCAATCAATTGTACTTACTCAATATGCAGTTTTACTTTTAGATTCACATCTGCTATTCGAACCGGACTGAAATACTTAGGAACAGAGAAAATTACTATTGGAGGTGGAGAGGAACTATGGTTATTTATTAACAAACACTTAGTTATAGAATTGGTGGATGATAGATCATCAGCGAGCATTGGTTGTCAAATGATCGATCTTGCTAATGCTAAAGGTATGATATTTACTGCAGAACATTGAATTTAAAAGATACTTTTACAGCTTAGTTGAAATCATCTACAAATATAAACGATTTAACAAAATGGATATGCCTGTACCTAAATAAGAGGTTAAAATTGAGAGAACCGAGTGATATTTCAATAAATAATATGACATACAATGGCCTTTATAGAGTTGCCAATCTGATCTCCAATATTCATATTGTATTTGTCTCTGGTTGAATGCATTATTGGAATATATTTCAAAACATGTGACGTATTGACCACTTGAAACTGGTCATTTTATTTTAAGATATGATTAAAAGCCATTCAAACAATTGCTAAATGTATCAATAAATCTCCGGTAAAACCTTTTGACTTGTGTGGCTCAATCTCTATTTTTAGGAAAAGTGTCGGCTTTTAGTCTTTTTTGCTATTACTGTCCTTCCAACATTAATTTTAATTACCGCCATAATGTCTTCTTTTACATTAACCGAGTACCGCCTAAGCATATTTGGTTTCAATACCTGAAAAAAAAATTATGAACCAAAATTGAAAATGAACTTTTCTAGGAAAATTAGCATCTGTGTAAATTTTTTTTATGCTAATAGATGGTGGACCAATCATACCACAAGAGGGTGTCATTGTCAACGGTGAATGCACTGGTATGTCTCCTAAATCAGCATCTTCAGTCAGTTTGACATTAGAGGTATGATGAAATTAGATAGATCATGCATTTATAGAAAATTCATACAATCAAGGCCCATCATAGAATTTGTGATTACAGAACACAGATGTCGAGTCACATCAATATACTATTATTTCTTGATTTCAATAATCAATTTTCAAATCAATCTCTTTTTGATAACTTTGAACTACTAATAGAATCACTCCTCCCCTGTGGAACCTGATGTAAATACATCATCTATGTTAACAACTGTCGGATAGCACCATAAACAACTATATTATCAGTATTAATAAAGGAACTGAACTTACTTTATAAAGTATGTTCTGGTTATATTGTGAATCTAAGCATGGGGCGTAAAATCTCAGTTGAGAGGCATTCATAAACCTGTCATCATTTATACATAAGGTATAAACATAGGCAGGGTTTCCTCTCTCAGTCAATTTTCTTTTTCGCCACCCCTTTCGCTAAAATTATATTTTTTTCTCGACACTTTCAACTTATTTTACTCTTTGGAAACAAGCTAAATTTCATTTCAAAGCCATGTCCATCTGGGAGTAACATTGAGTCCCAGTGTACATAAATGCCTTATCTCTATTTGATAATTAACATTCTGATGAATAATCACTGAATTAAAACAATAATTTTTATTCAAATTTATGAATTCTGTATAATTACATTACAAAGGCATTAAAACGGTCCGCTTGTCATTGCATCGGAGTGTCCATTGTTATATTTGTATCAAAAACATCAGCGTCTTCAATCTATTTATTGGAAAATTTCTGTTTAGTTGAAGGTCTTCGAATAAAATCAAAGATTTTGATCAACTGTGTAGATGTTTAAAAAAACAGCTTTCTTTTCCAAAATGTGTTAAAAGTTAGATCGTAAAACTATGTTTAAAACATGAGCGCCAGACTAATTGCAAAGTGCCAACTTCAAAACTATTATTTTGTTTTGTCGACATATTTAATATTAAACAATACAATTAACACCTTTTACTGATTAGTTTATTGTCGATAGCTATCGAATGCTTGCACCTTTTTCCAATTAGCTGATTATTGATTTTCTGTCAAGATCGAAACGTGTGACGAGTTCAAGGTTAAAAAGCTGACTGATTAGGAAAAAAGTCACAGCTGACCGAAAAAATAAACAAAATGAACGATGTCGAACCGCTTTATTCTTTCGTAAAAACACTTTCGCCAATAATATTTTTTTTCGCCAAGTGCAAAAATGGAGAGGAAACCCTCCACATACATTTAAGTATCGGATATTTGATGTACTTGTAAACGGAACGGAATCATCTCCCGTTTATCAGAAAACATCAAAATGAAATATTTAAAGTAAACATTTTTAAATCGCCCATAAAAAATTCAGTATGCGTTTTGCCGATAAGCCTGATACTTTAGTATAGTACTACTTGTTCGTTTTATTTTTTACGAATTTTAAACACTCTGCAATATATTTTGATCATTTCAATAGCAACACGTTAAATGTATCAAATACATTATCTTTGTTACAGTTTTAAGTTTGTTGTTTTATTTCTATCAGTCCTTGACTTAATTCTCTATGTTTAACAGGTTTAGTATGAAACTACTTAATATAAACTTTTTTAATATCATTTTAGATAGGAGAAACATACCTATTTGAGATATTTCATGTTGAACGAATGGCTTGCTCTTCGGAATTTCTGGTTCATTTAGAGGATGTTTACCTTTCTGTGAATGAAAATGACATTCCTCCTTTTCATTACAAGTTTTCTGTATCGGAAAATCTCAACGTGAATGGAATCGTAGGAACGTTTCCTTTATGGGATATTTTCAAAGTAGGACCAACGTTTTCAGTGGAACTTCTTGCTGGTAAATTTTAATACATTTTCAGATGTCTATTAGGATAAATTCACTTCGTATTTCTTATCTGCATAAATTCACTCATTTGTTGGAACTCTTTTTTACTCATTGTTATACTTTTCTAACCAATCATCCTGACTATGTAGACAAATAATAAATTCAAAGCTGATTTTCACCGAGACAGTTACATCTGTTCATTTTCACATAAAAAAGTAAAATAACAAAAATACCGAACTCCAAGGAAAATTCAAAACGGAAAGTCCTTTGTCAAATGGCAAAATCAAAAGCTCAAACACATCAAACGAATGGAAAACAACTGTCAGATTCCTGACTTGGTACAGGCATTTCCTTATGTAGAAAATGGTGAATTAAACTGGTTTTATAGCTAGCTAAACCTAGCAATTGTATAACAGTAGCATAGAATTCCATTATATTGACAACAATGCGTGAGCAAAATAAACAGACATAATAGGTAAAAATATCAAAAATAGGGGTACAGCAGTCAACATTGTGTTATAATCTTAATCATTATAAAACAAATAACTGTTTCCTCCATTTCATTACAAGTTTTATGTATCGGAAAATCTCAAAGTGAATGGAATCGTAGGAATGTAATTATAAATAACTACAAAAAAGTAAGGACAAATATAAAAAATTTTCATTTATTTCGTTTTCATGGGATTTGTTATCATTACCCGATGATTTTTCTGACAGAACTGATTATTCTGCATTGATATTTGAATACACCAAAAACCAAATATGGACAAAGAACAGAGGCTGGGTGTATAACGTTTAAAGAAACAGATATGGATGATACACATACTTTGATTTCAACTGATTTCTATGTCAATTGTAATACTTACATTGTTGTAGCAGACACTTTCATGACATTTTACCAATAACTCTTATTTATTCTAGGGAATGAAGCTAGACATTTTACTTTAAAAGATGACACGACCGCAAATAAAAATCTAGGAACTACAACAGCTCCGCCAACATATTCATACTTTGATCTGTTTGGTACCAATATATCATTTGTAGGTAAGCGTTACTATGTTGCTCAGTCTAAACTATTCAATGTTGTGTTTTGTATACTGTTGTTTGTCTTTAAGTCGTACTTCGATCGTCTTTTGCCATGGCGTTGTCAGTTTGAATATTCCTGTGGTATCTTCCGTCTCTCTTGTGTATGCCAATATTAGATCAAAAAGTAGTAACGTAATGTTAAGTTAAGTATTCTGAGGCACAATAAAAATAAACAAATGTGAGATAAGATAATTGGAATTTCAAGTACTTCAAACAGACTAAGGGGCATCTACAAAATATACTCTACAAATTGCATGCATCGCCCATTATAGAAATCCAAAGAGGTATCCATAAGCAGTTTCAAACAAGTATAACAAAAATACCGGACTCCTAGGCAAATTCAAAAAGGAGAAGGCCAATCAAAATGAAAAAAAATCAAACGCTATTAATCAAACAAATACTGCTGTTCACATCCAGTCAACGGCCATGATCATTACTGATTTTGTTGAACCAGATTTCAACCTTGAGAGAACATGAGATGAAGTATGAACTAGGCAGCTGTTTTTTTTTTCTTTTCACATGTTGGCATCCCGGGCATTATAATAGATTACTTTACACTATGGGTTTTATTCATAATTTAAAAGCCGTAATGTGACTTCTACATTTTCGAAGATTTTTCCTATTGTCCATTTGTCTAGCTGTTTCATTCAAAATAATATATATAGTTGTCAATTATTTTTTAAATTTACAAAATTTGACAAGGACTGAAATTAATTACTGTTTTTTTTAAAGATCCCTTAGAATTTTCAAACTTTTCTCTTGTAAATAATGAAGTAAATAATGAAGATAAATTCAGATATAAATGATTACAGTGATAATAATATAAGAGGTGATATACTTTTCATTGCAGAATGTGCAGGCACTAATATTCTATTACCAGAGCCAAATACACCTGGATCAGAATCTTTCACAATATCCACATCAACTGTTTTACCTGCCTTAAGTACAATTTTGGACTTTGAAGTTGCTACAGAATACATTTTGGAAATGGATATAAAAGACATGGGTTCAAATCTAGAAGGGTCTTTAGTTGTAAAGGTATTACTTTTTGTCATATTGAAAACCACGATATGGTAATCGATCGCTAATTCTTCACACATTAAACAATAATCAATTAATTAATTTCTGATGTGAAGCGATGGATTTAAGAATTATAGCTTTAATAAATCTCCTTAAAGCAGTTTTCAATGGATGTTAGAGAGGATGGAAACATAAAATGTTTAGGAAAGACAAAAAATGTGAAGCTTTATATATAACAAACCAAGGCTTAAAAGGCATAAATATACTAAAACATGTATAAATAAAAGCAGACGTATAGTATACTTAAATTGGACAGCAGCTGTATTATCAAATACAACATGATTCTTAAAAGTGTTTTGGGTTTCAAAGGAAGATGTGTGTCGTCTGTCGTCTCAAAATAATATAAGCAGAAACGGTAGAGTCCATGTTTTAGTACGGGAAACCCTATATATCAAAAAGATAAAAAAAAATTTAAAAATAGCAGGTGCACAATTTCGTATCCTTTGGAAGAAGATCTGCAAGTTTGGTTGCATTGTGTAAAGCCGCTTAGAAGAAGTTGAGGATTAATAAAATCATATTATACGAAATGTCTGAATCCATGTTTGGTATAGGTAACCTAACAAATCACTTAGTTCTTAAAAATTAAAGTAGCAGGTGTGCAACTTCAAGGTTGGTTCAATACCGTCTAGCCATTTTCAAGGAGTTGAGGAGAAACTATGTGTTTCATGGAAGATGATGATACAAGACGACATATGTTATGTCTATGTCCTGGTCAAGCTGGACTCTATCAGGCAACACAACAGGTTAAGCCACTTTTAGAAATATAGGCCCAAACTTAGGTAAAATGAACAATATACCATCAGATTCAACCGAAGTGTAACTCATCAATGTTACAAAAAACGAAAGAAATGAACAATATTGTGATTTAATTCCATAAAATTATTATCTAGTTAACCATTATCTTAACCATTATCTTGTGTTTGTTGTTTCAGATTGTTGTAACAGACTTCAATGACCATTGTCCATTACTATCTCTAACAGATGACGTCTTTATTACACCACAACCTCTCTTACAAATTCCTCCTCTGTTGACTGTAAATAGTTCTGATCTGGACAGCGGTATAAATGGAGAATTCTTCTTTTACGTGTCATTAGTACATACTGAAAGGTGATGGCTATATTTACCATAAATGCACATAAATCGAAGCAATTGATTGGTATACGTCTATAAGGCATCAAACAATTAAGGGACCGACCGTTTAGTTCTGAGGGGGAGGTTTCTTTTAATTCGAAACATTATGTTCGTACCACTCAATCTTCAAATTATTTTTTTACCGCTTGAAGCGCAAAATTGTTTTAAGGACTTAACATAAATTTAATGTCAAAAAAGTTCATTCAGAAAATTAATTTTTTTCTTCTTCCTGATCAGAATATCTATTTTTTCAAAGTGGGGAATATTTTTTTTAGCGAAAAACCATAACCCCTATCCCCCGTAGGGTCAAATGGTAGTTCCCTGACATACAAAACAAATAAAACATCTAGAGGTCGACCTCCTGTCTACAGCAATATAGAAGAGTATATACAGTATGTCACGCTCTAAATCGACCTAATCTGGAAACGTCCAACATAATTTGACATCAAGACCACCTGCCATACTGCAATTTTGACTGAGTCTATTTCTTATCGTGGTTGACTCATTCATAGTAGAATACCTTGTATTGAATCCCGGTCTTGTTTGACTTGATTTCATACGATTCTCTCATTTTTTTTATTTATCTTTGTGTATTAAAAACGGACTAACGAGTTATGAAAATCGTAAACTACTACTACATCTCACAAAAAAGACATCTGAAGGTTGAATTACGATATTAACAGTAAACAAGGGTTATACTATATAACTATTTTTAAAAGGCCACGTGTCTTGAAAGTCGCAAATACTTTGAACAAAGATTATCAAAGATATGACAACACCAAATTACTAAATTATAATCTATGTAGATGTACATAACGAAAAGCACAAAGATCAAATAAAATTTAAGTACTCACTGAAAAGAGGACAGAGGGTTGAAATCGCTGATGTGATTGATTGTTCACTGTTTTATGTCAGTTATATTAACATTTGATCTCTCCATCTGAAACAGTCCTGTCATAAACTATGATGAATCGCTAGATATCAGAAGAGAAATATATAACGACACCACAGAGCTGACAGTTACCTTGGCAGTAATTGATGGAGGTATCCCACCAAGAGGTAGTGCCATCAATATCACAGTAAATATCAGTAACACGTGTCTAGTCAACGAACAGTTTGAAAAGACTAACTTTACATTCAGCGTTAATAACAAAACTGGAGAGTTTTACCTCAGAGTCCCGGGATATTGGACTGTTGATTTCCGTAAGTAATGAGACAAATGTGGTTACTATCATGTTAATAAAAACTCAACAAAGATATCTTGCTTATAGTTAGTACGTCAGACGCGCGTTTCGTCTACACTAGACTCATATATTGCGCTCGAATCAAAAAAGAAAAAAATACTTGACTCTAAATCATTGTCTGATCATAACATAGCCATGGTTAATGAAGGTGACTTTATACTCCAAAAAATCAATCATTACTGTAAACCAACTAATTTTCACGGATACATTATTTCGCGTTAAATCCTTTCTAGCCCATTTCGCGGCGATTTAATTTTGCGATTTTCAAATTTACTTGGTGTAGTTAAATAAGGAAAGATGTAAGTTTTACAAGTTCGCGACGTTTTATGTCCGCGTTATTTTTCTACTCGCGAAAGTCACTAAAACAAATCGCTCGCGAAAATTAGATGGTTTACAGTATATATCTGCTAATTTTAAATACAATACAACACACTGTTTTCTTCTATTTCTTGACCAGCACATTATCGGGTGTACACTTAACACAACATATCGTAAGTACATAGAATTATAAAGATACAACACGAGAAAAACCACTGCAGTTTCTAACTTGGCCTGGAACAAAACGAATAATTGGCGTGGTTAAACTGGTCGTTGCAGATCATAACCGTTCCCCTTTTATATCACGAACAGCAAATAACAAAAAGTATACAGAACATACATTTAAAATCAATAAAAAAGAGAATTTTACTCTAACTAAAAGATAGAATAGATAGCAAAACATGAAAACAATCAGAAAAATAAAAACATATTATTTTACCATATCAAACAACGATCTCGCTAACTGAAAGCAAAAAAAAAAATACAATAAAGTTAAAAGCCTTGACACATTTAATTGTCAGCATTTTAAAACATCATATTAGGAATTGGCAAGTTTCAGTATTAATTAAAGATTCAAATTCTTCATAATGTATCTTAAAAATTAAAACACTTCATAAATCATCCGTCTGAAGCGCTTTTCTGGATTTAACTTTTTCAGGAAAGCTCAAAGCCGAGAAATGTGTAACAAAATGCTGTACTGTTTTAGTTTTTCGCCTGAATTTACTCATCATCAATGTATTGAATAATATTTGCTATATATATCTGACTGATAATTAGAAAAGAAATAATTATTTCTTAAACAATTTGTTATGTACATTTTTTTTAAGAATGCTTGGATGACATTGGATTATCAAATGGAATTGTTCGGGATGAGCTTATTACTGCATCTTCATCAGGAAATTACCTTTCAAAGCCAGAAAGAGCTCGCCTTTGGCTAAATGCTTCAGCACGTAAGATTATTTTTATTCAAAGATACTCTTTAAACTTATTTAAATGTTGTTCTTTTTTTTGGTTTCTTGTAAAATGACCCAAACCTTTGACAAATATTTTTATTTAAAGTTGTTTGACATTTTGTGGTGTTCCTGAAAGAATGTGTTTAACAATGAATTAATTTTGTAACTACAAAAAATCAGATTATGCACTTAAGTATTGCCAGTCACAAATTCTATAATGGCAGGTTTTATATAATATATTTTAAAATTAGTTACATTCTTTCCTAAATAATTTGTCTTTCACAATATTGATCCAACTGTTTAGGTGTGTTTGACTTCATTTAAGTTTGAGTGTACCTTCTTAAGATTGTTACATATCAAAGACATCATGCAGTCGCGCTGAAATTACCGGTAGCTTATAAATTCAATTTCCAAGTGGTATTTGAATATACAAAATATAGCATTATCTAATTATATTTATCTAATTTAAGCTATATATGGACCTCTGACGGGTGGATGGATAGCTGATGATACGGATATAGCCCCATATATTCAAGTCAATTTGGAAGATGCGTATAAAATTACAAAAGTCCATCTACAAGGTCAACAAGACGAACCAAACTGGGTACAATCATTTCAGATTACCTCTTCTAATGATGGTGCTGTGTGGACTTTGTATCATGATGATTCTGGGGAATATGTACGTATAGTTTTTATTTAAATTGTTGTCCAGTATCTGAATCTAAAATAAAGATGATTACAACCATGTTCAATGGATTTGTATGACGTAAATTATTAGTATTTATGCTTTTCATTTTTGTTTAGAAATATTCTTTTTTTTCATTTGTTCTTTATTTGGGTTGGGTTGGTGTCATATTGCAAGAATCAGAATTATGTATGCAACCATAAGGAATGTAACTTCGGAAATGAGCAGGTCGGTCAAAATAACTCTGAACCTTTGAATATTTGTATTCGGACATGAAATAATTGTTTCCACTTATTCCAGATGATTACTATATAGCAATGACTACAATGTATAAGCACGCAACGATTTTTAAGCTGTTTCCCTTCGGATTAATTTTAGATTTTTCTTGGAAACAATGACCAAAATACTGTCAAGACATTAGTTTTGTCACCGCCTATTCTCGGACAGTATATCAGAATTAGTCCCAGAAACTGGACGGGAAGTGCAGCACTACGAATGGAACTTTCAGGGTGCACACAAGCGGAACAATACCACTGTATGTGTTTATGTTTTAATATGTAATCAACAAATGATGTTTTTGTTAAATGACTGTTAAACCGCATCGTATGATCCATCGATCTGGACTTGAAATACTAATATAACATAGATTTAAAGTTTGTAAAGTCAATTAAGGAATGACTGTAATATTTTTTTCTCTCTATGAAGAAATAATATCAAAAATGTGGAGCACACTGAATAACCTGCGTAGCGGGTTATTTTAAAGTGTGCACCACATTGTTTATGTTATTTCGAATAGACAGAAAAAATATTACAGTCATTTCTTATAATTTAATTCTAAATTCCATTTTATACCTGAGTAAAACATGAAAAAACGTTGATGACGTCACGGTCACATGACAAAATTATGTCTATAACCTGATAAACAAAACAACGTCAGACAATCAGAAGACGCGTTACATCCAAAATTAAATTATTGACCAATAACAAAAACAGGTAGATGCATAACCAAAAGTCCGTAAAAAAGTCAAAACCATCAAAGAGGAAGTTTGCCGAAGAATTTCAAACCATTTTAAATCACCACGAGTATTTGTCTAATAATTTACAATTATGTTTTATATAAGAAGGCTTTTTAATTTTAACAAGAATTTACCACTGAAGCACATGTTTTTATTTCTTATAATTTTGGGACACTCATATTGAAATCCCTGTATATGCTGTTATGAATTCGTGTGCCAATTTTAGATTAATGACAATAAAAATGATAAATGTGGTGCAGCTTAGCACAGTGCAGCTGCCGACAGGTGGACCATTAACTTTAACAAATAACTAAAAAGTTTGGAAAGCAGCGTCAAAATGTGGTTTTTACAGCATAAAGCTGTTTAAAAGGGAGGCAGAAAATACCAAGGGGGTATTCAAAACTCATAAGTCTAAGAGAAACTGAGAACGAGCTTGTAAAAAACAGTACTTAATTAAGAGAAAACGAAAAGACAAGCAAGACCATTAAACACTACATAGGAACTAAGGACTGTGCAATTCGAACCCCACCAAAAACCTGCTCTACTAGTGACACCTGTTATGTTTTGTGGTTACGACTATTAGAACATATCTGTGGCCATCTACGACACAGATAGTCCATAACGGTCAACTATCTCATGATGACGTATGTGAAACTTTCGACGGGTTGACTTCCAACTATATCATTTGGAACCCTGATTTCAACAGCTTCTCTGTAATTTGGTACAATTTATCAAGGTAATCATGATAGGAAACGCAAGGTAAGCTAAGGTAGCTACAGTTGTTGGTTGGATAATGTGGTTAAAAAAAAACAGAAACAACATTCCTAAGATGTTTCATGATGTCTCATATAACATTCGATTGAATTCGGTAGTACTTGTGAAAGACAAGTATGTATTGAAATGTCTAAACCCTTCTGAAGAAGGAACTATTTTACTGTCTTTGACGAGTGTAGAATAATTTCAGAAATTTTCCGAGTATAAATTTATCATTTCTTTGTGTTTGAGTTATATTAGTGACATAAAAACTAAGGGTTGGGTAAAAAGTAAAATAACAAAAATACCGAACTCCAATGAAAATTCAAAACGGAAAGTCCCTTATCAATTGGCAAATTCAAAAGCTCAAACACATCAAACGAATGGAAAAGAACTGTCATATTCCTGACTTGGTACAGGCATCTATGATTTGAGTAATACCTTCTTATATTAGTTTTTCACCAGAAACATTTAATTTACAGATAAGATTTAAGAATATTAATATTAACACCTGACAGACTAATGTTTAGTGAACACCTGAAAGATGTTTTCAAGAAAGTTTTACTTTGATTTTCTATATCGATGGAAAACAAATGGTTTCTTTTAGAACCACCAATGATTATGCGATTATCTAGTAGACCATTTTCTGCAAATGTGTGATAAATGGAGTTGCTTATATACTTTCTCACACATACAGAAACATTTTAATACTTGTAGTTGACACGTCCTGTGAGAGATGTTACACTTCATATTACTGCCTTGGAGACAGCGAGACCCACATGTGTGGAAGATGTGAAAATGATACAATTACATGTGATAGGTCACCAACTGAACATTCTTTTGGGGCAGCCTCTGAATGCGTAACATGTCCAAAGGGTTGGGTAAGTTGGAAAATATCAATCAGAAACGTATAAAATTGCTTATAATCATAAGTTATAACTTAACCTAATAAATATACTTAAAAGCATCACAAAGTTTTGCCTGTGTAGTTTTACCTTAATATTCAGTAGTGAAATGGAATTTATTTATTGAAAATTTATTAATTGAAACTGAAAATTAAGAATAAATGGTAACTTTTAAAACTAGACCAGCACTGGAGCATTAGCTAAACCATGATATCTTTGCATCTTAAGTTCTGACATTGTTTTAGATATGCAAAGATGGCTATGCAACCACATGTCCTGAAAATCACTATGTAGAATGTAATGACGTGAATTGTCCAGACACTTGTTCCGCGTGTGAATCTGGTTATGCATGTAGAGATGGACGAAGATACATTTGTGAACCAGGAACTTATTCAGATGGAACTGTAGGTCAGTGGTATTTTATCTATGTTTAGATATAAATAAGAAGATGTGGTATGAGTGCCAATAAGCCAACTCTCCATCGAAGTCACAATGTATAAAAAGTAAACAATTATAGGTCAAAGTACGGTCTTCAACACGGAGCCTTGGCTCACACCGAACAGCAAGCTAAAAGGGCCCCAAAATGACTAGTGTAAAACAATTCAAACAGGAAAACCAATGGTCTTATCTATATAAAAACGAGAAACGAGAAACACTTACGAACCACACAAACAAACGACAACCACTCAACAACAGGCTCCTGACTTAGGACAGGTCCATACAAATGCAGCGGGTTTAAACGTTTTAACAGGCGCCAACCTTCACCCTAACCTGAGATAGTAGTGTATCATTACAACATAAAAAGACACACTATAAAATATCAATTGATTGATTGATTGATTGTTGGTTGCTTAACGTCCAGTGGCAAATATTTCATGCATATTCAGGACGAAATATCAATTGAAATGGCTTAACTCGATCAAAAAGACATATAAACAAAAACAAGTAAACATACAATGAACGAATAAGTTTGATCTATGACACAAAATAAATACAATATCAATAAAAAAGATGTAGCAACAGTGTTAAAAAGAAAACTCTAACCTAGGACAAAATGGCGTAAAATAAAATAACGTACACCACAGGTAATGTATGAAACAAACAAAAATGTATTATGCAGGCTGTTCACATGTACTGCTTAAAGGTATGTTTTGTACATATTATAATTTGAATCGACTTTTTGTAAAAGTTATCAGTATTTGATACATACCTTCTCTCACCCGGTGATTAAAGTTAATCTTTAATTATTTACCAGCTTGATCATGTTGATGTTTTACTCACATATTTATATATTTCAACCTTAAATTCACCACTGTCCTCTATGACATTAATCTGCATAAGAGGACACCAGATTAAGTTCGACTCTTTATATATTTCATAGTCTATACCCGATTCTTAATTTCCAACATATCTTATAATGTCCGTAAAAAACTTTGTACCAGTGTTTTGTATTATGAGGCTATTAGTAAGAAGCCATGTAAATATGACAATAATAAGGCAAATTGAAGACAGTTTGCTATCCATCCATTTATGTTAACTGGTTAGCAAAATACTTGTAACTTGTACAAAACGTCTGTACTATTTATATTTGTTTTGAAAAGTTACAATTTGTAAACAGCATATATATATGCTGTTTACATTAAAACATCCGTGACAAATTAGTGACATCTGTATTAGCAAAGCAGCCTACTCCATCTCCCGGTTGCTACAAACAATGTGGTCGAAGGAACTGCTTGTGTTGTAAAGCTGCCAATACAAGCAGTTCTTTCATCAGCTCCGTTACTAAACAAAATTATACCATCTACTCAAATTCCAACTGTAAAACGGAGAACTCAATTTATATATTAACATGTGACACTTGTGGCATTCAGTATGTGGGAGAAACAATGGACAAATTTAATATTCGGCTCAATAACCATCGTTCATGGTACAAAACTAACAAAAACTGTCCTCTCACAAGACATCTTCGTTCAACGAAACATTCTTTTGATAATGTTACTTTCCAAATCATAGAAGTCAACACTGAGTGGGACACCACGGCGAGAAGGAGAAGAGAAAATCTTTGGATCCACCAACTCCACACTTTAGAACATGATGGTCTTAACGAAAAAGATGAGAAAAGATACAGGAAAGATAAAGAATAATTTAGTACACAGCATCGTCCTTTTTATCCTGTAATATTGGCCAATGGACGTTGCTAACTTCAACTACCAATTTTGTAAAAATCTTGAACTTCATCCAAATTATGTATTATTTTCAAGGCAGCTAAATTCAAGTGCAACATATACATTGAGCTGCAAAAGTTTCTTATCATCTAGATCCGATTTCACCTGGATAGATGCACGCTTGATAAAGCTAGTTAGTCTAGCGAAATATTGCGTTTATTTTTATCATTTTGTAAATATTTTAAACATTCTTATATTTACATACTAAATAGTGTGTTAAAATTACATTGTTAGGCAATCTATAATTTTATTTGTGTAATTGAATTAATCTCTGTACTGATTAATCCACACTCCCATAGATTTGTATGTCATGTGCTGCTTTTTATAGGCACTTATATATATATATATTCATATATGAATAGGAAATTATATGATTTTATATAATTTTTAAACATAAGTATGCATGTATAGAAGGTTGTGCAATTGTATAAACTTTGTACATAAATAGGTGCATTTATGGTTATTTATATGTCTGTCCTATGCAAATTTCAGTAAATAAATATAGGCTATAGGTTTTGTATCAACTCCGTTCTAATAACTTGATAAACATGTGTTCGTTTGTTTATACATGTACTATGTATATATAGGTGAAAAGGTTATTTAACTTTCTATATTGTATGTGTAAATATAATGATACATAGTTGAACCAACTAAAAGATTTAAAACAAAGTTGAAACTCGCAATTCGAGATTCTAAATTGATTCGTTCAGATCTTCGTAAATCAAAACAAATCACTAAACTAATCAATGGTACCCATGTACTAGAGGAATATTTCTACCAAATATAATGCCGAAGTTACAAAGCAAGTTTTAATTCATATCAATCTTTTCACTGCTTTTGGAATGAATGAAACATTCGTTCTTTAGGATTTGAAAGTGACAATGCTTAACAAACAAATGACACTTTTCCTTGCAGAATTTTGTAACTTGTGTACTGAAGGGACGTATCAAGACATTTCTGGACAGGACAACTGTAAACCCTGTCCAGCAGGTTATTATAGTTCAACATCCAAAGATCGTTGTAACCCTTGCGAATCAGGAACTTACTCAATTGGAGATGGTTCAGGAGCTTGTCTTGGTTGTGCTAGCGATACAGAATGTCCTTGTAATGTAGAAGGTACTTGTTTCAGTCTGGATTTATGTGTAAACACTGGTTCAGGTGGATTTCAGTGTCTTGGATGCCCAACAGGATTTATTGGTGATGGAGTGACGTGTTCAGATATAGATGAAGTAAGATTTTACAAATTTTTAGGCATTTGAAGAAATTATCATATTAGACATATAGTACGAAGCTTTGTTATTAATATATTCCCCCTGTAAGTTGAATCATATTGAATTGCGCATTCACAAAGATAGTAGACAGTTTTTACTTAAATATTCCATACAAAACAAGATAATATGTATGTCTCTGTTGAGTTATGCACTGGTATATTCTGGTGATATTTGGGTTTGTTTGTTTGGAGTTTTTTTTTACCTCGTGTTTGTCCTTTCTTTGTTCATTTTGTTAGGAGGTTTGTATTTTCAGCATCTCTAAATTTTAGAGGATCACCATAGCAAAACATTGATTTCCACATTTTAAACTTTTTTGATGTGTTCAAAGGAAAAACCATCTTCCGTAACCTAAACCAGTGTATGAATATGAATAAACCATTGAGAAATATTGAAGTACGAGTGGCATGGTGTATTCATAATCAATCTCATTGAAACTCATGCTTTCCTACAGCAAAACATTGAGTTTGCTTCACCTATAAAATATCGAGCGCGGCTTGTGCAGCACTTCCCTCATTTCTTTTTCACTTCCGCGTCAAATTTTTAAAGTAAATATTAACCTTTCCAATACATGCAATAGACAATGAAAAACTATCATAATTTCAATGTTTCATTTTGAAATTTAGCTACCACTCATTGATAAGACATTTTTCTCGTTATATTAATGGTCTCTTTTGTAATCATTAAACATGTTCTTTAATGACATTTCTCTTAGTTCAAGTGTTTTCTATAAATCATTGGCTTTAACCAGAAACTGTAAAAAGTTTCAATCACCACAAATATTGGATTGTCAAAACCATTCGCATTGACATCTTTGATGATTGTAAGTATTTGTCAATAAATTTTACATCGACTTTCAATTATTTATAAGCTAAATATTATGACTTGATTTAGAATATTTCAATTACAGTGCGCTTTGTATAAACCTTGTTGGAATAACTCTGCCTGCCTAAATACTGCACCAGGGTACCAATGTTTGGCGTGTCCACGCGGATATCACAGTGGCACTTACGAGGATGGTTTGTCCATAAACAATACCGTCCGTGTGTTTGAGTTCCACAATGAAGTCCTTTCTCCTACACAAGATCAGATGTGTTATGACCTTGATGAATGTCTAACTGATAATGGCGGATGTGATTCTAATGCACCATGCGTTAATACCATAGTAAGATATTGGCTCATAGAAAGGCTAAAGAATTATAATTCAAATCTATTCCTGACATTTATTCAAAGTTTATATTCACTTGTATATTTATAAAATGTAATATATTGTAGCAAACATGTGATTGTATGTTAAGGGGTTTATATATTCCAGTTTTTAAAAGAATCGCGTTTTGATAAAGATCAATACCTCCTGATTCTCGTTTTTTTATGCATTACTTTTATTCAATCAAAACTTTAAAACTATCTTTGATGGACAATCTTTTTCTAGTCTTTTCATCTATTTTTTTTCATCACTTTTAGTATATTGTACAATAATTACCAGTATCAGACATCTATTTGAAGAAGAATTTTCTTTAATAAGTGAATGATTCTCACTTTTGTAATTTGATATATATTATATTCTCTGTATAATTAAAGGGGAGCTATTATTGTGGAAATTGTGGAGAGGGCTATACTGGTATACCAAACATTGTCTGTTATTCTACAAACTATTGTCAGACAGGACAACACAAGTGTGCTGCGGTTGCAACATGTACTTATCTTAGACCAAAAGAGTATAAATGCGAGGTATGTACCTTAATGGTCAAGAAAAAATCCGTAATTATAGGAGAATCAAATAAACTCACCCTGTAATACCCTCCATGAAGCAAACAGCAAAGCATCATTGCCAACACTTGATTTGTATCATCTGAAAGTCACTAATCAAGGCTATATACATCGGGAAGTATCAGATACACTGGCCGAGTACATTCAAATGTATAATATTAAGCCATTAGGGAACGGTAAGGGTTTGGCGCCAGCAAACATGTTCAATTGTTTTATTGCTTAAATAATTATTCATATTTGGATTTATACAATATATATTAAAAGACACATGAAACGAAAACAAAGACAGGGGAGTGTTTAACTAGGTCGAAAACTTGTATTATTGTCTCAAGATATCATATGTTAAGCATGCCATAAAGGGTAATGGTAAGGATTGTTTTTTTATTGAAAGTAAAACAAAGGCCAGGTAGGCACACATGGCATCCCAAAGATACAATTTATACATATTCCAAATATTCAAATATTCTGATGTTTATTACTATTCGTGGGGTACCAATTTTTCAGGATTTCGTGAGTAACGGTTATTATTGAATTTATAGCAATTCCCTATTGCCTGGAATGCATGATAACTTCTATATCAAATATCAAGGAAAATTCAACACTTCCTCATGGGTGCACAAAAATTGGTACCAACGAAAGTAAATGATTCAAAAGCATAAGGAAAGGATAGAAATGTTTCATGTATTATTCTATATAGTGTCCAGTTGGTTATAGTGGAAACGGAAGGCATTGTGGAATAGATACAGATCTAGATGGACATCCAGATGTGTCTTTATCATGTTCCGACTGGGGATGTAAACGAGTTAGTATATCATAAACATACATATACTTTTTTTCAAATCTCCTAAGGCAGTCTCTATCTAACGATATTTCATGCGTACTACCATGATTTTTTTGTTTTTTGTTTTATTCTTTATTGGCAAAATCAATGCAATAGAGCTCTTATAATACTGTACATTAACATACAGTTTAAATCAAATAATATGAGGTATATGTAACCTATGAAAGAGGATAAAGGCCATGTCATAATTGTATCAGAAAAAAAAGGTATATTACATGCATTTACAATAAGAGAAATGCATCATTCAAATATATTCAGTAATGGTTATATGAGCCTAAACTGGAAGTGTTTTCAGAGAGATTGCTCTGATGAATGGAGTTTGTAGATTATTTTTATGACTGTTGTTGGGGAGAAAAAAGTTTAATGATTTATTATTATTTCTATACAATAATTTTAAAATTTCCCTCTAAGAAATAATTGTCTTAACATTGTCTTATTTTCTTTTACTACCTGTGAAACAATGTGGTTCAAATGTGTTTTTATATGATCTGCATATCTTTGTACAGGATAATTGTCGTACAATACCAAACTCAGGACAGGAAGATGTTGATGGCGATAATACAGGTGACGATTGTGATGATGATAAAGACAATGATGGAAAAATAAATAGAATTGTAAGTTAACATTTTTCATAGAAAAGCATACATTTATTTTGGCAAATTCATTTCGTTTATCGGTTATATAAACAATGTTTAACGTTCTGATAAAATTCATCGATAATGGTACGGGCGAAATAATTTGAGGTCTAACAGTACTTGTGTTCTTAAAAGTCTTAATACAACTATACAGCAAAATACCAGTAAGTTATATTAATACGTTTAAGGTGTATGCCCCTATATTATTTGAGTTTTGGAGAGGTGCGTTCAATAAGTATCATGTGTTTGTGTCCACCCCACATATCATGTTATTCATGTTGGTGAATTAATTGGTTAAACATGACTGCTAGCGTCCAACCCTCTCCCACTTTGGGACAGTAGTGTGTCAACAAAACAGAAGAATAAACTATAAAAATCAGTTGAAAAGGGCTAGACTCATCAGATCGACACAAAGCACACAAAAAACAAAATAAAATAACTTAAGACACAAAGTACCGATCTGAGAGTACTTGGAGATACTGAAAGCTAGACCAAAGCCAATAACAATTAAAAAAAAATATGTATCCAAGAATAAAATATAAATCATTACGAATACAACGGATTTAGCATAAAGACTTCATAAATAGTCAGAGAAATCATGACCTTGAGCAAAGCCAATAAGTTTATTTAAAGAATCAACAAATAGAAGAATAAACTATAAAATCAGGTAATTTTACTCTTCTCTTCGTGCTTTGACCGAGAAAAGAGTAATTTATTTGTTGGGGTTCCTTCAGAAACTTGTTAAAAACAAGGAGGCCAAAGAAGCCAGATCATTTAATTTAACATTCAGATATATTGATGATGTTCTTTCTATTAACAATCCAAACTTTTCTGATTGAGTTCCATTTACATATCCTCCAGAACTAGAAATTAAAAAAAACACAGACACGGCTTCCTCCGCCTCATTTTTAGACTTATACATCGAGTTTGACATAAGCGGTCATCTCAGTACCAGAATCTATGACAGACGAGATGATTTTAATTTTGAAATTTTGAAATTATAAATTTCCCCCACCTTAGCAACAATATACCAACTTCACCTGCATATGGGATATACATTTCCCAACTCAGTCGGCATTCAAGAGATTCCAGCTGCTACTCTCAGGGTTTATGAAACGTCACCAGTGTCTGAGCAGAAAGTTGATGAATCAGGGCTATGTCAAAGAACGTCTCGAGACGTCCTTTTTCTAAAAAAGTTCATCGGAAGATATCAAGACCTTTTTGATAAATATTCCGTATCAACTTCACAAATAATACATGATTTTCTAAAGGTATAGATTTTAGGCACTGACGTTGTTTATCATCTTAATTAAGTGTTAAAGTGTTCTTTTTATTTGTCTTTGTATATTTTTAAACCTTACTGTATTACTCTGTATTTACACATCCCGCCACTGTGTTTTTGTGCTATGGACTTTTTTGTATTCTTGTCTTTCATTTTTGCTTATGTACTTTGTCTATAGAGTGTCTCTATGCCATTTTTTTTTCTTTGCTGACAAAGTTAATTGTTTTTATAGTGATTAAGATTATAACACAATGTTGACTACTGTACCCCAATTTTTGACATTTTTACCTATTATGTCTGTTTGTTTTGCTCACACATTGTTGTCAATATAATGGAATTCTATGTGACTGTTATACAAGTGAGAGTTTTAGCTAGCTTTCAAACCAGGTTTAATCCACCATTTTCTACATAAGAAAATGCCTGTACAAAGTCAGGAATATGAAATTTGTTTTCCATTCGTTTGATGTGTTTGAGCTTTTGATTTTGCCATTTGACATAGGATTTTGTTTTGAATTTTTCCGGTATTTTTGTTATTTTACTTTTTATTCCACACCTAGGATGTTTTAAAATATTCAATATGAGCTGGTAAGAGAATCTATTCTTAAAAAGTCATTATGCACGAATCTTCTTATATAGGTTAATGGTGAACAGAAAGAAGACTATGACAGAAATCACTAAAAACAAAATTTTAAAATATAACTATAGTATTTATCAGTCCTTAAGCAATGCAAACAGAAAGCAATGACAGCATAACAATGTATAACAACATTAACAGGTTCAGACTTACCGAGGGTCACTGGGGAATAGAAATATGGTCACAAAGTCTTCTTCCAACCGGCAGAAAAACTGATGTCAAAGTGGGGCGTCCGTTATGTTGTTCGGGAAATATAAATTCGCAGCCACGTCCGAAAAGAATGGGGACGTTAAATCCGATGCTTCGTGTAGAGATAGTGCCACGATTTCTGCACCATTTTAACAACTCTTTAAGGGTTCCATAGGTAGCCTTTTGCAAGGCGTAATTTCAGTCTCTATCCAATTAATCTCATTTTCCAATGCAGTCCAAATTTTTGCCCGTCATCCCGGTAGACCCCGTTTACCTGACCTACCTAAGGTATCATATGTATTGTTAATTTGTTCTCGTCCTGAACATGCATGTAATATTAGCCATAAGCAACAAACAATCACTCAATCCATACTTGTAGGATAATTGCCCGTTCAAATACAGTTTTAGCCAAGTTGACACAGACGGTGATGGTGTTGGGGATCCATGTGATAACTGTCCGTCAAATGTCAATCCAGACCAGTTAGATACAGACGACGATGGAACTGGTGATGATTGTGATACAGACGATGATGATGACGGTAAAGTCATGACAGAAGTTAGATTTAAATAACACTATACATTTCGATGGTCCGAAGCGCTTTTCTGGATTTACCATCATCCATCATCAGGAACGCTTTCACCAACATATTTGAAAGCCAATGATGTATAAGACTAAACACGTGAAGAGCTATATGACCAAAAGGGACCTAAAATAATATCCAAATTCATCTAATGCTAAAATTTTCCATTGGGAGTTGGAACCTCAGTTGCTGAATGATTTCCTAATTTATCAGATCAAACATATACTATGGACAAAGCAAAACACTTAAATGGGTTGTCTAATAGTAATGACAAAATGAAATTGTATTTCAATTTACAGTTAAAAGAAATAAGACAGAAAACAAATGTGATTTCGCATCATGAATTCGGTATGAATACCTTTCATGTATATACATTAAGGAAAAGAGACTGATATGATAAGGAAATTAACAGTATCACTTCTTCAAGTTCATAATCTTGTGTACTTAGATAATAATTTGAAAGGTGAAAGGCTAATTGAAATTGCAGGGATGATATATGGAATGATCCAATTCGTCTTTACTAAATAAGCATTTTCATTGCCATCCAAATATAAAATGTTTTCATTTTTCTAATAATATTTATAGAATAATAATTGAAGAATTCAAATATCGAAAAATATTCAACGAGTGACCGAACAATACATTAATTCACGAATGCGTGTAGCGCATGCGATAATTATCAGTGTTGTTCGGCCACGAGTTGAATATTTTCGATATTTGAATTCTTTGATTAGTCATTCTTTTTTATTACATTGACATTAGGCTTTTTAATTGAATTAAAGTAGAAAATGCAAGGAACTGTATCACTTTCTACCCATTCACAGTTTGCTTTGATGCGACATCATCGACAACGTCTTGACAACACCTATTGTTGTATGACGTCAGAGGAGTGAAGTCACCGAGTTTATTTAACATGTGAAATTATCGGTTTTTATATCATTGGGAAATCACGGCAATTCATTGCAACCAATGTAATAGTATACAATTATGGCCCGATGAGAAGGTGAATATCCAAAATTGTCAACCCTTACTCGGGTTGACAATTTTGGATATTCACCGACTCAATTGGCCATAACTGTTTTATTATACCGAACAAACAATTAAGTGTAAAATATTGCCTTATAGGAGAAAAAAAAAGATTGTCAAAACACTTATGTAAGAAAATTATTTTGTGTCTAAGAATTTCTGGTATGTACAACAAATGTAGACTCATTCTGTAAAATATTGATGGCCTTGAAAAGGACCGTTTACGAGAGATATCCTCGGAACTAGATGATTTTCCAAGTCTTGTTTGATCTTGTTTCCTTGTTACTTCATAGGCTTCTTACCTGGTCGTTGCCATTTTGTTTACAGGCGTCAATGACGTCATTTTTTATTATGGGAGATAACTCGTCCAAAACCCAAGGGGCTGAAAAGGTTATTCACCGGGGAATAATAGGGTTGTTCGATGGAGGCTTCAATTTGTCGGGTTATTCACCGCTCCTACCAATTTTTGGAAAAAACATCAAAATTAAACTATGACACGTGATTCCGTATTAGCCAATCAAATAATTACTATATAATGTAAGGTATAATAATAGGTTTTACACATAGAAGTTAATAAAGGTAACTTTCCAATTATATATATTTTCAAACAATTAAACCGCTTTCCAGATAAACAATAAATGCAATGTATATAAAAAAACTTTTTTTTTAATCAGTATAAAGTAACCTATCATTTAATGCCAGAACAGATTTTGAATAAACCAGATGTTGCTAACTGTCTCCCTTATTTCATATAAAATGTATTACAAACCAAATATGTTTGGAGTCATTGGTAAAAAAAGTGACTTTTTCAGTAATTCCAGGTTAGGTGAAGGGTTGAGGGCTCACAGACATGACTGTATGACATTCTCCATGTATCTGTTCCAAATCAGGAGCCTGAGATTCAGTGGATATCGTTGGTTCATGTCTGTCATATTTGCTTTTCGTTTATTGTTCTGTCATAAATCAGGCCGTTAGTTGTTTTTTTTTTTTTTTTCGTTTGAATTGTTTCACATTTCAGGGCCTTTTTATAGCTGTCTTTACGGTATGATTGTTTTTATTGTTTGTAGATCCATGGCATTTGGACTCTAGTGAATAGTTTTCGCTTTGGCAATCATATAGAATCTCCTTAAATTTATAAAGTATACTAACCTTTGAACTATAATCTTTTTTTTTTATTTTCAAGGAAATCCTGATACCTCGGATAATTGCCCTCTTGTAGCAAATGCAGGACAAGAAGATGCAGATGGAGATGATTTTGGTGATGCTTGTGACAATTGTCCTGCTATTTCTAATAGGAATCAAACTGATACAGACCAGAACAATGTCGGGGATGCATGCAATCCAATTGGTGGGCTTAATCAGGATAGGTAAAATTATGCAATCATTTTAACGCAAAAATATCACTTTGTAGATTATTAATACATTTTTTAATTTTTTTACATTCATTTAAGTATATTCTATATATTAAACATGGTTGTGAAAATATTTGTCATTTATTATTGCCTATCCTTCCATTTGGAACCCCGTCAGTGGTTGTCTTCCGTAACATCTTCGTTGTTGGTGTCTTTTACGAAATTTTGTATTGATATCTTTGATCGTGAAACTTGTTTACCATTGGGATGAATTGTAGCTTTAGGATCTGCTTACCATTCCGGAGCACCTGAGATCACCCCTAGTTTTTGGTGGGGTTCGTGTTCTCAGTCTTTAGTTTTGATTGTTGTGTTGTGTACTGTTGTTTGTCTGTTGGTCTTTTTTCCTTTTTATCCATGGCGTTATCAGTTTATTTTCGACTTATGAGTTTGAATGTCCCTTTGGTATCTTTCGTCTCTCTTTTACATATGGTTAAACACACTTTTGTTTTTTTTTATATTAATTGAGATTAAAACACAATGTTGACTACTGTACCCCAATTTTTGACAATTTTACCTATTATAAAATTGAGAATGGAAATGGGGAATGTGTCAAAGAGACAACAACCCGACCATAGAACAGACAACAACAGAAGGTCACCAACAGGTCTTCAATGCAGCGAGAAATTCCCGCACTCGGAGGCGTCTTTCAGCTGGCCCCTAATCAAATATATATACTAGTTCAGTGATAATGAACGCCATACTAAACTCCAAATTGTACACAAGAAACTAAAATTAAAAATAATACAAGACTGACAAAGGCTAGAGGCTCCTGACTTGGGACAGGCGCAAAAATGCGGCGGGGTTAAACATGTTTATGAGATCTCAACCCTCCCCCTATACCTCTAGCCAATGTAGAAAAGTAAACGCATAACAATACGCACATTAAAATTCAGTTCAAGAGAAGTCCGAGTCTGATGTCAGAAGATGTAACCAAAGAAAATAAACAAAATGACAATAATACATAAATAACAACAGACTACCAGCAGTTAACTGACATGCCAGCTCCAGACTTCAATTAAACTGATTGAAAGATTATGTCTTCATCATATGAATATCAGGCACAATCCTTCCCGTTAGGGGTTTAGTATCATACCATCATAACATATATGAGAAGAACATAACCCGTGTCATGCCAACAACTGGTTTTTAAATAAATGTGTTTAGTGCCGATGCAAAGACCCTATAAGTGAATCAATATTAACGCCAAAATATGCAATCTTTAATGACCTGACAACAGTATCGTAACTATATCCCTTCTTAATAAGTCTATTTAAAAGTTTTGTTAGCTTCAGAGGTGAATACTGACATTTTTGTGCTTTATAGAGAATATTTCCATAAAAAATTGGATGTGAAATACCTGAACGTATAAGAAGTCTGCATGTTGAGCTATATTTACGAATGATGTCCTTATACCGATGATAAAATTTAGTAAATGTTTTGACTAGTTTGCGATATCGAAAACCCTGGTGTAATAATTTTTCAGTAATACATAAATTTCTCTCGTTAAAATCTAAAACATTGTTACATACACGAGCGAATCGTACAAGTTGAGATATATAAACACCGTAAGATGGTGACAAGGGAACGTCACCATCTAAAAATGGATAATTAACGATAGGAAATGAATATGTCTATTTGTTTTGCTCACACATTATTGTCAATATAATGGAATTCTATGCGAATGTCATACAAGTGAGAGGTTTAAATAGCTATAAAACCAGGTTTAATCCACCATTTTCTACATAAGGAAATGCCTGAAACAACTCAGGAGTATGACCGTTGTTTTCCATTCGTTTGATGTGTTCGAGCTTCTGATTTTGCCATTTGATAAAGGACTTTCCGTTTTGAATTTTCCTTGGCATTCGGTATTTTTGCTATTTTACTTTTAAGCTCACCTGGCCAGAAGGGCCAAGTGAGCTTTTCTCATCACTTGGCGTCCGTCGTCTGTCGTCGTCGTCGTCGTTAACTTTTTTACATTTTGAACTTCTTCTAGGGAACCACTGAATAGAATGAAACCAAATATGGCATGAATGTTCCTTATGAGGTGCTGACCAAGTGTTGTAACTCTGTAGGCGATCCATCATCCAAGATGGCCGCCTGCGGTGGACTTTGTTTAATATAGGACACTATTGACAATACATACAAATGTCTTCTTTTAGAGAACCACTGAAATGAATGAAACAAAACAAGTGTTGTTACTGTGAAGCCGATCCATTATCCAAGATGGCCGCCGATAGCGACTTTGTTTAACATAGGATCCTATGGGTAATACATGCAAATGTGTTGATTTAGAGAACCACTGAATGGAATGAAATAAAGCATGGCATGAATGTTCCTTATGAGGTGCTGACCAAGTGTTTTTACTATGAAGCCGATCCATCATCCAAGATGGCCGCCAGAGAGGGACTTCGTTCAACATAGGACCCTATGGGAAATACATACAAAAGTCTTTTTTTAGAGAACCACTAAATGGAATGAAATAAAACATGGCATGAATGTTCCTTATGAGGTGCTGACTAATTTGTGTGACTTTGTAGGCGATCCATCATCCAAGATGGCCGCCAGCGGTGGACTTCTTTTAATATAGGACACTATTGACAATACATACAAATGTCTTCTTTTAGAGAACCATTGAAATGAATGAAACCAAACATGGCATGAATGTTCTTTATGAGGTGCTAACCAAGTGTTGTTACTTTGAAGCCGATCCATCATCCAAGATGGCCGCCGATAGGGACTTTGTTTAACATAGGATCATATGGGAAATACATACAAATGTCTTCTTTTAGAGCACCACTGAATGGAATGAAACAAAACATGGCATGAATGTTCCTTATGAGGTGCTTACTAAGTGTTGTTACTTTGTAGGCGATCAATCATCCAAGATGGCCGCCAGCGGGGACTTAGTTTAACATAGGACCCTATGGGAAACACATACAAATGTTTTCTTTTAGAGAACCACTGAATGGAATGAAACAAAACATGGCATGAATGTTCCTAATGAGGTGCTGGCCAAGTGTTGTTACTTTGTGGCCAATCAATCATCCAAGATGGCTGCCAGCGGGGAACTTAGTTTAACAAAGGACCCTATGTGAAATACATACAAAAGTCTTCTTTTGAAGAACCACTGAATGGAATGAAACCAAACATGGCATGAATGTTCCTTATGAGGTGCTGACCAAGTGTTGTTACTTTGTAGCAAATCCATCAACCAAGATGGCTGCCAACAGGGGACTTAGTTTAACAAAGGACCCTATGGGAAATATATACAAATGTCTTCTTCTAGAAAATCGCTTAATGGACTGAAACCAAACATGGTATGAATGTTTCTTTTGAGGTGCTGACTAAGTGCAGTTACTTTGTAGCTGATTTGTCATTGTCCTTATAAAGTCATTTTCTACAATTTCAATGAATTTATTGGTAATTTCTGTAAATTTTACAAAAGTCTTCTGCTTTTGATTAAATTAAACCAAATTTGGCCTCAATCATTATAAGGATATCTGTTATGATTCTAATCTATTTTTACATGATTTCCAAAACCAAAGTAGAATCAGGTGAGCGACACAGGCTCTTGGGATTCTCTAGTTGGTTGTTGTTAAAGACAATATGTCTATTGTTGTTTTTATGTGTTGGATTGCTGCATCGTTGATGCTACCTCAACATCTTTTAATGAAAACAACCATCGACGACACTTTTTGAATGATGCTCGCCAAAAATTTCAAATCAATAATTGACGTAGATTTTTTAAGGGAATGTCAACTTTTTGCAACAAAAAAAGTTTTAAAACCCTAAAGCATCATATAGTTACTGAACTAGTTGACACTTTCCAACTCGATATATATCTTGTGAAATAAATTCCATTGAATGTGACCTGAAGTACATTAGAAAAAGCTGATTGCAGATGAAATTCATATATCAGGTCAGTTGGAATTAATTGGTCATGCTTGTTTTGTTTCGATTCACAGAGACGGAGATGGTGTACTAGACAGTCTTGATAATTGTCCTGAAGTTGAAAATGGTGATCAAAGTGACATGAACAGCGATGGCACGGGTTAGTAAAAATAATAATAATTTCTACTTACATATCAATGTATGACACTGATTTCAGAACCGAAAAAACACATTAGTTAACTTACTGAATTGATTGTGGATTCGCATGGCAATTTATGCATGCATAGCAGAAGACACTTACCCTGTCAACGCATCCACTTTCGCTTCTTTTACCTACATAAGCAAGATGACGGTAGTCACAAGTGATGCAGAAACTGCTAACCGCTACGGAGACCTGCTTTCTTCAACGATTTCTGGTGTTGGTGGTGTTTTTTAGTCTTTTGTTTTCTATGTGGAGTTTTATGGACGTTTTTTGCCATGGTGTTGTCCGTTTTGTTTTTCGTCGATTGTTGAGTTTTGAGTGTACCTTTTTTTTAGAGTTCATACAATTCCCTAAGCTTTTATTTTTTACTTTGATTTTTATCTTCTTAATGGATTTATGAAATTTAAACATCGGTCAAATACTAGTACTGTTGGCTCTATTTACTACTTATAATTCTTACTTTAAAAATAAATGCACAATACCGATTCAAGAACACACACCCACAACTGTTTGCCAGCATAACCTCCACATCTTACATTTCTGACCGAATATTAGCCGAAAAATCATAAAACATTTAAGAGCATAAGCAACAACAAAAAACAAATCAACCACACAGTTATTAAATGAAATAATTTCAAATTAAGCAATGTATCTCCCCTATGCATAGCTCTGATTCCTTGTTATGGTTTGAATAATACTTTTTTTATGCTATGAGCTCTTCAAAGTTTGAATTAAGTTTGGATTGTTTATTATGTTGGCCTCAGGCATCTCTGCAGAGACGACATTAATTGTTGTAATATGCATCTGATGCAGTGAGATTGGTATCGTTGATGTCATTGTATTATTTGCAAAATATCATAGTACTGCTTAGGTCAGTTGTTGGACCACTGTGGTCTCCACGTAAGGTATGAGCTATTTAGTGCATCGGAACTTCGACTGCTAAGATGAAGAACAGCGATGAATATAATTTCCATAGACGATTGTTTATTTCTTACGATAAGGGCATTGTTTAATTTGTTAGTCATAGTCTTTTAACATTATACGTAATTTATTGGATTAAAACTTCTTGTAGGAGATGCATGTGATACAGACAGAGATGATGATGGAGTCATTAATGAAGAAGACAATTGTCCATATTTTGCGAATACATTACAAACAGACATCAATGGCAAGCTTTTGTCTTTTATAAAATATAGCTTATATATCATTTTAATCAGTTGCAATAAAGATGTGACAATACATTTCATTTTATAAGCCCATAAACAAATATTTTTTTGATAAGGATTCTTATTTATGTGTAAAGAAAGAAACTGTCATCAAATATTTAATTAAACAACACGCAATTCAATCAAAATAACTACGCATTTATAGTGTTGTCCGGGTGCTTTGTACTAATGAAAAGTTGTAAGCACTCATTCTCTGCTTTTTAAAGCTTAAAACCGTTTCAAATCACTCAATGTTTCTGTTATTTGCCATATAGGCTTTATTTAGTAGAATATTTTACTTCAAAACTAAAATATTTATTTTGTTTTTGGTCTGGTTTGACCGATCGATTACTTTACATTTAGAAGTCTCAACATTAGGAAATGTGTAAGGTAGAATTTAAACAAATTTTGATGAACGAAAAACACTGTAGAACAATTTAATTATGTGAACAAATTTCGATGACTCACTATCATCTAACACATTCACAGGTTAACAAATTGGTAAATAATTTAACATAAAATACGTATTACGGTATGCACAACACACGTTTCAGTAAAACATTATCAGGTACACTCAAAACCAAACGTTCAGAAAGCGAACAAAACCGTAAGCTAAAACTTTATTAAAACACTGAATCAAAATATCCCGAAACTATCTGTTAAGAAAATACTTAATGCCGACAACAAACCATTTGTATTTTAGGCGACCTTATTGGTGACGACTGTGTAGTTGATTCTGATGGTGACGGTGTTGTTGATAGCAATGATACTTGTCCACATAACCCATACATTTCCTCAACATCCTTTCATGACTATTCTGTGGTGGATTTATATCCGGGATATAGCACGACAGCTGCACATTGGTGGGTAAAGGGAGCTGGAAGAGAAATTTATCAACTTGCTGATACAAAGGGTCCTTCTATGTTAATTGGTGAGTTCTGTGTATTGCTTCATGGTTAATTGGTTTAATGTCTTTGTTTAGCAAATTGAATCGTAATTACTCCGCAAATATAGACACCTACCATGCTTATCGTCTAGTACATAACCAAACAACGTGGACATATTTAAAGCTTAACATTTTTAAGTGCACAAATGAATATTGTATTTTTCATCATTGCATGTTCAAACTTTTGAAAGCGGTTCAAAAATTCTCTTTATATGTTGTACAACTGCAATTGATTTTTCAACAGGATTCATAAATAAAAGTCTTTTGATTGTACCAAAATCATAAAAAAGAAACACGTTATTTTCTATTCGTTTGATGTGTTTGGGCTTTTGATTTTGTCACTTGATAAGGGACTTTCCGTTTTGAATTTTCCTTGGTGTTCGGTTTTAATGTTATTTCCTTTTTTTTAAAAAAGGGTCATAAAAAATACAAAATGAATGATATATAACAAATTGGTTAATTGCCATGGCATTGTCAGTTTGTGTTAGACTAACGAGTTCGAATGTCCCTTTGGAATCTTTTGCCTCTCTTTTTATGATCTTGATTTCTATATTTTTTCAATTTCAGGATCTCAATCTTACAGTTCAGTCAGCTACAGTGGAACAATATATGTGCGTTCAGATATTGGAGATAACTACGTTGGTATTGTCTTTGGTTATAACAGCAATAGGAAATTCTATTTGGTTTCATGGAAAACCAAGAATTATAACTTTGATTCAAAAACATACCAAGCAGGAATTAAAGGCATTAATATGAAGGTATATAATTTTATTTGGTATAAGTATATATAAAGATAAGAAGATGTGATGTGATTGCCAATGAGACAACTCTCCACCCTAGACCAAATGACATAGAGGTTAATAACTACAGGTCACCGTCCGGCCTTCCACAATGAGCAAACCCCATACTGCATAGTCAGCTATAAAAGGCCGCGAAATGTAAAACACTTCAAACGAGAAAACTAACGGCCTAATTTATGTACAAACAATGAACGAAAAACAAATATGATATATAGCAAGAGACGACAACCACGCTGAATTACAGCCTTCAGACTTGGGACGGGCACATACGAATGTGGCGAGTATACTAGTTTGCTGGTGTCCATTTACTTGTTATAATCGGTGTCTCTATTTAATGATTACAAGCAATGTACTAGAAATCAGTTGGAATCGTATTTTTGGAATATTTTAATGCCAATGTAATGACCCTTGTTAGAGCTTTTTTAAGAAGACTAGTGGTGATATTTGATAGTCTCTGTTGAATTCCATTCCTATATCTTTCCTAGACCTTGGACAATTAGAATCTGAACTCAATGTATATAAAATGACAGTTTATTGAAAACCGTAAGTTGACCTTTGGACCCTTTATTTCATTCTATTATATTGTTGGATTGTTTTCATAATGACCACAAGGGTGTCTGGGGAATAGAAATATGGTCACTACAAGTCTTCGTTCGACCGGCGGTAAAACCCTTACCAAAGTGGGGCGTCCGTTTGGCTGTGCGGGATATACAAGTACGCAGCAACGTCCGGTCATAATGGGGACGTTTACTCTTATGCCTCGTGTAGAGAGAATGCCACGCTCTCTGCACGTTAAGAACCATTGCAACAACTCTTTGTGGTGTCCGTAGGTGGCCTATTGTGAGGCAAAATCTCTGTCCCTATCCAATATACCCTCATTTTCCATTGGCAGTGTAAACTTCCTCGACCTTCAACCCAGACGGCCTCTATTACAGGACATACCTATTTTATTTATTGTAAAGTTCTTGTCCTGAACATGCATGAAATATTTGCCACTGGATTTTAAGCAACCAACAATCAATCATATTGATGTTTACCCAACATATCTTTTTTATTCGTATCACAAATTTTCGTGGGTGTAGAAAAAACTTTGTTTTTATGAATATTTAACGGCATTACTAGTATTTTGCCAAAGTCTATCTACAAGTCTACAGAAAATTGATACTTTGATGATTATGTAAATTCGTGTCTTACCCGTACCCACTAAATCCTTACAAAATTAGTATTACGCAAACAATAATTGAATCCATAAAGTAAAACTGAGTTGAAATATTTCTTAGGTAATTGATTCTAACACTGGACCTGGGATTGATTTAGCATATGCTCTATGGCATTCCAGTTCTAAAGAAAATCAAACGACAGTGTTATGGCATGATGACAATATGCTACAATGGAGTAATTATACATCGTACAAATGGTTTCTAACACATAATTCTGATCTCGGAAAAATAAGGTAAATCTTTTTTGCAACTACATCTATGTAACAAGGAAATTAACTTAACTATATTTTTTGTCTCCCTTATTCTACGATTTCGTGAATCTTTTATCTAAACTATTGGTTAAATTTAATAAATATGGTAAATTATAGACTCTTGTACTTTTACAGTTTTTCAGTTCAAATTGCAAAATTTAGAAATATTGTCATCGGTGAATTATTTTCAATGGTTTAGTTAAAATTAGGAATAATATAGATTTTCTCAGTCATTGTTTCAGCAAAGATACACAATTTTGAACATTCAAACTAGAATCTGGTCAAATGATTTTTTTATATTCTATATTTTCATGGTCTTTTTAGCATAAAATGTAATTATAAAAAATGAATGCTTCTTTTTGTAATTTAATTGGGGTGTAAAAGTGTTGATCGTGCACACAATTTTAGACTAAAGGGCTTCCGCGCTTCATACAAAATGTGCTTCGGTCAACACTTTGACACCCCAATAAAATTACAAAAAGAAGCATTCATTTCTTAATAATTGAATACTGTTTGTTGTCCTCTATATTGATATTTTTTTTTCATTGAGGTGCAAACACATTTTAATATATTCCAGATCTCTCTTTATTTATATTCAATGTTTCATTACCAGATTCCAGCTGTACGATTTAACATCCATGTTGGCAGATAGTGGAGATATATACGATACCCGTATTACGGGTGGGCGTGTCGGGGTATACCAATTTGGACAAGAGATGTCACTATTTTCTGATATAAATGTGCATTGCGTAGACAGACAGAACATGGCAATGAAATTTAATGGAATAGATAATTATGTGTCAATAACAAACGTCACACAACTGGAAGTTGATAAAAGGTACATAAATTTAGGTTTCCGTAATAGCCTGTGTAAAACCGCAGGATCAAATATAAAACAACAAAGGCGCTGTTCGCAATGAAGATACAAATACAATGAAGATCCAAATAACATGACATCATAATGAATAAGCTACCAATCACAGCTCATGACATTCCCGGTTAATGAGGGTGGTAAAGGGTTACTGATTTTCGTGCAACGTGTTTTGCCATTTTTATTTCATGTGCAGTCGTGAAAAAGGTTCGTTATTCGCCGTGTTTCGTGAAATCGATAAAAAGATCAACGTGCAAGAGATTTTTTATTGTTCGTTCATCGTGAAATGGCAATTTTATTTCGCGTTCTTCCGTGCAGATCCGCCCCCCCCCTCTTTACGCCCCTCGTTGATTGTTTGACACAATGCATTTTTTAAAATTATTCTTAACCGTCTATTTGAGTGCTGTACAAAAGCGCCCGTAACTAAAACTAAACAAATTTACCGAAGTTCAAATCTCATAAATTGATAGAAGATAGTAAAACAAATTTTGTGAAAAGATCAATCATAATTCGAAATCATCATGGACCTCACGATAAATCATAAGCAACAAAACTTCATCTTTCAAATATCTGTCTAGAGAGTGTAAATATCATTGAATATGTGTCAATTCATTCTGTGTCATTATGTTGCTATTTCAGCGGGTTTTTTTTTTCTTGTGTGCTGTAAAATATGAAGAATTGGAAAAATGTTGTAATTAATTAATGAAATGATAATTTCAACCAAAGATGCATGTGTTTTATAAAGCAGTAGTGGCAATATAACAGATATAAAACTTAATTTAAACGTTTAATCTGGTAAATACTATAAATGTTGAACGTAGGCGCATGCGTTATTTTCACTTAATTATTTCGTGATATTGTAAAACGTGCAAAAAGATTTCCCCTCGAATACATTGAAAGCGACAATATTGAATGGTGGAGCAATGCTGCGTAAATTTGCGCAATGTTAACAGATTATGAAAAATAATAACCTGAATAAACATCCACGTTTACAGTATTTGTTTCTGTCTTCTTTCTTTTGTATAAGCTTCCTTTATTAGGAACACCCCCTATTGGGTCAACAAAATATTTAAACAGATTGTTAATGGAACAAATTTCTTATTTAAAAAAAAACCCTTATTTTAAAATAGGATTAAACGTGATTCAGTAAAAGTACTCTGTATAGTTTGTGCAATGATAAAAATAAAACATTTACTCAAATAAAAAAAAGTTGTAGCACGCAAGTTTTGTTTATTTACAGTTTCACATTTGAAGTGTGGGTTAAAGTGGAAACTGGTAGTCCGGTGACAGCAATGCCAATATTTTGTACTGAATCTCAGAGCATATGTTTATGGTTGGAAAATTTAAAGGCAAATGGACAGTACGGAAATTCCACTATAAGTACTACTGTGACCATTGGTACTGATGTATGGAATAACTTGGTACTGCAATATGATGAGTCTGGTAATATATTTGCAAATTAGAAGAAACCCAACCCTACTTTGTCATCTTATGTCACTAAAACCAAAAAAGATGTCCAGCAAACATTACAAGAAACATTTTAAGGTCCTTTTAGTAATAAAGCTCTATAAAGTTTTATATTTTTTTGTCTTTCTAAACTATCGGCCTCAAGCATAGCAAATGAAGTAAATCAAGAAAAAAGTTGTAGTTTCCACCATTTGCAGTTATTTTTAAACACATAACATTAACGGTACCAATTTGTCTGCACCATTTGAGCATCTCTTCAATAAATGTCTCTTCAGTGATGCTCGAGGACAAAACATTTTAAAATCCAAAATTTATTAAAAAAAAAACATGAAGAGCTTATATAAACCAAAAAGAACAAAAAGTAAAACAAAGCTGGGCAAGGAATCAAAGCTTTACACGAGGAAGAAATATTCCTTAAATTAGAAAGTCTTGTCAAGTTAAGAAGTGGGAGTAATATTGCAATCACTTTGTTCGTCTGTTAGTCCATCCAATCGTCAAACAAATATTTTCGTGGCACTAATACCAGGTACTACTGAATAGAATTACTTCCTATGAGAGTTATGGATTGCAAAGTGCGCTCGCTTTTCTGACCTTCCAGTTGCTAAATCTTTTAATTTTGTTGCGTATGATAAATGAACTTAATGTTTTCGTAACACAGTTCTCCATGAAAAATTACTGAATACAATGATTATAGTATATATTTGACACATAGCTGAACAATTGAGGAATTGTAACGTACGTTAAACAGCTTTTCGGATCTGTCCGCGTATATTCTCTTGCATTATTATATACTATTAACTTAATGTAGGTATCATATCATTTGGTATTAGATGGATAATACTGATGTTTTAGCTTTCATATAAAATTTTTAAATACATTTCTATTTTCAGAATACATTCTGAAGATATACCTAAACGGTGTTCTATCGGCTTCTGGAAGTAGTATACCGCCAATAGATTGGGTAGATACTTAAAGATGTTGCCTTATGTTCCCATATTTTCAAATTTGTTGATTTTAATGAAAAATAGTTTGAAATTTTTATTTTGAATATTTTACCACTAGTACTTTATCTGTCTTTTTTCCATTTGTACGATCTGAAACAGACAAAAAAAAATTTCTCATTGCCGATTGGAAATTCAAAATGGTCGTTGCTGAGGTCAAATTTTATATGCACCCACTGAAATTCAATATTGCTTTTCTTTTCAATAACAGGTAAAAAACATCGTAATTAAATATTCAATTGCTCAAAAAGAAGTATGGATTTTAATCATAACTATTTGGTAAAATATATGTTTAATAAAAAAATGTTACTTCTACAGAGTACCTACACTGACCAGTCTGACATCTTTTTATATCTTGGAAGGGACAATACCAATTATTTTCAAGGCTTTATGGATGAGGTATTTGTTATCTATATCATTTGTACAACTTTAAAAGTAAGAACTAAAATTCCAATCCCTCAAAAGACTAGACTGACAAAACAATTGGGGATAAAAAAAACTGCGCAGACAAAACACGTTTCACAGAAAACTAAACATAAAGCAAGCTAGAGACCGTCAAAAAACGTGGGTGAATTTAGAGGCTCTGAAAGGGTAAGCGGTCACTCTTTCCATGTTGTGTTGCTCATAAATCACGTTAAAAAGACATTTGGTGATAAAAATATTTCTGTTCAATAAAATTTGACACAATTTCAAAATAAACGCATCATAGATACCGTGCAGGATTGAAATTTTATACAAAAGACTCATACGTTCGTATCAAAAAAATTTAAAAAAAAAAGCCAAATAAAGTAAAAAGTTGACGTGCATTGAGGACCCACAATTCCGAACGGTTTTGCCAGATAAAGCTAAGGCAATCTATTCCTGGGGTAGAAAATCCTAAGTATTTCGAAAAAAATCAAAGTTTTGAAAACAGTTAATTTATAATTATTACCATATCAATAATAATTCATTTCAACACTAATTTTGGTCAACAGTTCTTTTAAAAAAAATGGATTTTACAATACATTTTGTACAATAAAATAATGTTTAATTTTTTACTCTATTTTTTTTTCGCATTCTTGCATTATTGTATCTGTATATGTATATTGATACAATGGAATTCATACAAGTGAAATACTGAATTATATCTTATTAAGGCTGTCAAGTTTTACTAGAATATGTAGCCCTACGTAAATTGGCATATGCTTCCCATCTATAACTATAACAAGAACGTTACCAGCAGATCTGTGATGTCACTGAAATGAACACTGAAACATGTTCAATTGCCATCGAATCAACTCACAGTCAATAGCTGGAAGCTTTTAGGAAAACTATATCTTTCTTTCAACAGGTGAAATTCTACAGTGTGGCTATAATTGATGCAGAGATAGATGACCACATATACTTGGCATCTTTGGACAAATATCCAAAATACCACAAGTATGGACAGTTACACTTCAAGATGGATCAAACAGCAGGTTCTCAATACCTCCAGAATGATGGTTTAATAAGTTTAATTACAAATATCCATGGCAATTCCACTTTTGCAGAGGTATGAAATGGATTTGAGATTTGAAACATTTATTTAACAAGTTTTGAAAATAGTTGTGAATATGGGTACATTGTTGTCATCTTCTTGGTTACCTGTTTGGCGTGTTTAAATAATTAATTACTTGTTTTTATTAGTACTGTTGTTTTCTTTTCGGCGTTTTTCGCTTTTTGCCATGACATTTTTAGTTTGATTTCGACACTTATGAGTTTGAATTTCCCTTGGGTATCTTTTGCCTCTCTGTTACTTAATATCTATTCTTTTTTCCAATAAATGTTGTCCACTGAGTGCAAATATCGCTTTAAAAAATCATCATGTTATTCGATATTTAAAAAAATGATAAATATATAACGGGATTGCTTCCCTTGAGAAGTAGATACTTAGTCAGTCATAAATGGTTGAGCCTATAGAGAAGTCGCCCTAAAGCTGACTTGACTAGAACACAGGGGTCAAGGATTTAATTCCGCAGTTGACAATGTTGTTATCTTTTTCTGAGAGTCATGCACTCTTGTTACAACAAAAACGTATACTCAAGCAATCAGTAAATTATGTGAGAAACGTGTGAAATGTTAGACTAGCAGCAGAAGTCCTCGCATTTTGAAGATGCAAGCCCGAGGATGTCAGAGGCCAATTATTGAATTAGATGCTGTTCATGGTTTTCTTTTCATATTTATAAATTTTACGAAAATGGACAAAAGGAAAAGCTGCTACAATGAAAGCATGACAAAATAAATGTGTAAATTTTGTGTTTTAAATATATTGAATTAAGTAATTTTAATAATGGCGAGCGTGGTTTATACATAAATGAGACAGCAACCCAACTCACCGACACAAATTACCAAATGACATCAGGATGACATTTTAGTCTTCATAAGTAGACAGTAGTCTTTACAATATGCAAAGCTTGTAAAAACAACGATACTTGCACTGTAATTTTCTTTTACAGAGTTCTCAAGACTATTCCAGATTCCGTTTAACATATCCGAACAACTGATACAGATATTATATTTGACACCGAGTTTTAAAAGACCATTGAAAGTTTTTTTTTATATGATTATTTCTTCGCATGTCTCGTTGTATATCTCGTAATTGTTCTGTATGTAAACCTAAATAAATGTCAGTATTAAGTGTTTGATACATGTATACCACAGCTGGATTTTACGTGAAATATGTTAATTCATTAGGTATATTAATGAAAACTTGATCACTCTTACGTTGAAATCAAGTAGCCACGCCCATAATCTATTTCTCCTGGTCTTTGTTCAGATAGTTAACTTTGAATGGTACTTTCAAACGCATTGTGTTGTTTTGTTAATGCATTATCAAACCTGGAAGGTTTTAGTTTTACATTCAAAAGAGTATAGAAGCAAATAAAAAAATCATGCAACTGTCAACGTCTTGCACGACTTCAAAGAAGTTATATATATATAACTACGTGCAGACGGACTTAAAATATTATCATGTAATTGTGTCCATTGAATAAGAACTATGTTTGATTAAAATGGAATCAATATCGTTTAGAATTCCAAAAATAACTTTGTTTAGAAGCAACTGTTGGATTTTCTCATTCATTTCTTATAATTATGTTTGTACAGAAAGTTATGAGTGCTTTCAAATTGTGTCATTTCATCCGACCACAATTATTACTAAAATAGATAAATATTTGGACAAAGTCCAATAAAAATAAAGTAAAAATAACCTTCTTAATGCTGTTATTGTTTTATGAATTATGTTGTATATATAATATATAACTGCACTGATAAAATAATATTAAATTCAAGAAAAAATGTTTTTGGTGAAATGTTATTACTTATATTTGTTTATCTGTGATATCTGTTATTGTTTTCATTGTTAATGTCCAATATTTTTACAATAAAAATGTTTAAAGTAAATAAGGTGGTATTATAGTGTTATTATTTTTGCCTTCCTCTTATCTTGATTGACTAGGAGTGTCGCTTTTCCTGCCTGTGGTTCTGTCAGAGTACGTCGGACCCTCCACTCATATAAATTAACTGGCCGCAATGATATAACCGAGAATGCTGAAAATGGCATTTGACAACAATAATCAATCAATCATTATTTTTGACTTAACGCTACTGAAATGGATGATTTTAAGAATGCAATCACTTTCTTTAACATATGATATGGGGAATAGATGCTGCGTGTTCTAGATAACCAGTCGACACTATTTTACGAATCAGTTCATCATGTCACCACTACCATGAGGTTTCAGTTGGGTAGTATGTTCACATGAACAAATCGGTGGCAGATTTGAGATTTTTGAGCGAAAAAAGGGTCAAATGAGATACTGTTTTAGAAGAAATACATGTACAGGTGGTTTTGCTAATCTACGCCAGCATTCTAAAGCGTTGGGCCCATGTGAATTATTTATAATTGATTAATTGGCGTTATCGCCACTTTAAGCACTATAGTGGTATTTCGTGGCGGTCAGTTTTTGTTGATGGAGGAAGCCGGAGTGCCCATAGAGAACCACCGACATTCGGAGTAAAACTGACAATCCTAGTCAATTATGATTGGAGTCGAACGCACCTGCCACGTGCCGGATTCGAACTCACAACCTCAGCGTTGACAGGCTAGGGATACAGGGGCGTGTTTTATTGGTCTCTTCTGCACATCTCCAGAATGTCTTCTGGTGAAGAGTCCAAAAAAATGAATCTGGACCTCTTCTGGAGATATTCTACGGAAGATCAATAAAACAAAAATTCAATTTGCCGTCGAATATAGCAGATTTTTGTTGTGTTGGGTGACATATTAAATGAAGTTTACGATGATTTTATAGAAAATTAAGATACGTCCGGTAGACATGACTGTAAAAGTGTGCTCTGTTCGTGACATTTTTCTTTGTTCTTTTCTCTAACTCAATTTTGCTAGACAAATCACGCGTAAACCCCCACTATTTGATTTTTAAGAATAATCTTAAACTGCACAAAAATTCGTCAATGTTTGTCTCGAATATGATCAAAAGGGACATCTTGTCTATCCAATTTTTTAAAAGTAACCAAACTGGATTATTTTTGTATAAAGCAAAGATATCGGAAAGTTCTCAAAATCATTTTTCTCTGGTGGTCCTTGAAGAAAATCTTCTGGTCCTAACTATTATTTCTATTACATAATTTCGATGGTCAAAACCTTCGGACCACCACTTTTCAAAAACTTTTCATTGTATATGGATCTATATGCAAGTATACAATGTATACCAGACATTTCTCAGACTGTTTTTTCTTCTTTTCTTTTTTTTAATAAATCCGTTGGTTGTGTACTGATTGATACTTCAGTCTGGAAGAACAAGATTTATTTCAGTACTATAGCTGTAATTAGCTTTGAACAAACTTCCAGTAATTGCAAATACTCTTATTTCGGTGCTTTGTGTCTATTGTCTTAATGTAAGTTTTTTTTGTGTGTGTCTCGTACCGATCTTTTGAGTTAATCTAATTGCAATTGATTTGTGCAGGTTGTTCTTATATTGTACTGTTACACCACTGTCCCAGCTTCGGGGAGGATTGAGCGCTCACAAACATGTTATTGTACTGTTACACCACTGTCCCAGGTTAGGGGGCTGGTTGTGCCGGATCCGGCTAACATGTTAAACCCCGCCACATTCTGTATGTATGTGCCTGTCCCAAGTCAAGAGCCTGTAATTCAGTGGTTTTCGTTTGTTACATATTTGTTTTTCGTTCATTTTTTTGTACATTAATTAGACCGTTAGTTTTCTCGTTTGAATTGTTTGACATTTGTGATTTCGGGGCCATTTATAGCTGACTATGCGGTATGGGCTTTGCTTATTGTTGAAGGCCGTACGGTGACCTATAGCTGTTAATTTCTGTGTCATTTGGTCTCTTATGGAGGGTTGTCTCATTGGCAATCTTCGTTTTTATATCAACCCTTCCATATTATTTGTGTGCCTGTCCCAAGTCAGGAGCCTGTAGTTTAGTTAGTTGTTGTGGTTGGTTCATGTCTCGACTCATATTTGATATTTTGTAAATTATTTTGTTATGTATAATTAGGCCGTAAGTTTTTTCGTTTGAATTGATTCTCACACTTTTCACGTCGGGCCTTTTGACAGTATCGGGTTTTGTCATTGTTGAAGGCCTTAATTACGGTTGCCTATAATTGCTTACATCCACTTCATATTTGAACTCCGGTGGATAGTTGCCTCATTAGCAATCATACATTTCTTCGTTTTTATTTATTTACCTGACTTTTAAACTCGTGTTTCCTGAACCGAGTCCTGAACATGCAGGACATATTTGTCACTGGGCGTTAAAAATTAGCAACAAACAATCAATCAATTTAAACTTGTGTTAAATAAGAAGAAAAACCATTTGATATTCATTCATTTATTGGGGTGGGGGACAGGAGGATTTCATATATGAATATGGTTGGCTGGTAAGAGCTGAAAAATAGACATAATTAGCGACAGATTAAAAAAGTTAATAATGCCCTCTTCCCTTCCTTCATCTATAAATTTAAACTGACCACCACGGAATAGCCCAACTTAGTGTTGAAAGTAGCGTTAAACACCAATCAATCAAAATCCCTTCCCTAGAATATCAAATAGTCGTCCCTTAACTGTTATTGTCCGTGTAGTTCATATATTTATTCAGCTTATCGTCCTACAGGGATGTCCTACTAAGACTGTCATACCATAAAAACGTTTATAACACAGCTCACATTCTAATACATCTGCATTCATAAATTTATTAATGTCAGTTTAGACTAAACGACGCCATGTTTGTTATGTGCCTCTGCCGTCTAAACTACCTATCAAAAAAGAAGAGGTGGAAGAGAGCCAGAAGATCTTCCCTATGCAAAAAAACAGAAATGGACCTCTTCTGGCTCACTACCGAAGAACAAAAAAACACGCCCCAGTAGTTCGACTACTTTTTTTTTAGTTCGATTACTTAGACCACTCGGCAACAGAGGCCTCTTAAATCATTTATAATAGTGTTTACCACGGTAACCACAAGTCCTTGAGATCATGTGTAATATATTGTTGTAAGCTTGTAGGGCCTCCAAACCTGAAGTGGAGAAACGGAGAGGCTACATATGGTGATTGTTGTAGTTTCGTCCGACCACATTATATGAAAACCAATTATTTTTTTTTTTAAATCTTTAATGGCATTACTCATCTCTACATATTTTTTTTTTTTACATTTTTCATTTTTATTTCATTTTTATTTTATTTTTTAATGTTGTTTTCTTTCTTATTTCCTTTTTTGGGGAGGGGAGGAGGGTTGTTTGAAAACATGAGTTTGTTTTCCATGTCAGTCAGCTGTGTCTTTAGTGACTTATTTTCAGTTTTCCTGAAAGAACGTCTTTGAAGCCAGAATTAGACTAATTATTTAAGGAGCAAACATGTCATTGAAAGAAGGTGAAAATTGAGGAAACCGCATTCTGTAGAAATTTAATAATTGATTATTCGACGTTTGATTTTACATTTCTTTTACTGAAAAAATCGGTCTCCTGCAAATAGTTGCTGCAGGTTTGCAGCGAACTTGCTGCAGACTTGCAGCGAACACAGAGCCTGTATTTGCGGCATGTTTGCTGCAAATATGCTGCAGGTCTGCTGCAAACATTTTACCATGCAAATGAGTGTTTGCTGCAGACCTGCTGCAAACATGTATATGCAAATGAGTGTTTGCGGCAGACCTACTGCAAACATTTTTATGCAAATTAATCTTTCACCTGCATGTTTGCAGCAGACCTGCTGCGTGTTTGCTGCAGACCTGCGGCAAACATTTATTTTCAAATAAATCTTTCTCCTGCGTGTTTGGGGCAGACTTGCAGGAACTACATACATTATACAATTAACCAATGTCATGCTGTGTACACATCACATTATATATATTACACAGCAAATTCTGAAAAATTAGGTTACTTACATACATACAATTATTCAAATATTCTTATCAATTTCAAAATTATCATAGCCAAAGTTTATACCTTTCTAAATTAATTTAAAGTTTTTTGTTGTTTAAGTACGTGTTCAAATGATATTGCATGCATGATTATCTATTGAAATATAAAAAAAAACAAATTCTTTTAAATTTATTGTGTGCATATAGACAGCTATTTAACTAATATTGTCACAGAATTCAACTTGAATTATAAAAACGTCATATTTATTAAGTTATAATCTGGAAACATATACTTGCGAGTTCTGTATATATATATTTGTTACATGTTTGAAAATGTTTTTCAAACCTTCATGCAGGTCGGTATTAATGTTGAGGAGACGGATTTTATATATGTCATTGAAAGAAGGTGAAAATTGAAGAAACCGCATTCTGTAGAAATTTAATAATTGATTATTCGACGTTTGATTTTACATTCAGTGGCAATTACATACTCAAGACGAGAACAAATAAACAATAAATGTTATTGGTGAGCTTTGCAAATTGGGAAGACAGGACATATTTATTGCCACAGTAAAACAGGGTACGATAGATAGGGGCATTTTTTTTTTACTGGCCATCTACAGTCCCCTTTAAAGGGCTATTTCAGTGTTTCTATTACACGATGACAGTGCGGCACTCTCCCTACACGAAACATCGAAATGAACATCCCTATTCGACTAAGTATGGTTGATTTTTTTTAAAGACATTTAAAATACACGCCCTTGTGGGGTGGGGTTAAAGATGACAAAAAACTTATTCCTGTATCTATGATACAATTATCCACTGCATTATGTATAAGATGTCTATAGTCTTGAAAAGCGTGACGGTTATGGTCAGTGGGTCGTCAACGCATCAAGTCAAAATATAAATAGTGTTAATTCAAGAAAGTTAAAGAGACATTTCATGATCTGCTTACCCTTCCGGAGCACCCAAGATCACACCCGGTTTTTGGTGGGGTACGTGTTGCATAGTCTTTAGTTTTGTATGTTGTGTTTTTATACTGTTGTTTGAATTTTGGTCGTTTCTCGTTTTTTTTTTTGCCTTGATTTGTCAGTTCGTCTTAGACTTGTGAGTTTGATTATCTCTTTGGTATCTTTCGTCTCTCTTTTTCGATAAATTATTTTATCTCTTAAGATAACTGTTTACAATTGCAATTTGTAACTTAGTATTGCGCGGGAAGAAAGTAAAATAACAAAGATAGATACAGAACTCCAAAGAATACTCAAAACGGAAAGGTCCTTATCAAATGGCAAAATAAAAAGCTCAAACACATCAAACGAATGGAAAACAACTGTCATATTTCTGACTCGGTACAGGCATTTCCTTATGTAGAAAATTGTGAATTAAACCTGGTTTTATAGAAACCTTTGTAAAATAACCATATAAAAGTTATAGTTTGTTTTTTTAACTTCCTTAGCTTCGTCGTTTTAAGGTCTATTTTAATTCAATAAGAATTTTATTTAAGATATAATACATATTTAAATGACAAGCAGTATTAACCTTGTTTCGTCGTGGGCTCTTCAGATTTTTTAACATAATTTATAACTGATAGTTTACATTTGAAATTAATTTGTTCTATTCAAATGATAAAAAAATTAAAAATCCAACATGAAAGTTTACGATTTAAAAAACATGGACAAGGATTTTCGTTTACTTAATAATCTAAATAATTTGAACGTCTATGTGTACACATTTATTGAATCGAAAGTCAAATGATTTAACAAATGTTATGAATAAATTGAGATATAGGGTATACGTAAAAGATTTCAACATGCTCAAGACCACGTAGTCTCAGACACCCGAGGTTATGAATTCCATTATTTGACGAGGGTTTTTAGAATCAGAAAATGATAAGTTATCTTACACGAGGATGTCTGGGATTTGTAAGACTTGGTGAATTCCTGCAGATATTTGTCTCGCCTGCAACGAATGGATCATCTATTTTCGGTGTATGGACTGATTGTATGGTGTACATGTTCATCTGGCTGGGTTCATCTGACATTTACCTCATTTTCATGGTTCATTTGTCAACGTTAACTTTTCGTGATTTTGTCTTTTTCTCAGAGCAATAGGTTAATATATTTGGTACATAAAAAACATTGTGTGTCCATGTGACAGCTAGGGTTCATCTGACCTGGGCCTCATTTACATGGAATACTTATAACGTTAAGATTATAATGCTACTTGTATTAAACTTTAAGCTTAAATACTTTAAATTCAAAATAAATTCTATCATGATCAATAAAGCAGGCGAAACATCTCAGTGTGTGCACTGTTGATAAAAAAAATTCTGATCAGTACGTTAATGTTAAAAATAATTCTTAATGTTCAAATTAAAAATCGCAGGATATTACTGCGAGTCTGACTGATATTATACTACAGATTATAGAAATGGATGTTGCACAGAGTAAAGAAATTACAGATAGAATTGATAGTAAAGAAGACTTATGTGAATTTTCTAAAATAAGCATTATTTTTAGAGATAATGAAAAATGCTCCAAAATATTAAAGAATACAGAAATTAAGGATCCCAGACACTTATTGCATTTTCTTTTCATTTCTGCATTTTCTAATTGCAATATGACGTTGTTTTAGTTTAATGACTAATTAACGAAATAACAACATTAAGATAGCATCAATGATAATTTACAATTTTCCAATATTTTATACTGTTAAATCGGTGTTTTTTTTAAACACCCATTCATTGGAGGGTGCCGCCCCCCCCCCCCCTTTTTCAACCTTTTCAATATGCATGGCTGGATCTGCGCTTGCAATTCATTCATTTTAATACTCAATGACGTTTTATTGATACCACTAAAGAAAATAGATCATTTATAATATATTCTGTTTAATGCCTAAAATAGAAGCAATTATGTTAGGGGAAGTACATTTCACGAGATACCCATTGGTGAAAATGATAAATCGTGGACTGTCCGTGGTAACGACGGTATATAATGTATCCGAAGTCTCAATGTGCATTATAAATACGAGAATCAATGTTATAAATTTAATCTCGTGTACCCCTAACCATAAGAATCTAAATAATGTGTACATCGTATGATTCACTAGTGGCGTTTATAAATACTTCTTTTAGATAATCTTTATTTGGTCTCGACACGACCTTGTGTAATAATATATATTATTAAGTTAAACATGTTAAAAGCGGTTGCTTTTCAACATGTTTAAAACCCAACCTAATTATAAACAAAGGTACAAATAAATTCATTTGAAATTTCTATTTACAAAGAATAATTATACTGATTTTTTTTAAGTTCAATTTTAATTGATCAATTATCCTTTAGATTAAAAAAAATGTGATTAATATATAATCCAATTAGCTAGTTGGACTATTATCTTTCGGACTTTTGTTATTACACTTTGTATTTGTCATCTCTTGCTTAAATTTTCATTAAAATTATTTTTTGGTTTTATGGGTTTTGTATCTACATGTCACAGCCAGTTTCAACAGATTTGTCTTAACAATAGACATGAGAATCAGTTACATGTATATCTTTTATCATTTGTTTTTATGTAATTCTCAAAAATAATTGATATTCAGTTTTGGAAAAGAACGCTAACCGTAAACACCGAACTCAATATTCTAACTTCTTATATATTCTTGTTGGACAGTTAATTAATTTATTAAACTTCATCCCGACTTGAATCTTTATTTGATAACCAGCGAATATTCTGGTTTTAAAAGGAACAAATTATTTTATTGGAAATATCATTGCACGTTTACTATGTACAAAGTATAATTACACTGAAGGTTTGAAGTTAAATTTTAATTGGTCAATTATACTTGATCAATATTTGAAGAGAGAAAAATTCTCAATTTAAAAAGTATGTCGAATATGGAGACGGAATACACAGTGTAAATTTTACATGACATGATGTTTATTCTTTGGATAATATCAGCCTTGTTGTCGTCAGTTTATTGCCAGACTCAGGCTAATACCCTCTGGTCAGCTAACGATTATTGGAATGACAGATATTCTCTTGGTTACACCGAAAGTAAGTAATAATACCGAAATATTAAAATTTTCGCCATTTTTTTATTATTTTTTTTATTTTACCAAAAAATGGACAAACCAATGGATGAACGAGCGGACTCCCCATCATTTCATTAATTTATTTTTTTCTTTTTATTATTGAATAGAATATTTTTTTAACTTAAAATACCAGTTTTAGTGCGATTGGAATACGTATTCGGAGTTGCTGGAGACCAAAAGTTTGGAATACAATAAATTTGGAAAACAAAAAGTTTGGAAAACAAAAGTATAGAAATACTTATTCTATACAACTGAGATGACTATGGCATATGCATTATAAAAGTAATCTCAGTATACACCTACTGATTCATGTGATTTATATTTTGTCTGTCAACTGATATATATATATATAACATCATTGAAAACTAGTGGTCCATGTGAAAGTCAACTTAAAAATATGAAAAAATGGTGATTTATAGATGGCGACTTTATGTCCACCAACAAATATTACAAGCGAAAAACATGGTAATGGTATTTGACTCGACAAAAGCAGACCTTGAAGTGGTGAATAAAAAAACCATTTGGGGTAAAATCATTGAGACAATTAATCAGGACAACTCACCAAAACAAAAAGGAGGCATTTTCATTTCCTTTCATTTATCCGTTCACAATATTGTCAACTTTTGCGAAGAAAAGGGTGAAAATTCATCAGTTTCGTCAATTGTTAGTTTTTTTTCAAACAGAAATGTTACTAGCTTCAACATTACTTACTATTATTGTAACATGGACAGAATGGTATTAACATTCTTTATCACAAACCTTTCCAAAATTGTCCGTTAATAAATTTTGAAATTATAAGAAAATAAGGTTTCAACTCCCTCAGACAAAAAAAAGTATAACAAAAATACCGAACTCCAATGCAAACTCAAAAAGGGGGAAGTCTATAAAAACTGACAAAATCAAATGCTATCATAGTCGAAGTTGACCTTAGATGGATTTGGCTATATTTAGGTCCTTTTTGGTCATAAATCTCTTCAACCGTTTCGGTTCTTATCCATCCTTGGCTTCCAAATATTAGGCGTTCCTGATGAAGGTAAATCTAGAAAGGCGCTTCGGACGTCTGAAATTTAAAACGTGTTGTTTTCATTTTTTATAAGCAGCACGCAATTGATATAATATGTTCCAATGATTCTGAACACCACATTGTCAAGGAGTTCCAAGAATTCAGAAGTTATAACAATTTATAACTCAATTGAATTCACTGCTTTAAAGGCAAACCGATAAAATTGAGATAAAATGGGGAATGTGTCAAAGAGACAACAACCCGACCATAGAGCAGACAACAGCCGAAGGCCACCAATGGGTCTTCAATGCAGCGAGAAACTCCCGCACCCGGAGGTGTCCTTCAGCTGGCCCCTAAACAAATATGTATACTAGTTCAGTGATAATGGACGTCATACTAAACTCCAAATTATACACAAGAAACTAAAATTAAAAATGATACAAGACTAACAAAGGCCAGAGGCTCCTGACTTGGGACAGGCGCAAAAATGCGGCGGGGTTAAACATGTTTTTTGAGATCTTAACCCTCCCCCTATACCTCTAGCCAATGTAGAAAAAACAAACGCACAACAGTACGCACAGTAAAACTCAGTTTAAGAGAAGTCCGAGTCCGATGTCAGAAAAGGAAACAAAAGAAAATAAACAAAATGACAATAATACATAAATAACAACAGACTACTAGCAGTTACTGACATGCCAGCTCCAGACCTCAATTAAACTGATTGAAAGATTATGTCTTCATCATATGAATATCAGGCACAATCCCTCCTGTTAGGGGTTTAGTATTATACCATCATAAAATATATGAGAAGAACATAACCCGTGTCATGCCAACAACTGGTTTTAGAATAAATATGTTTAATTCCGATGCAAAGACCCTATAAGTGAATCAATATTAAAGCCAAAATATGCAATCTTTAATGACCTGACAACAGTATCGTAACTATAATATCCTTTCTTAATAAGTCTGTTTAAAGGTTTTGTTAGCTTTTGAGGTGAATACTGACATTTTTGTGCTTTGTAAAGAATATTACCATAAAAGATTGGATGTAAAATACCCGAACGTATAAGATGTCTGCATGTTGAGTTATATTTACGAATGATGTCCTTATACCGATGATAAAATTTAGTAAATGTTTTGACTAGTTTATGATATCGAAAACCCTGGTGTAATGATTTTTCAGTGATACATAAATTTCTCTCGCTAAAATCTAATACGTTGTTACATACACGAGCGAATCGTACAAGTTGAGATATATAAACACCATAAGATGGTGACAAGGGAACGTCACCATCTAAAAATGGATAATTAACGATAGGAAATGAAAAATCATCTCTTTTATCATAAATTTTTGTATTAAGCTTCCCGTTAATGATATAGATATCAAGATCGAGGAAAGGACAGTGGTCATTGTTAGTATTAGCTTTATTTAAAGTAAGTTCAACAGGATAAATTTCTTTAGTATACATACTGAAGTCGTCATTATTGAGAGCCAATATATCATCCAAATATCTAAAAGTATTGTTAAATTTTTGTATCAGATGTTGTTTCGATGGGTCTTTGCTGATTTTAGTCATAAATTGTAACTCATAACAATACAAAAACAGGTCCGCAATAAGTGGTGCACAGTTAGTCCCCATTGGAATTCTGATAACTTGACGATATACGGAATCTCCAAAGCGAACAAAAATGTTATCAAGTAAAAATTCAAGGGCAGATATAGTATCAAAGCATGTCCAATTGACATAGCTCTTTTGTTTGTTGTTATTAATAAAGGTTTTAGAAAATCTTCATCACCTATTGACAGTATTGATCGATGCACACCTTATTTCAGTTGTTATCCGAATGATATTCAATGTTTTGTTGAAGAAAAAACCCACAATTTGATATTCAAACTGCGGGTGGTATGAAGCTTGATATGCTTCCCCACCTATAAAGAAACCCCGATAGTATGGAGACCGAGTGAGGAAAATTCGCATATTTACAGAGTTCAATTGTCTCACGGACTATACGGCTATAAATCAAAGTATTGGTAGTTCAGATGCTAAACTTTTAAGTTTAAATTTTGATTTGTCGTCAAAAAAATCGTATAGTGCAATTTTTGTAAAATGGGCTTGAAAGTAAGTTAGCTTACTTTAAGGAAAAATTGACATTGACAAGTTTTTAGGTCTGCATTCTAAAAGAACATTCGTAATATGCTTTCTGTTAATATATACATTATTGTTACACCTTATTTTAGCCTGGTCACCGTACTACGATGGTTGCCACATTTTGAGCAGGATCTGCTCACCCTGCCAGAGCACCTGAGATCACACCAGTTTTTTGGTGGGGTTCGTGTTGCTCAGTCTTTAGTTATCTATGTTGTGTTTTGTATACTGTTGTCTGTCTTTTTATAGTTTTTTTTTTGTTTTTTGCCATGGCATTGTCAGTTCGTTTTCGACTTATGAGTTTGATTATCCCTTTGATATCTTTCGCCTCTCTTATACAAACCTTCATTCTTTCATTTGTTATTGATTCCGGAACAATATTCAAAGATTTGCCGCACCAAATTTAGTTGTGTCGAAAAAAAAGACAACATATTACAACATATTACACAAATCATCCTACAATCAGTTCAAAAATTGGGCTACATGTAGGAAGTTATGAGTCAACCTAAAACTATATAGTGTTTCAAGTATCGAACTTTTATATTCATGAATAACGTACATATGCGCTTGGAAGGCTATATCTTTAATTTATGGTTAAGACCCTTATTCATCACGACTATATAATGTTTGGTTATCCAATATTTTTGACAAAAAAGGGGAAGCCGTGAGATACAAATCAATTGTCCATGGAGAAAAGGAAAATAATGAAAAGACAAATAAAAGTCCATAAAACGCTACATAGAAATTCAAAACAAAAACCACAACAATAAACCGGGGATGAACTTATATGCGTAGATAGGTTGCGCAGTTCATTGTCCGCTAGTGGCACATGTACCCGTAATAAAAGCATGCACGCTACAATCTGGCGATCGTTGCTTCCGAAGCTGTAGATTTACCATTCAGTCCTCTAAAGTGAAGGTTATATAATGTATTCAATGCTTTTCAACTTTCGTACTTGATTTGGCCTTTTAACTTTTTTGATCTGGGTCTTTTGTAGACGAAGCACGCGTCTGGCGTACAAAATCATAAGTCTGGTACCTTTATTATTAATGATTTTTTTTTTTTTGTGAGATTAATTGTACAGTTCACACTTGTATTCTGTTACTGTTCCATCTATAAACCATTGCTTACATGGAATTAATAAAGGTTTTAGAAAATCTTCATCACCTATTGACAGTATTGATCGATGCACCCCTTATTTCAGTTGTTATCCGAATGATATTCAATGTTTTGTTGAAGAAAAAAACCCACAATTTGATATTCAAACTGCGGGTGGTATGAATCTGTGAGCTCTGTTTACAGTTCTTTAAGTTTTTAATTCGAAAAAAATCCATTTTTTTCTCAAATTTAAAGATGAGTATTCCTTTTCCAGTTTAGTTTAATTTAACTGGTATACTGAGACATTTTTCTAATAGTCCCAGGTTTTAAACTCGCTATAATGCATCTGAAATACCAAAGAATTAATTTGAATTTTAGCTGAAAGGGACTACGGAATGTGGTCTTACCTTTCGACCAAATCGAATGGATATATGGATGTTCCTACTGGTGCTCCATCCTGTTCAGGATGTGCCTGTGGAGTATTGAAGGATGATGGTATATTACAGTCCTGTAGTGGAACAGTGTAAGTATGGCACGTGGCAACCCGAATTAATTTTATTCGACTAATATCATGAAAAGAATGAATCTTCTTGGTTTGCACCGACTTCCGAAGCAAGGCCGTCGGTTCTCCGAACTTTCCCGAAGTCTTGCATTTAACACTTGTTTGATTGACTGTTTGATTGTTGGTTGCTTATAGTCTAGTGGCAAATAGTTCATGCATGGCAGGAAGAAACATTCGGTCTTTGCTTGAAAGTTGAGTTTGCTCTAGTCTGTGACTCACATGTGTTTTATTAATTAAATTCGACTCATTATATAAAAAAATTGTCGGAACTGTTCGTACTCGCTTTAAAGCATTACATGGATGAACTATGTATGCCGAATAAAATGGATAGAAACTATAGACATGATGGATTTTGAATACCCATAACTTTACATTGTATATATAACTTTTTAACAAGGGTTTTAATAGTTATACTACTATGAACTTGAATCCTTGATATAAAAATATAAAATGAGAAATTTATAAAAATATAGACATGTTTTCTTTGCATCTATTGAAATATGTAAAACTGAAATATGTTTAAATGTACTAATTTTATTCAATACTAATACTTTATAGACCAAGAACTAACAAGTAGGGGAAATCTTTAAACGGAATTGATTTAACATTGAACTTCACTTATTTACTTATCAAACAAATGAAAGGTTGAGAAGATTTATATTACGTCGGCTTTCCGTTTTCAACTTGATATATCAACAAACTTATTTTTGTCCTCTTTTTCGATAACATTTATGCTTTCGATGAATTTTGAAATTAGTATTTCTATGGATAAGCTAAACCAAGACAAATATTGAAGTGTGTCAATCTTCTCTCTTTCTTATTCTTTTCTTTTTTTTTTTTTTTTTATAGATTGTCAGTTCTTTTTGACACCGGTTGATTTTTTCTTTTAATTCTCTTTCATTGTTAATATTTCATGATTTTTTTTTTGTTTATTTTTTCTTTTCTCTTTTTTTACTTTTCATTTTCTTTTTTTGTGCTTACGATTTTTATTTCATTTTTTTTTCTACTATGATTTCAACTTATTTTCTTATTTTCCCATTATTATGTGTTTTTGGTCTGATCCATACAACTTCTAGGACTGGGTAGATCTAATCTTGGTCCAAGTTACAATCCCGCAAAAAATAATTCAGATGTGTTCAGTATTTTGAAGATAGATTAGTTTACAAATAAGTTGAAATATTTAAGAAAATTTAATAAATTACCCCCCCCCCCCCCCCCCCCTCCCCAACCCACCCACCCAAAGAAGAGTTAAGTTAAAGGGTCCAATGAATTTCCCAAGGGCCTCTGACAATGGGGCTAAAAGATGAGTCTGACGGTATCAGGCGGGTATAAACTTGTTATCGTTATTATAATTTCTAATCCCTTGATAAACATGATAAAACCGAAATACCTCAAGATAACGCGGAAATTTTCTGCTTTATACCCGTTACTGATTTACGTATTATAATTTTAGCGCCATTTTCGATTTGCAATATGTATAGAGAACAAAAAAGACCATTCTATAATTAATAAAATGTTATCAGATGAAGATTTAATGTTTGCTATTCGCTTGAGTCGATGGAATCTCTCGTACTTGGCGATCAAGCTACTGGTAACTTATAAATTTCAAGAAGAGGCCATGTTTACATCATAAAATGTTCTGCTCAAGACTACTGTACATAAAAACCTGGTGCACCTGGAAAAGTTTAAAGGCATGGCAGGAAATAGTAAAATAAATTAAATGCATTAGATAATATCAGGTAAAGTATAGCGATCATACACGCACAGTTAAAGACATGCACAAAATGTCACACAATGAACGAAAAAAATTTCAGGAAGCATGGTGACATATGAGATTCATGCACAATAACATGTGAAATAAAAATCTCAAAAACGTCACACGAAAATAACATTTTACTGTCCGTTCATAAACAAAGCAGATCCGTCCAATGGAAAGACGAGCCTTTGGCAGTCTTTTGATATCTAAATTGACAAACATAATTTTTTCTTCTTCTTCTTTAGGTTTTCAGTAGTCCTTCATTGATCTGAAGATTATTTACTGTTTTGCGCAGCGTGGCCTATATATATATATATATATATATTTACAAAAACACAAAAATAATTGGAAATAAATTTGGAGTGCATGATTTTTGCCTCGCCTTGACGGAGTCAAAAAGCGAGACATATCTATGCTGTTCCGGCGACGGCGTCAACAATGTATTAGTTTGTGATTAGGTCTAGTTCATGGTGATCCACTAGTGGTAGGTCAATGATATTTGGTATGCAGTTGTATTAGCATTGGCACATCTCATTACCCTGGAGATTATTTGGCCCCACCCCCTCAGTCAAGGTCTATTGACTTTGAAACTTTTCATAGTTTACATGTATTAGTTTGTGATTAGGTCAATGTATGGGGAACCACTAGTGGTAGGTCAATGATATTTGGTATGCAGTGGTATTAGCATTGGCACATCTCATTACCATGGAGATTATTTGGCCCCGCCCCCTCAGTCAAGGTCTATTGACTTTGAAACTTTTCATAGTTTACATGTATTAGTTTGTGATTAGGTCAGTTCAAGGGGAACCATTAGTGGTAGGCCAATTTTAATTTGTGTTCAGTTGTATAAGCATTAGCACATCTCATTTCCATGGAGAATATTTGGCCCCGCCCCCTCAGTCATTGTCTATTGACTTTGAAACTTTTGCTTAGTTTACATGTATTAGTTTGTGATTAGGTCAATTTATGGGGAACCACTAGTGGTAGGTCAATGATATTTGGTATGCAGTTGTATAAGCATTGGCATATCTCATTTCCATGGAGATTATTTGGCCCCACCCCCTCAGTCAAGGTCTATTGACTTTGAAACTTTTCATAGTTTACATGTATTAGTTTGTGATTAGGTCAATTTATGGGGAACCACTAGTGGTAGGTCAATGATATTTGGTATGCAGTTGTATAAGCATTGGCATATCTCATTTCCATGGAGATTATTTGGCCCCACCCCCTCAGTCAAGGTCTATTGACTTTGAAACTTTTGCTTAGTTTACATGTATTAGTTTGTGATTAGATCAGTTTAAGATGAACTGCTAATGTTAAGTCAATGATATTTGGTATGCAAATGTATTGGCATTGGCAAATATCGTTTCCATGGAGATTATATAGTCCCACCCCTGATCATGATTCATTGACTTTGAAACTTTTACATAGTTTATAAGTTAATGTTTGTGTTTAGGTTTGTTTAAAGGGAACAACTTATAATAAGTCAGTGGTATTTGGTATGCAGTTGTATTAGCATTGGCACATCTCATTCCATGGAGATTGTTTAGCCATGTACCTTCAGTCATGGTTCATCGACTTTGAATATTTGCATAACTTACATGATAAAGTATTGCTACATTGTATTTTAATTTCAACATTTGCATTATCAAAATTACAAAAAGGCGAGACATATCTCTGTGATAACAGTTTATTTTTTATTGTAATTAAAACTATGTACATAGGCTAATAATAAGTTAAATGAATTTGTGGAGAACAGCTGGTTTGAGCTGTTCTCTGAAAGTGTCGACAGTAGTGACCGCGACTGTATGGATTGGCAATAAATTCCACTGAGTTATAGTATATGGAAAAAATGAAAATTTATATGTATTTTTTTTGTTTGAAATGTGTCTGAAAGTGAAATTATGATTTTTGCGGGCTCTACTGTCTGATGGTATGAGAATAGTTTAGTTTAAACATATTTTATTGTTCAAAAATGACAAATGGATAAGACACAAGTTTTTCAACTTAGTAACGTCTTCTCCAAATCCCGAGTTTAATGAGAATAGCAGATGGGATTGCTACGATTTTATGTACTATTTTGTAGAACATTATCAATCTTGTGTGTAGTCTTCTTTCTTGTAGTGTGGGCCAGTTTAATGAGTTTATCATGTCTGTAGGACTACTGATGTTATGGTACCTGTTACAGACATACATGTATATGGCAGCTCGCCTTTGGACCATCTTGATTTTAGAGGTTTGTTCAACTGTGTGAGGGTCCCATACTGAACATGAATATTCCAGTTTTGGTCGGACAAGTGCCAGATATGCCTGAGTTTTGATGTTCTGACATGATGTTTTTAAATTTCTTTTTTAAGAAACCCAAAGATTTGTTGCCATTAGCTATGATGTTGTCTGTATGTTTTGACCATTTTAAGTTTGCTTGTAGTGTAATGCCCAGATATTTAGCTAAAGAGATAGACCAGTTCAAGTTTGTGATTGTGGAGGATATAGTCATGTTTAAACGTTTTTTTCTTTTGTGATACTGTAAGGACTCTGCATTTGTCTGGATGGAAAGCCATCAACCAGTCTTGCTCCCACCTAGCAGCTGCATCTAAATCTAACTGTAGTGCATCACAGTCACTTTGAGATTTGATGGTTTTGTAGATGATACTGTCATCGGCAAACAGTCTGAGCTTACTGGATGATAGGTATTCTGGTAGGTCATTAATATATACCAAGAATAATACTGGGCCCAGGACTGTGCCTTGAGGGACACCTGAGGTGACTGGAGCCAGGTCAGATGACTCTCCATCCAGGACAACTGTTTGTGTTCTATCATTTAAGAAGGCAGAGACCCAGTTTAAAGTTTCATTTCGGATACCGTAATAGTTTAATTTGTAAAGTAATTATTTATGAGGGACTTTGTCAAAGGCTTTGGCAAAGTCCATTATAATTAAGTCTGTTTGAGTGTTGTTGTTATTATTTCAATCTATGAAACAAGAAAATTCCAAATTTGTTTCAGGATATATGTTACTTTAAACTTGATGTCTTAATTCACCTCGCCTAACATGCCTAATACAAACATTGACAAAACATTTTATGAGGAATTTTACTTTTTTTTTTCCAGAACAATTGCACATTACAGTTTCCCTAACATATCATCAGAAACATTTGCAGTGTCAACTTCTGAAATGTAAGTATTTAGACTAAATGCAATTAGTTTTTTTTGGTACCAATTTACCATGTTTACGTAGATTAAGGAAAAATGTATGTTTGTGGATCATAATTTTTTTTTTTTAAAGGCAGTACCTTTATGCCTTTAATTGTGTCAGGCAATAGGCATTTCGTATCTATTTGGGGGTAAATACTTCATCATAACAATCCTGAAAAGTGAAATTCTTTCTTCTTCTTTTTGTGATATTCTGTGTTATTTATTGTTATTCATTGACACCGGGCATTAAAGAATCAAACAGTGTTTTTTTGTTAATTTTAAAACTTTGGATAGAGTTGCATTTTGCATTATGAGCAGTCAACCGATTGACATACCAGAATTACTTAAAAAATCTGTGTGAAAGAGTTCGGGATTTATTTCGAGTGGTATTTTAATCTAAAATTCTTTTTAAGATAGTCTCTGTCGTTGATATAATAATGAAATGTCGACTGAACTATACCTACAGTCAGGGGTACTACTTGTAATGTACAAGTAATTTTTATTTACTTGAAGAAGTAAATATTAATATACTTATATAAGTAAATTTGTAGGATACTTATACAAGTGTATTTTATTTACTTGTATAGGTAAAAAAAAAGGGCTTAGTTATGTCCCTTTATAGACATTCAGATTTTTTTACTTATACAAGTAAAAAATTCATCCTATCTTCTTTTCTTGAATTCTTAGGACTTGTTTGCTCTAATAGAATTTTTGATTGTCTGTCCTTTGCAGATGTCTTTACTAATCATTTTATTCTTATAATCATTTAAGTGTAATTTCATGGACAATGAAAATCTCATTTGTCTGTTATCTTCAGAACACTGCTCTTTTACAAGCCCCCAAGGGGCAATTTTTGAAGGCCTTGTGCAAATACTTCAGATATTTGCGCAATCAGTTTCTTTGTTGAATTAATGAGATGAAACATTGAACTCTAATAAAAAATTATGAGCTAACCTGAGAAAAATTGTTAAAGGCATGTTTTTACATCTCAAAACTTGAGAATTTTTGTGGGATTGTAAAAAAAATTTACTTATACAAGTAAATTTTTGAGAAAATTAAGGGGAGATTATTCAAACATTATAATTAACTTATATAAGTTTATTTTATTTACTTCTTCAAGTAAATAAAGATTACTTGTACAAGTAGTACCCCTGACTGACCTAGTCGCCACATGTCAATACTAACTCAGTTTTTTCTGGAATCCAATTATGTTTCCTTTTCTCATTAGAACATTTGGTAAATCGAATTTCTGAAATCCGCCTAAACTAATAATATCCATTTGGAATTTATCGAAAACGAGAGCTGTTGAAAATTGTCTGAAGTTCAGACATACATGTAGCTATCATGTCAGACCCTTTGTCAGGTAAACAATTTCGATCTATTAGGTCCGATAAAAAGTTTTTTTAAATCTGAAACCAACAGTGCCAAAGTTGACAACCGGGAATCAATGAATAATCGATACACTTAGGTTTTTTACTTCTACATGCATAAATCAAAGACGCATAAACCCGAGAGTGCCGAACTTATCTGGTTTAACTGACATTACACAACTTGTGTTGATAGTGATAATAGTTTGACTGAACAAACAACAGGTGATTGAATATTAATAACTTGATATAGCTTCAGTTTATGTCACACGCCAAAGATGATAAAGGTAAATACTGGCATTGATAGAAAAGTGTTGTCAAATCATTGATCGGAAGGTTTTGATGACGAAAAAACATTTAATAAACTATCACTCAGCAAAAAAATGCTCACTATTTCACACTTCAATGCGGACATTTAAAGAACCATCATGCTCAAGAAGTACCGAAATTGACAGCAGGGTCTACAATGACTCAAAAACAATTCACAGCCTCCTCAGTGTTTAGTATTTAGACCCCCCCTTTTTCAAAATCCTGGATCCTCACCTGATTGATCACCCTGAAAATATGTATATATTCTTTAATAACTCTTGTACAGAGATGTGTAATATATGACAATTACATAATTATAAGATCAAATAATTCATGAATAGTTAAAGGGTTTTTACCGCTTTCTGACTATAGAATCGTTTAAACGACAGAAACAACACAAACCACTGCAGCAGGCTTGTATACCGAACTGGGTCAAGTCTTACAAATGTGATATATATAAATATGCATGTTATTTAAGGGCAGTAAGTTACCTTTGCAATTCAATTACCCTATAAGAATCGCTGACATGCCAGACAATGGGTACACAACAACTCGTACCTTTACCAACTCATCCCAAAAAACTCATACTTTTACCAACTCATACTTCTACCAAATCGTACACATTTTTGTAGTGTTTTCATGTTAATTTTGTATTTTATGATTAATCTTGTTCGAGACATGTATAGTATATATAAGAATATAAGAAGATGTGGTTTGCTAATGAGACAACTTTCCACTAAAGACCAAATGACATAGCAGTTAACAACTATAGATCACCGTATGGCCTTAAACAATGAGCAAAACTCATACCGCATAGTCAGCTATTAAAGGCCCCGAAATGACAAATGTAAAACAATTTAAACAAGAAAATTCACGGCCTGATTTATTACATGTCTCTGATCTAGTAACAAAAATTTCTTGACAAACACAATGGCTTTGTTTGGAATGCAGCTTAAATCTCTTTAATCAGTCAGGGGAATTACTTAAATGAGTGATTAAGAAATCACTGATTCAAGTAATACTTTTCCAGAAATGTTGGAAGAAAGAGTTGTCTTTCTTTAATAATCACCTATTTAAGTAATACAAATAAATCCCTAGACTAAGTGATTTAATTTTATTATATAATACTAATGATCCAGGGACTAATTATGATGCTAAAATTATCAGAACCAACATCTGTGTTTAATAGGATGACCGGTCATGTCCAGTGATGACCCTGTACCGAATCTGGGATAATGACATGAAAATCACTTGTTTAAGTATCATACCTCTAGTTTCTTCCAAAAAATCACTTGTTTAAGTATTATAATTTTAATAACCCCCACTAAGTTCAACTCCCCCGAACAGTGAAATTTTGGTGGGGAACAGTAAAATTTTATTACATAATCTGTAAGATGAAACCTTGAATTTTACAGGAAAAATACTCCCACTGCTGGGAAAAATCTGTTAAGAAAGCATTAGATCATTATGTTAATATAAAATAAAAGGATATGGAGTAAATGTACAAGGGACAAAATCGCACACAATACATACATGTAGAAAACATAGAAAATTATCAATGAACAGGGCTTTTATTCCTGTTCTTCATCTATCTTATTTATAAAAAAAATTTCAGCAAATATAGAATTTACAGATGAATGATTGCACCAAAGGCATAAACCTTGCTACTTAAAAGAAGGTTCATTTTTTTCAATTTTACTAATAATTAGATATAATCCAAACCTGTATGTTTAAAATTTTGGTAAAACTACAAAATCACAGAATTTCTAATTTGCTACTTTAATGAGTGATTTGTCACCAGGCTTATTTGGACTTAATTTTAATTTTATCATTTTATTTAGAAATTGGACTTTTGGAAAAGATATTATTTACAAATTTAAATATTTACATGTATAGACAAATAATGTGTTAATCTTAATTAGTGACATATGATTTTCAAATGTTTGTGACAGATTTATTTATTAAGTAACAGAAATTAATATGAAAGACATTAATTCATACTAAAGGTGTGAAAATTATTGAAAGAATGAGATTATATATGAGTATTATAAATTATAATTATCTTTTATATTAATTAATGTGAATGCTGTCACTTATAGCTTAAAGTTATGAAATGTCATTTTAATTTGAGTATTGTCATGTTAATTGAGTATTGTCTATTTTCGATATTTAGTATAAATACTTATTGTAAACTTTGTAAAAATCAGTACGATCAGAAGTAAGATACTTTTGAGTTAAAAAGTAAGATACAGTAGGAGTCACATTATATTGACATTGTCCTTTGTATATGTTATATTAGTACTTTGGCTTGGAATTAAATTATATAACTTGAATGTGTTGGATCTTCGTGAACTGCAACAACTAGTTCCTGATATTGGTGACTTCCATAGTTTAATTGTTTTTCTAATGATTTTAAAAATAAAATTATGACCCCGTAACATTTAGGGAGCCAAGACAAGAGTACCAGCTGTGCCCCTATTGGTTACAGATTAATAAATCACTTATTTCAGTAATTCCCCTGACTGTTAATTGTGAAGTAACGAATTCATCTGTTTTCTCCATGGTGGTAAATGAGGACAAGCATCACTTCATCTTGAGCTTGAAATCTGAATTGTGTTCTTGGAAAAGATATTATTTGACTGATTTTTCATTGGGTCAAGGATTTCTATACCAATCCTTGGTTGGGTATATTGATTTGAAGAATTTTTATTTTTTATTTTATCTATAAAGACTTCACCATCTTTTTGATATCATTAAGCTGCAACATGAATTGAACAAATCAAAATATTTATACATATATATATATATATATATACAGACCCATTTCTGATAATATTAACAAAACATCAATGCATTTACGGAATTTAAAATGTTAAACTTTAAAGCTATATTTTTTCTTATCAGTGAAAATTGTGATTGTAAAAGTTCAGAAATTTATGTTTTATTAACTTCTCAATAAACTCAATTAACCCCATTTTAATCAGTTTTAGGTCCACCGTATGATGACCCCTAAGTAGTATATTTTATAATCATAATTTCAAATCAAAATATCTATTTTCCTCTTTTATTTTGTAAATTTAATATGACAAAAAATAACTAAAAAGTAAAATCACAAAAATACTGAACTCCTAGGAAAATTCAAAACGGAAAGTCCCTTATCAAGATACTGCAAATGAATACAACTGAAAATTGGGTACAAGTTGGTAGAAACGAGTTAGTAAAAGTCAGGGACGAGTTGGCAATAGTACCAGTTGACATGGATCCCCAGACAATGTTCCCCTTACACAAACACAGGCTTGTATACCCATCTCTGTTGTGAAATTATATTTTCTGTCTTGACTCTCTTGCCATCCAGGCATAATTCAGAGCGCCTTAACCTTGATCATTCAAATAAAGTAAACATTTCTGAAGACATGCTCAAGCATTGTATATAATTTTACTGAAATCGTGTAATTTTATTTAATGCACCAAAATTACATCACTATAATTTGGCATGAACATTGAAGTTGGTATTTATATATTCCTAAGTAAACCTAAGTACATGGTAAAATCCATAGTAATACATCCACTAGTACAACATATACAAATGTAGGACTTTTTATAATCCAACCGTACTTTCAATCACTATCTGAAGTAAGTTTACACCCTCCCAAAAATATAACATGCATAACAAAAATATGGTAGGATCATTTTTTTGTCGGAGTTGGACATTGACAATAATTGGTGACCTGGCATGGTCATTCTTGGAGTCATACTTGGAACTATTAACTTTTTTGCTAAGAGTAATTTTTTGAAGAATAATGATTTTCTTGGAAAGAGTGGACACTTGGAGATGCATTATATAACTCAATGTTTTTGAGATAAATTTGCATCAAGCCATCATGATGAACTGGAATGGTTATTTTTTAAACTTGAGATGTGAATAACCACCAATAGTGAAACCAAAATTGACCCTAAATATTCAATTCCATTTTTTTAGTAAAAATTAAAAACAATTTGTTTCTCGAAAAAGTCAATTCTAATTAAGTTGCTCTGTAGCTGGAAATTTTTTAATTTAAAAGATATAAGTGCATTTATATACTCATGCAATAATATTTTTTTGGAAATGCAATGTTGCATTACCATTTCCATGCCATAATATAAATTGAAAAATGTCTAAATATTTGATATTGTAAGCCTTTGCTGCATTATTATAGTTTCAAGCATCTCCAGGATCATCATCATTTATAGTGTAGTCTAGAAATAATCATGTTTCGTAGGTACATAATTCCCTTACGACTAAAGGGAGGGTGACCAACTAATTATATTTTAATTTCCCAATTATTTCCTGCAGTATACATCATGTACATGTATCATCAAACTTTTTCACCCATTCGCTCAACATGTGTTGGAAGTGACGATGCCTACATTTTGGTCATGTGGTGATGGAAGTCACATGACAGATATAACTAACTACCATGTCCTGGAACCTCACATCATTTTTATGCACCCGCAACTAAAAGTTGGGGGCATATTGTTTTACCCCTGTCCGTCCATCTGTCTGTCCTTCCGTCCATCCTTCCCTCCGTTCCATTATGGGTATATAGTTATTCCGCATAACTCCTACAGTTTGAATCCTAGGAAGTTTTCGCTTTGCTGTCTGTTTGTACATATATTGAAGATGTGCATGTGGTCAGGGTTTTGATTTTTATTAATATTTGCTCTTTTGGGAGAAAGTTGAACTTTGTCATTTTTTGGAGTATTTACTTGCATAAGAGGAGCGTTTCCAGATAACTCCTCCTACAGTTTGAATGCTAGGAAGTTTTCACTTTACTGGCTGTCTGTACATATATTGAAGATGTGCATATGGTCAGGGTTTTGATTTTATTAATACTTGCTCTTTTGGGAGATAGTTGAACTTTGTCATTTTTTGGAGTATTTACTTGCATAAGAGGAGCGTTTCCAGATAACTCCTCCTACAGTTTGAATGCTAGGAAGTTTTCACTTTACTGGCTGTCTGTACATATATTGAAGATGTGCATGTGGTCAGGGTTTTGATTTTTATTAATATTTGCCCTTTTAGGAGATAGTTGAACTTTGTCATTTTTGGGGTATAAGCGGTTAAATGTTTTAGTTTTTTTAAAATAACACTTTGCATCTGCGGGGGCATCAATTGTGTCTGCCAGACACAATAATATCTCAAAGAAAGTCCTACATTGACTTTGTTATAATAAAGTTACTTCAGAGTGGAGTTTTGGGGCATCACTTTGTATAGTTTAAATAAAAACTGACTTGTAGCTACAAGTCAGATGAGATTTCATGCTATTTTGTCCTGTAAACAAGTACATTTTAATTTTTTACTGTCTTACAAGTACAAAAATAACCTTAAGTGTTAACTTTTTCTGCCATATACCTATCTATATTTTATAGTTGAGCATTTAAATGCCAATGTTGCAAATGCTTTCCACGAATTCTTTTTTAAGAACAAACATTCGTCTGGCATAAAAAATTATCTTTTATAAGTTTTTTTAATCAATAAAACAAATGAATGAGAGACTTAAAAAATGTAGTTATGTGAAATTACCTTTTTATTTAAATGAGTATTTGTGATAAATTAAAAAAAAGTCCTGTAAAGGCTGTATGATTCATAGATTTACTTGAAAACCAGCATGTACAGATAGACTTTGTTATTGTAAATCATCTTTCATATATGTATATTCATAGTTATATTTACTGAATATGTTTGATTTAAAATGTTAAAAGTACTGAGAGTATCAAGATTCATTGACCATGTTGACAGCATCTGACCTGAAATGGCTAAATAAGTCCAGCACATTCTGACTTAAATAAATCTGAAAATGCTTTTACTTCTTCAGTAAAATGCATAATCTGAATTGCTTAAGTCTTTCAAGATTCAGACTTGATTATATATTCAGAGTTCTGACTGCTATAGATGTGCACTGTTTTTAAGGGATCTACAACAAATGTATTGTTAATGTTAAAGTTGTTGTAAAGACTTTAAAAAACAGAGAATTGATTCTTAACAGTTATAATAGTATGTTTTTATATTATTCATATGTCATTATCTTTTTGTTTTGTATCTGCAGATCCATCAGACATTGTAGTGCATTTGTTATTGTTGGTCAGACTTTTGTCAACTTGACTAGTTTAACCAAACTGTAAGTTATTTTATTGCAACATATTCCATATCAATTACATGTATCTTTTTGGTAAATGCTGATTAAAGGCTGCATCTTAGGTGTCAGACCACCAATTAAAATTCCCTATCTGTTCAACCAAAATTTACAATTTTCACAGCTTTCTAAATATTTTACCTTAAGTTTAACTTCATAGAAACCAGGTATATTCTGAATTGTACATGTATCATCTTTCTACATGCCAATTTTCAAAATACCTTTAAAATCATATAAGAAAGAAGAGGCCTCCCTAATAGAGGTACCACTAAAAATAACCCCTGGTTTTCTGGAAATCGTAAATTAGTAGACTATGGAGTGCATTAATCCTCAATGTTGAATGCAAACTCATAGACAAGTAAATTTTGGCTCAAAATGGTCTTAATATATTTCTCTTTCACCAAAAGTTTCATTTCTGCCAATTTGTTGGTTATTTTAAGTAAACAATGACATCAAATGCACTATGTTTTGTCCGAGTAGGCCTTCTTTCACATACATTCTAAATTGGAGGGAGTAATTGGTGGTCTGACACCTCTTAGTGCCTGGTTGGGAAAAGGCATCTGATAGTAAACAATAAGACACCTTCAAAATATGTGCATTATATTAAATCACTCTTGCTGGTGTTTAAAGTAAAGGTACAGTAAATGGGCTATGTCATGATTTGGTTAAATTTTCCATCATGTAACAACTATAGCTGGTTGAACACGTTATTGAAAAGAGAAAAAATAATGCATTTATCTCTTTTATTTTCCGAAATATTTCTAAATGAATTCTTTCAAAATAGGTGAACATTTGTATTTAAAGCATAAAAATATTAGGAAAAAAAATTCTTAAATTGTCCTAAAATCATCAATTCTCCAATTTCAATTCCATAAATATTTCACACAAAAACACTTATTTTTAACTCAATTTTGCCCCCTCATATATAATTGCAACTGGTTATGAAGACCTATCCAAAGCAGTCACTTAGTATACAGTATGTCCTTGTTTTGCTGGTATAGCAAAAAATAAGTCTAAGCATGCAGATACTTATACTATTGCGGAAATAAATAAATAAATATTCTGAATGTGCTGTTTTCTTTTTTGCAGAACAATAGAAAATAGTGGAATTACAACAATGCCAGATCTCGGTAATACACAGATAACTGAGCTGTGAGTTTAAAATACAACACGGAGCCTTGGCTCGCCGAACAGCAAGCTATAAAGGGCCCCAAAAATTACTAGTGTAAAACCATTCAAACGGGAAAACCAACGGTCTAATCTATATAAAAACGAGAAACGAGAAACACGTATAAACTACATAAACAGACGACAACTACTGTACATCAGATTCCTGACTTAGGCAAGCTCTTATTTGCTATGAGTTTAGTAGAAAAGCTCTTAAATGCCATGAGTTGAGTAGAAAAGCTTTAAATTGCCATGAGTTTAGTAGAAAAGCTCTAAATTGCCATGAGTTTAGTAGAAACACTCTAAATAGCCATGAGTTTAGTAGAACAGTATGGAATAAAATTTGCAGATTATCTTTTAGTAAAATTAACAAAAATGATGGATAAGATAGAACATGATGCATTAATTCATGGCACAAAATCACTAACATACACTTTACAAAATCAGAAAGGGCTACCAAATTCCCTAGAAAATTACTGTGGATTCATTTATTTTCGTGGGTATCAATTTTCTTGGATTGAGAAAAACTTGCATTTTCGTGGATATTTGATTTCGCAGTTTTGCCATGGTCTGCATACATTCTTATAGAAAATTTGTAATTTGTTGTACATTGGAATTCATGGTTCCTGGGTAACCACGAAATCCACGAAAATTGGTATCCAACGAATAATAGTGAATCCATAGTAAGATAGAACAGAGGACAATCACCACTGATGTTCTTGATTTTGGACAGGCCACATAAATATTTTTCAGAGTTGGAACTAGTTCTTTGAGATCTTAAACATCTACCCTTTCATCTTACTGCCTATCATTTACTTAGATCATGGACAGGATGTTATACTTAAAAATACTAAGCAATGACGTCACATGTGCATGTCCATCCACGTCAATTTATCAATGAAATGCATGCAACTTCATTCATAAACCAAACAACTATTGCAACGTTTTGTACATGTAAAAATAGTTATACTTACTATTTCATTTATTTCATTTTCTCAATCCAAAAAACATATTGTTCAGACAAATAGCCAACAAAAAGAATAATGTCATTTTTAGCTCACCTGGCCCGAAGGGCCAAGTGAGCTTTTCTCATCACTTGGCGTCCGTCGTCCGTCGTCCGGCGTCGTCCGTCGTCGGCGTTAACTTTTTACATTTTGAACTTCTTCTAGAGAACCACTGAATGGAATGAAACCAAACATGGCATGAATGTTCCTTATGAGGTGCTGACCAAGTGTTGTTACTTTGTAGCCGATCCATCATCCAAGATGGCCGCCAGCGGGGGACTTAGTTTAACATAGGACCCTATGGGAAATGCATACAAATGACTTCTTTTAGTGAACCACTGAATGGAATAAAACCAAACATGGCATGAATGTTCCTTATGAGGTGCTCACCAAGTGTTGTTACTTTGTAGCCGATCCATCATCCAAGATGGCCGCCAGCGGGGGACTTAGTTTAACATAGGACCCTATGGGAAATGCATACAAATGACTTCTTTTAGAGAACCACTGAATGGAATAAAACCAAACATGGCATGAATGTTCCTTATGAGGTGCTGACCATGTGTTGTTACTTTGTAGCCGATCCATCATCCAAGATGGCCGCCATCGGGGAACTTAGTTTAACATAGGACCCTATGGGAAATACATACAAATGTCTTCTTTTAGAGAACCACTGAATGGAATGAAACCAAACATGGCATGAATGTTCCTTATGAGGTGCTGACCAAGTGTTGTTACTTTGTAGCCGATCCATTATCCAAGATGGCCGCCAGCGGGGGACTTAGTTTAACATAGGACCCTATGGGAAATACATAAAAATGTCTTCTTTTAGAGAACCACTGAATGGAATGGAACCAAACATGGCATGAATGTTCCGTATGAGATGCTGAGCAAGAGTTGTTACTTTGCAGTCGGTCCATCATCCAAGATGGCCGCCAGCGGGGGACTTAGTTTAACATAGGACCCTATGGGAAATACATACAAATGTCTTCTTTTAGAGAACCACTGAATGGAATGAAACCAAACATGGCATGAATGTTCCTTATGAGGTTCTGACCAAGTGTTGTTACTTTGTAGCCGATCCATAATCCAAGATGGCCGCCAGCGGGGGACTTAGTTTAACATAGGACCCTATGGGAAATACATACAAATGTCTTCTTTTAGTGAACCACTGAATGGAATGAAACCAAACATGGCATGAATCTTCCTTATGAGATGCTGACCAAGTGTTGTTACTTTGTAGCTGATCCATCATCCAAGATGGCCCCCAGCGGGGGACTTAGTTTTACATAGGACCCTTTGGGAAATACATGAAAATGTCTTCTTTTAGAGAACCAATAAATGGAATGGAACCAAACATGGCATGAATGTTCCTTATGAGATGTTGACCAAGTGTTGTTACTTTGCAGCCGATCCATAATCCAAGATGGCCGACAGCGGGGGACTTAGTTTAACATAGGACCCTATGGGAAATACATACAATTGTCTTCTTTTAGAGAACCACTGAATGGAATTGAACCAAACATGGCATGAATGTTCCTTATGAGTTGCTGACCAAGTGTTGTTACTTTGCAGTCGATCCATCATCCAAGATGGCCGCTAGGGGGGGGGGCTTAGTTTAACATAGGACCCTATGGGAAATACATACAAATGTCTTCTTTTAGAGTACCACTGAATGGAATGAAACCAAACATGGCATGAATGTTCCTTATGAAGTGCTGACCAAGTGTTGCTACTTTGTTGCCGATTTACTGTTCAAGATGGCCACCAGGATATTTTATTAAATAACAGGACCAATATTAATCAAAATTTGGCCTCAATCATTATTTGGGTATCTGTTATGATTTTTATCTATCTTTACATGATTTCTAAAACCAAAGTAGAGTCAGGTGAGCGACACAGGCTCTTGAGAGCCTCTAGTTTTTATAGTGACTTCATCAGCTAGAATACCAGTGTGCGCTAGCAGGCTAGCTTGATATTCTTCTGATAAAGTCAGTATCAAAACTATAAAAGCCATTATTCTATATGTTTAGAGTTATAAATATTTTGTTTTTTTATTATTACTTATGTAGTAGAATTTCAGCACCATAACCTCTTTATTTCACAGGAATTTGATGTTCAACAGCATAGAAATAAAGACGAATTTTAAAGGGAGTCTACCAACTACAATCACTCATGTGTGAGTATTAGGTCACATTACAGTTTTATATTCTCATGTATTAAAAGAGATGTTGGGTATTCATCAATTAGACAGCAACACAAGGAAAAAAGGGCATATAGAAGGTTACATACAGTCTTGAACATTAAACAGGTGTCTATGCTTCAAGCATCCTTTTCGCCAAGCGGGAATTCAAGTTGAATTATTTTTTTTATTTCTCAATATTGAACATATGGGGATGGAGAATTTTAAAGTTTATTCTGTGGAATTCATTATGCTTACCCATCAAAGGTTAGTTTCACTATGCAACATAACCAGCATTTATATACAAGATTTACCGTAATTGGTTGTGTATTATACACACTTTTTAAACCAAGACATATAGTTGATTGAGGCATGGAAGTATAAAATTGACAGGAACTCCAACGAAAAATTAGCACATTCCCATCCCACTGATTTCTTGAAGAAAATAAAAGGTTCCGACTCAGTTTGTCAAGTACGTGATAATTCCTTTGTGGGGTATCTGCGATGCCGCCTTCGCCTGTTCTGTTAACTGAAGCTGGTCTTATCACGTGATTTGGTATCGAGTGTCTTATCTAACTACCAATGTAAATAAACACGGAAACTCCCGTGGTTATTTGCGAATAGCCAAAGTAATAACGACACCTGTTTCCGTTCAATAAATAAAGACAAAAGCTGAAAAGATCTAAAAAATCGGTCCATATTTAACAGAATGACATAAGAAAATTAACTGCATTCTGAAAGAGGGCAAGCTTATTTTTAGTTTTGTTTAATATGTTTTAATCATTGAAACTTGGAAATCGGGAAATATCCGATATCAAAAATTACATGTACTTAAAGTCGGGTGTTTGCGGAAAACAATGTGATGCACGTGTAGTGTGCCGGATGCTGCTGGATAGCTTTAATTTAAGTTTTAAGGTTGTTAATTTTTATCGAATGTTACAAGAAAATTTATTGTTTTCTCTATCGTCTCAATTTGAAAAATGTTATTAACGTATTTAACAAATATGTTTTAAAGACTAAAAGAGCTTTATAATTACACGCACGTGATGACCTCTACATAGCAATATCAGGTTACGAGACAGATGAATTGTTGCACCTTTCATAATAAGTCCAAAGTTGTAAACAAACCTTAAACATTCAACCTAGTCTGAGATTACTCTGACGTCTGATAGATTATTTTTACGAATGGCATTTATTAATTCTGGATCGGCATTTAAAGAAATTTGTTTTTTTTGTTGTTTTTTTTTTTGTTGTGAAAACAGTCGCGGGGATTTCATTTCTTTGTATTTGTTTTTACGCAGCAAAACCAGAAAAACTGACATGGCCAGTTAATGTCGTTTCCTTGACAATTAAGTACACATCCTGTTATTTCGGTATGTTCCGTAATTACGATCAATCACGAGGTTCCAAAAATTTGATCGGAACCCATGCATCCATGTGACATGTCGAGTTAATTAACAAATACTTAACGATTTTGCGGCATCGCACTATAAACGTTTGAAGTCTGCTTGTTGGTGTTCCTGTCAATATAATACTTCCATGATAGAGGGGATGGGTATTATACATAAATGAAGACGTTTTTCAATTTTTTTTTTTTTTTTTTTTAATTAATAACCAGATTAAGTCTTTTTTTCTTCATTATTGTATACTCAAGTACAACATTCATAATTCTGTCAAGCATTGGTAGCATGAATTTTCAGCTCTTAAATCATCTTCCTTTCTGAGCTCCACTCAGATGTTCTGATTTTATAAGATCTGCTTACAAATGATTGACAGAGTTATGAATGTTGTACTGGATTGCAGGATCAATTTAGAATTTGCATCTGAATCTATAACTAACATTTATGTGATTTTTTGTAGAGCTCTGACAGGTAACAACATTTACTGGATACCCAATGTATTCTTAAAGGGGCCAAATCTTAGAAGCGTGTAAGTAAAAAAAAAAAACAGTGAAAACTTGTGTAATGTTACTTTCTTACCAGACATTTAAGATTTAACCATAGCAAAATTTCAAAATATTTAAAAAAGGAGATGGCAAAAAAAAAAATATAGAAATATTATTCAAATTTCAAGTTTCTTTTAAAGAATTAGTGCCTTATTACATTTGTTCCTTTAGCATTAAAATTATTTTGCTTCAACTAACTGTCTACTTATCATGTATTTCAACTCATTGTTGGGTTGTTGATCCTTAACTGTTTTACATCTTATCAGTAACTAAAATCATTTTGGCTAATTAGTTCTTGGTTAAGTTTTATTAAATTGTAATAAGCATGTGATAGTTTCAGAAATTAACTGATTTTTGCAAGGAAACATTTCTAGGTTGGATCTTTCCTGATAAAAATGTGTCAAGAAAGTTAAAAATTGTGAAAATAAATTGCTGTGAAGTTGGCTTGAAATGGCTAAACACAAAAAAATAGTTTGTTAACATTACATTAGAAAGAATGACAAATGAAGACAATATTGATATTAATTTTTTTTTTCTCATATATTTGATTATCTTTCAGGAGTTTAGGTGGCAATTCCTTCATAAATTTCCCTGTTTTAGGATTCGGCAGTGTTCCTAGTCTTGTGTATTTGTAAGTAGATTTTGCTGTAAGCCCATGTGTTATTTTTCTGTAAGTTTTTCTTTGTCTAGAACGCCTAAGCAAACATGTGTGACAAAATTTAAAATATTTCAAAGAACAAGATAATTTGAAAGTAAAAGCAAACATTTTACGTGTGTTTTACCTGGGATAATAAAAGAACAAATTAGACATGTCAAGATAATTAATACAGATAGATAGGTATATATAGAAATTTTCACCATTCTTTAACCAGATTGAAATGGAAAAAAAAGCTTTACTGTAAATTCAGAAATTTTTGTGAAGTTTTTATTATTGTGAAAATCAAACAAGATATGTTATCTGTATCCAGCATTTACTTTCAAATTCTTTATTAACTTTGAGCCTTACTTAAATCGCAACAATTTATCTCACATTTTATAAACAATCCCAATTATAAGTGGACGCAAACATTTCAGAATTTACAGCAACTGGTATTCATTTGACCTGAGCCTTAGGTACATACAGAAGATCTTTCGGGTATTTTCAAGATTTACAGATAAGCCATATTGAAATGGAAACACATGATGTAACACTTTATCTCAATTAACTTGAATCTTAGATGAGTCAAATAGTTCTGTCAGGTACCTTTAACTTTGACTTTAAGCAAGATTCAAGTGAATCTTAATTTTTTATTACAAGAAGAGACTTAAGGATGTTCGCTCCTCTTGTTTTTGAATTTTTGTCAGATATTCAGAATCCTCTGGTTTTATCCATGTAGTGCTAATAAATATTTTACCCGCTAACCTCTACATTTTTTCATTATTTTATTACATATAGTTTAAAAAGCCATATTTGAAAATCTTATAAAATCCTTGTTATTTTTCATAGTTTTTTGTAAGAAAAAATGAGCCAATCTTAAATATATGAAAAATCTAGAGAGAATCATTTCCCGTCAAATTTTCAATGGCTTTTATCTCGAAAACATGCACACAGACCCTTCATTTATTTCTGCTTTTTTATTTCCTTTATTCATAAACTATCAATTTATAACAGTCTTTTAAAAAGCTTGTTATTTTGAAACAGAGTAGCGAACATCCTTAATATTTGTTTGTAAATAGAATTCAGAATGGAAACGGGGAATGTGTCAAATAGACAACAACCCGACCAAAAATAATTTTATGTTTGACACCAATGTTATAATGTTTATTGTAATTTTTCTTCCATCTTAATTAGTGGTATAGAAAACAACCAGCTGAGAAGACTGTCAGTACAACATATTAACAACTTTAAAGAAACTACACAGCTTCATCTGTAAGTGTTTTGGTTTTAAATCTTAATATTTGCTATACTCATATTGTCCACTCTTTCTGTAATATCTTCTGAGTTGTGACCCCTATTATTATTTGAACTTTTTATCTCTGCATTTTGTATTGTGTTCCGTCTATTTATTTTTGTTATTGCTAATTTTTTTAATGTGCTTGTTGAAAGTATGAATATTTTATCCTCACAAGTATCATAAGTGTTATCATTTACTTCATATTTTTACAGTTTGGTTTGAAATTGTTTGTTTTATGCAAATTATTAGCAATGACATTAACGGTACCAATTTTTTGTGCACCAGATGCGCATTTTGAAAATTGATGTCTCTTGGGTGATGCTGGAGGCCGAAATATTTGAAAATCCAAAACCTTATGTTAATGGTTGAAGAGTAGATCAAAACAAAAAGGAGCTAAAGTATAGCCAAATCAGGACCAGGAATCAGAGCTTTGCATGAAGGAGATGTATTCCTTAATTCAAAATGATTTCAAAAATGTTATCACAGGAAATTTCAATCTGGCAATATCCATATTTTCATGCCAGTATTGAAGTACTGGCTTATGAGCCAGTGATACCTGCAGGTACTAACAGTCCACCAGTAGAGGTATCGACCAAGTGGTAGAAATAACATTAACTGTACCTATTTTTATGCACCAGATGTGCAAATCGACAATTGATGACTCTCTTCATTGATGCTCAAGACCGAAATAGTAACTGATTCATTTTGCTCTTGATCTTGTTGAAGTAGTTTCTTAATCTTACCATACTGCAGTGATACAGACTGATAATAAACTATGTATCACATGCTGTATCTACCTTAGGGATCAATATAAGGCAGAGGGCTGATATCGATCCAAGTATGGCTTAGCATTCAAACATAGTTAAACCATGTGTTAAAAAGATAAAATGATGTTGTATGATTGCCAATGAGTCAACTATCCACCAGAGACCAAATGATCCTGATGTAGCAACTATAGGTTGTTCACTGTATTTGTTTTTTAACTTGACAACTCTTAGAGGTGTTCCAAACAGGGGTGTGATAGAAGGTATCAGATCAAGAATATGAGATACATGGTATGTGATACATGATAGTGTTGATTCATTATTATGTGTCATGTACATGTAATGGGGGTACCAGTTTTTGTGGATATCCTCAGTAAAGATGTGCCAAAAATTCCGGCATACAATAAAACTCAAATTTGACATAGACTTGTATGCAGAATTGGTTAAAACCACAAACAAGTATTAATATATGCAAAATTAGTCATAACTACAAAATCAACTATCAATGAATTCAAAATTTGTCATAATCACAAAATCAAGTATCAATTATTACATTACATGTATGTTACACGAGAATCCATTAGTTTGATTGGCTTACAACAATCGCGCTTCATTCAAAAATTAACCTTCATATCAAAATGAAATGTTACATTTGTGATGACACGTGCTTCCACAAAAAAGTGCTTGGGTAAATAAAAGAAAAACTTGATAAATCTTTTTTTTTTTCATGGTCTTATTTGCATAAAAATGTAATTATAAGAAATGAATGCTTCTTTTTGTAATTTTAATGGGGTGTAAAAGTGTTGATCGTGCACACATTTTAGAATGAAGCACTATTACACCCCAATAAAATTTCAAAAAGAAGCATTCATTTCTTTATATAAATGAAAAAAGGATTTTTCTTCAATCCACTCAAGTTTGTATCCATTAAAATACCGGTAAATGAATCCATAGAACAACATCATTGATATACAACGTAGTATTGTGACATCATTGATATACAATGTAGTAGTGTGACATCATTGATATACAACGTAGTAGTGTGACATCATTGATATACAACGTAGTAGTGTGACATCATTGATATACAACGTAGTAGTGTGACATCATTGATATACAACGTAGTAGTGTGACATCATTGATATACAATGTAGTAGTGTGACATCATTGATATACAACGTAGTAGTGTGACATCATTGATATACAATGTAGTAGTGTGACATCATTGATATATACAACGTAGTAGTGTGACATCATTGATATACAACGTAGTAGTGTGACATCATTGATATACAACGTAGTAGTGTGACATCATTGATATACAATGTAGTAGTGTGACATCATTGATATACAACATAGTAGTGTGACATGATTGATATACAACGTAGTAGTGTGACATCATTGATATACAATGTAGTAGTGTGACATCATTGATATACAATGTAGTAATGTGACATCAGATTCACAATGATGTTGCTAGTTTAAATCAGATTTGATGTGTCTGTCTAGACCTTTGAAACAACCTTTTATCTATATTGTATAAATTTATCCTTTTCTTCTAGGAACTTCAGCTATAATGTCCTAGATTATATCCAGCCCTATGCATTTTCTGGTATTCCAAATATAAAGGTGTTGTAAGTATATAAACTGATAGTAAATGACAAAAATTTGAAATATTTTTCTTGAATTAATCTTTAATTTGATTGACAGATAATTGTTTGCTTAACATCCAGTGGCAAAGATTTCATGAATGTTCTTGACAACATTGATTTGAAGGAGAAGGACTAATAATGCTTGCCTTATTTTGTTGCAGAAATCAAAATTATAACAGCAATATGATATCTGTTGTGTCAAGAGTCATAGGCACAAACAACCTTGCTCAGTTCTAGTTGATATTTGCAGGATGATTTCAAATCATTTTACTAGTATTGCATTAAAATAGGGATAACTACTGTATTGAAGGTTTGCCACCATTAGTTGGTGATTTAATGAATGCTTATATCTGTTTTAATGGCTCTGCTCTGTGTTAAAAAAAAATACACTCAATTTTGGGAAATTTTTGAAGTTATCTTTGATTTAAGGAGGTACATCTGAGTTAAAGCACTCTTAAAAATCATAGACATGCTTTTCATAAATATATACAGTCTAAGTATCACAGGTTATTTGCATTTGCATTTTTTTAGATGAAGGTATAAAAGCTATGACGAAAACTGACTTTAACTGATTTAAATTTTTTTTTTTAACCAGAGTCAACCCCCTTAAAAATGGATATTTTATGATTTTCTCCTCTGATAATTAGTTGGAGAACATTTGTATTAGAATGTTTATAAGTTGTATAAAATAGGTATTAAATCTTTAAGATATCAAAATAAGGAGATGTGTTATGATTGCCAATGATACTTCTATTCACCAGTGACAAAACCATCAACTTTATTTTTTATAAATTTAACTGCTTTTTGTTGAGCCTGTGACATTCTGCTCAAGGTGAAAATATTTAAGTTATAGCTACATTTGAAATTTTCATTTAATTAATGTGGAATTCCATGTTTCAAGATTAACAGGAAAATGGAATTATGAAACTCTAAATTCTCTAATTGAATTATAATGCTGTATCTTCATCCCATAAGTATGTGTAGTAAACATTATACAAGTAAAATAAATTATAAAATAACTTGGCTTGAATGTGTATAAAAAGTATTGTATTCATGTACTTTTAATGTATCTTTCATTTTTTCAGAGAGCTACATCAGAACAGTTTAGCCTCAATAGCAAAAGGTGTCTTTGAAAATTTAACAACACTGGTTCACTTGTAAGTTTAATACTTTTTTAGAAAATGTGAGAGAAAAAAAAAGAAATGGAAAATTTGTGGTTATATCACTTGAGATATTGAAAAATATTCAATGGGAATTCATAATAATTACAAGTTCTAATAGACCTTACCTTCTGAATTGTTTTCTTATTTCATGAGAAACAAACTTATGCATTTTCCTTCAGTGACCTAAAAAGAATAGCTAAATCCATCTGAGGTTAACTTTGCTTGAAAGAGTTAGAACAATAGTTTTCGTAATCATTTCCAAATTTATAAACAGAGAATTTAACAAACCTTAACCTTTTGTGAGGTAACCTGTTCAGCAACCAGTTATGTTATAAATCATGTCAGTAATGAAGGACTGACTACTTAGCTGATGATACCCTCTGAGACCAGCAGTATGGACCAAGTGCTATAAAATTTAAATATAATGTTTTTTTTTTGTATTTGTAGAGATCTCCATGCCAACAATTTACAGACATTAAACAAAGAAGCCATGAAAGATTTGGAGTATTTGGAAGAATTAAGACTACATTCACAGAAAACTCCTATGACGACGTTAATTTTCAATTCTATGATTAATGTTGGCAAGTCTTTGAAGTATCTGTAAGTATGATAGACAGTCTTATTCAAAAGTCCCCGGAAATAAATGGAATCATGAGGTCAACACTTATAACAGAGTTCATTGAACTGAAATCAGTTTTTTGTTGAGCCTGCGACTTTTGTCGCAGAAAGCTCGACATAGGGAAAGTGATCCGGCGGCGGCTATGGTGGCGGCGGCGTTAGCTAACTTCTTAAAAGCTTTATATTTTAGAAGGTGGAAGATCTGGATGCTTCATACTTTGTATATGGATGCCTCATGTTATGAAGTTTCCGTCAGTCACATGTCCAATGTCCTTGATCTCATTTTCATGGTTCAGTGACTACTTGAAAAAAAAGTTAAGATTTTTTGTAATGTTAAATTCTCTCTTATTAGGAGTAATAGGATAACTATATTTGGTATGTGCGTACCTTGCAAGGTCCTCATGCCCGTCAGACAGTTTTCACTTGACCTCTAACTCATTTCATGGATCAGTGAACAAGGTTAAGTTTTGGTGGTCAAGTCCATATCTCAGATACTATAAGCAATAGATCTAGTATATTCGGTGTATGGAAGGACTGTAAGTTGTACATGTCCAACTGGCAGGTGTCATCTGACCTTGACCTCGTTTTCATGGTTCAGTGGTTATAGTTAAGTTTTTGTGTTTTGGTCTGATTTTCTTATACTGTATGCAATAGGTCTACTATATTTGGTGTATGGAATGATTGTAAGGTGAACATGTCTAGCTGGCAGGTGTCATCTGACCTTGACCTCATTTTCATGGTTCAGTGGTCAAAGTTAAGTTTTTGAGTTTTGGTCTTTTTTTCTAATACTATATGCAATAGTTCAACTATATTTGGTGTATGGAAATATTTTATGATCTATATGTCAGTCAGGCAGGTTTTATTTGACCTTTACCTCATTTTCAAGGTTCATTGCTCAGTGTTAAGTTTTTGTGTTTTGGTCTGTTTTTCTTAAACTATAAGCAATAGATCAACTATATTTGTTGTATGGAAGAATTGTTAGCTGTACATGCCTACCTAGCATGGTTCATCTGACCTTGACCTCATTTTCATGGTTCATTGGTCAATGTTTAGTTTACTTGGTTAATGTTAAGTTTATGTGACAGTTGTAATAAAGCTTTATATTTAGGACTATCAACATAATATTGATGATTAGTAAAGAAGGCGAGACATTTCAGCATGTGCACTCTTGTTTGAAATAATCATGCCTGTATTATGTTCAAACTGTCACATTTTTTAAAAGTTTACACTTAAATTTACTTTATAGTGCAACTGTGCTATTTGCAAAGTCAAAATGCATTGGCTGTATATTTTTTTGCTTTATACAGTCACTTTATATTCTATGAGGGATAATATTCCCAAATATGAGTGCAATAACCCTTTTATTTTATAACAATGCTCGAAAAACTGTGTATAACATATTATGATGATGTCACCTAAATTGAAGTACTCTTTTTTTTTTGCACTGGTGCGATATGATGTATTATATTATTGCACATAAAGTTTTGTTTACCTTCTGTATGTTTGTTTGCTTTACAATAATGTGATAACTTTACTTTTGATACAGTACTTACAGTACTTTGCATAAACATTATTTTAGTATTTTTAGACAAAAAAAATCACTTAATATATGATAGGTATTTTAAATGTAATGGGCATGGCAAATATAATGTAAATAGAATATTGCTGTCTTTATTGAGTATTGAATGTGAAACAATCAGACACCAATCTTATCAAAATACAGCTACATGCTTTGCTTACAAGGATTTGAAAACAATCTGTTTTAAATTTTCTTTTGAAAACTTTTTCTGGATACATAGGCTTATCATAAAAATATAATTATACACACCTTCAAAAAACAGGAGGCAGAAATTTCATTAGTTGACTTAAGCATTATCAGAACAGAAAGTGGAACAGAGTATTGTCAGATCTTTGATCGATATTTTAATCCAGTGGAGCAGTGACATTTTTGCACTGCATAATCATTGACTATTTATAGAATCACATTGATTTATTTTGTAGGTTTATAAGTAGTAATGCACTGACCCATATACCCCATCAAGTATTTATGGAGAACAGCTTTGACAATATCATTCAACTGTAAGTACAAGACCTGAAAAAGTAACAAGAATGTTGTATTGCAATATATTCTTTCAAAAGTAGTATATGACATCCACAATTCGAATGTCTATTATTTTTATGATCTCACCTCTAGGCAACAGGGGCATTGAGTTTTACCCTTATCGTCTGTCCGTCCGTCCGTCCTTGCATCCCAATATTGGGTTCTGTTCTCTTACTTTAGTTAGCTTCAACCAAATGCTATGAAACTTGTACACTATACTTATTACCACCAAACACAGATCAAGTTCAAATTTGGGTGGTGTCACTCTCATTGTTCTCGAGTTATGTCCCTTCATAAATTAAAAAAAAAATGTTGAATTTTCTGTATATTTACTAGTTGGGCAAATCATCCCCACAAATATGCATTAACTAGTTTGAGATCTCAGAAATTTATATTTTGATAATTCAATTAATTGTTGGTTCACTCGATGCAACCTATTTTGAGGATAGTTAAATTATAAGGGAGAGAATTATAACTTAATTTTACTTTAATGAAACAATTATTTATCAAATGCAATTTATGGCTATAGGCAGTTAGACTTTAATTCTTCCTGTTAGACAAGTTTTCAGGGGTAAAGATTGCAATCAGGCTGGCTCTATTGTTGTCAATTTTCTACACTTTATCACTATTTTTGAGATAGATAAAACAAAGTGCTCAATACATAACATTCATGAACTTTTCAGGAAATAAATATATGAAATATATTCTCAGGTACTCAAGGTACAAAATTATGTATATGTGTAACTATTACATAAGTGTGCATGGTACACGGATCTAGTATCTGTTTTAAAAATAACAATGATGTCATTGTTAAAGTAATATTTAAAATTGGAGTTATTTTCCATTGTCTGTAATTGTAGTTAAACCAATTCATAGATAGATTTGCCTTTCAATGCTTAATGGTGCCTTGGTGGCCAAGTGGTCTTAAGTTGTTTATCTACAATATCACTAGCTTGTCAATACTGAGGTTGTGATTTAGAACCCTGCATGTGGCAGGTGCATTTGACTCCAATCTTAATTGACTAGGATTGCTAGTTTTCCTGTCAAAGGTTGTTGGTTCTCTGCAACACCACTCTCCCCCCCCCCCCCCCCCCCCCCCCCCCCCGCAACAATATAGCCATTAAGGTTTGCCATATGTTAGTTGATGATAATTGAATTTCATAAAGTGACATCAAAATGTTTATTTTTTGTGAATTTCTGTATTTGGATGATATAAAAATAAGGAGATGTGGTATGATTGCCAATGAGACAACTATCCACCAAAGTTCAAATGAAGTGGTTGTAAGCAATAATAGGCTACCATACAGCCTTCAACAATGAGAAAAACCGATGTCTGTTTGATGTACATCCCACATCTTTTTGTCATAAAATTTAGAATATTGAATTAATCTTTTTCAGACATTTAGATAACAATGCAATTACAAACGTGACAGAACTTGATGCAAATGGCTATGGTTCTACATTACGGAGCACCTACAATGAAAAAAAAGTTCAATTGGATCCATTCTCAACGATGAGCAGTCTAAATATTTTGTAAGTAGACATGCGTTGAGTCTTATTTAATTGATTAGTTGCATGTAAAAGCACACACATTCTTGTTCTTGATAGTTTTTCCGAAAGACTAGTAGAAATACTTTATTAGCGTGATTAAAAGATGTCTGGCTCTTACTGGCTAGTATGTAGCTGAGACAAAAAATTGATTATGTCTGTATTTATAACAATTTCCTTATTTTACACAATTTGAAAAAAAACAAAGAAATAATCATTACAAATGTGGATTCAATTTTATTCGTGGGATACCAATGTTTGTGATTTTTATACGCCCGTCAAATTTTTGACGGGACGTATTATGTTATACAACTGTCCGGTGTCCGGCCGTCTGTCTGTCTGTACGTCTGTCTGTCTGTCCGTCTGTCTGTCCGTCTGTCTGTCTGTCCGTCTGTCTGTCCGGCGTAAACATGTCGCACCGTAACTTGAGAATGACTTATCCAAATTTCATGAAACTTAACATAGTTGTTTCTTATGATGGTCAAACAATCTGTATACTTTTTGGTGAAAATAAGATTAAAACTTTTTGAGTTACGGGACTAAGTAACTAAAACAGGTGTGTGTTTTTTTTCACATGTCGCGCCGTATCTCAAAAACAATTTATGTTTATTGCTTAAAACTTTACACACTTCTTAGTTATATTAATCTTCAGATCTGTATACTTTTTGGTGATGATTCAAAATTTTATTTTAGAGATATTGAGTATTTTGTTAAAAAAGGGGGAGGGGTTTTTCACATGTCGCGCCGTATCTCAAAAACAGTTTACGATTATTGCTTAAAACTTTACACACTTTTTAGTTATATTAACCTTAAGATCTGTATACTTTTTGGTGATGATTCAAAATTTTATTTTTGAGTTATTTTGTATTTTGTAAAAAAAAGGGGGAGGGGTTTTTCACATGTCGCACTGTATCTCTAAAATGATTTATGATTATTGCTTAAAATTTTACACACTTCTTAGTTATATTAATCTAAAGATCTGTATACTTTTTGGTTTTGATTCAAAATTGTATTTTTGAGATATTGATTTTTTTTTTTTAAAGGGGGGTTTTCACATGTCGCGCCATATCTCAAAAACGATTTATGATTATTGCTTAAAATTTTACACACTTCTGAGTTATATTAATCTAAAGATCTGTATACTTTTTGGTTTTGATTCAAAATTTTATTTTAGAGATATTGAGTTTTTTGTTAAAAAAAAAGGGGGTTTTCGCATGTCACGCCGTATGTCAGAAACTATTTATGCTTATTGCATAAAAATTCACACACAAGACGACGGGCGTATCATGCGCTCATGGCGCAGCTGTTTATTAGGGTTCAGGTGAACCATGGCCACTAATTTAAATGTTCTACAAAGTACAAACTTTCTACTGTATGCAGAGTATGACAAAACCATGAAAAACAAATATCTATGAAAATACAGTACATGAAAATTGGCCCCCACAAAAAAAGGAATGAATCCATAGTCTTTGACTTACACATTGGCAGCTTTCAAAAAAAATCAATCATCATTATTATACTTCATGTCAAAATGCCAGATTTTGATTGGTTAATACGAGGGAGACAATTTACTCTATCCCATAGCAAATACTCTATTACCCTTCACGGAGACGCTTGCTCAAGTGTGCGCTTTAATAAATACCGATGATTGTTATGAATAAGACGACATAGTTTATTACTTTGCATTAGAAATTTATTAGACAGAACATTCAGTATAATAAATTAAATAACACATAGCTGAGAGGGTGATAGAGCAGATTGTTACCCCTCGAAAAGACATTGACAACCTTGGCTTCGCCTCAGTTGACAATGTTTTCTCGGGGTAACAATCTGCTCTATCACCCTCTCAGCGATGTGTTATTTATATATTGGCTAGTGACTGTTACAGTCCTTTCAGGGGATAGGCACTTACTGCGTTGCACAATTTTTCTACTTGTACGGTGATCAGCTATAATGTCATACAGTAAAAAAAGGAAGATGACACCAATGGGACAATGCAAAACCATGGCAGAATAAAAAAAACGAAAAACCATCAGTCTGCAAAAACTTAAAGATTTATCAACACAAACCCTAGCAATAATTAGGGTTGATTTTAAAATTTATGTGATTAACATTTTAGGATATTATTATGTTAAATTTTATAATAATCTATATCAATTAATATGCCGAAAACCTGATAAATTTTACATCATGTGTTCTTATAGGTATCTTCATATCAATGCCATTACCCATGTAACCAGTACTGACTACTGTAGATTAACTTCCTTAACCGAGTTATATCTGAATCAGAATGAGTTAACGGAGGACAACATTGATGATGACAGTTTTACCTGTGTTACAACTCTACAAATATTGTAAGTAATTTCGATGCACAGTCTGCTACAGCTGTTTTTATCTCATGTACGATGAAAGTTCAGAAAGCAAGACGTATATCCCATTCTCCTTGTAAACCTCTAATCAGAATTTGATGAAATTTTCTCAGAATCTTTAACTTATGATCAATGCCATTAAACACCTATTTTGTTTTTGATCTATTTTATTTTTTGGTCTTTGCAAGGGGCAAGGGTTAGCATTTGTGAACTTTGCTTGCATTACCTGTGGTTTATTATAGAAATTTTACATCTATAATTCATCAACTTGTTGTTGACCTGATACTTATAGCAGCGGCCACATTTAGGTTCAGTCTGTTGTTAAAGGTTTTTTTAAGACATCAATAACTTTGTCAAACCTTTACGGAATATTTTCATGGTTCAGTGACTTCTTGAAAAAAAAGTTCAGATTTTTTGTAATGTTAATATCTCTCTTATCATGAGTAAAAGGATAAATATATTTGGTATGTGCATATCTTGCAAGGTCCTCATGCCTGTCAGACAGTTTTCACTTGACCTCAACCTCATTTCATGGATCAGTGAACAAGGTTAAGTTTTCATGGTCAAGTCAATATCTAAGATACTATACGCAATAGGTCTACTATATTTGGTGTATGTAATGATTGTAAGGTGTACATGTCCAACTGCCAGGTGTCATCTGAACTTGACCTCTTTTTCATGGTTCAGTGGTCATAGTTTAGATTTTGTGTTTTGGTCTATTTCTAATACTGTATGCAACTATATTTGGTGTATGGAAATATTTTACGATGTACATGTCAGTCTGGCAGGTTTTATTTGACCTTGACCTCATTTTCACGGTTCATTGCTCAATGTTAAGTTTTTGTGTTTTGGTCTGTTTTTCTTAAACTTTAAGAAATAGGTCAACTGTATTTGGTTTATGGAATGATTGTAAGGTGTTCATGTCTGTCTGGCAGGTATCACCTGACCTTCACCTCATTTTCATGGTTGATTAGTCAGTGTTCAGTTTTCCGGGTTAACTTTGTTTCTTAGATACTATAAGCTATAGGTCAACTATATTTGATGCATGGAATGATTTTAAGGTGTACAGGGTTCATCTGACCTTGACTTCATTTTCATGGTTCATTGGTCAATATAGAATTTCCATGGTTTAGTCTGTTTCTTTTATACTATAAGCAATAGGTTATCTATATTCTGTGTATGGAATGATTGTATTAAAGGTGTACATGTATTTCCAGCTTGGTTTATCTGACCTTGACATCATTTTCTTGGATCATAAATGTTAATGTGATACCTGCAGTAAAACTTTATATGTAGGACTATCAACATAAAATCAATGGTCAGTATAGTAGTCGAGACATTTCAGCATGTGCACTCTTGTTCAGTATTTTACTGATAGGTGGACAGTTATTAATCATATGCCAAAAGTCTGGGATTAAATTTGTTTAACATGATAAATTTGTAAACCTTGTTATGAAATACAAACAGAAGCTAATGTTCAAGATCAAGAAATGTCATCTGAGGGAAAAGTTTGATAATTTTTATGCCCCACCTACGATAGTAGAGGGGCATTATGTTTTCCGTCTGTGCGTCCGTTCTTTCGTCCATCCGTCTGTTCTTTGTCCGTCTGTCCTGCTTCAGGTTAAAGTTTTTGGTCAAGGTAGTTTTTGATGAAGTTGAAGTCCAATCAACTTGAAACTTATTACACATGTTCCCTATGATATGATCTTTCTAATTTCCGAGGAACCCTTTACAAACTTTTAAATTTAAATTTTAAATTTTATGATTTGCATTTCTTTTCAGGCATTTAGGATCAAATTATTTACAATATGTACCAGCTGCTCTGACGAATTCGACCAGACTTCCCTCCATAAATGCACTGTATGTGACTAATAACAAACTAACATTCATAGAGGCTGGAACATTTTCAGACTTATCAACCCTGCGATCGTTGTAAGTGTTAAATATGTGCATTCGACTTTTTAACCCTGAGAGCATTGTAAGTGTTAAATATGTGTTGGACTTTTCAACCTTGAGAGCATTGTAAATGTTAAATATGTGTGTTGGACTTTTCAACCCTGAGAGCATTGTAAATGTTAAGTATGTGTTTGGGACTTTTCAACCCTGAGAGCATTGTAAGTGTTGAATATGTGTGTTCAACTTTCCAACCCTGAGAGCATTGTAAGCGTTGAATATGTGTGTTCAACTTATCAACCTTGATAGCATTGTAAGTGTTAAATATGTGTGTTGGACTTTTTAACCCTGAGAGCATTGTAAGTATTGAATATGTGTGTTCAACTTTTCAACCCTGAGAGCATTGTAAGTGTTAAATATGTGTTGGACTTTTCAACCCTGAGAGCATTGTAAGTGTAAAGTATGTGTTGGACTTTTCAACCCTGAGAGCATTGTAAGTGTTAAATATGTGTGTTGGACTTTTCAACCCTGAGAGCATTTTAAGTGTTGAATATGTGTGTTCAACTTTTCAACCCTGCAAGCATTGTAAGAGTTAAATATATGTGCACAGTGTTCAACTTTTCAACCCTGAGAGCATTGTAAGTGTTAAATATGTGTGTTTGACTTCAAAACCCTGAGAACATTGTAAGTGTTAGATATGTGTTAGACTTTTCAACCCTGAGAGCATTGTAAGTGTTGAATATGTGTGTTCAACTTCTCAACCCTGCAAGCATTGTAAGTGTTAAATATGTGTGTTGGACTTTTCAAATGGGAGAGCATTGTAAATGTTAAATATGTGTGTTGGACTTTTCAACCCTGAGAGCATTGTAAATGTTAATTATGTGTTTTGGACTTTTCAACCCTGAGAGCATTGTAAGTGTTGAATATGTGTGTTCAACTTTCCAACCCTGAGAGCATTGTAAGCATTGAATATGTGTGTTCAACTTATCAACCTTGATAGCATTGTAAGTGTTAAATATGTGTGTTGGACTTTTTAACCCTGAGAGCATTGTAAGTATTAAATATGTGTGTTCAACTTTTCAACCCTGAGAGCATTGTAAGTGTTAAATATGTGTTGGACTTTTCAACCCTGAGAGCATTGTAAGTGTAAAGAATGTGTTGGACTTTTCAACCCTGAGAGCATTGTAAGTGTTAAATATGTGTGTTGGACTTTTCAACCCAGAGAGCATTTTAAGTGTTGAATATGTGTGTTCAACTTTTCAACCCTGCAAGCATTGTAAGAGTTAAATATATGTGCACAGTGTTCAACTTTTCAACCCTGAGAGCATTGTAAGTGTTAAATATGTGTGTTTGACTTCAAAACCCTGAGAACATTGTAAGTGTTAGATATGTGTTAGACTTTTCAACCCTGAGAGCATTGTAAGTGTTGAATATGTGTGTTCAACTTTTCAACCCTGCAAGCATTGTAAGTGTTCAATATGTGTGTTGGACTTTTCAAATGGGAGAGCATTGTAAATGTTAAATATGTGTGTTGGACTTTTCAACCCTGAGAGCATTGTAAATGTTAAGTATGTGTTTTGGACTTTTCAACCCGAGAGCATTGTAAGTGTTGAATATGTGTGTTCAACTTTCCAACCCTGAGAGCATTGTAAGCGTTGAATATGTGTGTTCAACTTATCAACCTTGATAGCATTGTAAGTGTTAAATATGTGTTGGACTTTTCAACCCTGAGAGCATTGTAAGTGTTAAATATGTGTGTTGGACTTTTCGACCCTGAGAGCATTTTGAGTGTTGAATATGTGTGTTCAACTTTTCAACCCTGCAAGCATTGTAAGAGTTAAATATATGTGCACAGTGTTCAACCCTGCAAGCATTGTAAGTGTTAAATATGTGTTGGACTTTTCAACCATGCAAGCATTGTAAGTGTTAAATATATGTGTGTTCAACTTTTCAACCCTGAGAGCATTGTAAGTGTTAAATATGTGTTGGACTTTTCAAGCCTGAGAGCATTGTAAGTGTTAGATATGTGTTAGACTTTTCAACCCTGAGAGCATTGTAAGTGTTGAATATGTGTGTTCAACTTCTCAACCCTGCAAGCATTGTAAGTGTTAAATATGTGTGTTGGACTTTTCAAATGGGAGAGCATTGTAAATGTTAAATATGTGTGTTGGACTTTTCAACCCTGAGAGCATTGTAAATGTTAATTATGTGTTTTGGACTTTTCAACCCTGAGAGCATTGTAAGTGTTGAATATGTGTGTTCAACTTTCCAACCCTGAGAGCATTGTAAGCATTGAATATGTGTGTTCAACTTATCAACCTTGATAGCATTGTAAGTGTTAAATATGTGTGTTGGACTTTTTAACCCTGAGAGCATTGTAAGTATTAAATATGTGTGTTCAACTTTTCAACCCTGAGAGCATTGTAAGTGTTAAATATGTGTTGGACTTTTCAACCCTGAGAGCATTGTAAGTGTAAAGAATGTGTTGGACTTTTCAACCCTGAGAGCATTGTAAGTGTTAAATATGTGTGTTGGACTTTTCAACCCAGAGAGCATTTTAAGTGTTGAATATGTGTGTTCAACTTTTCAACCCTGCAAGCATTGTAAGAGTTAAATATATGTGCACAGTGTTCAACTTTTCAACCCTGAGAGCATTGTAAGTGTTAAATATGTGTGTTTGACTTCAAAACCCTGAGAACATTGTAAGTGTTAGATATGTGTTAGACTTTTCAACCCTGAGAGCATTGTAAGTGTTGAATATGTGTGTTCAACTTTTCAACCCTGCAAGCATTGTAAGTGTTCAATATGTGTGTTGGACTTTTCAAATGGGAGAGCATTGTAAATGTTAAATATGTGTGTTGGACTTTTCAACCCTGAGAGCATTGTAAATGTTAAGTATGTGTTTTGGACTTTTCAACCCGAGAGCATTGTAAGTGTTGAATATGTGTGTTCAACTTTCCAACCCTGAGAGCATTGTAAGCGTTGAATATGTGTGTTCAACTTATCAACCTTGATAGCATTGTAAGTGTTAAATATGTGTTGGACTTTTCAACCCTGAGAGCATTGTAAGTGTTAAATATGTGTGTTGGACTTTTCAACCCTGAGAGCATTTTGAGTGTTGAATATGTGTGTTCAACTTTTCAACCCTGCAAGCATTGTAAGAGTTAAATATATGTGCACAGTGTTCAACCCTGCAAGCATTGTAAGTGTTAAATATGTGTTGGACTTTTCAACCATGCAAGCATTGTAAGTGTTAAATATATGTGTGTTCAACTTTTCAACCCTGAGAGCATTGTAAGTGTTAAATATGTGTTGGACTTTTCAAGCCTGAGAGCATTGTAAGTGTTAGATATATGTTGGACTTTTCAACCCTGAGAGCATTGCACAATGTAAGTGTTAAATATGGGTTGGACTTTTCAACCCTGAGAGCATTGTAACTGTTAAATATCTGTGTTCAACTTTTCAACACTGAGAGCATTGTAAGTGTTGAATATGTGTTGGACTTTTCAACCCTGAGAGCATTGTAAGTATTAGATATGTGTTGGACTTTTTAACTCGGAGAGGATTATGTAAATGTTAAATATGTGTTGGACTTTTCAACCCTGAGAGCATTGTAACTGTTAAATATGTGTTGGACTTTTTAACCCTGAGAGCATTGTAACTGTTAAATTTGTGTTGGACTTTTCAACCCTGAGAGCATTGTAACTGTTAAATATGTGTTGGACTTTTCAACCCTGAGAGCATTGTAACTGTTAAATATGTGTGTTCAACTTATCAACCTGTGAGCATTGTAAGTGCTAGCTATGTGCATTCAACAGTTTGATCCTTTTAGCATTGTAACTGTTAAATATGTGTGTTCAGCAAAACTGTATGTAATATATGTAACTGGATAAAATGGGGGTACCACCTGTAGAGGAAATATCAGAGCATTTTCTCTATACTTGACACCCACCAATATCAGAGATTTCCAAGTGCTTTCCCTGTGTGCCATGTAGAGCCCTTAGCCCTGTATAGGAGAGTTCCAGGATAAATGTTGTTTCAATATGGAGATTAAAAAAGTCGTATCACGTGACATTTTTCTATGCACATGCCTAGTTTTTTACAAAGGTGAATTAAGCAAATAGTATGATTTAACTAGAATTCTAACTAAAAAAGTCGACCACACTGTTATAGTTTGACTAATACCTCACTCTAAGGAAAACTTACCGTAAAGTGACATTGTCTGTTTGTAGATGTTTTCATGCAGACCATGTTGTATTGATCCCAATACTGCATAGATTTCTGACGGTATTATTTGAAGTTTGTGTGTAAAATGAAATGGGACACGGTATAACTATCTCAGAACTTTTAAAAGTATGTGCATGGATAAAATATAGTTATTTATGTTTACAATTATTTGTAGATACCTGTACTCCAACAAAATTATATCAATAGAAGACAATGCTTTTCCAGATCTTATCCGAGTCATGTAAGTGCTTATGTATTGATCATCTTAAGTTTATTTCAATCTTAAGTGCCATTCTTTGTAGAGGGTGGTAAAGGGTTATTTTCGTGCAACGTGTTTTGCCATTTTTATTTCACGTGCAGCCGTGAAAAAGGTTCATTATTCACCATGTTCCGTGAAAACGGTAAAAAGATCAACGTGCAAGAAATTTTTAATTGTTTGTTTATCGTGAAATGTCAATTTTATTTCGCGTTCTTCCGTGCAGATACCCCCCCCTTTACGCCCCTCTTTGTAAGAATCAGGCAATTTCGACAAATTTCAAAACATGGCCTAAAAAAAATCACTGACTTTCTATTATGAAGTTACTCTTATCCTGAGTTAGAAATGGTAGGTCTATTGTTTCTGCATGTTTGGTAATTCAAGAAATATCTAGATAACTTTTGGTTAGAATTATAGTAAATTATGGAGTTATCTCCCCTTAATTGTTAATTTCTAGTGCATTTCAACCAATTTATATCTTGAAATACCATGCAGAAAAGGAAATGGAAATGAATGTTTTATTTGTGCACCATTATACATTCTGAACTAAAATTAATGTAAACTCTTGAGTGGGTTTATGTTGATCATGTTTTCACCACCTCCTAATTCTTAGGCAGATTGGCACTTAATTGACTAGGATTGTCAGTTTCCCTGTAGAAGGTTGGTAGATCTCTATAGGGTACTCTGGCTTTTTCTACCATATGAAATAAAAACGATATAGCCAAAAGTGCTGAAAGTGGCATTTAACACCATCGAAACAACATCTGATTAAAAAATTTAATAACACTTTTAGATATTTAGATGATATATTGGCTCTCAATAATGACGACTTCAGTATGTACACTAAAGAGAGTTATCCTGCCGAACTGACTTTAAATAAAGCTGATACTAACAATGAACACTGCCCTTTCCTGGATCTTGATATCTTTATCTTTAACGGGAAGCTGAGTACCAAAATTTATGATAAAAGAGATGACTTTTCATTTCCTATTGTTAATTATCCATTTTTAGATGGTGACGTTCCCTTGTTGCCATCTTAGGGTGTTTATACATCTCAACTTGTTCGATTTGCTTGTGTATGTAACAACGTATTTGATTTCAACGAAAGAAATCTCTGTATTACTGAAAAATTATTACACCAGAGTTTTCGATATCACAAACTAGTCAAAACATTTACTAAATTTTATCATCGGTACAAGGACATCATTCGTAAATATAAATCAACATGCAGACATCTTATACGTTCAGGTATTTCACATCCAATATTTTATGGTAATATTCTTTACAAAGCACAAAAATGTCGGCATTCACCTCAAAAGACTACCAAACCTTTAAAAAAACTTATTCGGAAAGGATATTGTTACGATACTGTTGTCAAGTCATTAAGGATTGCATATTTTGGTATTAATTTTGATTCACTCATAGGGTCTTTGCATCGGAAATAAACACATTTATTCTAAAACCAGTTGTTGGCATGATACGGGTTATGTTCTTCTCATATATTTTATGATGGTATGATACTAAACACCTAGCGGGTACTTAATTTTCATATGATGAAGACATAATCTTTCAATCAGTTTAATTGAGGTCTGGAGCTGGCATGTCAGTAACTGCTAGTAGTCCTTTGTTCATTCATGAATCATTGTCATTTTGCTTAGTTTCTTTTGTTACCTATTCTGACATCGGACTCAGACTTCTTTTTAACTGAGTTTTACTGTGTGTATTGCTATGTGTTTCTTTATTCTACATTGGCTAGAGGTATAGGGGGAGGGTTGTGATCTCACAAAACATGTTTTACCCAGCCACATTTTTGCGCCTGTCCCAAGTCAGGAGCCTCTGGCCTTTGTTAGTCTTGTATATTTTTTAATTTTAGTTCATTTATATGTTTTGGAGTTTAGTGTGACGTCCATTTTCACTGAACTAGTACACAATTTTATGTAGGGGCCAGCTGAGGACCACCTCCTGGTGCGGGATTTTCTCACTGCGTTGAAGACCCATTGGTGGCCTTCGGCTGTTGTCTGCTCTTTGGTCGGGTTGTTGTCTCTTTGACATATTCCCCATTTCCATTCTCAATTTTAACAACAATCAATCAATTCAAAGTCAGGAAAAAACAGGAATAGATTAGCTTAGCTGTATTTGACAAAACTTTTTGTCATTTTGATTCCTCAATGCTGTTCAGCTGCGTTCTTTATTTGGCCTTTTTAACTTTTTTTTCATTCGAGCGTCACTGATGAGTCTTTTGTAGACGAAACGTGTGTCTGCCGTACAGAATTTTATCTATATATACTATCAAACCAAATTTCCATTAATTAATGCATTTTTCTTTTCCAGAGCTTTGCAATCAAATGACTTCCGATTCATTCATGAAAACCAGTTTTCCAATCTATCCAATATGTACCGTTTAAATCTGGCTAACAATGATATAGACTACTTACCTGACAATGTCTTTAGTGGGTGCACATCTCTTACACAGTTGTAAGTATAATTCACCATTTAAAAATCCAATGCATTCTGGGTAATATTTTCAAAAGCGTACACCAAAACGTTCTGATTGGTTTAAAAGGTCCTAAACAATGGAAATTCAACGAATGATGTAACATTATTTCATTTTGGGGTACAAACAATGAGATTACCCATAGTCCTTTAGATTCTGAAACGACGAATTAATAGCACATATCTGAATACCTGAGAGTGTGATAGAGCAGATTGTTACACCAAGAAAAAGAAAAAAATTGTCAAATTGAAACTGGGGGTTAACAATCTGCTCTTTCATCTTCTCAGCTGTGTTATTTGATTTAATGTGGACTCATTATTATTTGTTGCGATACCAATTTTCGTGGAATTCATAATTTCCAGTGAACCATGATTTTAAATGTTCAACGATGTACTAATTTTTTATAGGCTAACTTTTCCTCAATCAACGGAAATTGATACCCATGAAAATAAATGAATTCATAGTATTGTACTGAATGTTCTGTTTTAATTGTCTTTTTATTATGTCTTATTATTGATTTTTGTTGTGCCAATTTTTTATTGGTTTTTATAAGAGGGTAGAATTTTAAATAATGTTAACCTGCTAGGCTATGTTTTAGGGCAGTATGTTACCCCCAGTATGTTACCCTAGTGTGTAATAAACAAAACTCATTTTAAGATGATGTAAAAACAATTAAATCATAATTATATGGAATTACAGAATGCGAGGATACCAAAGTTAGTGTACAAAGAAAGGTTTCGAATGACTTAATTTGAGTTATTTCCCTTGGCTGCCATTTTGGAGGAATAAACGGTTAATTTTTTTATTTGACTAACCAAATTGAAACATGCGACACACAAGAGATTCTTACTAGATTGTTGCGTGATGAATTTAGCAAGTCTAAAAGAAATAAAAATCGTTCAGGAAAACTCTTTTTCGTAAGTCTAGCGGTCTGTATAATACATTAAGTTATAAAGAAATTGAAATGATTTGAAAACAGTTACTTAGATACAGTAAACATGTTAAATTTTTGCATCTTTGTTGAGCCTATTAGCAAATATAAAATTAGAATTATAATTTCAATTTATTCACAAATTTTTAACTTAAATTTCAGATAATCTTTCAGATAATAATAGCAAATTTTCCAACATTGTATTGTTTTACTCTGGAAATTCAGAAATGGGAAATTAATTTTTTCAGGAGGGAGACTATTGTACAAATATCCCATAATAATATATAAAAATATATGAGGGCAATGGGTTATGTGAGTTTGTTTACTGTAGTCTCTTACATTTGAAATTAATATTGTATATTTTAGAGTTTTAAATGGAAATAGAATAAAACAGATAAAGAAGATGCACTTGGAAAACTGTCCACTTACAACACAGTTATACCTACATGACAATGAGATAGGATGGATAGAAGATGGTGCTTTAGATCATATCGCCTCAATATCTTATTTGTATGTATATAGAAATAAGGAGATGTGGTACTTATGCTTATTTGACAACTAATAACTAGAAGTTCATCAGATAATAATTTCTGTACTTCTTGGCTGATATATACTTTCCCTAACCGCTTGATTTTTATGCCCCCGCCGATGAGGATCTGTCCATCCTTACACACATCACAAAATCAGTTTCCATTCTCTAGGGCATCAGCTGTGTCCCATGGACACATTCTCCATTTATTTTTAAAATAAAAATGTGGTTCAATCTCAGTTTTTCCGTGGTCAAAATTCAATTATGATGTCAAATAAAAATGACACTTCTTTTTGCAGATCATTGGAAAAGAAAGATAACATTTGTCTTAAAATCATTCTAAATCATAAAGTTGCAGAATCATTCTTGCAATTCATTTTTGCATTAATGCTGGTTAATAGTTTTATTTGATTTAGTATTCTTTCTCATTTAATACCCACACCAGTCTTAAACAAAAGGTAATAATTTCTGTGAAAAATTATTAATGGAGCATTAAAGGGACATTTAGCTACGAGATATAGAAAAAAATAGGTTCAGTATTAATGAAAGTGAAATAGTGAAATAAGAATTAGCATTTAGCAGCTAGTTTGGTTCAGTTTGTTAAAATAAACAAGAAACATCACTAATGAATTATTCACTTGCAAGACTCATTGATGGTTAATTAGATGGTGTCTAGACTGAAATACAAACGAAATGCTGATACATTCTATCGAGTCTCCATGCATCATAAATTGTTTATTTTAGACTTATTATAATTTGGATATACGTCTTAATATGTTATAAGTTGAATATGAGAATTTGAGTCAAATCGGTGAACATGAATTTGACAACTAATGCCGCTTTAAGTTTTTTGGTCTATTTCTCAGTACATAATAGTTTTTCATGTCAACTTGGAAGTTAGTACACATGTTCATTATGATGTGAACTTACACTAGTAATTTTTGGGGCCCTTTATAGCTTGCTGTTCGGTGTGAGCCAATGCTCCGTGTTGAAGGCCGTACCTTGACCTATAATGGTTTACTTTTATAAATTGTTACTTGGATGGAGAGTTGTCTCATTGGCACTCATACCACATCTTCCTATATCTATTAAGATATATGCTAAACTAGGGTTAGACCAAGATTTCATGTTTTAATGATCAAGTCGAAGTTAAGGTTATTGTAGTTAACCATGAAGTTGTAGTCTCATCAAATTTGAACTTTATAAATCTTTTCTGTATAGAATGTTTTTTCTATGTGTTCTATTTATAGAATGCTTTTTCCATGTGTACTATTTATAGAACTTTTTTTTTCACAGATACCTACACAATAACAGATTGTATTCTTTACCAATGGGAGGAGACTTCAATGATATGACTGTTACCTATTTCTATCTTCACAATAACCGTATCTCAGCTATTTTGAATGGTACATTCAAAAATTTTGTTGTTTCATTTTCGAGTTTGTAAGTTCAATTTAATTTGATTCTTGACTAATATAAATGTTTCACAACTCATACATTAAGTTTAATGAGAGTCTGAATGGGGGGGTCCTTCATTTCTGTATTCTTTTATTTTTAGGCTATTTTTCTCTACTGTAAATTCAGAAATTATTGCGAGGTTTTTATTTATGCGATTGGTTGAGTATCGCAATAATAAGAACTCGCATTCTGATAACTGAAACATAGATCTGTAAGAATTTATTGAATTTGAGAGGAGTATAGAGATACAAGGTTACTTTAAAAATAATGACAAACATATTACTTGTGTAAGTTATTTTATATATATATATTACCTCAGATAGAATTTTCTTATACTTTGCCAAAATGTAGATTTTATCATGCTTTTTTCAAAAATGTTATAAAAAGTATGGGTCACCGTGCTATTTTTCAAGCAACAAGCAACAAGTCGTACAAAATAGCCCAATTTTGCATAGATTATTCATGAAAAAACACTGTTAATAAAAAGAAAACATGATGTCATTAAACTTGTTTTCTTGCTAGAAATAAAAATGAAATTTCTTTAACATTCCTTTATAGAAATTTTATTATAAGAGTTATCTACAATGTACCCTTAAATGACTAGGTTGAAAAATTGAGATGAGAAAAAAAATTTTGGTATTTGTTAAAAGAGTCTTAATAATGCAAAAAATTACTTATTTTCCTTTATTCACATAAACAGTCTTACGCATATTTATTTGCCAATCTGTCTCAAATTAGCAGATTTAAGCAAATAACTAGACCAATTGTGTACTGCTATTTTACAATCCAAGATGGCGTAATTCAGTTAATCTACCTTAATTTTTTTAACAATATTTCTGAAATGTTTGAATATAGCTATTTTGTAAAGCATGGAATCTTCCTTAAAAGTTTTCTTAGCTATACTTAATTCATAATTATGTATTTTTTAGAACTGTCGTACAAACGCATCATTTTAACTTCCTTTACAGAGATTTGTCCCAAAACAGAATAGCAACTATTGAAGGGAATGCCTTTACAGACGTGACTGTCTCATACATATACAGTAGCTTGAAACTCACAAATAACAAAATTAAAGATATTCAGCCGTACGCTTTTAATAATGTCAATGCACCAAGTATGCAGTTTGATGGAGATACAATGGGTGTTATTCCATCTTATGCCTTCAATGATATTACCACCACGACCTTTAACCTTTACAACATTGGGATAACAGAGATACAAGAAAACGCCTTCAACAATTTTAATGTGGGTCATCTGTAAGTAACATAAGGTCATGGTTTTTTTATTTGTTAATTTATTATGTGAAAGATTTAGGTCGGTCGGTCAGAAAAAAAGAAGGAATAAAATCTTACTAGACGTAAGTATTGTAGAATTACTGTATACTTTGCCATTTTCAGTATTTGTGTTCTTGTCACCATTCTTTCAATTCTAGTTGCAAACATTTTTCTCTCAGCTGTTTAAACATACAATGCATGTCATCGTCATACAAGTTCATAAAACATCAAAGGGGGGTGGGTTATGTGTATTTACCAATAGGAAATAAATTTCATTTCACAACGAGTGAAAAAAGAATTAGCTATTCTTGCATTTATCAATTTTCATGAAACATGGTAAACAAAATTACAAAAATGTGCAATAACACTTTTATTATACCAACATGCAAAGTTATGGACCTGTCCAATATGATAAACAGGAGTATCCAGTTGCTAAAAAGAGTGATTCTTTATACTTACTGAAATATATATTCTGTAAATAAGCAAATGGAAATTGTATTCTGTACAAAAATGCCAAGAGAGGTGGTAGATATTGTTGTATTCTACAAAGCCAAATCTCCTTTTTATGTCTTCATCTAGAATTGAAAGTCTCTTTTCTTTTTTATAATTTTGTTTTTAATCTTTATATCTAAAGGATGACAATCATTAATGTCATTCAGTGTTTATCGCAGTTCTTAAATGACTGGTTTTCAGATTTTGATGATTTTTATTACCCATTTTACATGTCTTATCAGATCATTCACTTTGTACAAAGGTTTCATCTCATCAAAACTTCAGCTATAAATAAATCTGAAACAGGGAAATTTTTTAGGGGAAAGGAGACTTGTAAAATTTCCCTTATCATATGAGGAAGGGCATAGGTTGTGTGAGCTTTCTTTTTCAGAGTATAGAATAGTCCACTAGGCAAATTTTTTTTAGAAAAAGGAGAGAATAAGTAGTTGATAAATTTTGTTTCTTAATCTTTATTATCTTGTAGCTATTTGTATGGTAATTCCATTAGCAGTCTGGATGGACCCATCTTTACTGGGACATCCTCTGTCTCATACTTGTATCTAAACAGGAATAACATAGCTTACATAAAGGCTAATGTGTTTGATAGTGTCACAGTTACGTACCTGTACCTGAATGAGAATTCGTTGACCATTTATCCTATAGCACTGAGTCGGATTACTCCAAGAGAAATGTAAGTAGATACAAATAAGGGCTATTCCATTAAAATGTATGTGGGAGGGTAGGAAGGGACTTTCAAAATATCCCTACAACCAAGAACCATTTTTTAGATAATTTTGCATAATGGTAATAGACACATACTGAAAAAAGACCCATGACCCACATTCAATAATTAAACTTACCTTCCTACCCTCCCACATACATTTTAATGGAATAGCCCTAAGGCCAGTCAAATTTCTTGGATTTAATAGAAATTGAGGATGGATTTATATACTCTTGCCTTGAACACGAGGTATATAGTGATAAACATGTCCTCTTTCTGTCACAGTTTTAGTTTCCAGATGATAAAGTATTGAACACAATGTCATAGACCATAAAATTCTGGTCTAGTTTCATTTTAATTTATGACCAAATTTACTCATAAAATTTGAAAAAGATAATCACATGGTCTTTGTACAAAAGTTTGATAAAGGAAAGTTGCATCGCAACAGGCAATAACATATACCTGAATATGCTTATTATACCCCATGCAACGAGTTGCGGAGGGTATAATGTTTTTGACCCGACTGTCCGTCATCCATCCGTCAGTCTGTCAGTCCGTCAGTCCTATTTCTTGTCATCGCAACTCCTCTCAAACCACACAACAGAATTTCCTGAAACCTTTTTAGATAATAGGGACATACTATGTAGTTGTGCATATCGACAGGAAATTACGATTCAATTTTTTTTCTAGGAGTTACGCCCCTTTGAACTTATTAACTTTAATGTACTACTGCAACAGTTTGTCATCGCTACTCATCTCAAACCACACAACAGAATTTCATGAAACCTTTTCATATAATAAGGACATACTACGTAGATGTGCATATCGACAGGAAATTACGATTCAATTTTTTTTCCAGGAGTTACGCCCCTTTGAACTTGTTTGCCCAATATACTACTGCAACCTTTTGTCATCGCAACTCCTCTCAAACCACACAACAGAATTTCATGAAACTGTGTAGATAATAAGGACATACTATGTAGATGTGCATATTGACAGGAAATTATGATTCAATTTTTTTTTCTGATACAATTTTTTTTTCTTACACTTATTTTATTTCTCCAATGACAATGTGGGGATGTGGGGTATGTGAGCGAGCTCACTAAGGTTCTTTAATTAATTTTATTTTCAATTAAGTTACCAAAATGGTTTATGAATGGCAGTTGCCTGAATTATTTATGTAATCCAGTTACTTTATTGATTTATGTTTTGATGTTAACATGGTTAACTAAATGTTTTATTTATTGATTTTTTTATTGCAGTTACCTGAATGATTTATGTTTTGCAGTTACTGAAATGATTTATGTATTGCAGTTACCTAAATGTTTTATTTAATTTAGTTATTGTGGAGTCATTATTTTTCATTGGGTACCTGTTTTCGGGGATTTCGAGAGTATAGATTAACCACAAATTTAAATGTTAAACGAAGTATAAATTTCTCATAGGATTATATGCAAACTTTTAAAAAAACCATGAAAACAAACGTCAACAAAGTTTTCTTCAATCCATGAAAATTGGTACCCATGAAAATAAACGAATCCATAGTACTTAATTTTTTTATGAATAATTCAGTTACCTGATTTTTGTCTCGCTTTGACATAGGTCTAAAAGTGAGACATAGGTATGCTGTTTCTGGCGAAGGCTGCGTGGCGTCAACAATTTGTTAAAGTTTGCGATTAGGTCAGTTTAAGGACAACCACTAATGGAATATAAATCCATAATATTTGGTACAAAGTTGTATAAGCATTGGTGCATCTCATTTCTATGGAGATTATGTGGCCCCGACGCCTCAGTCATGGTCTATTGACTTTGAAACTTTTGCATAGTTTACATGTTAAAGTTTATGATTAGGTCAGTTTAAGAGGAACCACTTATGATAAGTCAATCATATTTGGTATGAAGCACTGGCACTTCTAAATTTACATACAGGGGAGACATATCTCTGTTTCAACAATTAATTTTATTTATTTCAGTTACCTGGAGGACAATGAAATAACAGGGATACCAGATGGATCTTTAGCTGGACAGACAAATCTACAGATTTTCTCTATGTATAATAACAAACTGACGGAAATTACTGCAACTACATTTACGTCTGCTACTAATCTTCAGTCTTTGTAAGTTGTTTTTCCTTTCAGAAAAAAGTAAAATAACAAAAATACCGAACTCAAAGGAAAACTCAAAAAGGAAAATCCCCCAAAATCAAAAGTTCAAACACATCAAAAGAATTAAAATAACTGTCATATTTCTGACTTGGTACAGGCATTTAGAATTTGATTTAATAACTTTACTGTTTCAGAATATAAAGGATTATGGGTAATTTTATTGTTTGTACCCCAAAATCAAAACAATGTCACATTAGTGGTTGAATATCCATTGTTAAAGACGTTTTCAACCAATCACAACGTTTTGGTGTATGCTTTTGAAAATATTACCCAGAATGCATTAGATTCTGAAACAGCGAATGATTGATTGGTGTTTGCTTAATGTCAAATGACAAGTGTTTTATATCTAATTAGGATAAGAAAAGGGAATATTTGATTGAAATCTTGAAAATATCCAGTTTTGTTGGGGAGGGGGGAACATTCAGACATGAATATTCTGAATTTTAAAAATATGAATGTTATAGAGTGTATACTAAATAAATGTACATTCAAACACACAAACCTGCTTATTTGGTGCATGCATATTCAGAGAAAAAATAGAATGTTAGCTTCAAATCTTCTAATATTAAGTTTTGAAAATTATAACACTGTCAGTGCATGTTCTGAATCCTAAAACTGGTGAAAGTTTGAGTGACTAAATATATACACATTCAAACACTCAAAACTGCTTACTTGGTGCGGTATAGCATATATAGTTTTCAACACAAAAAATAGCTTTTGTTAACCCTCTCTTTACATTTTCAAACTGATGAATGACATTCCAGAAGAGTGGCGTGTAGCATACTTTTGTTCTTGTGAGTAGAATATCAAGGTTGCAAACTACCTCAAAAAAAGTTTATAAAAATAAGGAGATGTGGTATGATTGCCAATGAGACAACTATTCACCTTCAACAATGAGAAAAACCCAGACCATATGGTCGGCTTTAAAAGGCCCCGACATGAAAAATATGAAACAATTCAATTGAGAAAACTAACAGCCTAATTTATAACAAAACAATTTAAGAAAAACAAATATGACAGACATTATCACACGACAACCACTGAACTACAGGCTCCTTACTTGGGACAGGCACATAAAGAATGTGGCGGGGTTAAACATGTTTGTGAGTGCTCAGCCCTCCTTTATTTTTCTTTTCAATAGTGTTTTAATCCACTGAGAAATAAAGCTATAATGGAAACCTATCATGTAATTTTTGCACTATTGACTTTATTTTAAATGGTAAGTGATAAAAAAGATTCATTTTTACTAGTGAAGTCCATGTAGCTACTTACCTGTAAGAATTTTTTTGAATATCATCATTTAATTCTAAGTTGTAATTTTCTTGCAGAATGTTGCAAAATAACGAGATTCAGTATATAGAAGAAGGATCATTTAACGGTTTAAATAACCTTGAGACTCTTGACCTGAACAACAACCAGCTTTCTTACTTCCCAGCTGTTGCCTTAGAGTCACTGACCTCTCTCAACCTTGGAGGTAACATGATAGAAACTTTAGGAGGATTCCCAGTCAATAACAGCATAGTTGTGTAAGTTTCATAGCATAGTTGCAAATATAATTTTATAAACTAGATATAAACATACAATGTAAAACATGAACTTAACCTAAAGACATTTTTATGCTTAATCTTGCTATTTGTTGGCTGACTTTTTGAACTCAAATATATGGTCCTAAACAGTAAATTATATTGCAGAAGTTTGTGCTTGTGTCAATGTCTTTATCCCACTAATGTTTTTGTTATACCAAAGTGTGCCACGATTGTTGTGCATTAGTTATCATTCACAGTCCAAATTTCCTGCCCCAAAGTCATTGTATCAATAAAAAAGTCCACGGTTTTATAATCACTGAAATTTGTGACATGCTGCAATTTGCGTTCTATGACACTGCTTATTACTCGTAACCCAAATATTTCAGGTCTCCTGCTGTGATCAATCTGTCTTCTCGGAAGATAATGTAATCATTATAGAGCAGCAGATATTATCAACTAAATTATTTTGGTTAAATTACTTGAAGAAATACTAAAACAGGAAGTTTTTAATGAAACTTAACTATCTGCGCGGTTACCAGTTATGGAAATGAACAAAATCCAGAATTCTAATTTTTAGCTCACCTGGCCTAAAAGGCCAATTGAGTTTTTCTCATCACTTGGCGTCTGTTGTCCGTCGTCGTTAACTTTTACAAAAATCTTCACCTCTGAAACTACGGAGCCAAATCTAACCAAACTTGGTCACAATCATTATTGGGGTATTTAGTTTTAAAAATGTGTCAGACAACCCCGCTGTCAACCAACATGGCTGCCATGGCTAAAAATAGAACATAGGGGTAAAATGCATTTTTGGCTTATATCTCTGAAACTAAAGCAAACGTATAATGGTTGCATTATTTCATGCATCAATTGTAAATAAAAATATCAGTTGAGCGACACAGGCTCCTTGGAGCCTCTAGTTTTCTAATTAAAAAAAATTGGGGCAGGACAATTTCAAAGGGGCAGGTGGGGATGAAAATCTATAAATTAGTTTTAATTGGCCTTAAGGATTGTATTTTGGGGGATTTTTTAGTTTGGTGGTTTTGCCAAAGACTGCATACATTCCTATAAAAAATTTGTTCTTCATTGAACATTTGAATTTGTGGTTCACCTTTACCCACCAAATCTATGAAAATTGGTATCCCACGAATAATATTGAATCCACAGTAAGTCCTTTAACTAAGAAATTTCATGAACCCTCAGAGTGGCTGTCTTGAATAGTTTACTAATCATCTGTATGCTGTAGATTTCTTTGTTTAGAACTTGAGATTAAAGGTTGAACTCTAGTTACAAAAAATTTAGCCAAAAAATGATTGAGGCATGTTTTTTCATCCCATACATTCTTGTATGGGTGAATTTTTGGAGGAATGTAAGGGAAGATTATTCATTATAAGTGTTTCTCGTTTCTCGTTTTTTATATAGATTAGACCGTTGATTTCCCGTTTGAATGGTTTTACACTAGTATTTTTTGGGGCCCTTTATAGCTTGCTGTTTGGTGTGAGCCAAGGCTCCATGTTGAAGACCGTACTTTGACCTATAATGGTTTACTTTTATAAATTTTGACTTAGATGGAGAGTTGTCTCATTGGCACTCATACCACATCTTCTTATATCTATTAAAACACTTAGGATTAATGTAAAAATCCAAATCTCAGCTGTCTATCTTCCCAATATAAAAATATTGAGATGTGGTTTGATTGCCAAGGAGACAACTATCCACTGGAGTTCAATTGATGAAAATATGAGCAATTAAATGTCACTGTAATGCCTCCAACAATTTCATGTAAATGTTTAAAAGTTATTTCAAGTTATTTATAGTTATTTTCTTATAATCAAATTATGAAAAATTGGTACCAATTCGATTAAATTAATTACTGTAAATTTAGAAATTATTGCATTTTTCAAAGAATGGACAAAAATGGGAGTTTGATTATTGCAATTTCATAAAAAAAAGTTGCATACAGATATGTGTATCAGATATCAGAATGCAAACTCTTATTATTGTTATACTCACTTAGTCGCATTATTCACATTTATTTAATAAAAACCTTGCAAATAATTTCTGAATTTACATTACTTTATCAGTAGATTTTGGTAGCTTTGTTTAGACTTAAATTTTGAACAAAAACTATTCTTTGGTTGTTTTATTTTTACAGCAATTTGACAGGAAATGCTTTGGGTTGTGAATGTAGTACGGCATTCAGTCTGTATTATGTGAAGGACACTGTGACTGGTGGTACATGTGCTAGTCCGTCTGCTCTAGCGGGTGTTACATTTGAAGCAGGACTTGCCAATGGTACAAGTGTTAGATATTATGATACATTGAACGATACCAAGTTTTTCCAGTGCAGTAAGTGGTTTTAATAGATTTAGGGATTTCCTGGGATTAAATGTATTGGGAGGGGGGATTGGGAGACACTTTTCTATAACAGGCACCATTAAGAATTTTTTTTTTCTCGTAATTATAAATTGATCTTAAAGTTCTTGCTAAAAATAGATATTCATCAATTTATGGAGGAGGTCAAAATAGATATGAGTCTCACCCAAAAAGATATTTAGCACTATAACTTTTTAAAATACTTCTTGTAGCAAAATATCTTCTTGAGTAAATTCTTTTATAGCTCACATCTAAATAATAATAAGATTTTTTCAGTTCTGGCTGAACAATGCTGAATGGCAACAAGTTTGAGGTGATATTTTAAAATATTGGCTTGTTTTTATGGTAATTACCTCTCATGTCACTTTTGATATTGGAAAAGTGTTTGACATAGGGAAAATGTCAAATCCAAAAGATCGCCTTAACATCATTCTTTTTCCTAATTATTTGAAAGTGGCACCTACCTTTTGGTATCCCTATTTAGCTGGACATCAGTTGGACAAAATGAATGTGTTGAAAATTCAACTGTTTTAAAAGTTATAATGAAAAGTCATGGGAAAATACATAGTTAAAAATTACAAACATTTTTAATACAAACAGGAGTCAGCATCCAGCTCATCAGATTTTGTTTTAGTGAAATCGTAGTGCTCTTCATCATTTAGGGAATTTTGGTGTTGATGACTGATCTTGGGTAGTCTCTGTTGTGTTTATTCACTACTTTACTAGACTCGGGGTAATTTTGAGCTTGACATGTCCTAGACACTTTTTATGCCCCCTTTGTCACTGGAGGGAGCATTAAGTGTTACCCTTGTGACCCTTGTCATTTTTTCTGTACGTCAGTCGCAAAATTGGTTTCAGTTCTCTAACTTAAGTTTGTCTTAACCAAATGTTATGAAACTTATACTCAATGCTTATTACTAGAAAATACAGATCAAATTGGAATTTGGGTGGTGTCACTTTTACCGTTCTTGAGTTATGCCCCTTTATAAAGTTATATGCAAGCAGGGGCATCATCTGTGTCCCATGGGCACATTCTCCATTTGTTTTTTTAAACTTTACTGCTGATTCAACATTATTCTTGGAGTAGCAATTTTCGTTGATTTCCTGAGTATAGGGAAACGACAAATTTAAATGTTCAACGAAATATAATAAATTTTTTAGTTTTGTATACAAACTTTTACAAAACCTCAGAATCTACAAAAATACAATTTTTCCTCAATCTCACAAAAATTTAGACTCGGGAAAATAAATGAATCCACAGTATGTTTACATCTAGATGTATCTAGATGGTTGGTGGTTATACCTCAGCCAAGAGTATACCAGTAACAGTTTATATCCGACAAACACATTCCAATACAACAGGTATAGTGAAAGCTGAAACCATAATGTGTTTTCTATCAACAGGTCATTTCAGTATGAAAGTAGGTAAAAAGCACATACTGTAAAATTTAAATCTTTTGGTTTTTTTTGTTGGATTGTGGTCTTATTGAAGTATACCTGACATCTCATTTTGTCCTTAATTCAGAGCAGTTGAAATCTATGTAAGGAGTTTTTCAGACCTTATAATAGAAAAACAAAGGGTATGGGGTCTCCATCCACATAATCAGTACATGCACAGTAAAAAAATACACAAAAAGCAAAGGAACAGTGCTTTTATTGCTGTTCTTCACCTCAAAGTCACAATGAGGCCTTCAACAAGGAGCAAAAAAACTCACCTCACTGCAAGTTTAAGACCACCCCTAGCACCGACTTGAGCAGAATTCTTTGCAAAAATAATAAAAAAATACCAAACTGTTCTCAGCACATTATGAAATAATCCAGGTATTAAAAGGTCCCCTTACATCAGAATTAGCTGGTCATATTCAGAAGTCCGACAATTTTCAACAGCTCTGCCATTTATATTTTTTCAGGTGCAGAGAACATTGTAGGAACTGCAGTTTCGTCAACAGAAATGAAAATACAATGGAACCGGCCATCATATCTTTATGCTGTGTTTGATTCTAATGATACAAACGTCCTGAATGAAGCTGTTGGAGCTAATGTCTCAACATGGTAAAGGCATTATAATAAGCTAAAATCAATCATGATTTTATCATCACAAATTGAGTTTTGCGACACTTTAAATGAACTTTGAAAGGCACTTTTTACCCAAGACCTCCACCCATAGACTTAAAATTAGAAATTAAATGGCTTTTGAGTGCAAACTTGTTTTGAACCCAACTACCACTATATTATCAATATAAGATGCCTTCCAACCCAATATACAGTGAATTTTGGAATAGCCCTAGGCCTTATACAAAAGAGATTAAAAAAAAGAGAATGGTTTTTGGGGAATATTAACTTTTTGTGAAATAAGCAGGAATTTTTAGGACTGTTTATATATTAATAATTTTAGCAAAACTAATGAGATTTCAATGATGCTTTAGGGTAAAAGCTAGAAAAAAAATAAGGAAAAAAAGGTAAAAACCAATATTCAAAACACAAATCTTTTCAAAAATCAATCTTTTGAAGTTTTTTCTTCCATATTTAGATAAAATAATCTATAATTTAGATAAATAAAACGTGGGAAAAATTGTTGCAGAAATAAAAGTAGATATGGCCAAATTCAACGATGTATTGAAATTGGTTGGCGGTATTGCATTTAAGACTCAATTTGGATGTGAGCATTTCTGTAATTTGAAGATGAACGGAAGATTTTTCTTGGCAGCGTATATTTTTAATGATAATAATGAATTGCAAGTTCAACTGAATTTGATTGATTTCATGTTTTTGCCTTTGCAATTTTAAAATGAATTTTAAATAAAACTGGTTTCTTTTCAGGAACTATATAGTAACTTGTACCAGTACCACAGCTGCTACCCTGACAAAGACTGAAACTGTAACTGAAACCATACCATCAACTTCCCATAGTGCATCAGTAACATTTAAAGATACTGATGGATTACTTCCCTTGAATTCCTATGACTGTGTTATACAACTTGAGGTTAACGGTTATACCTCAGCCAAGAGTATACCAGAAACAGTTTACATCCAACAAACACAATCCAATACAACAGGTATAGTGAAAGCTGAAACCATAATGTGTTTTCTATCAACCGGTCATTTCAGTATGAAAGTAGGTAAAAAGCACATACTGTAAACCAATTGCTTTTCTTAACATTTGTGAATAGAAAAATGACATGTGAATATGTCCAACTTGGATCTTTCTCTTTATATAAATAAATCAACAATGGTAGAAAATGATGAAAGTAAATTGTTGCCAAGTCAGGTGTATTACGGTGACCTTTAGCTGTTACTTTCTATGTCATTTGGTCTTGTGGAGAGTTGTCTCATTGGCAATCATACCACATCTTCTTATTTTTATATAGAATGAATGAATGATTGATTGATTGATGATTGCTTTCACCATATCAGCTATAGAATAAAACCAACAGAAGATACAAAAGATATATTCAAACTTATAAGTCGAAAAGGAACCGACAAAGCCATGGCAAAACACAAAATCCTATATAGACCTTCAAATAGCAAAAACATTACATTAGCAGCATTGTTGGCACATGATGATGTTTTGTATATATTTGATATGGTAACCAAATTTCTATTGAATTTCAGTTGCTAATTCCCTTCCTGTCACAGTGTATGATTTTACCATCAGTAATGATGACTTTGGAACAGCTGCATCAATGACACCATCCAACCCATATCATGTGATCAGTCCTACTGGTTCCTGGCCTGCCATATCTACTGATCCCACTTCTGACACATTTTCTGATTGGTTCAGAGATACGTCTGCTAATATAAAACTGGATAGAGAAATCACACTGACAGTAGATAATTCATCTGGATCTGATGTACACAAGTAAGTACAGTAAAACCTGCCTTAACAGTCACCTGCCTCTATAATGAGCAGTCTCTTTAGAAGTTACTTTTGATACTTTCCAGGAGTGACTGCTTAATGCAGGATTAACTGTAGTCTGAAAATATATTAATTTTGAAGACTGTTATTTTTTTCATGTTATGAAGACATTATATGACAGATGGAGTTTTTGTACGGTTCTCTTGAAAGATTTTTGCTGAAGTTGTGACCCTTGGAAATCTCCATTTTCTGAATTTTTTCTGTAATGTCTGAATCAGTTGCATTTGATTAAATATTTGGTATACAGTTTTATCATTAAAAGTTGCAGTTCAAATTTGAGTGTTTTTACTGGTTGAATGATTTTTGCTGTCCCTTGGAAATAGAAAATTGGTTGAAAATCTCAGTTTTCTATACTTTTTGTCGAGCCTTCGACTTTAGTCGAAAAAGCGAGACATAGCGATCCTACATTCCGTCGGCGTCGTCGTCGTCGGCGGCGTCCACAAATATTCACTCTGTGGTTAAAGTTTTTGAAATTTTAATAACTTTCTTAAACTATCCTGGATTTCTACCAAACTTGGACAGAAGCTTGTTTATGATCATAAGATAGTATCCAGAAGTAAATTTTGTAAAAATAACATTCCATTTTTTCCGTATTTTACTTATAAATGGACTTAGTTTTTCTGCCGGTAAATATTACATTCACTCTGTGGTTAAAGTTTTTAAAATTTTAATAACTTTCTTAAACTATCCTGGGTTTGTACCAAACTTGGACAGAAGCTTGTTTATGATCATAAGATAGAATCTAGAAGTAAATTTTGTAAAAAAATAAATTCCTTTTTTCCTTATTTTACTTTTAAATGGACTCAGATTTTCTGCCAGGAAACAACACATTCACTCTGTGGTTAAAGTTTTTAAAATTTTAATAACTTTCTTATACTATTTTGGATTTGTACCAAACTTGGACAGAAGCTTGTTTATGATCAAAAGCTAGTATCAAGAAGGAAATTTTGTAAAAAAATAAATCCTTTTTTTCCGTATTTTACTTTTAAATGGACTTAGATTTTCTGCCAGGAAACAACATATTCACTCTGTGGTTAAAGTTTCTAAAATTTTAATAACTTTCTTATACTATTTTGGATTTGTACCAAACTTGGACAGAAGCTTGTTTATGATCAAATGCTAGTATCTAGAAGGAAATTTTGTTTTCTTCCAGTTTACATTACATTCAGTCTGCAGTTAAAGTTTTTAAACATTTATTAGATTCATAAACTATCCTGGAATTTTACCAAACTTGGACAGAAGCTTCTTACAATCAAAAGATAGTATCAAGAGGAATATTTTTATTGATTTACTTCCTCATTTTTGTTGAGCCTGCGATTAACAGAAAAAGTAGGCGAGACACTGGGTTCCGCGGAACCCTTACAAATTTTTTCATTTTACTTATGCAATACCCTCAGAATACTGTAAATTCAGGAATCCTTGAGAGTTTTTTTACAATGAGAATAATATGACTGGGTGAATATCGCAATAATAAGAACTACCATTCTGATAGCTGATGCATATATCTGTATGCAGCTTTTCCCAAAATTGCAATAATTCCATTCTTCAAAAATCGCAGTAATAAATGCACGCAATAATTTCTGAATGTACAGTACTTGTTGATTTTCACCTCAGTACAGACTTTTTTTTAATGCAATGGTTTCTTTAGAACCATTGGATTACCACACAGTATTACAATGGCTTTGTTTAACATACAAGAAATAAGTGGAAAACACATAAATTAATTGATTTTTGCTGTGATTTTTTTTTATAACAAAGCTGAAATATATACAAATCAATCTTTCAGAAATGAAAAGTACATCAAAATATTGAAAACTTAATGTTAAAAACCAGAATGTATTACTCCTAAACAGATGAACTTTTAGAAAAATTGTGTCGAAATGGATAATGTTTTTTCAGTTACCATTTGTATTTTTCAGTTATTATAGTGATTCCTACTTCCTGGCTGATGATTCTGGGTATGGAGCAGAAGGTCAGACAGACTGTGGCGGTATTCTCCATAACTTTTTGTAAGTGTTTTCTATACATCACAGTAAACAAGATTGATGTTTCCCACCTGTAACCTTTCATTATAACCACATAATTGTTATTGAAATTTGAAAAAGCCAAGACCAAGATTATATAAAGGTCTTTAAGACAGAAACCCAGTCACAAAAATTTTCACACTTAATTGTATCTTATAAGGATGGAATATGATGTACAGTGAGATCTTATTAAACAGAAGTTTTGTAGGAATGGAGAGTTTTTCAGATTAAGGAAGTTCGCTACTCAGTTTCAAAATAACAAGCTTTTCATAACACTAGTTTATATTGATTGGGGATTAATAAAGGAACCAAAAGAGCGAAAAAAAAATATAGGTCTGTGTGCTTGTTTTCGAGATATTAGCCATTGAAATTTTGGCGGGAAAATTTTCTCTCTTGATTTTTCATAGCTTTATCATTGACAAGTCTAAGTTCTCAAAAACTATTAAAAAGTGATAAAGATTTTATAAGACTTTACAGATGGCTTATAATTATACATGTAAAAGATTTGTAAAAAGAAAAATGGGGGTTAGTGGGCAAAATTTTTATTGGCACTACATGGATAAAACTAGAGGACTTCGAATATCTAACAAAAAGTCAAAAAACAAGAGTAGCGAACATCCTTAAGACTGGTGCTCAGATAATACATGTTGGATAAGAACTAAATATTACACTGGTTTCTTTTTCATGCAGTTTCATACTTCACTGTGTTATCTATTATTACTTTGCACTTTATTAATGATAGAAAGCTGCAATCAAAGAAACACTAGATCTCCTGAATACTGTATATAATTTATTTATACCCCCGCTTTAAAAAAGGTGGGGTAAACTGTTTTACCTCTGTCTGTCCGTCCATCCATCCGTCCGTCCATCCATCAGTCCGTCCATCCGTCCCATTAATATTTTTCGTCACATCTTTCTCAGGAACTACGTCATAAGGATTTCTGAAAAATGTTTTCATGGTTTATATAAGTCAGCTATACAGTGTGATGCGTTTTCAGATTCATCACTCAACAACTTTCTGTTTACTGAACACTTACATATTTTTACACTATTAAAATTATCCAGTTGCAGCAGGGGTATCATCAGTGAGCAGTAGCTTGCAGTTTCACTTGTTGGGAAATTTTTTAGTGTGTTTAATTTTCACACTGTACCGCAAATACACCCTGCACAAACATTCTACAGTGCATTTAAATGCATGCACATGACCGTGAAACAAAAATTATTAACTCCGCAAATATTTAATTGTCCCTTTTAAGACCTAATCTACGAACATAACATGACAGGAAAATAACTCAATGTGAATTACAGGTTTGACTAGGTAAAAAATTGTCATATATGTATAAGACATTTTTACTCCCAACCATGAATGAAGCTGATGTATAAACATATATTTTTTGGCATGAAATAGACATAATTATCAACTTAAAAAGGGCAGGGCACATGTATATATTTATGAAAATAGATTACTGCAAATTCAGAAATAAAATGCATTGCAAATCACTGATCTTTTTAAGGGTCTCGGTAAAGTGAGAAACGGAACAGAAACGAAACAGAGCGAAAGGAAATGAAACAGAGCGAAACGAAACGAAACATGGCGAAACGAAACGAAACGAAACACGACGAAACGAAACGAAACACTACAAAACGAAACAAAATCTGTATTTTGAGGAACGACATATAGAAAATCTTCCTGACGAGATATGTGCATAGCCGAAGACACCGAATATTCCATTCAACTTTGAAAAAATTACTCGTCATTTACATTGGTATCTTCTTGCATTAGTTGCAATTAGTCAACTTGTTTTGTTAAATGTGAGGCTTAGGTGCGCCAGCTATGCTACAGAGCCTGTTCTAATATCAAGGCTTCTTGTCACGTGCAACAATGAGGGAACATTGAAATTAGAATAGCTGTTACTGGGGATCGTCTGAATATCAGCCTCAAACAAAATTGGCCATTCTTACCTTTGTGACTAGGATTTTTATGTACCTCCTACGGTAGTGGGGCATAATCTTTTCTGGTCTGTGCTGCCGTCCGTCAGTCCGTCCGTCCAATACTAGGTTTATTCTGTTTGTTAAGATAGATTAAATTACAATAGAGTTGTGTTCATGTTAATTTAAAACACATGTTCATTATGACATGTTCTTTTTGAAATGTATGCCAAATTAGAAATTTGAACCATAATTTGCGATTCAATGAACATGCAAATTTGATATTTTAAGCGAGTCATACTGTCCTATGGATACTTAAGACATGACATGAGTAAAATCTCTTTGTTCTTACTGTGCTATAATCTGGATAATGCACAGCAAAGGTGTGCATTTACTACCTCAGATATACTGCACAGTTCAAAAGTACTCTTACCTTTAGGGGCGGACGCTCGATTTTGAAAGGAGTGTAATTCCATATAAAATTTAAAAAATATCACCGAGTGTACATGTAGCGAATATAAAAAAGAAGATGTGATATGATTGCCAATGAGGCAACTCTCCACAAGTGACCAAATGACATAGTAATTAACAACTATAGGTCACCGTACGGCCTTCAACAATAAGCAAAGCCCATATCGCATAGTCAGCTATAAAAGGCCCCGAAATGACGTACAAATGTAAAACAATTCAAACGAGAAAACTAACGGCCTAATTTATATACAAAAAATGAACGAAAAACAAATATGTAACACTTCAACAATTGACAACCACTGAATTACAGGCTCCTGACTGTGGTAACGAAATCCCTGGCTTAATAATTTACAAGTAATACATAGATTACGTTCGTTAAAATCAAAAACGTCACAACAGACACGGGCATAGCGAACGAGTTGTGAAATTCAAACACCATAAGATGGTGCCAATGGAACATCACCATCCAAAAAGGGAAAAATAACAATCGGGAACGAAAAATCGTCCCTTTTGTCGTAAATTTCGGCAGTATATTTAGAAAATTCCTGATTTTTTAACGAAAAAATATCATCAAGATAAAGGTAAGTGTTGTTGAATTTATCAGTTAAATGCAATTTTGACGGGTCTTTACTTAGTGTGGTCATAAACTATGATTCATAACAGTACAAAAACAAGTCTGTTATTAAAGGGGCGCAATTAGTGCCCATTGAAATACCTACAACCTGTCGATAAACTTTGTTGCCAAAACGTGCATAAATATTATCAAGGGGAAATGAACAGCGTTAAATCATCTCATCCCACCTCCAGTAAGTATATCTAGCATATTTACCTTTCACATTAAAGAAGAAGGTTTTAAATGAATTGCAGCAAATATATTTGCATTCGGATTTACCAAACGACCATTTAAATAAATAAGAAAACTTTTGTTTGATAAGATTGTGTGGAGGTGTAGTGTAAAGAGTAGAAAAGTCAAAACTGTCAACAGAATTCAAAAGACCATCAAAAACATCTAATTTATTAAAATCATCCATTTTTTTTTCACTCCAAAATAGACGATTTTATGCTAAAACATGATATGTTTTCCACTCAAAGGGTGGGACATAAAATATTTTATAATATTTTGTGTACAATGTACATCTGAAATCAGTGTTTCCCAGTCAAACCAGATAATAATATTTTTTTTGTAATATCTGCCGAAAAAGAAATGTATTTTAGAATATCCAAATAAATAAAATCTGATTTCGATTATAGTTTCGTGCTCAATGGAATTAATTACGACTATTTAGATATGTATGCCTTTTAAGTTTTGGGATCGAATTTAATGAGGAACATATTCAAGTTTGTATCAAAGCAGGTTTGGGGGATAAGCTACAGATCAATCAGATTTTGTTTAGAAGCGACATGTCTTTAAAATTGATACAGTTAAAAAAATGGAGGGAGGGTAAGTTAAAGATTGAAAAATGTAACATTATTTTCTGTTTACATATTAATATTTTTAATTTAGGTACATCTCCACATGGGAAGGTCGACTATTCATATGTATTATATATTGATAGAAACAAGTGTCTGTGTACATCTCTCTTTGGTTCATCTTCCTAGAATTATTGAGGGAAAGAAAGACAATAAATCTATACACAATAACCAGTTTAGTTATGATTTTTCATGCACCGATTCAAAAGTACACTCAACGAAACTAAAACTGTATGAAATGTAGGTTACACGTCAATAAGACAGCAACCAAACGACAAGAACAAACTAAGGACATCTAGAAGGCAACTTATAGTATAATTTAAACAATAGATAGGTGTCTACACAATATGTCCATTTCTAATTCGTCACTATAACATATTCTAGTTTGTATTCGTTTCTTCTTTGTTTTTAAGTTTCAAAGATTTTTTATTATGGCAGTCCATGACCATGATAACATTCTTCTTCATTCATTTTGTTGCAAATCAGGCAAGACATAATCTCGTTTAATACAAGTTCAATTCATATAAACCTTTTAAACTAATTACAACAGGTACCATCGACTTCAACTGTATGGAGATGCCGTATGTACTTTGTAACTTATCTTTTGAAAATGTGGTAGATACTATTCCTAGTAACACGCGTCTGTCAAGATAAATGGCGAATAACAAAACACAATATTCGGTACCGTAAGTTTAAAAAAGAAAGTAGAACATGACGAGTCGAACATACAATATTGTATGAATAAAAGGAGAAAGTGACTGTGCTCCAGTACCACTTTAGATCACAAAGTCACGATTAAAAATTGCCTCGGGTCACCAGGTCACTTTTAAGCAAACTATTCAGTTCTAAACTGATTTGATTCTCGGTTTAAACATTTTAAAGGTCACATGTACTTTCAAAAGAGACGTCAGGTCGCAACGTGGTCAATTCCCCTTTGACGTCCCAGGTCGGACTTGACAATGTTGTAGCCACATATAGGGTGAATGCATCCAACTTAAACATTTGGATCCTACTACCTAAAGTTATGTATGGCAAAGTGTCCATACCATTTACATATTTTGGCTATGGTTATTTCACTTGGGATATGTACATGTAAGTGTTTCATTCATGAATCAAATACCTTTCTTGGCACAAACTCATAAACAATAAATTATAAAAACCTATTGCAGATTATTGCATATACAATGATATTAACAGACGTGATCGAATGAAAAGTTATACATACTAATATATCATAATATTATTAATGATAACAATGTGTGGGACTATAAAGCACAGAAAAATACAAAGCACAATAGAACTGGTATGTAATGCGTTCTTTCTAGTGCGTCAATCAGTGAAGTTAATTCCAGTGTGTAATGCGTGTTCGAATAAACCGTTAATCACACGTTCTCTTTGGATTAAACGAGATCTTTTGTATACATATATGAAAAAAAAGCAGAGACAGATCCAGAGTTTAAGGAAAGGGGGAGGCATAATTGTCCAAAAAGATAATCAATCCACCAATGTTGTTTTTTTGACGATTTTTAAGCAAACGATTAGATGATATCAATCAAAAGGGCCCTCTAAACCCACAATGATCTTCGGCTATATCAGGAAGATTTTCCATAGGTCGTTCCTCAAAATACAGATTTTGTTTCGTTTCGTTGTGTTTCGTTTCTCAATTTACATGTTTCGTTTCGTTTCGTCGTGTTTCGTTTCGTTTCGCCATGTTTCGTTTCGTTTCGCTCTGTTTCGTTTCGTTTCGCTCTGTTTCGTTTCTGTTCTGTTTCTCACTTTACCGGGACCCTCTTTTTAATGTGATTTCAAAAGTTTTGTGATTGAAAGTTCCTACTGAAATAAATGCAAACCTGATACTTTCGCATTTTTCGTATTAATAAAAACATTGCAACAATTTCTGAATCGACAGTTATCATTTTCTGTACATGCATCCGTCCCAACTATACCTTAAATTGAATTGGTTCAATTTTAAAGGTGCAGACAGTTCTCAAAAAACAGTTGTAATATATCCATGATACTTTATTAGATTGTCCCATTCAGTACAGCACTACTTTTTTCTAACTCTAAGTCACTATGACCTACTTTTATTGTGAGAGTGATTATGATAAAGTTTTAATGGGATACCTATGGCATATCATTGATAATTTATCTCTATGGTGTTGTATTTATATGTCTTTTTTATATTTTTTTTTTCAGTTATACTTCTGCCATAAGAACTGGGCTGAAGTTTTCAGGAAATGAAAAGTTAACTTTTGGTGGAGGAGAGGAGTTATGGGTATTTATCAACAAAGTATTGGTAATAGAAATCATCGCTGATAGATCATCGGCCAGCGTGGCCTGTCAGACTGTTGATTTATCTGCAGCTGCTGCAACAGGTAAATAGGAAAAGCAAGAGGTATTGTGGTTTAAAAGTATTGGTAATCCTGAATCAAATGCATTCTGGGTAATGATTTCAAAAAAATACATAGCTACATTGTGATTGGTTGATATTATTATAAACAATACACATTAAACTAATGGTAAAAATATTATTTTCATTTTGTTGTACAAATAAAGAAATTACCCAAAATCCTTTAGAGTCGGTACCATACTTGCCAACCTCTGACAATGAGAAATCATGTCATGACATGACATGACATGTCAAAAAGCGTGTGAAAACGCGTGACGTAGATGCGGACTTTTTAATATGAACAATGTTCATAATTTCACATTATATGCAAATTTGTTAATATAAAAACAATATTCAACTGTAAACTTTTATTGTATTCAACAGTGGTCTGTTTTGCTGCTTTTAAAGCAACACCACTAGGCACATAGTCAAAACACCTGCTGATTTGGTTACATTTACTTGATAACAAGGCACACAACATATCATTGTCAAGTTCTGATCAGAATTCAGTGTAAATTTCTTTATAATTGAAAATGATCTCTCACAGTCAGAATTGATATTTGGCTCAACTAAAATAGCTTCATGAAGCTTTGAAAGAGTGTCATAATGTTTTTTTGCCATCTAAAATGTCATCTATGATCTCTGCCATTGCTCCCAACAAACTATACAATATATGTTGCTATTGCCTGGTCAAAACTGGGTAGTTCATCAGAAGACAGCTAATACTATGAGAACTGATCCAACAGTTCCGTGATATTTCCATCCCCTATGGCCTGTGGAAATCTGTTGGCTACATTTGAAACTGAAAAAGAAAAATATTTTATAATTGTTAAATGCTTAATCAAATAGCTATGTATTTTAGTTCTCCTCTCATATGTATTGTTATGATTGCAACATAGAGTGCACAATGCGTTACTCATCCCTCGATGATTTAAACTCGAACTCCCAAATATAATTTATAAATCTTGAATCTTGGTACGTACACATCGTTTTCGCTTAGAAATCGACTCTTTAGACGACGGTACAGGTCCTGAAAGCTACCTCTTTCTGTGGACATTTTCCCTAAGTGAATTTGAAAGAAAGAAAGTCCCAAAATCGTAAAAACTAATCACAAACTACTTACCTTAAGAGCTTTTGCTGTTCGTCCATATAGAGAAAAATAAACAATGGCCACCAAACAATAGCCTGGCATCCTGACCCAATCTAATGCTTCGTCGATAGGTCGATAGGTCTACTGTCAAGCAGTTGGCCAGGATCCCAGGCTAATCAAACAATTACTTCGAAATTTCGGTATTTATCGTGTTATAATGAAAAAACCCGAGAATCGCGATATCACTAACAACCAAAAAATCAAAACAACTAAAAAGCGTGTAATTGCGTGTAAAGTGGTGAAAAGAGTGTACACGCCATGTGATAAAATCCTCGCGTGTAAACCGTTGAAAAAGCGTGTATTACACGCGAATATCATGTCAGTTGGCAACTATGGTCGGTACTGCAAATTGAGTTCATGAATGTTTTGAAAATCTTAATTATTGTCCCCTAAGGTAAATCTCCTGACAGGAGATCAGTCTATCTCCTTTCAAATAAACCTCTTCTTTATCCCCAATATATGACTATAATCAGATGTATTTTCCAGTAAGTACTGACAAGTTTTTACAACAAAATGTTTGATGTTGCAATATATCTACTCCAATTTGAATATATTTTATTACAGTACATATATATTCTCAAATTTTCCAAATATTTGTTAACAAGGAATGCAAAAATATTTCACAAAATCTTCCTGAAAAAAGGTGTTTAGATATCTAGATATAATTATATAATCAAAGCAACATATTAACCCTTTCGCCTTTTAGTGTAAACCGGGATTCACTCTTCAGACAGCTGACGATGAGTCCTGGTTTACCGGGATCGGAATACCTCCTTTATGTTTCCCGCTGAAAAACATTGCGAACAAGAGTTATATTTCTTTGTTAAATGCCCATATGCAAGTGTAAACATGGCGCTTCCGATTGTTGAAAACCAGGTCAAAATCATATGAAATTTACGGATTTTACTGAAATTTGAAACAAGGGAACATTTTTTTTGAAAGAATTTTGAAGAATTGAAGCCAGATTAGTATACTCTTTTGACATAAAATGCCATTTTATGTACAAAACACTTAGAATGGACATTGTTCAGTGTAAGGAATGTTTAAAACCTCGTTAAAATTTTCAAACTTTTGTCGTTTTGTGTTAAAAATTTACAATTTTGGGTCTTAAAGTTGAATTTCGTGAATTTCTTCTATTTTAATGCCGCTAATTAGCAAATTTAATTTTTTCTGACAAAAAATTTATCAAAACATAAACAAAACTGTGTCCATGGTGTAAGTGAATAAAATAAAGACATAAATAACTAGACAAGTTTTTATTGGTATTTAATATGAAGATATCCTGCTTGTGTCACAATAGCCAGGGCAGTCATCGTCTCAAGAGTAGCTTATGTTAGGGCGGCTATCGGTGAAAGGGTTAAAACCATGTTGGAAGTTGAAGGAAGGAACACAACCAGACAAAGATAAAGATAGACAAATCCAAGAAAAGAGGCCAAAAAAGTGCTCCAATGTCAAAATTTCTCCTATTGAAATTCTGTTTATTCTTCACCTTTTATTTAATATACCAAAGCCTAATGCAATGACTTTTAGTTAAAATTATTTATTTATATATTTTAGGAGGTGGAACTTTAACATTTGAAGAAGGAACCATTGTTGGAGGTGTCTGTACAGGATTAACTCCCTTGGCTTCTTCTGTGTCATTGGATTTAGAGGTTTGAAATTTTTTTACAATTACAAAGAATGCACTTTTTATTGGTGAATTTGAATAAGCTTGGTTTTTGGAATAAATCAGTGGTTTGGGAATATTGCTAAATTTTATGATATTACAAAAAAAGGTTTTAATGGCAAAATGTACATTTAAACATGTTAAAAGATAGGAATTTTCATGGCCTTTGGGGTTATGGAGATCCCATTTATTTCAGTTATCCCATACAGCTTTAGATTTCTAAGTTTTTGGATCAAATATATTACTGGTAAAGGGAACCGAGAGAGATATTTTAATACAAATGCAGCAGATTTAATATATATTTTTCAAAAAATTAATTTTGAGTGGAACCTTTAATTAAAAAAAGGGAGGGGGTGGGGATGAAAGCAATGAAGAAATTGTTTTATGTATGGAAATATGTAAATTGCAGTAATATAAACAGATTACTTTGGATTCATTATTGTTTGTTGGATACCAATTTTCATGGGTTGAAGCAAACCATGATTTCAGATGTTCAACGAAGCATAAAGGAGTTGGTTCACTTACTCGTAATTTTGGCCGTATAAATCTGAAATTTTTTAACTACAATAATGTTGTGAAAATTTGATGAAAACATATGTTAAAATGTCCAATTGTTTCAGTTTAAAAAATGTCCACCAATTGCATCATTGATGATGTATTTGAGATGTCATAAACGTAGGTGAATCATGGTTAAACATTATTTTTAGCATAATTTTCCATTAAAATTAACAGTGGTACCACCCCTTGTCTACAAACATTTTTGCTGAAATATTATTTATATACCATATTCTTTACTTTTCAACCAAAAATTCAATTGGCTACGGGTGGCGCAGATGTGAAATCATGAAAAAAGGTTGAAAAAAGTGTCAAAAAAATGACAATAAAATGAAAGCTTTTCATATTGTAGGATAATTTATTGATAAATATGAAGCCTATGTACAATTTTTTAAATTTTACTTTCAAAAATAATAAATTTCGCAATTCAAACATGTAGGAACAGTTGAAGTTTTAAAAAGGACACCTGTACCTGGCCATTCATTAGGGTTACTGGCTCAATTCCCTTCCTGTAGACTTGTAGAGTGGGTGACGCATATTCGCCGCAAAATTCGTTCATTTCCACCTACATCCGACCTACATTCGAATATTTGAAACTTTTTATGTAGGTTTCAGAAAGTTTACTATATGAAAAAAATGTTTGATAATGGAATTCTCTTCAAAATATTGGTTAAATGTTTTAAAAATGAACGCAAACTCCAGAGGAAATCATGTTGTTCTTGTACCATGGGGGACACATTTTCGCCGCAATGTATGATATGACCATCCTCATTATCCTTGTATATTATAAAAACAATTGTTTGCAATTACATGAATTAGCTTGAGAGATCATTCCTATACAATTTTTCTAACAGATATTGACTTCATGACTGCGCATGCGTGCCATATAAATCTTACATAATTGCCAAAATCGTTCAAAAACTACTGCATATTTCTTTATATGTGCGAATAACATTGGAAATGGGGTAAAGAGGAATATCAACAGTTCGAACATTACAAACAGCGTTTAGCATCTGTTTAGGCAAGTATTGGGTAAAGGCACACGAAATTTACAGAAAAAAATAACAAAAACGGCGGAAATGTGTCCACGGCGAATATGCGCCACCCACTCTATGGAAAATTTTGCAAAACCATGAAAATTAAATTTTCTTCTATCTACGTAAACTGGTACCTAGGAAAATAAAATGAATCAACAGTATTTCTAACTTGTCTTTGCAGATGGATGATTCGTACCTGTTTGAAATATTCCACGTGGAAAGAGCAGGATGTTCTTCTCAGTTGTTACTCCATTTTGACAGCGCCTATCTCACTAACCATGTTGGTGATACAGAACCCATGCATTATAAATATACGGCTGCTGAAAATCTACATGTGAATGGTTTATTAGGAGAGTTATCTTTATGGGACATCTTCACATCAGGACCACCATATACAATAGAACTTTATAAAGGTCAGTTTTTATCTATTTTTTTTTAAATTTTTTATCTTAAATGGTTTTACTTCCTCATTTGTTAAAAAAAAAAGATTAAAACATAAAAAAAAGATTAAAACATTCTAATTACTGGTAAAATGTGCAGGACCCACTGTTTCATGTGCAAAGATAAAAAAAATTAGAGTCCATAAGAAAATGTGTGAAGGAGGCAGACAACAAAAGTTTGGAACTTTGGATATCAAGGAAAATTATTTAAAATACTTTCCGAAAACACTAAAAGATGTATAGAGCAATTTAATTTCAAAGGGGAAAACTTGGGTCAGGGAGGTAAATCTTTAAATAAGTATTGTTTTTGGTTATAGTCATTTTCATCAATGCTTTATCATGTATTCATGTCAAAAGGAATGAATTTAAAACATGTTACTTAGAAGATTCTAGAATACATATAATGAAAATAGTTGACACAAAAATATGACAAATTTTTAAGAGTTATTTCCCTTTATATCTGCTTCCTTCAAAACTCTATAAAAATAGAGTGATATCAGGTGCTCAAGAAGGGTAAGCATTTCTTGCAAACTACAAGAGATATCAGAAGCTCTAAATAAATGAATATTTACCAAGATACATAAAATGCTTACAACTATTTAAAAAATGACAAAAAAACTGATGAATGGACGTCGAAAAATAAAGTAAAAGACATGGAAGTAGTTGAAGAAAAGGGTGCATAGATGAAAGACCTGATCAAGAAAAATGTTTCTCAATAATTAAAAACTTTATATTTACATGTTGAAAATTTTTGATGGAATGATGGTCATAGACAACATTTGCTTCAGCCACTGAGTTGCTTATGCTTAAAGTTACCATAGGTGATTGAGGGAATGCAAAATCAATACAAAAGCTAAAATATTACTCTGATGTATAAGACAGATCTATCTAGATCATCTGGGATAAGTTGATGAATGTGCCACTAAATTTTATTGTTTTATAGGAAATGAAGCTCGACATTTTGCATTCAAAGATGATACAACAGCCAATCAAAATGCAGCAACTACAACAGCTCCACCTACATATGATTATGTGACTGTTACCGGCACAAGTCTCCAGTATATTGGTAGGTTTATATAGATATATTGCATTGGTAATATGTCACATAGCTCTATGGAATAATAGTAAAGGTCTCATGTCATATCTCAAGTTTTTTTTGTTAGACTAAATAAAAATGTATGTGTGGTTCCAGTTACATCCCCAAAAAAGATAGGGTCAGTAAAATTGTGTGTTCACCCAGTCTGATTCCGGTATTAAAGACGCCACTACCAGAAGTTTGCCAATTTTTATATGTTTGGTTGTAATTTGTAAAGAAAATAATCAGACGTGTTCCATTTTTAGTTAATTTTTGTTGCATTCTGTTAATTTGTTGCATATTAAGCCTTAGTAGGTACTTCTAATGGAAATTTAGATGACAGAAGTCTGTGAATTAAATTATTGAAATTCACATTCCACAGAATGGGATCATTCAAAATTTATTTTGCAGAATTGAAAAAAAGTTCTAGGGTTGGGGGGTTTAAACTAGGGTTTGGTCAGGTAACTGGAACCACACATATGTTTTTATTTGGCCTTATTCAGAGAATTTTGTGTTGATCTTTGATATTTTCTGTTAAATTTATTGGAACTTTTATAGTTTTGGAATGATTTAATTAAGAACAAAATGCTGAATAAACAAAACATGTTAAAGTATTGCTATTTTAACTTCAACATTTGCATTTTATCATCAAAATAACAAAATGATGAGACATACCTCTGTGTTAACAGTTTATTAAAGTTTTGTTTATTCAGCATTTTGGTACCTTGTCTCATTGACTCTCTTCTGTACTTTCAGCTTGTACAAGTAACACACAGACCCCAGAGCCAGATAATTCAGCTATGGAAACATTCACCATCACAACATCACAAGCACTACTGACCCTGGCCACAGAACTTAACTTTGAAGTTGCTGAGTCGTATAATCTTGTCTTCAGAGTGATTGATACTAATGCTGCCCAAACCGGGTCTTTGGTTGTCAAGGTAACTGTTTTAGTTGCTGTCATGATATATTGATATTATTTCTGCTCAGGGTCCATGGTAAGAAACTGTTTCTTTGACTGCAGAAAGTTTCTACTACTTAGTCATTTTTTTTTTTAATAACTTTATACACTTTTGTATTTTATTATAGATAGAAGAAAATTTGTTATGATTGCCACAAATATTCACCAAAAGATCAAAGGAAAATGATGTAAACAACAACAGGTCACTGTAGTGCGCCAAAATTGAGCAAAACCCATACAAATAACCATATAGTAAGCTAAATAAAATGCCCAGATAACAAAATGTGTACTTCATGCAGTACTTAAATTTCTGTATGTAAATTGTCCTGATGCCTGCAAAATTTGTCGACCAAGTTTGATATAATTGCAGACTCGATCTATGTTGTGATGTTACACTATTGTTTCAGGTAGAGTTAAGGTTGGCGCCTATTAAAACATTTAAACCCGCTGCATTTGTTTGCACCTGTCCTAAGTCAGGAACCTGATGTTCAGTGGTTGTTGTTTGTTGATGTGGTTCATAAGTGTTTCTCGTTTTTATATAGATTAGACCGTTGGTTTTCCTGTTTGAATGGTTTGACACTAGTCATTTTTGGGGCCCTTTATAGCTTGCTGTTCAGTGTGAGCCAAGGCTCCGTGTTGAAGGCCGTACTTTGACCTAAAATGGTTTACTTTTACAAATTGTGACTTGGATGGAGAGTTGTCTCATTGGCACTCATACCACATCTTCTTATATCTATCTATGAAGTGTTGTTGTCATTTATTGGTATTTTAAGTTTTGCAATAGTTTGCATTAATTGACAACCCTGCATACCAATGTATCCACTTCAGGAGACTCTATAGAAAGTAAACACAATGGCGTTGTTTCACCACATGGAGTTGAACTGTGAAATAGTACGAAAGAGAAAACTAATGGCCTGATGTTTGTATAATCATAGTATTCATGCATATTATATTTCCGTATTTTCATATTTACAATGTATTCAGGATTTCCATATTTTACATTCATAAATACGTTGCACTGTATAATGTGTAAATACACTTTTTCAAATTTTCGTTTGTTTTGTATTTCTAGGTAGACATTACAGATGTCAATGATAATTGTCCAGTGATGAACATTACTAGTGATTTATACTTTACAACAGAGCGCCCTCTACTACAGTTAGATCCACTGTTTATAATAGGTGCTACTGATGCTGATAGTGGTACTAATGGTCAGTTTGAGTACCATGTGTCAGGAGTTCTTCTTGAAGAGTGAGTATTTTTCAGTAAAATGTAAATTAGTACGTGTACATAAAATATTTTCTTTAAAGCTGTTATTTATCAGAGTAAGAGTTCACTATTTCATACTGGTATCTTTGGTGTCTAAGTTTTCTATACAGTTCAACATTGTTTATGAACAGCATTTGAGTCCCATTGACCTACATTTCATACTTGAATGAGTTTGATTTGAACTGAAAGTTGAGGGGGGGGGGCATATTGTTTTACCCCTGTCCGTCCCATGATGGGTATATAGTTATTTCAGATAACTCCTTCTACAGTTTGAATGCTAGGAAGTTTTCACTTGGCTGGCTGTTTGTACGTATATAGAAGCTGTGCATGTGGTCAGGGTTTTGATTTTTATCAAAATATTTGCTCTTTTGGGAGATAGTTGAATTTTGTCATTTTTGGAGTATATTATTATATTAACTTGCATAAGAGGTGCATAGCGTTTCTGCATAACTTCTACAGTTTGAATGCTAGGAAGGTTTCACTTGGCTGGCTGTTTGTACGTATATAGAAGCTGTGCATGTGGTCAGGGTTTTGATTTTTATTAAAATATTTGCTCTTTTGGGAGATAGTTGAACTTTGTCATTTTTGGAGTATATTATATTAACTTGCATAAGAGGTGCATAGCGTTTCCGCATAACTTCTACAGTTTGAATGCTAGGAAGTTTTCACTTAGCTGGCTGTTTGTACGTATATAGAAGCTGTGCATTTGGTCAGGGTTTTGATTTTTATTAATTTTTGCTCTTTTGGGAGATAGTTGAACTTATTTTAGAATAACACTTTGCATCTGCCGGGGCATCATTTGTGTCTACCAGACACAATAAAATCTCAAAGAAAGTTCTGCATTGACTTTGTTATGATACAGTTACTTTAGAGTGGAGTGCGGGGGCATCACTTTGTCTAGTTTTTGTTTTGTACATACAACGACAGATATCAATCCTATATCCATAGTATGTTTCTTTTAAGAGTGAAAAAGACATAAAGGGAACCTCTGTTAAGTGGAAACCTGCTTAATATGCGGTATGGGCTCATTGTTGAAGGCCGTACGGTGACCTATAGTTGTTAATAAATGCATTCCTACAATTTATAATTTTGTAAGTTTGGTAACGTTTTCAGATGTGAATCCGTTTCTTAGAAGTGTTTGATACATCAAAAAAATTTAACTAGTACATCATTCTTGCAGGGTACACAGTTCATTACAATTTTTTTATATTGTTGATATACTATTGAAGCTCTTTAAAAAATTACTTTCTAGTGTATATGCTTAAGATTGATTCCATATTCCTGAAACCAATGATGAATTGGTAATATGGCACTGATGTTATCATGATATCATATTGATTGTTGAGGTTTCTATAAATTGTCATCTGTAAATATAGACAATGCAATTTCCCATAGGATCTCCTTTTACAGCTAAAACTGTGCCACTTTTACTTTGAACTTTCGTAAAAAAACAGATCCTGGAATGGAAAGTTCACATGCACTACTATTTGTTTTGCAAAGATCAAAACATAGGGTTGCCAGTCATATTTTCAACATTTATATGCCTCAAATTTTTAAGAGTATTTAACTTGTTCTAAAACTCAGGTGACTACCCCTCCCTTGATTTTCAGTCTTCCTGAGAATTCAATTTGACCGCTTTCCAACTGTATTTATACTGTCAAAAGTCCGAAGTAGTATCTCTATGAGAAGAAACTAGGAGATCATATCTGAGAACCAGTACGTAAACATGGTAAACAAAACAAAATATCTATGAATATTAAGTATCTCCCAAAAAAAGGCTTTGTTTGTGAAACAGCTGTATTTACAAAGTGCAACCTATATACTGTTTACAATGGAAAACAAAACTTTAATCCTGTCCTGCAATACAAAAAAAAAAAACATTTGCTAAAACCTATCATTAACCAAAAAAATAGAAGATATCTGTATAGTTCAGTCATACCTGCTTTAAATTAGAAGGCACTTCAATACAGCAAATTACTACCTGTTCATGTTATACACTGTTATAGAATAACTAATGGACAAATTCAAATATAGAAAAATATTCAACAATTGACAGAACAACACATTAATTTACAAGTAAATTATCATTATTGTTCGGTCACAAGTTGTAATAAATTCCATCGGTCTTTAACAGATAAAAAACGGACCAGAAAACTGGTCGTTAACGGACTTTTACATGTTAATGACCAGTGGGGCGTGTTTTCTCTGTTTAGAGTGATTTCGATTATTATAAAATTATAGAAAACTTTATTTTGTATTCATATACTGAAAAATTGCACATAAATGAATGGCAGTGACTTATAGTTATCACTATGACTGGTCTTCACTTTTTCCTATAGAAATTGTACAATAACTCGATAATAAGTTTGCTTTTAACAATTTATGAGAATTTTAAAAACATGGTTCCTCTATGAAATAAACATAATAGTTATTGGAGAACAGGTCATTATCGTGATACATGGACTGCCCGTAGGACAGTGGTATTGACTGCGACAGCGATAATGACCTCGCCTACAGCTGGGTCATTATCGCTGTATTAGTCAATACCACTGTCCTGTGGGCAGTCCATATATCACAGTAAAGACCAGTTTTTCAATAACTATTATGTAATTGCATCTTACACTTTACAGTGTACATAGTTCATTAACATTTTGTTGAAATGTGTTTGTAATTCTACAAAACTGTACTGTCTTGTGTACATGCATAAGATTGATCCCTTTTTTATGCCCCATCTAGGGGCATTATGTTTTTCGGTCTGTCTGTCCGTCTGTCCCGCTTCAGGTTAAAGTTTTTGGTCAAGGTAGTTTTTGCTGAAATTGAAGTCCAATCAACTTGAAATTTAGTACACATGTTCCCTATGATACGATCTTTCTAATTTTAATGCCAAATTAGAGTTTTGACCCCAATTTCACGGTCAACTGAACATAGAGAATGATAGTGCGAGTGGGGCATCCATGTACTATGGACACATTCTTGTTTGAAACCTGTGATGAAATACTCTGGACTTTTGAAAAATGTTAATATGATAACAGATAAAGCTGTGGTTTCTACAAACTCCAATCCATACCTTTTACAATGAGACAAAAATTGTAATCCTGTAAAAAAAAGATATAAACAAAATTTGCTAAAAACTTATTTTAATTTTCATCAAATGAATTGGATTTAATATTTGCTGACTTGCAGGTTTGAAATAGTATTAAAGGTTATTTTTGTTACCCGTGTGACATGTTGCAGGGGACATAGAAATACAGGGCGTCTGTCCCTCTGTCTGTCTGGTCTTGTTAGCACTCTCACGTTTACAATTCTTGCCAGATTTTTAAAAAACTTATATCATAGGTTTATATCAGTATTGTCTTGTACAAGTTTGAAAACCAGTGCCAATCAACAATTTTTAAAAGAGTTATGCCCTTGGAAATATTATTTATATGGAAAATTGCATTGCCTTTGCTCTCAAGCCTTCATTTCTCTCATAAAATATGTGCTATGCAGGGGACATTAATGACTCTGGTCTTTTATTAAAATTTAGAAAGTTAAGCTAACACAGTCAAACTTTTTGACATTAAGCCAGGATTACTTAGAAACCTATTGATAAAATAAATGTTCTTTATACAGTGTTGTGAAGAATAATTCATGAAATTTTAATTAAATTGTTTCAATGTCTTTTGAAAACCAACTCAAACAATATTTCAATTTAAGTGCATGGCTGTTTAACTTTTATTTCTGAAGTAACCATGGTAACCTTAAATCAAATAATGTACAACAACTTATCTTCAATGATACCTTTTCATATCAATTCCTTTATAGCCCAATTTCTTGCAATTTATTTTCTAACTTTATTGATATATATATATTTTTATATACTTGACAAAACATAATAATTGGAAGTTAGTGCATTCTTCTTTCAAGGTTTTTAGTTCAGTAACGTTTGTTTTAATATTGTAAAATTCTTGTAGATCTTTAAAACATTATTTTCTGTTATACTGTGCTTTAGACTATTTCCCATTTCTGGAAACTGATAATGAACTGTTTATTTGCTTGATGTTAACATGATAAAATATACAGCTGAAGTTTCTGTAAATTCACATCCATGCTGTGTATCATGTGACACAAATTTTAATTCTGCAAAAGAATTTAAAAAAATCTATTGTTGACCAAAAATGTAGGGAGAAGATATCAGTATACAGACAAAGCTGCTTTAGTAGGATCTTCAGTACTAGTACAGTAAATATCTACCCGTAAATAGGACACTGACAATATACACGTATTTACAAAGCGTGTAAAATGAATCTTTGTATAAAAGGTTCATTAAGGATGATTATTTTTCTTCTTATTTTGGGACTTCTTATATGAAGGTTTGATTGCATTGTATAACTAAGGATATCATTGTTTATCTACATAATTTCATGAAGTTATCTTTACTATTAGACATTCAACTAGAAATTACCTACAGTATAAAGCTAAGGCCCTGCTAAAGCCTGATAAAATAAATTTACTTTTTTATGCTAGCTGTAGTGAGGTATTCTGCAAACCCCAAAGTTCATGAAATTTTAAATTTTAATCAGTTCTGTCATATTCTCCTTACCTAAAACTGAATTCTTTAAGGAAAACAACACTTTACAAACTATCTATGAAATTTTTAAAAATGTATTCGAGGTCATGTAAAAGTTATTTATATAGTTCTGCATGTCAAAATTTTCTCAATTTTTTTAAAATTTTTATTTTTAGGGGAGGGTGTAATTTTTTCATATTTTTTTCGTATATTTTTGACATATTTTCTATTTCATTTTTAGACCATCATTAGACTACAGTGAAGCACTGGCTATCAGAGAACAAGTTTACAATGGCAGCACAGAAGTGACTGTAGAGGTCGCTGTGATTGACCTTGGGAATCCACCTCATGGCAGTGTATTTAATGTGACAGTCAATCTCAGTAATACCTGTCTTATCGATGAACTTTTTGACAGGACCAATATCACATTCATGATAAATAAGACAGATAGTAATGGTGACTTTTATCTGAGGATACCTGGCTACTGGATTGTAGATTTTCGTAAGTATTATTGTTTTATAATTGAAATTGATGTCTTAACTTATTTTAAAAAAGTAACAGGCAATTTTTATGCCCCATATATGTTTCAGAACCTACCTATTGTATTTATTGTTAATTTGTTCTCGTCCTGAATATGCATGAAATATTTGCCACTGGACGTTAAGCAACCAACAATCAATCAATCATATAAAAAGTGACTTTACATTATTGAACTGCAATCTTCTCTTAATTAGTGATTGGAATCTTTTTATGTTTTTCAATTTGTGCATCCATTTTTTCGCCCGTCCGTCCATTTGTTCGTTCGTTCGTTTGTCCGTCCGTCCGTCCGTTCGTTCATTTGTCCATCTGTCCCGCTTCAGGTTAAAGTTTTTGGTCAAACTTTAGTTTTTGATGAAGTTGAAGTCCAATCAACTTGAAACTTAGTACACATGTTCCCAATGATATGATCTTTCTAATTTTAATGCCAAATTAGAGTTTTGACCCCAGTTTTATGGTCCACTGAACATAGAAAATGATAGTGCGAGTGGGGAATCCATGTACTATGGACACATTCTTGTTTGTAAAGAGAGGTATAAGTGATGTGAGTGATAAACAAATAAAGTTTTGGGGGTGTATATAGGAATCACCCTGTTGTGACACTTATTCGTGTCTACGTTCCTTTAAAGTGCAATTCCCCCTAAGCAACTAAATAGATATTGATGAAACTTTACACAGTTTTAGATCACTACCTGTGAATGTACAAAACTTAGGTTAGCTGTAGTTAAGTTGTAGAACTTAAAATTTGGTGTTCAAGGTAAAATTAATGAAATATAGTTTTGCATGTCAAAAATTTATTTTTTTTTATGGGAGGGTGTAATTTTTTCATTCATTTTTATACGCCCGTTTACGGGACGTATTATGGTATACCGTTGTCCGTCATTCCGTCGTCAACATGTCGGACATTAACTCAAAAATGCTTTAACCAATTTGCATTAAACTTTGGTGAATTGTTTATATCTATTGACGTTAGCTCCCTTTCGTTTTTTTATAAAATTTACATTTTACGTTTCCGAGTTATGGGGTTTTATCCATAAAAAAAGGGGGGATTTTCCAGTTTTCGAACAAAAACTCAAAAATGCTTTCAGCAATTCTTATGAAACTTTGGTGAATTGTTTGTATGTATTTATGTAAGCTCCCTTTAGAATTTTATAAATTTTACATTTAACATTTCTGAGTTATGGGGATTTATTCATTAAAAAAAGGGGTGATTTTCCAGTTTTCAGACAATAACTCAAAAATGCTGTCACCAATTCTCATGAAACTTTGGTGAATTGTTTATATCCATTGATGTAAGCTTCCTTTTTGTTTTCATAAATTTCTGATATGACATTGAGAATTAATTGAACTTTATTTGTTTATAGTCTTGACAACAGATTTACTAAGTATTGCACAACAGCAAGAAATCTTTAATTGAATATAAATTCAATTCATATAACCAATTTCAAGTTCTTTGAATACATTTATTCAGAAACCTATAATATGTCAAATATTTAATTGCAATCCAAATTCAGACCTGAATCAAGCTTGAATATTGTGTCCATTGTTGCCCCAACTGTTCAGGGTTGGACCTCTGTGGGCGTATCTAGCTGCACTCAGCGAAGCAGTTTATTCATTTCCTTTTTATTTTCAGAATGTGATGAGGTTATAGGAATATCCAGTGGCATTGTGAGAGACGAACTCATAACAGCCTCATCATCAAGAGATGAGTATAGCTTACCTGCAAGAGCAAGACTCAATCTTACTCATCTTGATGATAGTAAGTCAATTGTTATGCCCTGATTTTTTATTTTTTTATTTTTGACCTTTGAAATACAGGATAGTCTATATATGTATCGCACTTATTTTGGTCTTTTCTTAAACAATGTGCAGTTTGGGGCACATCTTCACTTGTTTCTCATGAAAGTATAGGAGAATAAAATGTGCTGAACATCTTGAATTTCAAATTATTGTTAAAAAAGTCACTAAAATTAACAAGGTTTCAAAAAAATACAATGTTTACAGGCTTTTATCAGTGATTTGTGTTAAATGCCATTCATATACAAATTGGGGAAAACAACAACATTTTTCAAGTGTAGGGAAGAAATTTACTTAAAATGTCTTTATCACTATTGAATTTCACTATTAAACTATCCAGTGTCTAAACTCTGTGATTCACCAGACTTGAGATCAATATAAGAACTCATGATTTTGTCATTTGAATTCATTTATTATCTTTGGTATTAGTTTTTGTGGATTAAAGAAAAATTGTATTTTGTGGATATTTTATTGTGTGGTTTGCCAAAGTCTGTATACAAGGCTATTGAAAATTTACACTTTGTTGAACATTTAAATTAGTGGTTAACTTATATACATGAAATCCTACAAAAATTAATACCCTTGAATAATGATTAATCCACAGCATGAATAAAACAAAACAATTGAAAACAATTTTATGAAATTTAATAACTTACAAAAATTATTTTCAGCTGTAACTGACTTTTCGGGTGCATGGGTGGCTGGAACAAATGATGTTGACCAGTACATTCAGGTTGATATGGAAGATCCGTACAAATTTACCAAATTATATCTACAAGGTCAATCAGATGAAGCCAACTGGGTGACGGCATTTAAACTCTACTATACAGATGATGAAGCAGGGAACTGGACACTGTATCAGGATAGTTCTGGAGAGTTTGTAAGTTTTCAACAGCATATTACATATATCTTGACTTTTTTATTGAGAAATGTGGGAAGGGTTTTACAGAATCTAAACTCTACATCACAAGACTCTGAAGCTTGAAACTAGGCTTCTTGGTGTGTACCAATTTTCTTGAATTGAGAAAAATTTTTATTTTCAATGATATTTAATTTGTGGTCTATTCATCCATTCTGGTTTTGGTTTAAGACAGTTTACCCATAAGAAGTTGTCACATCAACTTGAAGCTTAAAACAAATAATCATTGTAATAATGTGAATATGAATGTACAAAATTAGAATTTTGACCCAGATTTCATGGTACACTGAAAATGAAAATTGGATTGTGTTTACAAATAGGGCACATGGGATCCTATGGAAACATAAGTTTGTTCAGAATTTTTTTTGAATTGACTAAATGTAGCACTTTGTCAAGTAATGAACTGAGACATTGTTTAAAAAAAATGTTTGTGCTTGAAATATGGACTGAGTGCCCCAAAATAGCCAAAATGGTAAAGAATACAAAAAATCGATTTAATTGAATAAAAACAGCTTCTTTTAAAAATCTAAAGCTAAATCATTGTATTTAAATCTTATTTGTTGTTTTCATAAATAGTTTATATAAATGTTGTCAATATCTGTTTTAATTATGTTTTCAAATTATAATGAAATATAATAAACATGTTGAATTTTGTTATTGTTTGCTTTGACTTAACAAATTGTTATATATTAAATACTTCATGTTTTTTTATTTTCAGATATTCCTAGGAAATATTGATAGTACTTCTACTGCAGAGTTGACACTAGATCCACCGATACTGTCCAGATATATCAAAATAAATCCACAGAACTGGACAGGGGCTATTGCACTCAGGATGGAATTAGCTGGATGTACTCAGGCAGAACAGTTCCATTGTAAGTACCTTTTCAAACTTTGGGAGTATAAAATTTGAAATGTTTTTAGAGTGGTAAAGGCAAGGACTGTTTCTTCAGAACATACATGGTATTGATTTGATTGATTTGATTTTTGGTGTTTTAACGCCACTTTTAAGCACCGCTTTTGGGCTATTCGTAGTGGCCAGTTTTTATTGGTGGAGGGATCCGGAGTGCCCGGAGAAAACCACCGACCTTCGATAGGAAAAGTGACAATCATAGTCAATTAAAATTGGAGTCGAGTGCACCCGCATGAGCGGGGTTCGAACTCACAACCTCAGTTATATGGCATTGAGGGAAGAACACTTTTAAAATGGGATACCATCTACAGTGGATTCATTTATATTTGTGGATACCAATTTTCATGGATTGAGGAAATATAGTAGTTTTTTAGCTCACCTGGCCCACAGGGCCAAGTGAGCTTTTCTCATCACTTGGCGTCCGTCGTCTTCGTCCGTCGCCGTTAACTTTTACAAAAATCTTCTCCTCTGAAACTACTAAGACAAATTTAACCAAACTTGTCCACAATCATCATTAGGGTATCTAGTTTAAAAAATGTGTCCTATGACCCCGCCCGCGAACCAAGATGGCCGACATGGCTAAAAAATAGTACATAGGGTAAAATGCAGTTTTTGGCTCATATCTCTGAAACCAAAGCATTTAGAGCAAATCTGACGGGATAAAATTGTTCATTAGGTCAAGATCTATCTGCCCTGAAATTTTCAGACCAATCAGGCAACAGGTTGTTGGGTTGCTGCCCCTGAATTGGTAATTTTAAGAAAATTTTGCAGCTTTTGGTTATTATCTTGAATATTATTATAGATAGGGATAAACTGTAAACAGCAATAATGTACAGCAAAGTAAGATCTACAAATAAGTCAACATGACCAAAATGGTCAATTGACCCCTTAAGGAGTTATTGCCCTTTATAGTCAATTTTTTACAATTTTCATATATTTTGTAAATTTTTGTAAATTTTTACAAAATATTTTCCACTGTTACTACTGGGCCAAGTTCATTATAGATAGAGATAATTGTAAGCAGCAAGAATGTTTAGTAAAGTAAGATCTACAAACACATCACCATCACCAAAACAAAATTTTGTCATGAATCCATCTGTGTCCTTTGTTTAATATGCACATAGACCAAGGTGAGCGACACAGGCTCTTTAGAGCCTCTAGTTGGATATTTAATTTTATGGTTTTGCCAAAGTCTGCATACAATCTTATACAAAAATTGTACTTCCTTGAATAAATAAACTTGAGGTTTACAACTAAAATTGGTATCCGACAAATAATAATGAAACCACAGTATATATGCATTTTTAGAATTTCATCGTATAAAACAAACTTACCCATTTTTGAGATTTCAAAGTGCGATCCCTTGGTCCCATGTATGTTAATTTAAAAATTAATTTTTATGGAACAGCCCTCAGGCATTGATTACTTTAAGGTTTTTTTTTCACTTCTGACTGAGAGGATATGATTAAAGAGTAATGCTTACAGAACCTAAACTGAATGTTCATTAAAGAAAGAAAATGTCTGAAATGTTTTGTCCATTTTATTACTACTGTAAATTCAGAAATTATTGAGAGAATTTATTATTGCGATTATTGAAAAATAGACAAGAATGCGAAATTAATTATTGCGATTTCAAGAAAATCTGCATACAGATATAGTATCAGATATCAGAAAAATTAATTATTGCGATTTCAAGAAAAACATGCATGAAATATTTGCCACTGGATATTAAGCAACCAACAATCAATTAATCTTGAGTAAATTTAACCTAAATAAAAATATAAAACCTTCATTTCCACCAAAATATGTGATATGATCAAAAGGGGTGTAAAAAATGAAAAACATTCATTTTGAACTTGTTCTTTACATTACAGGGGATTACACATGTGAGAGGTGTTACACATCCTTTTACTGTCTTGGTGATGGAGAAGCACATACATGTGGTAGATGTGAAGACTCAGGCACATGTGGCAGATCTCCAACTGAGCACTCATTTGGTGCTGCTGGAGAATGTTCTCCTTGTCCCATAGGATGGGTAGGTCTTCTAATACTATGTTCATTTGGTTATTCCACTGATCAAGACTAAAGGGGGAGGGTTGAGATAAAAAAAAAGATATCTTTCATAAATCAAATGCTTTATATGTGATAGGTACACCCATACTCTATCGTTCCTCTGAGCTACCTCACCACATATGCATGTGTCTCTCCTGAGTTAGTAACCTCATCAATGATTATCTTTTCTTAAATCAAAATTCTTTTCTTTTTCTTTTTTTTTGGGGAGTGGGGTATTGCAGATCTTTGAAAGGCTCTGTTAAGTTTGTTCGCCACCTTTTTAGACTTATGGCAATTAAGATCTTGGAAATGACAATTATTTTGTAGATATGTCAGGATGGTGTTGCTTCTCGATGTGATGATTACCATTATGTTAACTGTACTGATGATTCGTGTCCTAGCGTGTGTGCTGCATGTGATCCAGGGTATGCATGCCGAGGAGGACAGAGTTACATATGTGATGTGGGAACTTTTTCAGATGGATCTACGGGTAAGTCATCAAATATGCACATTGTGAATAATACATAAAAAGGATATTGTAAATTCAGAAATTTTTTGTGATGTTTTTATTACTGGAATAATTGCGAAGGGATATGTTTTGGAAAACTGTGCAACTATCTTTTAGAATTTTGAAAGCTTTAGTTGTATGCAAGATTTCTTGAAATTGCAACAGTTAATCACAAATTTCTGTCCATTTTTCAACAATATCAAAAATTACTGAAGGAAAAAATTTCTAAACTTTCAGCATTTCTTAAAATATTGAACAGTACTATATACCACAACCAACTCTAAACTCTTCAGGAAATTTGACTTACAAATAACATGGTCCAGATAGTCCTGCTTATTGGTACAGGCATAAAATGTGTCTTCATTGTACTAACTGTGCCACCATATTAAATCAGATTGAAATTCTTATACGTTATCCTAAATATAAATATATAAGTACACTGCAACAGCTTCTTGTATACTGTAAATTCAGAAATTATTGTGTGCATTTATTATTGCAATTTTGTCATTTTGGACTAAAATGCGATTTTAATTTTTGCGATATTGAGAAAAATCCTGTTTAATTCATATAAAAAATTTCAAAATGCGAGTTTAAATTATTGCGATTATAACCCTGTCGCATTTATCGCAATTATTTCTAAATTTACAGTATATGCATTTGTTTTCTTTCTTTTTTGCATTTTTGACATTACAAAATGTTTTCTTAAATCTATTTCCTAAAATCGTTTTTCCATTTGTTCATCAGAATTTTGTGAGATGTGTTCAGAGGGTACCTACCAGGATGAACAAGGGCAGACCGGTTGCAAAAACTGTGCTGCTGGCTACTTCAGTGCCACCTCAAAAGATCGCTGTGATCCATGTGACGTTGGGTCCTACAGTCTTGGCGACGGATCTGGGGGATGCGTTGGATGTGCTGATGAGGCTGAATGCCCCTGCATGGGTAATCAAACCTGCTTCATTGCTGGAGAATACTCAACGACTTGTATCAATAAAGGATCAGGGTCGCATGAATGCTTGACATGTCCACCTGGATTTACTGGTGATGGAAATACTTGTGCTGATATAGATGAGGTAACTATGGTAACATATTCTTTTTCTGAAACCTCAATTTTTTGGAAAGTGAAACAGGCACAAAAAATACAGTTAAAAATTGATATAATGATATATCTAAAGATTTGAGCAATACATCCTTATAATCCAATGTTAGTGGGTAATTTGGTCTCCTGTAGGTTCATTCATGGAACATTAAGTACAAGAAATACATTGACTTATCGGATGAAAAAAATCGTGTGTCAGCTGGCCTGTAACGACGTGGGACTTTGAAAAAAGGCATAAAGTCTCTGGTGGAGAGTTGTTTCATTGGCAATCATACCACTTCTTCTTATTTTATAAGATCATATTATTCCTGCCAGCATTTTTAGAGTAATTTGTATATATTTAAAACATACAAATCATGCAAATTTTAGCTTCTTGACTCTGGGTGATTTAGAGCTTCACATATTGTATGGACATTTGTCTTAATGTTTAAAGCCATTTATTTTCCTCTCACCTCACCTCACCTATCCTATTCATGCCGGTCAGCATTTTTAGGGCCGGATAAATTTTTTCCATTAGCACGGTCTAGATCTTTAGCTGTTTTCCTTGCTGTAGCCCAGCTGTTCCATCTAAGTATCATTCTTTCTATCTCTACAGTCTATCGACAGGTGGTTTTGGGATGTCCAACCTTCCTTTTCCCCTCTGGTTTCCATACCAGTGCCACTGCACATATACTATTGGTATCCATTCTTATATTACATGGCCAATCCATTTCCAATGCCGTTCCATAATATCATCACTTAATTTCTTTGTTCCAGCTCTGATGTGGAGTTTTTCATTTGATATGGTGTAAGGCCATATTGTCGTATTTTCCTCTAGAAATTTTCAATTATATTTTTTGTGTCATTTGGTTACTAGCTGTCTCATTGAAATGATAAAAATGTTGTTGATTATTATGAATAAGTTTTGAAAATTATGTTCTTTAATTAACGCCATTTTGACTCTTTGAATGCCTTTTTTGTCAGATATTTAGTTATACCCCTGCTTTAAAAAAGTGGGGGTATACTGTTTTACCTCTGTCTGTCCATCTGTCCATGAATATTTTTCGTCGCATTTTTCTCAGGAACTACATCATAAGAATTTTTGAAATTTGGTTTCACCTGGGTTTATATAAGTCAGCTATACTGTGTGATGCGTTTTCAGATTCATCCCTCAACAACTTCCTGTTTACCGAACACTTACATCATTTTACACATGACATCCAAGTAGTTGAAAATTTTCGTCACATTTATCTCAGGAACTACATTACAAGGATTTCTGAAATTTGGTTTCAGGGTTTATATGAGTCAGCTATACCGTGTCATGCGTTTTCAGATTCATCCCTCAACAACTTCCTGTTTACCGAACACTTACATCATTTTACACATGACATCCAAGTAGTTGAAAATTTTCGTCACATTTATCTCAGGAACTACATTACAAGGATTTCTGAAATTAGGTTTCAGGGTTTATATGAGTCAGCTATACCGTGTCATGCGTTTTCAGATTCATCCCTCAACAACTTCCTGTTTACCGAACACTTACATCATTTTACACATGACATCCAAGTAGTTTAAAATTTTCGTCACATTTATCTCAGGAACTACATTACAAGGATTTCTGAAATTTGGTTTTAGGGTTTATATAAGTCAGCTATACTGTGTGATGCGTTTTCAGATTCATCACTCAACAACTTCCAGTTTACTGAACACTTACATCATTTTACACATGACATCCAAGTAGTTGGAAATTTTTGTAACATATATCTCAGGAACTACATTACAAGGATTTCTGAAATTAGGTTTCAGGGTTTATATGAGTCAGCTATACCGTGTGATGCGTTTTCAGATTGATCACTCAACAACTTCCTGTTTACCGAAATATTTGGGCGGGGGTATCATCAATGAGCAGTAGCTTGCAGTTTCACTTGTTTCATGTACAATTTCGGACATCAAGAATCAAGTCGACACCTTTCATGGGGGAAATAAATTGGGAAACTTTATAAGTCACTAGTTACAAATGTACAGTGCTGACATAATTTATTTCTTGTTCAGTATATTTTGTTTGTCATATATTTTATAGTGCGCATTTAATCCATGCTGGGATCCAGCAGCCTGTATCAACAAAGTACCAGGGTACCAGTGTTCAGCCTGTCCCTATGGTTACACAGGATCTAATGAGGATGCCTTGTCCCAGACAGTACATTTGCGAGTGTTTGAGTCATGTAATCAAGTGGTATCTGCTGTGCAACAACAGAATTGTACAGACATTGATGAATGTGCCGCAGGAACACATATCTGTGATGTCAACTCTGAATGTATTAATACAATAGTAAGTTATTTCTTTTCAAGGCTTAAATTTTCAGTCACTGTAATTTTCCCCCAAAATATTTATATTCGCAACATTTGCAAGTAGAAGATAATGAAAATATATATATGTAATACACACTTTTGATCATTTTCAGGGAAGCTACACATGGGGGTATATATAAACGTACTGTAACAAAGTCTATGAGGGAGTTTCTACACAGTTTTGTTATTTTTCAGGGAATTTTAGCTACAAGTGTAAACTGTAAATGAGTCTATGATGGAGTTTCTTCACACTTTTCGTAGGTTTTTAGGGAATCTCAACCTTAAATGTGTACTGAACCAAAAGCTATGACTGGTTTCTTCAGACTTGTGTTATATTTCAGGGTTGCTACTGATGTTGGTACTGTAATGAAGGCTATGAGGGATTTTCTACACACTTTTGTTATTTTTCAGGGAAGCTACAGATGAGGGTACTGTAACGAAGGCTATGAGGGATTTTCTACACACTTTTGTTATTTTTCAGGGAAGCTACAGATGTGGGTATTGTAATGAAGGCTATGAGGGAGTTTCTACACACTTTTGTTATTTTTCAGGGAAGCTACAGATGTGGATACTGTAATGAAGGCTATGAGGGTGGTACTACACACTTTTGTTATTTTTCAGGGAAGCTACAGATGTGGGTATTGTAATGAAGGCTATGAGGGAGTTTCTACACACTTTTGTTATTTTTCAGGGTAGCTACAGATGTGGGTACTGTAACGAAGTCTATGAGGGAGTTTCTACACACTTTTGTTATTTTTCAGGGAAGCTACAGATGTGGGTATTGTAATGAAGGCTATGAGGGTGTTTCCACACACTTTTGTTATTCTACAAACTACTGTGACACAGGACAACATGACTGTCATACTTCAGCTACCTGTGTTTACCTGAGACCAACAGAATATAGATGTGAGGTAAGCAAGTAATCTATAAATTTACAGAACTGTGGTATTTGCATGATTTAAAAAGGATAAATTTTGACCAAATAAGTAGTTTATAAATTATGAAGTTGTGTAAAACTAAGGTTGGAAATCTCAGCACATAAGTTTACCATAAACCATTATGGCTGTACTATAAAGCTAATTAGGTTATTGTCTTGCCTGTAAGACGAAGGATTAGTCAATCTAGCGAGGGAGTAAACTATTTGTATAAAGCTTTATATTTTGTGGATGTATTTTTTGTCTTTGTGTTGTTTTTAGTTTTTGTTCCATGATTTTATCAGTCTCGTTTCAACTTATGGTATTTGCCACTGGTCGTTAAATAAACGTTATTTACCTCTTTCAGTGCCCTGTTGGTTATGCAGGTAATGGCAAACAGTGTGGACTAGATTCGGATTTAGACGGACATCCTGATATCACCATAGCATGTACAGATTGGGGATGTTTTATGGTAATGTATTAAATGTTCTGTAAAAAAGTTAATTTTCTTAGTGAACTAAATTACACTTTATTCTGTGCTACCAATGCACATTCAAGATAACTCCCTCAAAATCTGGGAATAATATTTGCTACTGGACATTAGAAAAACATGCATCAGTCAAGTCATAGTGAAAAATTAATTTGTTCGTGTAAACCATCCCACTTGGAGCATTAAATTGTTGTTTATGATGTTAAACGCCCCCAACTAACTAAAATTTATTCAAATGCAAAAATTGCAAAATGACCATATATCAACACTTTATAAGAATTCAAATGTTTGGTTCTTATTTTTACTTCAAAACTTTTAGCTGTGATAACATTAATTAAGTTATTTGATTTTTATTTAATTTTGATTTTTTGTGTTTTTAACGCCACTTTTAAGCACTGCTTTTGGGCTATTTCGTGGCTGCCAGTTTTTATTGGTGGAGGAAGCCGGAGAAAACCACGACCTTCGATAGGAAAACCGACAATCCTAGTCAATTAAGATTGAAGTCGAGTGCACCTGCACGAGCGGGGTTCGAACTCACAACCTTATTAATTAAGTACAATGATCCAGTAAGGAATTATACTCCTCTATCTTTTAGGATAACTGTAAGACTATTCCGAACTGTGGTCAAGAAGATGTAGATAATGACAACATGGGAGACGACTGTGATTTTGATAAGGACAATGATGGTCTTATAGACTCTATAGTAAGTATTTTTAGTTACATTTAGCACAGTTCTGTAAACCAACTAATTTTTCGTGCATACTGTATTTCTTGTTTAGTTCTTTCTGGCAAACTTGGCAGTGAAAAGTTAAATCACAAAAATACTGAACTCCGAGGAAAATTCAAAACGGAAAGTCCCTAATCAAATGGCAAAATCGAAAGCACAAACACATCAAACGAATGGACAACAACTGTCATATTCCTGACTTGATTTATTTTCGCGATCATGTCATTTTCGTGATATATTCATATGAGGGAAGATTCAAGTTTCACATATTTGTGATGATTTAAATTTGCGTTATTTTTCTACTCTCGAAAACAAATCGCTTGTGAAAATTGATTGGTTTAATATTTAAATAGTTATAGTTGTAAGATACCAAATAATTGTAGTCTCTTTTAAAGTATTCAAAACTTGACTGAACTTGGCATATTTTTTAGCTTGAAATGTACTCAATATGTATTTTGATACAAGAAGTTGGTTTTAATATAGATAAATAAGAAGATGTGGTATGATTGCTAATGAAACAACTCTCCACCTTATATAGGTTACTTAAATTTCTGGTTGGAGAGGTTTCTTTTTATCTACAATGAACTGCTTTGCTGTACAAATAATTTTATATATTTATATACCATTTTAATATGATCTCCATGGTAACCAGCTTCTTTTTTGAGTGTACTAAATATTCAAATCAATGGTAACATCGAAGTTTCATTTTTGTCTTACCCTCCCAAGTAATACAATTAATAACAAAATTGCCGATTTATTTTTAGGATAACTGTCCCTACTTCATGAGTTTTGATTCCACAGATACTGATGGGGATTCAGTAGGGGACCCTTGTGACAACTGTCCATCTGTCAGTAACAGTGACCAGAAGGACAACGATGACGATGGTGTCGGTGATGAATGTGACTCAGACGATGATAATGATGGCAAGATATTGTTCTGATTTATGAAACACATTTTATAATTGTTTAAGTTGTCTCCCTTTCGTCAATGTGTTTTATTGAGGAAGAAACTTTCATTAGATTATGATATGGAAAGCATAATGTCTAATACAAGTAAAATATTTTTCAAAAAAAAAGATATCTTTTAAAATAAATTTAGCTCTTTCATCTACATTACTAAAATTATTTTGAAAAAAATGGTATCTTAAGAATAAAGAAAATTATGAGGTCTGTTCATAAAAAATATTAAAAGAAGCAAAATTTATAATGTCGAATTTAATGAAAGAATTGTAGAAAAGTAATAATTGTTGGTTTGTTGCCTAATGTGACTGAGAGAGCAGGAATGATGATTGATTAATTATTAGAAATGTGTAAAATCATTAAAAACATTGATATGGTTCTCTTTTTATACAGGCGTTGCAGATACTAGTGACAATTGTCAGTTTGTTGCCAACCCTGGACAAGAAAACAGTGATGGTGATGACCATGGAGATGCCTGTGATAACTGTGTCAATAACTTTAACAGTGGTGATCCACAAACTGACACGGATGATAACAAAGTTGGTGATGCTTGTGATACAGTTGGGGGTACAAATAAGGACAAGTAAGTGATTTGATTGCTGTTTTCTTCGCTTATATATTTGTTTATACACCAGTTTAAAAAAAAAAATTGTATTTTATTTTGTTTTTTTGTTGTTGTTTTTTTTAGAGGGGTATATAGGCAACACTTTGTCTGTTTGTCTGTCCATCTGTATGTCCATTTGTCTTTTCTTCTTCCATTATTTTTGCATTGGTCATGGGTAATCCTTGAAAAAGGCCTGTGATTGAAACTTTGGGATTTGAACTAATTCTATTATTTATTTTTACTTTGGAATAATGACTTTTAAATAAAGAAAAAAAGTAACACAATACAATTTAAAATTTGTTGTCTGATTTCAATAAGCTGCATTAACATCAGCTTTTCTTCAGAATTTTATGTCATTTAAAAAGAATTTCCCTTCAGCCAGGAAGTAATGACCACAAAGCGATTTTAAAATTAGCTGATGCCAATCTGATTAAAAGACAGATCCTGTGTTTAAGCTCTGACAACACTCAGTTTTACATTCTGTTCTGGTAATGATTACTTGAACATTAGCAACAATTATCAATCAAGGTGTAGACTTTGCACAGAATAAAAGTAAATGCTATGTGTGTTACAGGGATGGAGATAGTATACTGGACATCATTGATAACTGCCAAGAGTTACCAAATGGGGACCAGTCTGATATTGACGGGGATGGAACAGGTAATCAAATCAATAAAATAATTTGTCAAACTGGTCTTAATATTCACCTTTTTGTATAAGATTCATAGCAAAGATAAAATCTATGCATGAACTTAGGTGGGTGTCAGTATTTTTGGAAATTAATATTTGTGAAATTATGTCAGAATTTGTTAAGTTTGTTTTGCTGTTGTCGTTTGTAATTTACATGAATCTTAAATATTGGTACAAATAATCTTTATTCCTAATCAAACCAAATATCATTTTAAAAAAGTGGTGCCAAATTGCAATGTACTCGTTTTTAAGCTAATGATTAAAATCAGTTGAAAAATGCATCTTTTTTCACAGTTTGATATCGCAAAAAAATAACATTTTACGTTAGCAACATAATTTCTTCTCTGTAACTGTATTGTATGCCCTTAAGACCTATCAACGCAACTGGAATCAAAATATGTATTATTTTTCCTATAAAAATAATTGTAGGTGATGTTTGTGACACTGATTCGGATGGAGATGGTGTTATAGATACAGAAGACAACTGTCCATATAGAAGTAACCCACTTCAAACTGATATTGATGGTAAGCTATATACTATTGGATGTTCTTTATATCATTAAATGTAAGAATATTTTTCACAGTTGGCATTCATTAACAAATAATAATTGGTAACACAAGAAACAAAGAAATGAAAGATTTGGTTCTGTAAGTTCAGAAATTATTGCGTGCATTTATTATTGCAATTTTTGAAGAATGGATTAAAAGGTGATATTAATTATTGCAATTTCAGGGAAATCCTCATTCAGATATATGAATCAGATAACAGAATGTGAGTTCTTATTATTGCAATACTCTCCCAGTCGCATTATTTGCATTAATAAAAACCTCACAATAATTTCTGAATTTACAGTATATATAATCCAATGAGAATTCAAAAAGAGAGGTAGAATGAATGGAATAGAATTGTTACTTGTGTCCTTGAAAATAACATGGTCCATGAATACCCAAATATGTGAACAGTGGATAACTGTACATATTGGAATAATCCAACTTTAATTTAATATGGTAAATACTATATACAGGGTTTGGTTGGGTCCTTGATGAATCACTGAAAGTATGTGGTAAGGAAGAAGGAAAAACAAGGATTTGGTTAAAAAAAATCTTTAAATGTCCCTTGAAAATTAGAATTTCTATATATTTAGTTGTCAGTTTTTGTTTCTATCACAATTTACTTGATACTTACCAATTTATTTTTTATAAATATTATAATATTTATCAGTTATTTGTTTCACTACACACAATTTTCTAGAAATCACAATATTTTTACATAAAGTCATATGTTTTCAGGTGTTTTTTTTTACAATTTTAAAATGCTCATGAATTAAACCTTCACATGATAAAACCATATCCTCTTTTCTGCAATTTATCATTTTTGTCTGCTTTTTAAACAATTTTTTATTGATTAACAAATTATTGATAAGCAACTGTTTTCTGCTCTTTGATCAGGTTGTTGTCTCTTTGGCACATTCCCTGTTTCCATTCTCTATTTTAGTTATGTTGTTGTGAACTTGAACTAGCAAAATAAAAGTTGTGAAGATATAAATAAGATTTTATTTTTTTATATTTAAGAAACTGATGATAATCTTAATTTCAGGTAACAAGGTTGGTGACGACTGTGCCGTAGATGCTGATGGTGACGGAATGAAGGACAGTAACGACACCTGTCCACATAACCCAAGTATTTCTGAGACCTCGTTCAACTCTTACTTCACTGTAGATTTCTATCCAACACATAGCAGCACTGATCCTGTTTGGTGGGTGAAAGCTGCTGGTAGAGAGATATACCAGACAGCAGCAACTGGCAAACCTGCAGCTTTAATTGGTACGATTTATTACAATTCTTTAAGAGATAAGAAGATTATACACTATAAATCTTGCATGAAATAATTCACATGTTAATTTATTATTGTACAATTCATTCCTTGAATTTGAAATTCATCTAAAACAGAGAGGCGAAAGATACCAGAATGACATTCAAACTCATAAGTCGAAAAATAAACTGACAAAACCATGGATAAAGAAAAAAAGACCAAAAGACAAACAATAGAACACAAAACAAAACATAAAAAACTAAAGACTGAACAACAGGAACCCCACACAAAACAAAACATAGAAAACTAAAGACTGAGCAACATGAACCCCACACAAAACACAACATAGAAAACTAAAGACTGAGCAACAAGAACCCCACACAAAACACAACATAGAAAACTAAAGACTGAGCAACAAGAACCCCACACAAAACATAACATAGAAAACTAAAGACTGAGCAACAAGAACCCCACACAAAACACAACATAGAAAACTAAAGACTGAGCAACAAGAACCCCACACAAAACTCGGGGTGATCTAAATAAGTGTTGCAAAATGTTAAATATTGAAATCAATATTGCCTAGTTTGCTCCAAGATGACTTCACTAGATCTCAAGGTTTTGTTGTTGTTGATACTGATCTTGGCTTATTGTCTAATTCAAGTGAAGAGATATTTTTCACGATTTTATCTTACTCCAAAACATGGAAATTGTAGCATGGGGTATTATTTTCCATGTATTTTGCAATAAAACAAAATGTGTGAATAGTTTGCTAAAAACAATATTACTGATTGGACGGGCAAACTTGTTGATAAGATAATTTATTCGACATGCGACAATATAATGCATAGAAATTGTGAGAATTACAACCTGCAAAAATATCCATGTTACCAGCACTTACTGTAAATTCAGAAATTATTGCGAGGTTTTTATTAATGCGAATAATGCGACTGGGTGACTATCGCCATAATAAGAACTCGCATTCTGATATCTGTTACATATATCTGTATGCAGATTTTCATGATATTGCAGTAATTAATCTCACATTTTTGTCCATTCTTGAAAAATCGCAATAATAAATGCATGCAATAATTTCTGAATTTACAGTAGTAATTAGTCACAATATACCTCTCAAGAAAATGACCTCCTTTGCAAGTGTGCATATAGTATTTGCCACTGGATAATAGGCATCAATAAAATCATCAGGAAATCATGTTTTATAGGTGAACAGTCGTATGGATCTATTGAGTATAGCGGTACTGTCTATGTACGTTCTACAGAAGACGATAATTATGTTGGCTTTATTTTTGGATACGCCAACAACAGGAAGTTCTACCTAGTCTCCTGGAGACCAAACAACTATAACTTTGACAACACGACTTACAAGGGTGGTATAAAAGGAGTTCATATCTCGGTAAGTAGATAAACATGATATGTGAAATGTGGGTTATTTTCTTCCTTTGAATTAAGCAAGGGGGAATATTTCTTTTTTTGGTGAAATCATCATAGACCAACTATTACAACATAAATTTTAGGTTGTTTTTTTTTAGGGGGGAGAGGGTAAAACTTCTGTGTGATTTAAGTTAAAAATGTACAATGGAAAACAACACTTTATAAATTTTGTGTTTTCGAAGCTCTTTTTACTGGATTTACCTTCATCTTGAACACACAAACTCAGACACTAAAATCTTAACACAAATTTGCATAACATCCTTATTTAAGGATGTTCGCTACTCTGTTTCAAAATAACAAGCTTTTTAAAAGACTATTATAAATTTAAAGTATATGACTAAAGGAACTAAAAAGCAGAAAAAAATGAAGGGTCCATGTGCTTGTTTTCAAGATATAAGCCATTGAAAATTTGGCGGGAAGTGATTCTCTCTGGATTTTTCATACATTTAACATTGGCACTTTTTTTCTTTCAAAAACTATGAAAAAATAAGAATTTTATAAGATTTTCAAATATGGCTTTTTAAACTATATGTTATATATAAATATGAAAAAAAAAGTAGGGGTTTGTTTGCAAAATATTTTTAATGGCACTACATGGATAAAACCAGAGGATTCCGAATTTCTGGCAAAAATTCAAAAACAAGAGGAGCGAACATCCTAAAGCTTGATGAAGTAACATTGAATTAAAAAACAACTGCAATAACTTACTAAAATGAGAATATAGAAACATATATCATTCCAACTCACCTAAATTAGATTTTTAATTTAGTGATAAATTATTTATTGTTATAAGGAAAATGCTAACTGTTAGAAAACTATTTCAGGCAGTCAATTCCAACAGTGGACCATCACAGTCTTTAGCTGAGGCCTTATGGCTAGATACGTCAACAGATAACGAGTTAACAGTTCTTTGGCATGACCCTAACCTGGTAGCCTGGAGTAACTTCACCTCCTATAAATGGTTTCTTACACACAACACAGATCTGGGTAAAATTAGGTAAATGCCTAGTTTCATTTTTCTGTAGTAATGTTTTTTGTTGAAATTCTGACAGAATAATAATTTCTTTATTTCGTCATTGTAAATCCAAAAATATTGTAAAGTTCTTGTGTTTTAATTTTTTGTTACAGTTAATAATAAATATAAAGGGTTAATTTTTCTGTCACAATAGCACAGAAATGTGAGATGTGAAGTCAAATTTTGACAGAGAGAAGTATTTAAGTAAAGTTTTGGAACTTAAGAGGATTTCTTTCAATCATTTTTCTGTGGCAAATTGCGAAGATGATAGATCAGTCTAATTCAGGACTCGCCTCCCTCATTTTCTTTGAAAAGAATTTTGAAAACAAACTCATGATAGAACAAAGTTATTTCAGGCATAAAATAAATGTTAAAAGTATGCTGGAACCATTTTTGCTTCCTATTTTCCAAATTTTCTAATTCACACCTTAGTGGGACTGATACTTATATACTCATAAGGAGTGAGAATTAGATCACGCTTGATATCAACTCGAGTTATTTAATTTCAATATAATGATAAATGAGCATTCAGCGAGTTTATAATTACTATTTAAATTAAATAAAGAGAGTTGATATCAAGGGATATCCAATTCTTAAGAACTGTTAAACCAATTTTTCTTATGGTCAATGCTCTTATTGCTCTTATTGTGTTAAATTAAAAATACCGTCAATAGTTGATCTAGTCTTTTGCACATGCCTGTATCAGACGTCATATGTGTTTTTCCGGCATCAAACTTTTAACATCAGACATTTTAAAAATTTTTGTATGCTTCAGAATGTAATAAAATTTTACAAACAGAAGATTTCCAGGTGAAAAGTGTGAGTGTTTTGTATATTATTGAAGAAATCAGATATATCCGTTGCCATGGACGAAATGTACATTGTCTTAACCTTTGAAAGTTATCAATGTCCTAACGAATAGCCAATGGAAATGCTGTAATATCGTCTCATGATGCTGGATAAGCCAATCAAATAAACACAGTTTCTGTATCACTTTTTTGTATCAAACTCCGCACAGTGTGATATGAGATATATCTCATCATGCAAGAAATAGATAACAGGCCACAACCAGAAGAGAAATGAATTTATCTTTTGGTCCCAGTTCCTTAGCATGTAAATTAAAACTCTATTTATCTTTTGTAACAGATTAAAGATTTACGACATCAACTCTCTACTGATAGACAGTGGCGACATCTATGATACGAGTATAACAGGTGGACGAGTTGGAGTATTCCAGTTTGGTCAACAGATGTCACTGTGGTCCGATTTAAAAGTGAAATGTGTCGATCGAGAAAATATGGCACTATATTTCAGTGGGAGTTCAGACTATGTTTCTTTGACTAATATTGGTGATCTAAATATATATCACAGGTAAATATAAAAATAAAAAGATGTTGTATGACTGCCAATAAAACAACTCTCCACCAGAGACCACATGATGTAGATGTTAGCAACTATAGGTAACTGTACAGCTTTCAACAATGAGCAAAAACCCTACCACATAGCAAGCTATAAAAGGCACTGACATGACAAATGTAAAACAATTTAAACACGAAAACATGTAAGCATGAAATTAAGGATTTGAAGTTTGATTGACAGTAATGATACTAATTAAGAAAAAACCAATGTAAAAGATATTAAAGATGTTACCTGGTCATTGTTTGCTGCTCTGTTTCAAAATAACAAGCTTTTTAAAAGAATGTTCTAGATTATGAGTACACGAAGAACGGAACTACAAAAAGTAGAAAAAATGAAAGGTCCATGTCATTGTTAGCTCACCGGGGTCCGAAGTTCCCATGTGAGCTTATGCCATCACTTGGCGTTCGTCGTCGTCTGTCGTCATCGTAAACTATTTCAAGAATCTTCTCCTCTGAAACTACTGGGCCAAATACCTTCAAACTTTAACTGAATGTTCCTTAGTGTATCTTGTTTATAAATTATATCCGAAGTTTTGATCCAACAACAAACATGGACGCCATGGCTAAAAATAGAACATAGAGGTCAAATGCAGTTTTTGTCTTATATCTCAAAAACTAAAGCATTTAGAGCAAATTAAAGCTGACATGCGGGTAAAAATGTTCAAAAGGTCAAGATCTATCAGCCCTGACATTTTCAGACAAATCAAACAACCCATTGTTGGGTTGCTTCCACTAAATTGGAAATTTTAAGGAAATTTTGCAGTTTTTGGTTCTCTTGAATATTATTGAAGAAAAAGATAAACTGTAAACAGCAAAAATGTTCAGCAAAGTAAGATCTACAAAAAAGTTAATAGGACCAAAATTGTCAATTGACCCTTTAAGGAGTTATTGCCCTTTAAAGACAATTTAACACAATTTGTTCATCATGTTTGTTAACATTTAAAAATCTTCTCCTCTGAAACTACTGGGCCTAATACTTCTAAACTTTAACTGAATGTTACTTAGGGTAACTGGTTTATAAATTGTATCCGAAGTTTTGATCCATTAACAAACATGGCCGCCATGGCTAAAAATAGAACATAGGGGTCAAATACAGTTTTTGGCTTTTATTTCAAAAACTATAGCAGTTGGAGCAAAAGTGACAGGATTTAAAGTGATCAAGAAGTCAAGATCTATCTGCTATGAAATTTTCAGACCAATTGGCCCATCCATTGTAGGGTTACTGTCTGAAATAGTTTATTTTTATGAAATTTTACTGTTTTTGGTTATTATTTTTAATATTATAATAGATAGAGAGAAAGTGTAAAAGGCAAAAATGTTCAGCTAAGTAAGATCTACAAATAAGTCAAATGATCAAAAGAGTCAATTGACTCTTTAAGGAGTTATTGCCCTTGAAATGTTTATTTTTTACATTTTTCGTGCAAGTCTATTATTTTTTCAAAAATCTTCTTCTCTGAAACTACTTTGCCAAATACTTCCAAACTTTAACTGATTGTTCCTTAGGGTATTTAGTTTATGAATTGTATCCGAAGTTTTGATCCATCAACAAACATGGCCACCATGGCTAGAAATAGAACCTAGGGGACAAAAGCAGTTTTTGGCTTATATCTCAAAAACTATGGCAGTTAGAGCAAAAGTGAAAGAGAGTTAAAGTGATAAATGGGTCATGATTGATCTGTTATGCAATTTTCAGACGAGTTCAACAACCCATTGTTGGGTTACTGTTGGAAATAGCTATTTTTATTAAATTTTACTGTTTTTGGTTATTTTCTTTAATATTATAATAGATAGAGAGAAAGTATAAATGGCAATAAATGTTCAGCTAAGTAAGATCTACAAATAAGTCAACATGATCAAAGTAGTCAATTGACCCCTTGAGGAGTTATTGCCCTTAAAACATTTTTTTTTACATTTTTTGTAGAAGTCCAATTGCTTTTTCAAAAATCTTCTTCTCTGAAACTACTTTGCCAAATACTTAAAAACTTTAATTGTATGTTCCTTATGGTATCTAGTTTATAGATTGTATTCAGGGATTTGATCCATTCAAAAACATGGCGGCAGTTTCTAAAAATTGAACATAGGGGTCAAATGTAGTTTTTGGCTTTCATCTAAAAAACTAAAGCAGTAACAGCAAAACTGACATAGGTGAAAGTGTTAAACATGTTTAGATCTACCTGTCAAGTAATGTTCAGACCAATAGGACAACATATTGTTGGGTTACTGTCCAGAAATAGTTAATTTTTAGGAAATTTTACAGTTTTGGGTTATGTATTATCTTTAATATTATTATAGAAAGAGAGAAAGTGTAAATGACAAAACTGTTTAGCAAAGTAATATCTACAAATAAGTCAAATGCCTGAAACTGAAATTACAGCCAGGTGAGCGATATCAGGCTCTCATGAGCCTCTTGTTTTTGAGATATAAGCCATTGAAAATTTAGTGGGAAATAATTCTCTCTATATTTTTCATACATTTAACATTGGAGCCTATTTTCTTTCTAAAACTAAAAAAATAACAAGGATTCTATTAGATTTTCAAAAATGGCTTTTTAAATCTATATATTAAAATTATGAAAGAAAAGAAGGGGTAAAGGGGCAAAAAAAAACCCCGCAAAACTTTTTATGGCACAACATGGATAAAACCTGAGGATTCTGAATATTTGTCAAAAAGTTAAAAACAATTTCATCGAACATCCTTAAAATAGAAATTTGTTCAATCTAATTTACATGTCTAACTGTCATTTCTTTTCATTTTGGTTATCCCAGAATTGAAATTTTGAAAACGAATCAACACAAACAAATTTTAAGTATGATCCAAAAGGTATTAAGAGAGAGGACAATACTAAAGTCTAAAGCAAACATTGTTCATTGTTTATAGACCAATAGATAAAAGTGAAAGACATTTTCTTAATATTCGTATTCTGTGTATATATATATATATATATATCATTTTTTGTGTGCGTATAAGAAAGTGTATATATTAACTAGATTTTACCTTTTACCGTGTGAAAAAAACTTTCATAGTGTAGATAGACATAAACATTTTACTTGGATTTATCCTTGGTGTTCCCTATAAAGGAAGCTCATAGAGAGAGAAGAAGGACATCTGACTTATCCTTGTTTATCTATTTAATTGCAGTTTCACCGTTGATGTATGGATCATGGTGGAAACAGGATACCCTACAACAGAAATGCCAATATTGTGTACAGAAAATCGTACCATATGTTTGTGGATAGAAAACGGCATTGTCAATGGACAGTATATAAACTCAACAGTACAGGCCGCCTCGGCTGTCACCGCAGATCAATGGACTAGTGTAGTACTGATATTTGATGAAACTGGTAATTATATAACTATATCACTTTGTACATCTGTCCGTCACTCTGTATTCAACTTGTGGATCATATTCAGTGGCAAATCAGTGTTTTTAAAAAAGGCGCCCAGGAAGGTCAGCTCTGTAAAAAGTGACTAAAAATTATGGGGGGGATAGTCCACTAAGTGAAATGGCCTAAATGAAATATTATTTGTATGAAGTTTCAGGCTTATTTCCCCTGAATGCTTCTGATATAACAAGATAATCATTTAGTATTTGGTCTGACACTTTAATAATGTTGAGTAAACAATTCACCTATAAGATTCTATGGAAATTAGTCCCCATGACTGAAATAATGATGAATCTTTAAGTATTTACAACTTTTTCTCTTTTCAGACTGTGCATTAAAGCTTTATATTGATGGAACATTGTCAAGTCAGACAACAGATATAAAACCAGTAGACTTGGTAAGCTAGAGTAAATACATCTTGTTCTACTGATCATGATTTTATAAAATAAAAAAAGGGGGAGGGAAGTGCTATTTTTAGACTGTGCATTTAAGCTTTATATTGATGGAACATTGTCGAGTCAGACGACAGATATAAAACCAGTAGACTTGGTAAGAGTAAATACATCTTGATCCACTGATCATTGTTTAAAAAAAAAGGGGGGGGGGGGGGTGGTCAGTGCTCCAATAACTAGTTTAACCCTGATTCACATCTATATACCTGTCCCAAGTGATGAACCTCATCAGAGGTTGTCTTTATATATATGTTAATTTTTGTCATTTATGAAATTTGATGTTGATGATAGAATTTTATAGAATCTGTTAATTCTAGACTTGGTTATTTTGACTTATTAACCACAATGCCAGTAACATTTCATAGGAAATAAACTCACCATAGACACCAGGGTAAAAATTTTGTATGCTAGATGCACGTTTCATCTACAAAAGACATACCAAACAAAGAACCAAAATATCTATGTATAATAAGATTTTCTATGGTCTTTGTTAAAATTACAGGTGTCTAAATTATTGCTTAACTTTATTGCATTTATTGCAGAGTCAATACTCATCCACAGCAGACACATTCCTGTACTTAGGAACAGATGGCAGTAACTATTACCAAGGTTATATTGATGAGGTTGGTAACAATAGCATGCATAGGATAAGTCAAAGCTTGAATCATTTTCAAGGTTAACTTTTTTTTATGTAAATTCAGAAATTACAAAAATGTGAGGCTAATTGTTGCGGTTTCAGGGAAAACTGAATATGTATATATATATGTATGAAATATCAGATTGCGAGTTCTTTTTATTGCTTTACTAGATATAACCCAGTCGAATTATTTGTTGTAATTAAAAAAATAGTAAGTAGTTGCACTTTCAAGTAAAGAAACATGTCCCTGGTTAGTTGAGAAAAAAATGCATTATTTAAATCAACCAATTAGTGATGGTGACCTTTAAACTTATACAGTATTGATTTCTTTGTTTCTCCTTATTACTCTGTTGTAGCTATTTTTGTCAGTTGCACACCCTATTAATGAAGATCATTTAGTGTGTAAAAGCATGAGTGTTATTTATTTATTGAAATATGTAAATGCCATTTAATGGGACATAGAGTATGTGGTCCAGGTACACAGTTATCGTCCTTTTAATTTCGTTGTCTACAAATAGAGTCCCTAGTGTGGACAGTGTATAACTTGCAAATTTTTTTCATACACCTTCCAAATTTATTTATTTATATTTTATGCATAAAATAGTAAGAAGGGGGATGAAATTACATGTAAAAAAAATTTGGAGCATGAATTTTTAGGTAAAGTAGTGATTTGGTCCAGTTTTAAAAGGTCCAAAATTAGTATGTCTGAAGGTGTCAAACTAAATTACAGACCCCCTTAACATAAAATTATCCATATTTTGAGTTAAATCTGATAGACTTTTCTATAATTTTGATATAATTTGTCTCAAAAGTAGTACACTACACTGTAGAAATCTTTTTCGGATAGAGCAGGTGCGATTTTTTTAATTTGCGTTCTTTGTTTAAAAGAAATGCACTACGAAATAACTGTGTTCTCGGGCCATTTTTCTACTGAGAAATGAGAAGTTGGAAAGTGGAAATCATCAAGTTGTGTGAAAGTTTTAAATATACAGTCAAACCTTAAAAGGTCACCCCAATAACAAGACAAAAATTACCTCATAAGAGAGGCGATGTTTGGTTGAAAAGGTTAAAAATGCATAGTAATTTATACTTCAGCAGGAAGTACGTGACCTGACAAGATAGGTTTGCATTGATAGAGGTAACATTTGTAGAAAGTTTGACTGCATAATTTCTTTGTTTGCATGAATGCATGTAGAATTTTCACATGGAACAATTTGTCTCAAAGTTTTGAGAGGCAACCTTATAAGTATCGATCAGCATTATAAACTTAAGAAGCTTCTCTGAAAGGCTCAAAGCATCCTACAAGCATACTTAGGAAAGGCTTATAAGAATAGATAAATATTCCCTTAGACACGGTTTTGTCTGAACATTATAGAACTTCGGTTTTATATTGCAATCCCTCTCCCTTTTCATATCTTGTAATTTTTACAAGTATAGGCAAAATGAAATTAATGGTGAGATTCACATTCCTCTATCACAAAGAACAGAGGAAGGATGATGCATTTTTTTATTTCATCTTCAATACAAAACAGAAAAATATAAAGTAAAAATTTGAAAATTGAAGATAAAAAATTGACTGAGGCAGGATAGGAAAATTAAAGGATCAATTTACACGCTCATATTAGAGATTTTTCAATTGTTTTACAGTTCCAGTTTTTCAACATAGCCATACTAGAAACAGAAGTTGTAGATCACATAGAGCTACCATTAGTGGATGAGTATCCTAAATACCATAATTATGGACAGTTATATTTGAAGTTTGATCAGACCAATGGAACCAGTACACTGACAAATACTGGTTTACTGTCCCTGACAGCACAGGTTCATGGGAGTGCTGTGTTTAAAGAGGTGAGAAATGTTTTTTTTTGTTTTCATAATACTGTAATTACATGTCAAGAAAAATTTCAAATATGTAATAACAAAAAATGTAGAAAAAGTTGTGACGAAAATTATTAACAAGAAGACTTTATTGAGGCACTTGAGAAATACTTGGCATACAAAAGAGTTAAGAGTTCCTTCCTGTCTGAGTATGTCTGCTACTTGCAACCTTCAGAGTGAGCATGAACCTGCCTGCCTGACTATACTCTAGCCAGGGAATGTGGACCAAGGGTTCTTCTTGAGGGAGATGTATTATATATGTTTATAGTCGAGGACATTTTCATGAGAGAGATTTATTATATATATTAGTCAAGGACAATTTCCTTAACTGGTCACAAAGACGGGTATGTTTTGGTATAATATGCCTTTGTCCATATGCCTGGCTTTGTGTAGCATTTACCAATACAGATAAAAATTTCAATGGATGGTTTCATGGAAATGCTCTCTTTTCATTTTTACAATTTTAGGATTTGTATTCCCATATTATATGGGATTTTAGCCATTATTTTTTTTCTAAATTTAATTTACTTAAACACACATGAAGATCTTATACACTTTTAGGTATAAATAAATATGATGTGTCCAAAGCACATTTCCGGATTAACCTTCAACATGTTCATTATGACTTCTCTTTTTATTTTTCAGAGCATGCAGGATTACTACAGATTTCAACTGACATACCCAGATAACTGAAGCCACACATTGGCTTGACATTGTTTAAAAATTTCATTCTTGTGCTAATATTATCATTTTTTTATTTATTCATTTGTTCTGTAAAATTCATTATAAATAAAATTTGACCTCTTATTCTTTAGTGTAGCTTTGTGTGTAAAGTGAGAATTGTATCTATTGTTATGACTGCTTGTTTGTTAATTCATCTCCTTATTTAAGAAATATTTCAAAACATTTTAAGTACCTGACTGATATGATTTTTTATTTGAATAAGTTTATTGTTACAATCAGTCCTAAATTTAAAGTGTGTAACCCCTTGATGTGGAATAACATACCAAATCTTATGGTATTAGGGTGTTTACATATATAATCTTATTTGTAATGATAAGAAAAAAGTGAGTTTTTCTTCAGATTTATGTATAGATTGATAACTAATTGCTTAACATCCAGTGGCAAATATTTCATGCCAATTCAGGACAAGAACAAACAAACAATGCAAGAGGAAATTTCTACAAAATGGGTTGACTGGGATTAAGGGTGAGGATTTTGACTCACTGGAAAAGAAGGGTCTGCTGTTTAGGGTGACACTTTGCCGTGCAATTTACCACCTACAGACTCTTCAAAGACTGACTGGACGTGGCCACATACATATACATCCTACACAGTCAGACCAATGTCCCAGTTAAGCAAAAGATATACAGGTGAATGGGAGAGATCAAAGGGATGTCCCTACTTGGGGTTTGAACTTATGTAAATTCTATATTTAGGAGTAAAGTATATTTTGTTAGTTTACTTGAGTTCAGAATTGAATGTCTGCATTTTTCAAGCGTAAATAATTGACAATAGAATATAATGGAAGGTTAATAAATGCAATGTACAAATATTACAATAAAAATTTCAGTTTTAATTGTTACAAATTTTATCCTGTAGCATTAACCGCATTAATATAAACATTACATACATTTCTGATATAAATGACCAAAAGTATTAATTTGCAAAATATTCAAAATGTATTTTAGATCTTAAGGTGTTTAGAATATACGTTATAAATAATATTAAGGTACATGATCAACGAATTTTGCCAATGCTAATAATGGAATGTAGAAGTAAAATGCAAGTAATTGTCTAATATCTTGAAACCATAATTGATCAAAAACATCACGGAGGGCAAAATGTTAAGAATGTAAAGATCTATAAAAATAGAAATATAATGGCACTGAATGGTTGCCAATGAGACAACTATCCACAAGTGACCAAATGACGTTTATGTAATTATATCAGCAACTAAAGGTCACTGTGTGTGTACATACCTTTTTTCCACGTACCCAAATTATCAGATGACTCCTTATGACTCCTTGTTATGAGTTGTTTACTTTTAGTGACAATTTTTGACCAATTTAAGTACTTTTGCTAATTACTTGAAAACCTCAATAGACTGACAAACTGAAAACAGCAAAAATGATCAGCGCAATAAAAGATCTACAGAAATGTCAATATGAAATGCTAAATTGACCTGTTATAAGATTTACTGTTATATCATCAGCATTTATGCCTATTATGTTTAAAACCATAAGTGATGCACAGAAACTGTAAGCATAGATCATTGATTAAGGTTAAGTTTTCGTGTTCAACAGGGTCAAGTCTATATTTTAGATACTTCCAAGCAGTAGGTCTGAGACTTCTAATAATTCCATTCACCAAATATAGTTGACCTACTCTGAGACTATTATAACACATAGTTACTATGTGTTATAGTAGTCTCAGAGTAAGTCAACTATATTTGGTGAATGGAATGATTGTAAAGTGTAAATGTCAGTCTAGCAGGTTTGATCTGACCTTTACCTCATTGTCATGGTACATTGATTGATGTTAAGTTTTCATGGTTTTATCTCAATTTCAGACACTCATTACTGTAAGCAATAGTTCAATTAAATTTCGTGTGTGAATTGATTGTATGGTGTACATGTGCTTGTCTGGCCGGTTCCATCTCACATTGACTCATTTTCATGGTTCTTTATCAATGTTGACTTATTCTGTTTTATTTTGTGTATCGGATACAATTAGCTATAGGTCAACTACATTTGGTGGATTGGCAAGGTTGTAAGGTTTACATGTTTGTCTTGCAGAGTTCATCTGACCTTGACCTCATGTTCATGCTTCATTGGTGAATTAAGTTTCATGGTTAGGTCCGTTTCTCAGAGGTTAACCATAATTGATGACTTGAAATATATAAACATTTCTTTTTTTTTTAAATTAATTATTATTACCGTTTATAAAATGTTGAATTATTCGAAACACAGGGGTTTTTCGACCTTCAAGTATATATAGTCTTGGTCATATTTGGCAAAACTTTTCAGATTTTTTTGTTTTCAATTCTCGTCTACTTTGTATTTCATCTGGCCTTCTAATTGTTTGATTCTAGGGCCACTGATGACAAAAAACGTGACTGGCGAGCAAAATTAGAAGCCTGGTTTTATAAAGGTACAATATTTATTTCTAATCCAGATGAAACAGACAGCTCAACCTATCAAAGCCTTTGGTAGACATTTTTAATTATTATTTTTTCTATTGTCTGGAACCTGTTACTGTTTCGGAATAACAGTTTTGAACCGAATGATCTACTGGTATACAATATAAACATAAGATATGTGGAATGATAGCCATTGAGACAACTATATCCACATGAGTCGAAATGACGTGCATGTAAGCGACTATAGATGAACGTAGGCATTCAACAATGAGTAAAACCCATATCGTACAGGCGGCTGGCTACCTGTATGAGAGGTCCTGACATGACTAAATGTGAACATATTCAAAAGAAAAATCAACGGCCTGATTTGGGCAAAAAAAAACAATAAACAAAGAAAAAATATGACAGTCAGCCAACTACAAATACAAGATCCTGACTAAGGACAGGCACATGACGAATGCTACGGCGTTAAACATGTTTGTTAAGGAGCATCCGTTGCCCTAACCTGAGACAGTGGTGTAACAGCATAAGAACATAGTGTGAAAATCAGTTGGAAATGGCTTGACTCATCAGATTGGCACAAAGCACAGACAATAACTTGCATAAAGACTAAAGACTAAGTAATCGATCTCAGAGTGCTCGCAGTTCTTGAAAGCTAGTTCAAAGTCAGTAACAACTACTAGTAGTTGGGATTCATTATCGTTCGTGGGATATCAATTTTCTAGGAATTCGGGGTTGTAATTGTACGACGAATTCAAATGTCAAAGTAGTACAAAATTTCAATAGGCTTGTAAGTAGACTTTGGCAAAACTACGAATTCAAATATTCACTAAAACCATTTTTTTCTTCAATCAACGACAATTGGTGTCTACGAATAAAAGGAATCCACAGTTAATAAATACAGCATGTTCTCCCAGACTAAAGTATCAACCAGTAGAAATCCAACGGATTAAGAAAAAAGTCGTCATACACAGTCTGAAAATCATTGTGCAATACATACAAGTATCGACTGGGAGTAAGTTTCAGAACTGAATGAAAATACATATTTCGTTATGTTTTAATTTATCTTAAAATAAAAATCAAAGTACCGATTAAAACAATATTATAAGATCTTACCCCTGCATTTAATTGGTAACATTTGATAATAAGTGAAAAAAAATGCACAACGTAAGAAGAGGCTAAAGGAGCATCACTGTCCAAAGCAGGAAAACTCGTGTCCTAATCTTTTGTATATATTAATTTGGCAAAAATGTTCAGACTTTTGGGTCCTCAATGCTCTTCGCCTTCGTACTACATGTATATTTGGCCGTGTAAATTTTATGATTTGAACGTCACTGATGAGTCTTGTATCGACGAATGGCGCGTATGGTGTACACAATTATAAGCCTGGTATCTTTGATATGTTTTATTAATATAGAGTTTCCCGTGTGCACTGAAATATTCGAATGTAGACAAGATTCTCGGTTAACATTTGTATCATTAGTCATTAATTTTATTTGAAAGAATACTACATGATCTGTTATTGTATATTAAGCAGTACATATATGCTGCTAATTAAGGGCCTCAGGTTGCGGTACCTCGAATGGCCGAATAACACCGTTATTAGCCAAATAACACTTGTAATCAAGTACATCAAAGCAATGCAATTACTCCAATCACCAATTAGTTTTCTTAACGATTTACTCAATATAATAAATATTTTTTAACAATAAGTTCTAAATAAGTTGTTTTCGCGGACTATGACAGATAAGCCCGTGCCTTGTGCAGGATATCTTAGTAGTTTTAAAAGGGCTTGGTTACTCTCCATTTTTAAATTAAAAAAAATAAATAATACACAGATGTTTTATTTAAAAGTAGAAATTTTTTATTATAATATTATTTTTAGGCAGTTAAGCTGCCTTATGCGAGCACCCTAGATTTGTGTTCTACCCAAGAAATGCTGAAATACGTGCCATTGTTATTATCTAGCTGGCTATTATGTTATTTATAACTAATTGGACATTTTTTTAATACTTTCATTTCTGGAATACAAAAAATATGACCAGAAAAACCTTAAATGATCGTCAAACTACCCAAAACGTTTGAAGTTGCACATAGGAAGTAGTGCTCAATAGAAATCCGTACGTAGTTTATTATCCCCTGTGCTTTTGACTACGATGTCAAAGAACAATTGTATGAAATATTTCATCGCCGAAAATCCGTAATTACAAGTCGTTTATATTTCCCCAATGGCAAAATGCACAGGAATATTGTTCATGTACAACAAATCTCTATGATAGAGGAAATAAAGTTATATAAGTGGGCGGTAATTTTTAACTTATCTTGCCAAATAAGGTTTTTTTTATTTTATGAATGAAACGAGGTCATGAAACAGATGCGGAAATCGACGTTGATGGGATCTTTAAAGTAATGTGGACAACTCATCCCCGAGACAAGTCGGACCGAATCCACTCAAACCGTCTAAGAAGACAACTTTGACCGTTTGTCAGATTTACTAAGGGTTTCATAAAATATTAGACTTACATGTCTAGCGGAGCCATTAATCTTTTGTTTGTGCATTGGGGTCTATTAAGGGGTATTTGGAGGGGCCTGAAGAAGGGAGGGGTTTACTATAGAACCCTATGGGATTTTATTTTTTTAAATTTTCAAATGACTCTTTCTCGAAAACAGAAAGTGATAGACACATGCAGTCTTCAGTAATGAGAACAGGACAATACAAATATCAACCAAAATATAGGTTGAGTCCCTGGGGTCATCCCAACCCCATTCAATTTGAAAATGTACTTTTATCTTGTAAACCGTCGCGATCCCCACCCCTAAACAATATATATATATATATATATATACTTGTATGGGACAATAAAAGAAATCAAATGAAAATAATTTGGGGGAGTCCCCGGTATCGTCCCACCCCCTCCTGTCTGAGAACTTCGAAATGGTTGAGATCTCCACCCCTAAACCATATATATTCATGTATGGGACAATAAAACAAATGAAATGAAATATATGGGGAGTCCCTGGGAATCACCCCACCCCCTCCTATTTGAGAACTTGTAAACGGTCGAGATCCCCACCCCTAAACCATATATATTCATGTGTGGGACAATATAACAAATCAAATGAAATATATGGGGAGTCCCTGGGGTCACCCCACCCCCTCCTGTTTGAGAACTTGTAAACAGTCAAGATCCCCACCCCTAAACCATATATATTCATGTATGGGACAATATAACAAATCAAATGAAATATATGGGGAGTCCTTGGGGTCACCCCAACCCCTCCTGTTTGAGAACTTGGAAATGGTTGAGATTCCCACCCCTAAACCATATACTTTCATGTATGGGACAATAAAACAAATCAAATGAAATATAGGGGAGTCCCTGGGGACACCCCACCCCCTCCTGTTTGAGAACTTGTAAACAGTCAAGATCCCCCCCTAGACCATATATATTCATGTATGGGACAATATAACAAATCAAATAAAATATATGAGGAGTTCCTCGGGTCACCCCACCCCCTCCTGTTTGAGAACTTGGAAATGGTCGAGATCCCCACCCCTAAACCATATATATTCATGTATGGGACAATAAAACAAATGAAATATAGGGGGAGTCCATAGGGACACCCTATCCCCTCTTGTTTGAGAATTTGTAAACAGTCAAGATCCCTACACCTAAACCATATATATTCATGTATGAGACAATATAACAAATCAAATGAAACATTTGGGGAGTCCCTGGGGTCACCCCACCCCCTCCTGTTTGAGAACTTGGAAACGGTCGAGATCCCCACCCCTAAACCATATGTAATCATGTATGGGACAATATAACAAATCAAATGAAATATAGGGGGTCCCTGGGGTCACTCCACCCCCTCCTATTTGAGAACTTGTAAACGGTCGAGATACCCACAACTAAACCATATTTATTCCTGTTCATCATTTCAAAAAGATTTGAATGACATACAGGGTCAATCTCCTAGGTGTCACATATGCATATCACTTTACTAGACCAAACCAATATGAACAGGACTTTGCCCAATGTCAGGAGACCATGGGAATGACGAATTATGGGGGCTTTGTTTGGGAGACTTCGTAACGGCATCCTGTTACAAATATTTCTTGTTTATTATAAAATTTTATTGATGCAAAAAATGAGTCTAGGTTAATTGAATTTACTTTAATTATTTATTAAATTATTTCTGGGCCTATAATAATTTTCATTTATGGCTCATTTTAAAGAAAACATATAAATCTTTCAAGCAGTGTAAAGCCCGAGAATGTTTGACCAACTGTTTTATAATCCCCTGTCATTTTATTCCAAACTTGGTATGGAGTAACATCATGCACTTGGTGGTGAAGATGGGGGTCATTTACATTGATATATGAGTTGCTTTTGAAAACCTTGATGAAATATTAATTAATTTGCCTTAATAATCAATTCATTTAATGAGCATAAATGTACAATATACGAATGTTTAATGTTTGTTCTTTCAAATCTTAAAAAAAAATTGAAGCAACACTGCCACAGTTTTCATAATTACGTTTGCCTTGGTTTTTGGTTAACTGCCTACAGCGCTTACAGTGCTTTGATTTTAATAACTATCAAAAAAAATTATTATTGTAAACAGTTAAATATCCATATTTTCTTTAAAAGGGGAGGCACCCACCCTCACATTGTTCATTGCCTTGACGTGGCGTGAGGGCTCCACTTTGGTGGTCTAAAATGAACACGTTGAGGGATTGTATGCAATCATTCTTTTATTCTTCCCATTGTGTTTTCCTTGGTCGCCATGTTGGATGTACACACTAATATTTAATGCGATCTTTATGAACTTACCTGCTTTCTATAAATCATTTTTAAGTTAAAAAATACACTTATAATACAACATTATTTAATTATCAATGTTTAAATGTCACCAATATGTGCTAATATTAAAATTTCAAGTGTTATTCGGTGATTACAAGAGTTATTTGGCTAATAACGGGGTTATTCGGTCATTCGTGTTACCCCCTCAGGTTGATATTTTGTTAGGTTATTGATTGTATTTTAAAATTATCTAACCTGTTGCTATTTCACCATGTTCACGTGATTAGAGAAAATGACGTGTTACTTACTTCCTAGTACACATTTGACGAATTTGATAACAGCTAGTAACAACTGTTATGTTTAATTGTATTTAAGGTATGTACACATGCTAATGCTATCATAATAAATACATATGTAGGGATAATAAATCGCGTTATGAAATCTACAATTCGATATTACCATGATTACCTCAAATGAACTATTTGAGGTAATCATGGGACATCGTGATCGCCTTACTGCCCGTACACAGGAGTTCCAAGTGAGAAGTAATTTTAATTTGGAACTGATTTGGAACTACTTGGAAGTATTTGGAAATACACGGAAGAACTTGGAATCCGAGTGACTTGGAAAATTCACCACTTGGAACCTATTCAGAAGGATTTGGAATCATTCGGAAATTTTGTAAAATCATTCCGAGTCACTTGGAATTGACTTAGAATATTTTCTATGCATTGGACTTAGAAATTTCTTTGCATGTTGGACTTAGAAAATTTTCAGCAATCTGGACTCAGAAAATTTCTAGTTGTTTGACATATTTTGTATTACATAGCATTTAAATCACTTGTGAATGTAGTTAATATATTTAAATATATTCAACTTTGAACAAATTTTGACATCTCCAGTATCAGAAAGGCACAATATGTTATTTATATATGTTCATAAACTTATATTTTCTCCAGCTTAAATACAAAATAAATAAATCAAAATTGAAAAAATGCAGGTATTTTCTATTAAATGAGAACTTTACATAAATAATCAAATTTCATCAATTGTAATTACAACATCTATTATTCTTACAGTTAACGTTTCATATTTTTAATCCCTGATGATTGAAGGTGAAATCAGTAGGATATATATTGTAGGTATCTGTTACATTTTATGATACTTATATCAGCATTTTTACAAATTATAATTTTATTAATTACAGGTATACCTTTCTGAATAGAAAAAAAAATGTTTGTTGTTCGCTTTAATTTAAATTGTTTAATATAAATCATTTCTACTTTAAATAAAACATATATCAATCATATATACATGCATGTACAAAAATGTTATTTTGTTTAAACTATCCACATCAGTCCTTTTCTACAAAGTTAGGAAATCGTCCAACTATCTGCTGTTTGTTTACTTCCAAAACCGACCTAATACTACTCAAAGACGATCATTGCACCATGAGGACATGATCAGATCAACATCACTAGCTGGACGTTTAAACCTTATAATCTTTTAATTGATTGGTGCAAGGATTTGTATAGTAAGACTTACTATACAAATCCTTGATTGGTGGAATTGTTTTTTTTTTAAATGTCAAAGGGAGATAATTTTTGTATACAGATATAAGAAGATGTGGTATGAGTGCCATTGAGACAACTCTCCATCCAAGTCAAAATTTGATAAAAGTAAACCAATATGGGTCAAAGTACGGTCTTCAACACGGAGCCTTGGCTCACACAGAACAGCAAGCTATTTAGTCTGGGAGAACATGCTGTATTTATTAACTGTGGATTCATTTTATTCGTATTTATATTTTTTCTTCGTTTATAGGCCGTTGATTTTTCTTTTGAATATGTTCACATTTAGTCATGTCAGGACCTCTCATACAGGCAGCCGCCTGCACGATATGGGTTTTACCAGAAGTCCATTACTAGACGAAGTGTGCCAGCTGTACTATAAGAGTAGTATTAGGTCAGTTTTGTGTAATTTTTTGTAAGGCATTGAGTGTGAAGAGTACATGTATGTCCGTTCAAGGTAAACGGAAAGAAAGTCACAGGACGAAAATTCACAAATAATTTGTTGACAATTGTTTGGATATATAAGAGAAAGATCTTGATTTTTGTCTTTTTATTACTTATATTCATTTTAAAGTTAAGGAAATTGTCATTAGCCTTGATAAATGAAAATTTATTAAATTTTAATCATGAAAAGAATATATTTCTTGGCACCATGAAGCTGTTTAAGTACCTTCACGGGTAGTAAGGTCGTCATATCGATGAGCGTTTAGTTCAGTGATTTTGTCATAGTTTGGTTAACTTGGACATGATTGTGTTTTTAATGACAAACAATGACACAATATAAACATTCGGATTTTTTGGCTAAAGGAACTTCTGAACATGAATTCAAGCTGGTAAGTATCTTTGTTTATGGCTAATATTTTAGTACATTAAAATTTGTATCATATAGTTATAATTTGACACAGAATAATACTTGCGTATGTCAAAATTTAAAAGTTGTTATTCGTTTGTTATGCATAAAGAAAAGTGATTGTTTTACTGTCTGTTACATCACATGTTTCGTTATGATATAAACCTGCCGTCAAGTATTCTGGAAAAAAGCTACATTTGCACACAATTTAAGATTTCTGAAAATTTGGTGTCATGGTTTGGTTCAGTAAAGTCATGGTTTAGTTCATGTTCGACATGGTTCAGTTCTGTGATTCCTGTTGTGTATGATGGAAGAGTAACGATCAAAATAAACAGGCATTATTTACAACTATTGAAATACTGTTAAACAAATATTTTCGCTGATACTTTTTTTTCACGTTTAACCCATTCTATCCTATTTTAAGGCAATATATTGTCGCCAGTTCCTTATGTTCTTGTTGTTTTCCATACGAGTAGATCTGAGTTTCACATATTAACGTTGATATTCTACTCGCGAAAATACATCGCTCGAGAAAATAAGTCTTCTACAGTAAAATCATGATATTTTCATTATAGTTATCATAATTATAGAACACGCATATATAAAGAGATCACGAGGGTTATATATAAATTCATTAAAAGCAATTTACTTTTGAAGTAATATATAATAAGTAGATGCGGTACGATTTTTAATGAGACAACTATCCACCCGAGACAAAATGACGTAAATGTTAGGTCGCCGTACGGCCTTCAACAATTAGCAAAACCATACCTTTTAGCAAGCAATTGCAAATTGAAAGCTCCGACAAAACTAAAGGTTAAGCAATTCAATCGAGAAAACAAACGGTCTGATTTATAATGAAAATAGTAAACAAAAAACAAATATAATATACAGTAACAAACGACAGCCACTGCATTACAGACTCTGGACTATAGACAGATACATACAGAATATGGCTAGGGTTAAATGTCTACTGCAGGCTCTCAACCCTTCCCTTGCCCTAACCTGAGCAGTAGTGTAACAGCACAACAAACTGTAAAAATCAGTTGAAAAGGACTTGCATCATCAGATCGATACCAAGCAAAATAATCAAATTACATTAACACCAAAGACACTAAGAACCGATCTGTTAGTACATTTTATTTGTATTTACTGGAAGTTACAAGCCAATAACAACTAATAAAACAATCAAGATTCAATTTCAGAATGGAATTCTGCTGCCAATAATCATCTTCATCCATTTTATTCTCTGTGATTTCTCGTCTAGTTGGGTAAAAAATAATGCCGTACATAGTTTAAATGTACTTGTTCTAAACAAAAGTATCTTGGAATTCTAAAATTATAATTTTTCGATCACATATTATAGATGTATATTTTCTCATACTAAATACCAGACGGACAGAGCTTTTTCTGATATTATCTGAACTTTATTGTATAATAGAAGAAAAATGCTTAAACTGGTTAAGTGATACTACACAATACACTTATACAATATGACAAAACATATTCATTTTTATTCATTCGTAAAAATGGACCTATTTCTAATTTAAAATTGTGATGTTTCATATATTTAAATTCGGAACTTTGATAGCAAATTTCAAATTAATTCCTTTATCTGTTGTCCATGTTAACATTTTATTCCGTGGAGGTTTGAAGACTGTGTGGTCCCCTCCCAATATCGTTTGGTTATTTTTGTATTTGGGTTACTGTATCATGTTTGTAGTTGGGTTACTGTATCATGTTTGTAGTTGGGTTACTGTATCATGTTTGTAGTTGGGTAACTGTGTCATGCGTATAACCCCCCCCCCCCCCCCTTTTCCATCTCCTTTTATTCATCATAGACATAATCTGGTTCAAATAAAAACAACCGATGTATAGTTTGCTAGAAAAAAATTGTAAAACAAAGATTATTATTTTACTAGCTGCTACGTTTTGCATCTCTAAGTAGACGTCTTTAATCATTTAACTATTGACGCCTCTCACGATAATTATCCCTGGCAGAGTCATCTTAATAACACGTTATAGTGTTCTTTTATTTGTCTTTATGAATATTATTTTTACTGTTTAGTCTGGTTTTTTTTTGGAATATCCATTTGACGTGGCTCTATACTCTACATCCCGTCATTGTGTTATTCGTTATGGTAATATTTGTGTATTCTTGTCTTTCATTTTTGCTAAATTAAATGTGCTTTGTCTATATGCCTTTTTGATTTTCTTTGTTACATATGACGTGGCTCTGTACTTATACATCCCGTCGTGTTATTTTGCTATGGTTAATATTTGTATTCTTGTCTTTCATTTTTGCTAATGTGCTTTGTCTATATGCCTTTTTGTGTTTCTTTGTTACATATGACGTGGCTCTGTACTTATACATCCCGTCATTGTGTTATTGTGCTATGGTAAATTTTTGTATTCTTGTCTTTCATTTTGCTAATGTGCTTTGTCTATATGCCTTTTTGATTTTCTTTGTTACATATGACGTGGCTCTGTACTTATACATCCCGTCGTGTTATTTTGCTATGGTTAATATTTGTATTCTTGTCTTTCATTTTTGCTAATGTGCTTTGTCTATATGCCTTTTTGTGTTTCTTTGTTACATATGACGTGGCTCTGTACTTATACATCCCGTCATTGTGTTATTGTGCTATGGTAAATTTTTGTATTCTTGTCTTTCATTTTGCCAATGTGCTTTGTCTATATGCCTTTTTGTGTTTCTTTGTTACATATTTGTTTGTTTTTATAGTGATTACGATTATAACACAATGTTGACTGCTGTACCCCTATTTTTGACATTTTTACCTATTATGTCTGTTTGTTTTGTTCACACATGGGTGTCAATATAATGGAATTAAATGCAACTGTCATACAAGTGAGTGGTTTAGCTAGCTATAAAACCAGGTTTAATCCACCATTTTCTACATACGAAAATACCTGTACCAAGTCAGGAATATGAC